CCTTTGCGCAAAACAGTCCCGAGACAAATAATCGTTTTGCAGCCGTGATTCAGGCTGCGCAGGCACGACATTTGAAGACGAGCCAGGAAGCAAGCCCCAACCTTCTCGCGAATCTGAGGCGCATGATGAAATCGAACGACCCTCCGCTGAAGCAGGCGGTCGAGCGAATGCTGGAAGCCGAAAACGGCACGGCGGATAAGAAATTGCAAGCAGCACAGAAAAACTCACCAAAACATTTATCCCATGCGGCAAACGAGTCATCAAACAACCTTTCTTCCCCGGATTTACTTCGCGGGAAAAAGAACCCAGACACCACGGGCGCCGGCCCCCAGCACACGGAGGCCAGACCGGCCGGCGCACAAGCATCGGCGACGGCGGCGAAGTCGGGGCAGCAATTGGAGGCGGAGCGGCAGGAGCAAAAGCTTGCGATTGGGCTGCACGCCCCCTTCGAAAACGTGAAGATAGAGCCCTCCTTGCAGTTCTACAACTCCCTTCCCTTGACCGTGCAGCTGAAGTTCAGTGTGTGCCGGCAGCCGCAGGATGCGATCGAGATCACCGCGCGCTATTTGCAGTCGGTGTTCTACTTCAACATCTCGCAGCAGCGTCGGAAAGAGATGGACATCGACCGGCTGAAAACGGAGGTGACGGTGAAGCTCAACGCGGAAGTGGTAGATGGCGTGGAGCGGTTGACTTGGAACCGGCAGGAGCTGTTGCGGAAGGAGCTGCGGAAGATCCGGAATGAGCTGTTTGCGGAGCAGTTTAAGGAGTTGAAGAGATTGCAAACGGAGAAAAACCGAATTTTGGGCAGTGTGGTGAAAAAGATCGTCGTGAGAGAAAACGAACGCAGGATCAGTCTGTATCGGGCTGAAATGCAGGAGCGGAAGAAGAGAATTTACGAAATTCGCGGCCCGGCAGCGGGGACTTCGGCAAGTGGAAGGACGGCTGCCGGGTTTTCGACGACGAAAAGTGGAGCAATGACGGTAAGCGCATCGCGAGACGAATTCCCGAAGCAAAATCGTTCAACTCAAAGCATAAGCAGCGGTGAAAATAATAGCCTGACGCGGAAAAAACCGTCACGGAGCCAAGCACTAGAGCCAGCAGCAACGGGAGAGAAGAGCAGTAATGCTGCCCTTCTTGCAGTAAGCGGCGAAGCAGCAAACCCGCTGCCGTCACCCGCTGCCATCACAAGTGATGGGAAGCTGCGCAACGAGGCTCCGGACGCGGAGGCCCAGGCTTCGGAAGCAAGACCGCGGCAGCAAAGTCGGAACTCCTGCCATCCACAGGAGCAACTTTCAGCGGACGAAACCGCTCCCCTGTTGGTGCCGAGGGGGGAGGAAAATTTCGAGTCGATGTGGAACGAAAGCGAGGGGCAGCTGACGCCGGAAATGCTGAGCTCCTCTGGCGGGCACACCTCTACTTCTCACATGAATGATTCCTCCCTGATGTTTGAATCTCCCATGGCAGCGGGTGGCGCGGCGTCGTGTAATGACCACGACCGAAGGTCAAGTGTTGAAGATAATGAAAATGATGACAACTCCGCGCATCAAGGACTCCCCGGGGACGAGGTGTTGCAGGTTGCGCAGGAAGCAATCGAGGCTAGGGAAAGAACTACACGACCGCCAAGAGCAATCAGTCCCAGCGCAGAAAGCGTAAGCGAAGAGAACAAAGATCGGACCACTGAAGACGGCGATCGTAGCGAAGCGTCGTCGTCTGGCGCCAAGAAACGACTCAGTGGTTTAGCCATCTCGGCCAGTAAAGTTTCCCCGGAGGAGCATGTCGATGAAAATTTCTACGCTGACACAAATGTGCAGCAGCGTGGTCAAGAAGCCCTGGAGACCACAAACAGTCCCCTGGATCATGATCCCCACGGGGACGTTTCATTCGGCCTGTCTCCGACGCCGCCCGTGTTTCTCAGTGAGTACATGGTTCTGCAGCAGCTGACTCTCGAGCAGGATTTGTTTCTCGGAGAAAATCTGAACGAGTTTATCCGCCTGCACAAGGTGCAGTCCGTTCAGTACGAGGTCGAGCCTTTTGCCCTCTTCCACTCCTACGATTTTGACCCGCATATTCCAATTTTCATGAAGGCCCAGGCAGTGCGGAAACCGAACCAAGCCAGTGGCGGGGGAGAAAGTGGGCCTGGTCGTGGGACGACATCCTCGTGGCAGTCAGCCCCGACCAACAACAACTCGGGTGAGTTCCACTGGTCCACGTTCGAACCCTTTGTGCCCTTGATTCCGTCCAACGCGTCGGCAATGTACGAGGCCTTCGCGGCGACTGCGGAAAATGGCAGCTCTGGTACTGACTCGCAGTGGCGGAGCACAAGCTGCGCGAATGCGGTCGCTTTACGACGAACGCGGCAGCTACGCGAGTACCTTCCTGTAGTAGTCCCGAACGGTCGGGAGGGATCGAAAGGGTTCGGTGACGGTTCCCATCATGCAAGCCTAGACTATCCTAGTAGCTTTCGAGGAAATTATACAGGAAGCAGCAACCACGTGGTAGATTCAACAATTACGGTCGAGGACGCGAAGGAGCTAGAGACTGCTATTTTCGCCGTGCATGCCGCGTACCAACGTCACCTGTCGAATTCTCCATTTTACTGCGAAAACAAGTACTGTTTGGGGGTAGAGTATTCCATGGAGGAGGTGGGGTTAGGCTTGGAAAAGAAAAGTAATAGTGCGACGAAGAAGAAAAGCGCCGACCCTGAGCCGTTCGGTGCAAGAAGTCCGGCTGTTCAAGATCCGGTCGCGCCACAGACCGCGTGCAAAAGCATTTATGGCCGTGTCCTGTTTGACGAGGTGGGGGAGGGAGATGAAGAAGACGACAAAGCACCAGGCTGGCCGTCGGGCGACCTAGCGATTGCAAATGACGAAAAGCTCGGGCTGCAGCAAGGAGGTGAAGAAGCGACGGAAGCGACCTCGCATCATGGTGAAAAAGGCAAAACACCGGCACAGCGTGATGCTTGTCCGCAGATGAGGCACCATGCAAGCCTAGTAGGCGCGGAAGCTGGTACAACACCAAATTCCCACGGGGTGATGAGTCCACGGCTTCTGCAGCTGCCTCTGCACCATACCGCACAAGAGTCGGCCCTGCACTCACCGCGTGCGCCTGCTGGTGAGGATGAAAAGTGCACAGGTCCCAGCAGCGGTGAGACGAGGCAACTAAAGAAAAAGCAGAAGCGCGCGCTGCACGAGCTGGAGAAGATGCGGGAGCATCTGCATCAAAACCTGTCGGCCACCCAGAAGGAAGCGCTTGCGCGAAGCCAAATGCAGAAGCAAATCGTGTACGAAACTTTCTGTTTTTCGAACTCCTCCAACGCGAGCAAGATGTATTTTGACGCGTTGGTGCCCGCGCAGGTCGACAAACCAACTGGCAGCTCTGCTGAAACTTTAGGCAATTACTCATCTACCTCGAGCAAATCGACCGCTCGGAAAGACGTGACTGGGACAGGACCAGGAGCAGCCGGATCTGCAACTAGAAGAGCGGTTAATAAAACAGGCCATGCTCCTGCAACTGCCACCGCTTCATCTACACTTCTGAAGCGGTCCGAAATCACGACGACCAACACAGCGTACTTCACGCCGATCCTGACGCGAAACCAGAATGAGTTGCGGTTCAGCTCGGATTTGTGGTTTATCGACCGCATTCCGAAATTTGAAACCATGGCCGAACTAAACATATCCAACAAGATTGTGCAGGCCGACTACAACATCCGGCTATTGCCGATCGATTTGCAGAATTTCCAAGTCACCGCAGTGCCGCTTGTGGTGCCGAAGAACTACCAGGGGGCGAGGAGCGACGCGAATCCGAACGCAAGTGGCAGAAGAAAGAAGAAGCGAAATATCTGCACGGGTGGGGGTAGAAGTAGTAGTTCTGCCGATGGCGCTGAACCAAGATGCGTAGTTGAAGGAAGTAAAAGTGATAGAAGCGTGGGCCTTGTTACCGAAGATCGCAATGGTAAGAAAGGAACCAGGGTGTGGAACGCCAGCTGGAACAGCAGGGAGGCTCCTGCTGTACAGAATTTCCAGATGGATCCCGATGGTCCAAGCTGCGGCACTGCCAACAATACAGATGGCGCAGTAGCAGAAAGAGTGTCACGTGGAGCTGGTGCCGGGACTAAACAGGCACGCCCTCTTGCTGGATCTTCTCGTCCTGGCGAACAGAAAAAAATACTACGTTGGCGCAATCGGAAAGGGCCTGTTGAAGTGGAAATCCATGACAGGGGTGGAGTAAAAACAGGTGCACCAGTAGAACACTCTGATCGAAAAATGGCTGCGATCGCTGCAAATGGGAGCTCTACTTCCTGGTGGGAAACCAGTATTCTGAATCCGATCGTGGACCCGATGAAATCCCGGACGGTGCAGCGAGCGAAGCGGAGATTTCTGGCTCTTCTAGCAATTGCAAGGCACAGAAACGCACTTCCGCCTGCTGCAGGAAACAAAGTCCAAGTGGTCAGGGAGCCGAACTGTAGGCCACCACTTTCAGAGTCCGCACCTGCACCCTCACACACTTGGTCGCAGAGTAAGACAAAGCAAGAACTGCCCCCGCCGCGCCTGCTGCAGCTGGACCAGAGGCGCACGGAAAAGTTTACGATACCGCTACAGTTGCCCGGCGTGCGGCAGTACAAGATTCCGAACCTACCAAACTACTTGATCCAAACGGAGGACGTGAACTTCTTCCCGAATTCCGTCACGAAGCAGGTCAGCACGAAGATCCTCTACCTGATCCCCAGGCTTGTCTTCACCAACCTCTTCTGCCCGGGCACCATTCAAATCAGGATCGGCAAGGAGGCAGAGAAGTACGACAAGGCGCATCCAGGTGGTTCTCCGAACAGTCACTTTGCCGACGAGTATTTCTTCACCGCGCCGCTGCAAGGTGAAGTCGCTGCTGAGCGTCGTGGCAAGAGCAGCGTCTCGTCTCGGGACAAGCCCCAGCCGCTGCTGAAAGACGGGACGCAATCGAGGCTGATCGCCCCGGGGGAGAGCGTTTTGACGCGCTTCGTCGTCCATGACGCGCAGAGCATCCAGTTTAGGTATGTGCCGCACGAGTCTTTTGCGGTTTTAGAAGAACTGCAGAACCGGAAATTCGATAGTGCAACTTCTGCTGTGGGGGAGGAGGGGACCTCGACCTTGGCGTTTGATGCGGACAAGAAAGGTCGCAGCGCAACTATCGACCTGGAACACTGCGTCGTGCTGGTACACGGCGAGAGAAGAACAGAGACGACCAGAGCACGGACGAGCAGCGCGACCGACGAGCCAAACGGATTCATGGACATTCAGCGGGTGTCTTTACAGAAGGTTCCGAAGAGTGCTTTTTCTTCTCACGTTCTGTCTCTCACGAAGATACCGAACGACCCACTCCTGGATAGAAGCTGCGCAGCGACTGACCCAGCTGCCACGCGCGGCGGCGGTGGTACGCAGGAAAAGAATAGGCAGGTCGACGAATCAACTTGGCTGTTGGAGCCCGAACGAGAGCCAGAAGGCTGTGCATCAAACAGGGATACTGCTAATGGAAGTGAGTTAGAAACAAGCAAGACAGGTGCTCCTGTGCGGTTTTATCTAAACGAGGACATACGTGAGGCGCTGCGAGACGAGGTAGTCGCGTTCCAGAAAGAAAACCCGTCCCAAGAGGCTGCCCCGGTCCAGCTTACTCTGAACCGACACTACGTGGGTGGTAGGTCTTGCAGTGCACAAGACGGCGACGATGCTGGCGATTTCGCTTGCTGCCCCCTGACCAAGCTCCTCCGGAATCCCTCGGTCCAAGCCGTATACGCCGTCTTGTCAACCGACGCAGTTGCACAGCTAGATAAGATTATCTCTGCCTGCTCACCAGCATCATTCGACGACCACAAAAACGCGCAAAAAGATGATACACATGGCGAAGACCACCCCGCCCTTCTTCGATCGAAGACAGAGCAGCAGACCGAGGCGGAGGTGCAGGCACGGGAAATGTGGGACCTGGTGATCGAACAGAAGAAGCAGGAGATCTTGCAGCACTCGACTTTCTCCAAGTTTTTCGCCATTGACGGGCCCGACCTGGAGCCGGGCAACTACCCGTTTTCCGTGGGGCAATACAACGACTTGATCACGGTCGAAATCTGTCCGGGCGGCGGGTCCGACGTAACCAAGTGTCACGAGTACTGCTCCGACATCGAGACCACCTGTATCGCGGTCACGTTCCGCCCTGGCAGCGATTTCCAGCTCTTCAACAACACAAGCAGCGCGATTTGCGTTGTGAACAAAAAGTTCGCGGTGTATCCGGACCACAAAAAGGAGTATGGCTGGGAGGATCCGCTGGCCACGCCCCGGTTGGTGTCGATCGTGATTATCGGAGAGCGGGACTCGGAACCCCCCCTGGTCATGGACGTGTACAGTTCCAAAGTGGTCTATTCCGACAGCGGGCAGTATTCCGCCTTGGCCTATCGTGAAGCGGTGTCCGGGAAATACTGCATTGAGGTAAGGGAGCAAGAAGGAAGTAGCTCTGGTACCGCGGCCCAGATGTTGAATACTACAGGTGGCAATAATTACAGCGAGCAGGCACGACTCATGAACGATCCGCACGCACGGGACTTCGAAAATCCAGGTTTCAGGTTGGATCTCGCCGTAGCGGAGCTCGGATTCTCGTTTTTGTCCGAACTAAATGGAGAGAACAGAAACACTGCGACCGGGTCATCTGCTAGTAGTGATGTCCCGTCACGAATAAGTGGCGCGGCCTCAGGTGGTCCAAAAGATTACCACGCGGATCCATTGCACTTGGAGCCGGTTGGCGCACAGCTCGTGGAAGCCTTTTACGTTCATTTTGACATGACGCGGATTGCCTTTTCGCAAGATCCGTCAATCGACACAATCTTCTTCGATTTGGTGATCGACAACTTTCAATTTGACTGTCTTCTTCCGGGCCGGAAAGATTTTGATGTCCAAGACCGAACCACTGGCGAGACGACAAATGTCGGCATCATGTCGTCCTCGCTAGCAAGAAGTGGAAATGCTAATTCCTACACCAATGGTAAGAAACGACTGGAATTACAGAACATCGGCGGAAGGTTAGGAGAGGTGCAACGACGTGGTAAAAATTTTGGCGCCCGAACAAAAATGCTCCCGTTTGCGGCTCAGCCGGCGCTAAGGCGCACGCGATCGGATCTGCGGTCGGTAAGGTCTGATGCTGGTGGAGCGAGCGAGCAGCGTCTTGTTGAAGAAGATCCTCACATGAGCGCGAAGCTTTCCGCAACTAGTGGATTCTATGAAGGAGCCCCAGACGGCGGAGGAAATGTAAATGACAAGCGAAACACGAAACACCTGTTTTCCACATCTGCGACGGGATACTTTACCGGCGAGGAGCAGGACGATAATCCTACGAGCACGATGACACCAATTGCTGACTACAATTTTCAACAACGCGGGAGTGCGAGCGCCGATGATCGGCATATCGACGCGTCTCTCGGCTTCGATGCGACTTTTCAGCGAGCCAGTTTTGACGACATGGAGATAGAAAATCTTGGCTTCGAAGACGAGATGTCGACCAATGGACGACGCAGCACAAGACCAGCAGAGCCCGCGCAAGTTCGCAACCATTCCGTGATTCTCGCCTGTCGCAAGTACCGCGAGTGCTTTCTCACGGTTCAAGGGTACAAGCACGGTTGCAGTTCGGCGGACAGTCTGTTTCGCAATGTGAAGTTTCAACTCGACGACCTGGAGATGTCGCTGGACGCCGATGTTCTGAACTTCATGGCCGCGTGGAACGAGGTACCGCTAGGACTCACCGCCGAAGAAGAGCTCGTCATGCTCTTCGGTGACGCCGTAAAACGCACCTACGACAGCGAGGAGCTCGAGATTTGTGATTTCGACGATCCTCTTCTAGAAGAAGTTCAACCGCTGAACGCAGAAAAGCGCCAGCAGGGAGGCCGTTGCCAATCCGCGGATATTACACCTAGAAGTTGTGCTGTGCAGCTTCAAAACGACGCGCAAAGGATGAAGAAGCTGCGAACGCAGCGCGGGTTGGGTCTCACGTGGGAAAAACTGAAACTGTTAACGAAAAACACTGATAATTGCATGGTCGAAGATGAAGAAAATGCTGGCGATTTCTCCACTTCCGCCGCGTCCCCGGCGCAGCGACAGAAAATGACCTCAAGCAGCCGGAACAACCACCTCAACCAGGGCTGGACGAACAAACGAAGTCCACTTCCGAAGACCCCGCATTCGTATCTGAAGCAGAAGGCGCAGCAGCATTTTCTACAGGACTACTTCATCCCGGAAGTCCTATCAACTGCAAAAATGTCTGGGTCTGGAAGATTGCCAGGTTTGTCATGCAGGTGTTCTATGGCTCATGAGGTTTACAATGCAGCGCCTAGCATGACAAATTCTGTGAGGTCTCTATCATGCCTATCCTGCATGAGAAATTCCCTCACAACTTAGTAAAAAAAGGACGGCTGTTGGTAATCATGCAACACAGATTTTTTGCATGATTCAGATTTAGCATGTCAAGTTGCAATCTCCCAGACATTTTTGCATTTGATAAGTCCCGTCCGTGATCCAGTGGGAAAATTTAGAGCTTTATCAAATGTAAAAATGTCTGGGTCTGGAAGATTGCAACTTGTCATGCTAAATCTGCAGCATGCAAAAATCTGTGTTGCATGATTACCAAAAGTCGTCCAGTTTTGAACAAGTCGGGAGGTAGTTTCTCATGCAGGATAGGCATTAATAAGGTCTCGCAGAATCTGTCATGCTAGGTCCTGCATTCCAGACCTCATGGGTCATGGAAAAACAGCATGACAAGTCTCGAACTCTTCCAGACCCAGACATTTTTACATTTGATAAGCTTGGGCGGTTCGACATCTACCTGTGGCTGTACCTGGAACTCCCCAAAATCGCGCTCCTGCCCGACTACCTGAAGAACGGGAGCTGGGTGAAATTCGTCACGGACGAGGGGATTCTGGAGCTGAGCGCGCAGTGCCTGCCACTCACGAGCCAGAAGCAGCACTACTACCGCGGGGACCTGTACAACTGGCTGTTCCAGGCCTGCAAGCACTGGGCCGTGGACGCGTGGACGACGCTGTTGCCCATGGTTGCGGGGAAAATCAAGGGATTATCCCTGATCGGCAGCGGGTGGAAGCGCGTGCTGCACGCGCTCCAGACCTTCGGGTATTGTGAGGAAAAATCCCCCCTCCCCATATCGAAAAGGAAATTTGTGCTGCTGTATTTGAGTAGACAAATCGACTTGTACTGCCAGAAGGCCAAGGAACGCAGTTGCTCCCTCGTTTGTAGGGCAATTTGTAATGCTGTCTCCCGTTTCCAGTTGCTTCCTGTCATGCTCAAGACGCTAGGATTTCCTACGCCAGCCAGCACGAGAGTGCGCATCTCTTCCGCTTTAGCATTACAAAAGGATTTGTGGTCACAAATCATGCTACACAAATCTCCGGTTTAGTATGGGGACGGGGATTTTTCCTTTTGATATCGGGAACACGACCGCCAGCGGGTTCGGCATCGTGGGCGAGCTGCTTTCGACCCTGACCTTCGACCGCGATATCAAATGTAAAAATGTCTGGGTCTGGAAGATTGCCAGGTTTGTCATGCACATTTTGCATGACTCCTGGTGTCTGTGATGCATGCCCTAGCATCACAGATTTCGTGAAGGCTTCCTGATGCCTATACCGCATGACAAATGCTCTTTCCGTGTAGCAAAACTCGGACTCTCTTTGCTGGTCACGCAATACAGATTTTTTTAGAATCCAAAATCAGCACGACAAGTTGGATTCTTCCAGACCCAGACACTTTTACATTTGATACGCGACTACATCCAGCAAAAAGCGGAACTCCGGCGGAAACTGACCATCGAAACCGCGTCTGGAGGAGCGATGGAAGCCTACCGCGAGTTCTGCGAGGCGCTGGAATACCTGTTCGACTTCTTAACGCTGCCGCTAGAGAGCGTCGGGGTGAAGAGGTTGGAGTGTTTGGAGGAGGACGAAATAGAAGCGGGGACGAGTTCGTTTTTTCATGATATGGCACAAGGCGTCGACGATTTGATGCTCCGTCGGGATTTTTCATCCCAGGACGACGACCACGGTGATATGAGCGTCTCTTTCAATGAAGTAGACTACGATGTTCGGTCGTCGCGCGGCACTGACTCTGGCGCCGGAATAATAAACCCCTACGAGTTGCTGGAAGAGGGCCGGCTTTCAGAGTACTACGGAGATAGAAGTCGACGTGACCTTTTGTTCGACCCGGAGTTAGAGGCACAAGGGCCTGTCTGCGTCCCCGATGGAGCAGGGCGACGCTTTTCAACAAGCGCGAGACCACTGGGGAATAGACGGAGTGTCTGCGCCGCTGAAAGACGAAGATGCGGTAATGGTGGGGGTGAAAATGTGGAAATTCAGCGCGACGACCCGGTCACTTGCAGCAGCCCGAGCGGGAGCAGAAGCCTAAGCGTATTTTCGCGCGACAGTCTGATGTTCTCCCGAAGGCCGAGCGCCAGCAGTGGAGCGCGGAAAAAGAAAAAATCGTTGTCGCAGGAAAGGAACAACCTGGTCGCCCTGGGCCTGCTCCCCGCGCTCGGTTGGGGCATTCTGGGCTCGGTTTTCAAAACCTTGGATCACTTTTTCTACATGGGCGAGAACCTCGTCCGCGGAGTCACGGCGCAGTTTACGGGAACTGTAAACTACCGTGACCTGTTGCCGAAACGGGCATTGGGAAATACGGACGCGCTCGCGGGTGGCCGAAGTGATGCGAGGAATGGAGGTCTTTTGGTTCCGCCTTCTAGCACTCCGCATCAGGGCACCGTTGCAGCTCGCCAAGCCGATAATTTTGTCCACCGCGGGGAGAGAACAAGTGTTATGGCAGCCGATGCAGAGTTTTTGTATTCGCAAAGCGAAAATCCTCATGCCGCACCGCAACTGCAGCTCTACCGCGAGCAGAAAACGTTCCAAGAAGACGAGTTGCAGGGGCTCGACAACGGTGTTATGTCTTCATCAAATGCTGCGCATCAAACGGCGAACCTCGCAAATCCATCACTAGCAAAGACCACCGTAGTCCTGCCGCAGAATTACAACCGCAAGGTGCTAACGCGCATCCGCCTTCCCCGATTTCTGCCGCTCTCCACAGTACCAGGTTCTGCCAGCACATCGCAGTTTTCTGCTGTGGCGGTGCGCGGGTCTTCTTCGAGCATGAACAGCATTACAAATTGCAACTGGGGGTTCTTGCACTTCTGGGAGGCCCTTTTGCAGAACTGCCTGGGTGCCGGCGTGCTGGAAAATGCCGAGGCATGTGTGCCGGTGAATGTGACGATTGGACGGGGCGGCGGACAGTTTGTGACTAGTTTTCCCGAACAAAAGAGACGGGCCAAGGATCATCTCACGACTGGTTCCTCAGGCGATGAATGTGAGCACGATCCCGAACAGGGCATCGATGAAGGTGCTGGAGCAAGTAGTCCTTTTGGCAATCGAAATCGAACGTGTTCTGACAGACTGCGAGACGGGGCCATCGCCGGTATCGCTGAAGGAGGAGATTCACAAGCAACGCTGATAGAACGGGATCTACAGAACTTGATCGATAACCTCTGGGCGGAGTGGATTGCGGACGACCGTGCTGATCCCTCCTTTGCACACGCTCCTGGGCGTGCGCTATCAGAGTCGCGAAATAGAAACGTTAGAGCCAGCAGCTTTCCCTACGACGAGAGCAACGAACGCAAACCAACTTCCCGCGACGCGCGAGCTACAAAGCAGGACAGCGACGCTCGCGGCAATAACAGTACAAAACAGGAGGAGCTGGAAGAAGAAACTGCCTTCTGCGAAAACAGGACGGCGATACCCTTTTTGCAATTGCGAACCTCGAAGGTTCACAAAGGTACACCTGCTATAGCCATCGATGAAAGTGAAAATCAGGACAAGCAAAAGACTGGCGACCGTGACCACGATGTGACAAACACAGAAATGTTACGAACGGGAGGCGTTTCTGCACAGGGTCAATATGAAGAGGACGAGCACGAAAATGTACGGACGTCCACCAGTCTGTCAGCTTCGGTGTCCTCGACTTCCAGGACTTCGAGTCCGAGATCGCAAACGAGCAACTCAGGGCCCACTTCTACTCCCACCAGCATGTCCATGTCGCCGGCGAGGAGCAGCAGACACCGCGGTCTTCCGGCTGTCCCAAGTGCTGCCACGATCAACCGGCCGTGGACGCCGGCGGAAGACCAATCAATGCGCACCAGAGCCGATCGAGCAGCGCACCAGAGGCCCAAAAACGCAGCCCAGGTGTTGCTAGACCGACAAAATTTGGAAATCAAGATTGGCTTTTTGCTGCTGTTTCAGACACGGGCGCGGTTTCTGGAGCTTCCGTGGCTCGTGCCCGTCGGAGAATTGCGGGAGTTCATAATCAGCGACTTCCACTCCCGCATCGTTCGCATGCACCGGAAGAATTTATTAGCGTCCCAGAGTCACGAAATCGAGGAAGATGCTCGCTTCGTCGGCCCGAGCGCTGAAAGCTGTAGGGTTGAAAATCTCGTCACAAAGAAACCGGCAGTCGATAGTGATTTCAAGAGTATGCGCGCAGAGTGCGGGGCGTTCGACATGAAAGCAAACGACGAATTCATCGCGGAAGTGGCGCAGATCAACCATTCCGCATCTGCGACGCGTCCAACCGGTGTCGCCGACCCTGCCACTGGACATCCACAGCAGAGGCAGGACACCACAAGAACCGATGACCATAATCCCCTGGGAAACGTGCTGCAAGCCGGCGTGGCCAAATTGGAGCGGAGTGGAACAGCCGCGCTCGCACAGACTCTGGATTTGAACGACGAAGAAGCCGAGGAAATCCGACAGCGCCAGAAGAATTACATCCGAGGACAAAAAGAAAAGGCAATCGTCGGCGGGTGGGGGGAACTGAGGAACGTCGAGCAGCCAGGTGGAACCTCGAGAAGTATGGGACGAGAAAGTACCAGAGCGCCATCGAGTTCGAGTTCCAGCCAACTTCATCCCCCCGGCCCACTTATTGCCAGTTCATCACGCCCTGATTTTTCGCCGGCGCTGGTGTCGCCACCCGCCACGCCCGTGTACACTTACGGACCAAGTGGAAGTAACATGCCCGCGCGACGTGACGGACGAGGAGGGTTGTTGTGCGGTTCTAGCACAAAAAAGATTGCGGTCTCTCCGACTGCACCAGATGCGGTTCCGGTCGGCACAGAGAAGCCTTCCTGCAGTTCGCGCCTTAGACACGGCCAGCCTAGTAGAGGAGGCTGTGCAATACCTAAACCGACTCTAACCGAGTATGTTGCGCGCTTCATTTTTGCCTACAAGAAAATTGGGAGGGAGCGAACCGAGGCTGTTTTCTCGGAAGGACGCGGCGGAGCCGTGCGCGATGGCGCAGCCGCCGTGCAACAGAGAAGCACAAGCAACAAAGGACGCGGCTCCTCGGAAATGCATTTCTCCCCTCGGCCTGGTGGGGAGCAAATACGCACGCAGCATCGCGAAAGCCAGATTGTGCCGCTTAGCCACAGAAATTTGATGATGAGTAATCAAGAGCGACAAGACTCAAAGAGTCAGCAGCAAGCCGATATGGTCGGCGGTACAGTGGAGCAAGATTGCAAAAAAGCGTCCGTCGCTTCGACCGCAATCGAGCACAGTGCGGATGTGCAGCTTCACGACATTCGCTCCACGTCCTCCGGGCGGGGGCTCCGGCATCGAAACAGGAAGGCAAGGGCTGTCGTCGCGCACCAGCAGGCGCACAGCCGAGAAACGAAGCAAGCGCCAATAGAAAATACCCTGCGGAGCCCGCTTGAAATATACGACAAAGAGGACGAGGAAATAGCCGAACCTGCTGTACTTGGCGACACAACTACGGTCGGCCGCGAGCACGAGGACAGTGAAGCAGCTGACACTCCGGCCATGATTCGCCAGAGAGACCAAGCATGTCCTGGATCACTGTCTGTCGCCGACGTAGTGTCTCTGCCGGAGCGCCGCTCTTCGTATTCGTTTAGCATTGGTGGAAACGCGCGAAGTGGACGAGATCTCGTGGGCTCAAAGATAGCAAGCGCGCCGCTTTTTCATCCGAGCAAAGAGGGTGTGGACCAGCAGACGAGACAGCAAATCCCAACAACATTCGCGCATCTGCTCCAGCATTCGCCTGCAGCGGCGAGGGCCTTGAGAGCTACTGCTTGTAGTCCAGCCGCGGCATGGTCCAGTGCTGAAGTTAGGACTGGGAGCGATCCTACAATAAATTTCGCCCATTTCACGATGCCTACGTTTCTCCCTTTGAAGTACAATTCTTTCGCCCACTTTCTCGCCCACCCCCTTCCCAACCACTTCGTGAGTCGCTGCATTGAGAAGCCGGAAGATTTGCTACTGCACGGCAAGGACACGGTGTCCGAGGATCTTCTGCTTCCCTTGCGGCAGTTACAGACACAGATTCGACGCAATTTGTTTCCGCAGGCCGCGACACGGACTCAGCAGCCGCTGCGTCGCGGCGCTGGTGGGGGGATGTATTTTGCAGCAGAAGGTTCCTCGTCTGCGTACGTGGAAGAAAGTGCTGAAGCAGATCTGAATTATCGTGCAGACAATTTCGAGACCGAGAGTGCTTCTTCGTCCTCCTCGCGAGCAGGGATCGCGAAGGAAAGCCACACGCCCGGGCAGACCGTGGAAATCACGGCGCTGCGGAAGCTCGGACGAGAACTGTTTCACGAGGAGTTGCGTAACTTGCGGACGCGCTGTGCGGAACTGACCAAAAACGCGATGAAAGTCACGAGACGTGCGGATTCTGGCTTGGATATCAAGGCTAGTAGCAACAATGTCGATCATGCGCCTGCTTCGAGTAGTTCAACTACGTTTCTACCTGCGCCAGCAATGCCTGCTGCTCTGTGGAAAAACCAACTGGTCATGCCCGGGTTGTTTGATGCTTTCGAACAAGATTCCGTGGCGACAGATCAACAGCAGCGGCTCGGGCGACTTAGCACAGGCTCTCTATTCACTTCTATGGGGCGGAATTTCTCTGCTGCACTACCGCAAGCGCAGTCCAGCAGTAAACCGTTTGATCTAAACCAGATCAGCTTTGAAATAGAGTCCATGTATGTGCAAAGTGTATTCCTGACGAAGCATAGGACTTGTACCGGAGCGCGAGGACAAGAAAGCGAAGTCAGACCGAACAACGTCATCACCTCGTTCATGCAGCAACGAAAGGATGAAACGGAAATGCAGATTGTGCTCTCTGACGAGGCGTACTTGAGAAAAAAGCTAACGCAGGTCACGGCAAGGCAGAAATTGCAAAACGCACGCGCAAAGCTTCGGCTCGCAGGAGGCAAAGCGGCGGCAGGCCCTGGAGGAGGTAGTGCTTTTAGGCCGCCTGTTGGAACAAGCACAGGTCGGAAAGCGAACATCAAGCAGAGGATGTTCACAGCCGCGGGAGAAAACACGACGAGCTCCCTGGATGCCGAGAGGAGCGAGGGTGCCACCAATTCTGGGTCACCCTTAGACCCCCGGACGATTGTCTTACGCATCCCTTTCTCCGATTTCATTTGTCCCCCGGCCGTGCAGGCCGCCATCGGTGCTTGTCTGAAAATCGGGGCGATAAACCAAGAACTAGCCGGTCCACACGGGTTGTCTGAACAAGTGTACACGACACGGACTGCAGATGAGAGCGGCGCGTTCGTCGATTCAGGACGAGGACAGAAGGCTCACGAAGTCTGCGAGCGCACAGATCAAAAAACCATTTCACCTCCCACCGCCTGCTCTCTGGCCGCCCTTCACTGTCTGAAGGCCTCCCCCTTCGCCTTTCTCCGCAACGCGATCGACGAGCATCTGGTGCGGCGACGGAAGGAGAACATGGCGGATTACGACTCCGAGAACGACTCCAACCAGCAGCAAGCCCGGCAGGTGATCGTGTTTGAGCTGGAGCGCACGGCCACTTGGAACTCCTTTACGTCGCCGTTTCTGCCCTGCGAGCCCCGGGAGCAGTTATGGATTGCAAAAGTGTCTGGGTCTGGAAGAATGCAAGATTTGTCATGCATATTTCTCATGACCCATGATGCCTGTGATGCATCCCCTAGCATCGCAGACATTTAGAAGGCTTCCTGATGCACTTTCCGCATGAGAAATGCCCTGTCCTTGTAGCACAAACTGTGCCCCTCTTGCTGGTCATGCAATACAAAATTTTTTTAGAGTCCAAAATCAGCATGACAAGTTGGATTCTTCCAGACCCAGACATTTTTACAGTTGATAGCAGTACCGGTGGATCGACCAGAACGGCAACCGGCACCCGAACATCGCGAAGAACCTGACCCGGAAGGAGGTACAGGCCAGCCCCACACCGCCCCTCGATTTTGGAAAGTTGTGGATCCCGAAAACGGAGTGGACCTACGTCGTCGACTACCCGAATGGGGCGACGGACGAAAACGGCTGGCAGTACGCCGTGCATTTCGCCACCAATTCCGGCGACCGCTCCGTGTCCATGGTCAGCGCGAACGACTCGGCCCACTGGTCCGCGCAGGATAGTTGGCCGTGCGTGTGTCGAAGAAGAAAATGGGTGCGGGAGTACGTGTAAAGAGGTGGCACGAAGTTGACTGATTGACGCCCCAGCCAGATCTTTAAATATTGAAACAGAGCCAGAGGAGAAAGTAGTACTTAAGAATTGAAAAGCACAGCTCGCTGCTGTGACTCTTTACGACAGCAGGCACAGATTTGCGTCAATATTTATTCTCTTGCTTTGAAGTTGTGCAAATGCACAGATGTCGTAAATAGTCTTATTGCAAAGGCATGCAGCTGCTGCTCATTGATCTGCTTCTGCTTTTCACTGACTGAGAATCGAAGAAACGGAAACCTCGTCTGGCTTTGTACTTGCTTTTGTGCCCAGCATAAGGCTTCGCTTGCCATCGACATCGACATGTGTGTTGCGTATACAATTTGAGTGTCGTCGACTCGCGGTCGCGTACGCCTTCAGCGTTGTTTCCGCCTGATTGGTATTGTCGCCCCGTAGAAGATCCGCACTTTTTTTCCCGTATATATTTGTTTGTATCAACTGCTACTACTACTTACCATAGTTCCGCCGGATATATCAAATATTTTGCAAAGATGATCCGAACCCGATGACGAAGTACGTAGTGAAAGAAAAGCATAGCTTTCTTGAGGGTGAGTGAAGACGAGGGGAGCCTGGCACTCATTCGTTTTGGACAGCACACAAAGATAATGGCGAGGTCAGTTTTATTCAGTTTCAGTACAACAGAAATATATTGGGGCTGCAGAAAGGCAAGCATCGAGGCAATTGTGTGCCACACTGACCAATAGCAATTAAGTAATCACAAGGAAGAGACCGGCGTGTCTGGAGTCTTCCTCGCGGAGATTTTGCAACTCCATGGAGATGCACTAAGACTACTATTTTCGCTGCTACTACTACAAGGATACGCAACAGCATGCCGCCCAAGAAGCAGCCTGAGAGGTATACCTCTTCGCAGAAACAAGCGACCCAAGATCAAGACACCGAGCTCCTACTCAACAACTATCCCAACAATTATCCCGACAAGGAACAGGAGAATGAAAAATTCTCGAGGGCGGATGAAATGCTGAAATCAAGAAACGTGAACCCAGTCCTGTTGCAAGACCGGGCTGCTCTCATAGCCGCAGCAGCGGAGAAGACCGCAACCGAATTTTTGACGGAGAAGAAAGACAGTAGCGATTCAGCGTTCCAGAATTTTCGGGCGAGCTTTGCGAAGAACCTTAAGGAGATCAGCATCAAGAAGAGCGGGTTCTTCAGAAGCAGCGAAAAAAAACTATCTGAAGACGCGGCGGAAGCAATCCTTCGTCGAGTTGATAAATCGCAGGAGCTATTTGACTACCTCTTTTCTTTGCAGCCCGAGGACTTCGATTTGACGCAAGAGGTATTAGATTGTGGTCTCGGCGCATATTTTGCAAATCGCTGGGTAGAAGAGCACCCGAGGGCCATCTCTCGCTCTCTCAATGCCCAAAAGGCAGCTGTGAATACACTAATAACGGAGAAACACAGTTTGCCCAGGAAATCGGCAGAGCAGGAACAGGTGTCGTGGGAATGGATGGAAAGCAATCTGCTGGGGAAGGCGAAGACGAGGGACGGAAATCGTGTTGTTCCTGTGCCGTGCGACCCCGCAGACGGGCGGACTATGAAGTTCTTAACAGCTTTGTCCTCGGCAATTGATGGCAACTTGAACAAGGATTCCGGACTGCTCAGGCTGTTCGTGACGAACCGTGACGTCCTTCGGTATCTTCGCAAAATATTTTACGCCCCTCGGAGGAAAAAGCGGCCGGGCGAGAAAATTTCGGAGAAGGACAACGAGACGATCGACTTATCGGATGAAGCTGGAAAGGAGTTCAAGAAAGAGCTGGTGAAGGGCATCCTGGACCTCGCAATTGATGTGGTGAATGACCCGAGCGGAAACAAGCGGTTCTTTTTGAAGCACTACGGGGGTGAACCCGAGCTGACCGATGATTTTGACCTGCTTGTGTATCCTCCCATCTTACCAGGAGATCCGCTAGATTCTAGTGGTGAAGAACAGATGCTACTTCGAGACGACCTTGATGTCGTTGAATCAAAACCAAACGTCCCCTACTTGTTCGAGCCCAATCTGGTAGGAGTGTGAATCACCTCCCCACCCCTTTGAATCACCTCCCCACGCATCACCTACCCACCTCCCCCGCATCACCTCGTGACGCGGCCGTATCACCACCGCAACGGCCGGAGGTGATGCAGAAGCAGAGCCGGCTGCGGCCTTGGTTGTTTGGATCTAGGGTTTAGGGCTCGGGGCTTAGGGTCGTCGAGGCCAGCCGGCGCGACGGCCGTCGCGCCGGCTGGCCTCGGCGATTCTCTCCTCCTCGTCTGCTCTGTCCCTTCTCCGCCCTTGCGCGTCACCCTTTTGCCTTCCCCTTCTCCCTGGCCCTTCTGAATGTTGTGCGCCCTTTGCCCCCGGCGTGCCTCCGTGCCTTGACTCCTTGCGGCATTGCTTTGCGTGCCCCGTGGGTCGTTCCATGCTCGCCACCTTAGGGCCGCCGGCCGACATCTGGTGGCCGCGTACATAGGCGCATCTGTCATGCAGGATGAGGGCCCATGTGCGTTGTGGCAGATACCTGCTGGCTTCATGGCCGCGAGGTAGATCGATGGCACAGAACGAAGCCAAGCAACAAGCATCCAGACGTAGTCACGTTCTGGTCGACCATCACGGGGAAGTGCAACGTGGTGGGGAAGTGTTGGAGTCCAACACTTCCCCACCTCCCTGCCGTCCTGGACGGCAGGGAGGGGAAGTGTGGGGAAGTACCTCCCCACCTCCCCACTACTGGGGAGGCACCTCCCCACACGCGGGGAGGCACCTCCCCAGGGTGGGGAGGTAGGGAGGTGGGGAGGTGATGCGTGGGGAGGTGATTCACACCATAACCGCCGAATCTCGACACCGACGTCCCCGTTGAATCAAAACCAAACCTCCGAACTTGTCCGAGCCGAACCTCGACAGCACTAACGTCCCCAAAGAGAAAACCGTATCCGCTTCTTCGCTTCAGCAGAGCAACGAACATGGACAGCGACGACCACAAGTTTCGAGTGCAATCGAAATCGGAGAAGCGGACGGTTCCCCAAAGTTGTTGCGCACCGAAAACGGGGAGCAGCGCGCTAGTGCCATTGGCGGCAATAGTAGGAGTACGGCTCATGCGAACACAAGCGCTCCGCGGAAGAACTTAAAAAATCTCGCAGTTCCGGCTTTGGACACTGTTTCCACCTCCGAGCCCTCTGTATCACGACATACTTCCGCCAACACCATGGGTATTTCCAATGTTGATCTTGATTTTGCACTCGCAAAGGATGGGAACGAAAAACAAAAACCAATGAAACCACTGACAGTACCGGTGCCGGAAAATACGGATAGCAGGACTAGCCAGGATCTGCCGAGCGTGAGCTACGCTGCCGCAGGCGTAAATGGTGAAAAAGATGTTTTCAAACCGGAAGACGTCGCAGGCCCAGTGAAAACCCTGAACGACAAATCGTCACCATATGTACCTCCAAGCACGAACGCCATCACGAAAGACGACGCAGCCTCTCTATCTGAGCGCGCTTCCACACCACCCGCGAAAAGGATGAGATCGCAGCGTGAGGCTCCGGTCGTGAAGCAGATAGACCAGCATCACTCCTCCCTCACACTTTCCACAGAGCAGAGTTTGCCAGACGCCGAGCTGCCGTCCCCCGAGCTGCTGTCCACCGCAAACGGTGCGTCCTTTCAAGACACGGTCGCGGCGTTTGCTGTGCATATGTTGCCAGCGCTTAGCTACTTCACAAACACGGCGCACCAGGATTACGATGTCCATGCCGGTGGCACGTTTGACCACATCAGCCCACACTGCGGCAACTTGGTGTTCTTCTTTGTGGCCGTCATTTTCGGGATTCTGATCGGATTTGTCGCGCATCGTGTGTGTGTGTGTGTGTGTGTGTGTGTGTGTGTCGGTCGGTCGGTCGGTCGGGGGGCTGCGTGGCCACGAAGAGAACGGGCACGCGACTTCAATTTTCACCCACCTGCAAGGCACGTCCATCGCCAACAAGCCTGCGATCGTTGGAATCTTCGTTGTTTGTGCGCTGATCACCTACGTGCTCCTTGCGACCGAGACCCGACTCGAGGCAGTTCTGAACTCCACCACGATTCTCGCCATGATAGTCATCTTCGTCCTTTGCAGCTACTGGCTAGCGCGCGACGGGTACAAAACGACAAAACTGCAGAACGACAAGAAAAAAAGGCTTCAACGCGGGGACAAGAGAAAAGGGCGCTTGGCCAGTGACGGGGCGGATGGCAAGCGCAAGACGAGTGAAGCTTCGGCCCGGAATAAACTGACTCGCACGTCGCTAGGAAGTGAACCATCGCTGTATGGCACGCTTCCAACCCTGCAGAGTCGCTCGGTCTCGGTTAAAAATCAATGTGACGGATTTGGTGCTTCTACTTCTGGTAAACTGGACTATGACTCTGACGACTCGCGGATCTTCGGAGCAGAGGATGAAGAGGAAGTATTTTGGATTTGGATTTTTGTTGTGCATGCGACTCATCTCGACGCGTTAGGCCTTTGAATTCAGGCCTTGGCTCGTCGTGTGCAGCAATTCAACAGAGGAGGTGGCTTCCTACCTGACTTCAATGGTGATATCGTTTGGAAAAAAAGGTGATCTCCTCCGACGGTGACCATGAAAGTGATGCGTCAGATTCGAGTGCAGAGGAAATGGAAAACGAATGTGCCACGGAGCCCGAGTCTTGGTGGTACATTACTATCTTTGAACAACGAACTTGGTTGGTAGATATTTTTGATGGAAAGTGTACGCGCACTTCAGAGATCTCTCTATGATTGTCGTTCCGGAGCGAGTGGTTTGATCACGTTGATTTCAAATCCTTCTTTATTGTTGTTGTTCGTCACCTAAACATGTACGCCATTTCAAACTGGACACAGGTATTGGCTCGCGCATTCCGTTTTTCCATCCTCCAGCAAGCCCTCCAGTTCGAAAACTCTGAAAAGCGACGAAAACGGCGAGCACGAGGTATTGACTGAGAGTTGTAAGGAAATCATAGCTCTGCTCTTCCGTAAAAATCTAGTAGTGCGCTTCTTGTCTGTGCATGCCTACAAACAGCAAACCAAGTCTAAGGAAGTAAGAAATCGATGGACAAAACGTAGATTCCTACCGCGACCGCGAGCGACCGTGACGAAATTACCCGTACAACCGGACGTGTCTCCCCGACTTTGTCGCCGTCCCTGGACCTCGAGGCCGGCCTCGACTGTGCGCAAGAACACTCGGATTGTGCAAGCTCCGGTGCTTCGACGAAGCAAGACGGCAAGAAGGGCGACACGAATGACGAGTACACGGCTTCTACCGGACCGTCGCCGTCGCAAGCGGATGGAAGGGAGCAGGCCACGCACGCGAAAAGCCAGTTGGTAACTTTTGATGACATTCATGTACTTTTTCCCTGGAGCGGCGACCTAAACGAAGTGCTGCTGGTTCTTTTGAGCAACGGCTTGACGGAGGCGTGGTGTGTAGTGTCAGTTACTGGAACAGATAGATTAAAATTTCAAGCACTTGCTTCAACAAAACGAAAAACAGGCCAACCCCAGCTCCCGATCCGAAAGCGGGATCGCGACCAAAAACTATGGGTCCGGCCATGAACACGACTGCAAATTGCTACCGACAGGCGAGGATGGTGCCAAGGACAAGCGGTTGGGTTCGCCAGCCTCCAATCGCGGAGACGACCTCGTCTAAAAGAAGCGGAATGAAATTAGAAATAAAAAACGCAACAAAAAAGCAACTTAGATAGTATCTTTCGAAACAAAAATCCAACTCAACAGTCCTACCTACTTAAGAGCGCAAGCCGCTGCTTTCGGTGCGCGTGCTGTGCCTGTCAGAATCCGTGAGTCCTTCTTAGCCGTTCCTTTTCCATTGCAGTAGTAGCGTCTTCGACTCAAAATTAATAGCGAAGATGCCGAACTTTCGGATTTACAGCACACAGCCACGTTGATTGACTGGTAGGTACGTACATTTATTTTACCGATTGCACAGAGATGGATAAGAGCTAATCACGATGCCCAATTTTAGAAATTTGTTTGTGGGTGATGTTGCGATTGCAAAGCAACCATTTGCAACTCGCCCCGCTCGTCTCAGTCGTGAAAGTAGTGTTGATACAGAAAATAAATTTTCCAAGCGCTGTGAGCTCGAAGAAAAGCAATTAGTGATTGTGATAGTTCTGGCCGTCACTAACCAGGAAAGGAATTCAACTCCAAAAAATGGTTTCTGCTGATAAGCAGAAGAATTTGTGCTAGACAAGTATCTCAACGTTTCGCTCGAACACAAAATGATGAGAACAGTTTCCTTTTCTAGTTAAGTACACAAATCTTAAAATGCAAATGTATTGCGTAATGAATGAAATGAAATCACGACGATGTCCAAGAACTACTTACTCTCCTCGGACCCCATTCAGATTTTTGTTTGGGGTTGAACAGGAAGGCAGAAGAAGATCAAACTTCGGATTATTGGCAACGATCGATAATGTCGTGGTAGCCCCATGGCTCAGTATCAATGACCTCAGAGGTGGAACTGCACTACCCATGGTTTGATGATAATAGTTTTAGAAAACGAAAAGACGACTCTATTTCGAGTGGATAACCTCACTTGTAGTAGCGCAGCACGCCATCCATCGCCGCTTCGGCGCTCAGAACAAAACAAAGGATCTCCACCCGCGGGGACGCAAAGCCGTACCTGCGACGCAAGAATGCAAGCAGTGCGCTTCTCAACACTGATTACCCTTGTACATCCACCCGCGACCGTTTGAATCTTTCCTAAATAACGGGATTGAGATTGACAGCTCAAGAGCACAAATGCCAGCTTGTCCTTATCTATTTTGAGATGCCTGAATCGTGTTCCCACTCCTTACGCAGCCTTGTCGTGGTTCCCACTTGAGTTTTACTTTTACGTACAGTCAGAAAAATATATTCTCTTTGCTGTGAAAGCGAAAGAGCGATCAGCAAAACATCGGTTGTGATCATCATGATTTGAAGCACCGCTGACAGCATGAGTCACTTATAAAATCGTGGAAAGAAATGTCGCTCATCGTCGACATGTGCAAGACCATCTCGGTGTCTCTAAATGTGACGAATTGGGCAAGTTCTTGCCTGCGCAGGTGCGCTTTTCCTCGTTTTGCCTTGTTTTATTTCCAGGATCGAGAATATATCGCTACTCGTTTTCCCTTCGTTTACAATGTATGAATTTAATGGTCTTTTCCCCTGGTACGCCTTTCTTTCATGCAGCGGTAGTCATTAGTGCTACGATTTCACCGTGAAGCATAATGCTGGGTTAAGTAAGTTAGTAGTGTGCAAGTGTTTATGTATGATACATCTTTCTTCGTCTATAGGATCTGAGTCGTACTGGACCAGTCACGCACATATTGAAAAGGTTATACAGATGACGAAGCATAAATGAGGAAGTCGTGACGGTGATCACACCCGACTCGAGACCTTTCACGTTTGCTACGGCTGCAACTGCTTATTCATTGGGTACCCCCTTCCTCGCAAGCATTCGCGCGCGCGACACCAGAATTAATATGACCACACGCAGTCAAGCGCAAGAGCATCGCGTCGTGATCGTCGGGGGCGGCATCATGGGTTGCGCAACTGCGTACTACTTGCAGCAAAAATTCAACAACGCTGTTTCTGGAAAATCGCAGATGCAGAAAAGTCTCAAAATCGTGATTCTCGAGCAGGAATCCATTGCGTGCCACTCCAGTGGCAAAGCGGCCGGCTTTCTCGCCAAGGACTGGCATGGCTCCGGCTCCGCCGTAGAAAGTCTGGCTGTACTTTCTTTTCAGCTACACGAGCAGTTGGCAAAAACTTTCAGCGCGGAAGCGATCGGGTACCGTCGTATGAACTGCATCGGCCTGGGGTTCGGCGGAATTCACCAAACCGGCGGACGCGAGTGGCTGGCGAAGTGCGACTCGGAAAGCGGACGGGACATGGGCAAGGAGGACACGCTCGCGCAAGTCCATCCGGAGAAGCTAACGAAAAAACTGCTGGAGCACACGAAGGACGTCGAAGTGATGGAGTCCTGCAAAGTACTGGGCGTCAGCTTCAACGAAAACATCAATGGAGGGGGTGACAGCAGGCAAGCTTCGGCCGTTCAGGTTGAGTTCCAGGGAAAGACCAGAACCCCAACCAGTCCGACGCTCATTCCCTGTGACCAAGTGGTCTTTTGCCTCGGCGCGTGGTCTTTCCGAGTAAGAGACTGGCTTCTGGATGCGATTCCGCGTGAGAGCGAAGGCGAACTGGCAACTGCAAATAGTTTTGCCGACCCGACCAGCCAGTTACCAGACAAGGAAGCACGATTGCAAAAGAACAAGTCCGGTAGACTCGACATTCTGAAGGATACCTGCGGCCAGCGGTATACTTCAGTGGTGTACGAAAATATTCAAACTGACAACACCGCGGTGTTTCTCGATTCAAAGCATGACGTGGAACTCTATCCCAGGCCGGGTAACATGCTATACGCCTGCGGCTGTCCAGACCGGGTGAGCGTGCAAGAGCTCGACGGGAAATACGCAAAGGACATCGGACCAGCAGAGGTTGACGTGAAAACAATACGAGGCGAAGTCGAGAAAATTGTTGCAGGACCTGGATCATCTGAGAAAGCTACTACGGGAAAGGAGAATGTAGACAATTCGTCAAGATTCTCAGCCGCTACCTCCTGTGTCCTCCCGAGCTCCGCCGACGGTTCTATTGTGCTGGGAAAGATCGAGGCGTGCCAAAATGCCTTCATCGCTTGCGGGCACACGTGCTGGGGAATCCTGAATGGCCCGGGAACGGGGTACATCCTGGCGGACTTGGTTTTGAAAGACTCTGGTCTACTGACCAACGAAGGCCAGCTCGATGATGCACCTGTTGTGCGTAAGAACGAGAGGAATAATGATCTTGTAAATACTGGGCGCGCTGCTCCTGTTGACGCGACAACGAGTGACGAGAAAAGGAAGATCGATCAGATTCTCAAAAACTTCTCACCAAATCGCGAGCCAGCAACTGGCTGCGCACAACAGTAAACAACTCCAAGCTCCTCTGAGCTTTTCAAGCAGCTGGAGATGCTGGCGCACTAGATGATATGTCTGCAAATAAAGCCACACGATTTGCGGATATTTTCTTACAAGGCCTCGGACAGATCCTTCCTTCAGAATCGTTCATAGCTCTGTTGCCCACATGCTTTTCTTGAGATTGAAATGAGCTTCGATCTCATACACAACATGGAAGCACAGAATCGGGAATGTGAAAATCACGGGTGTCACAACAAAGAGCGATGCTGCAAAAAATTGTGTTGTCCGCTGCTCGGAGACAAGATCAGCGCAAAAAAGCCTCCGTCATTGTTAGTTGCAGTCATTTATCGTGGCCTCTAGTCCTCGTTGCATTTCCACGATGCGTTGAACGAGTATGAGTTCTTAATTCTACAAGCCAGGGATGGGACGCGGACGGTCTTATGTATCACAAAGATCTTCTTCTTTTGCTATAGTACCTGCCGAAAAGTTTGAGGACTCTCGTTGTCTTAGTGTATGCCCAGGCGGTTTTCGAAACATGCAAGATGGTTAAAGCGGGAAAGCGGCACGAGAACGCCAAAGGCCCGCACGCTCCAGCAGCGTCCACTGCTTCAGGAAGGGCCAAATGCCAGAGAAGCGAGCAAAATAATGGAAATTGCAGTAATATCCGTGGGCACTATGTGGACTCTGGCGTTGACGAGTACTATGCGAACACGGATAACTATCGCAATCCCCACGAGGAGCGGGTACGCGAAGTCCTACGGCAAGTTCTTGACGATTTTGCGAGAAGAAGTGGGCATGTAGAAAGCAGTCGACAAGCCGATGGCGCCAATGCATTCTTCCGGGTTCTCGACCTTTGCGCCGGGAGTGGCGAGGTGACCGCGGTGCTGCTGGATTATGAAAGCGAGAAGCTCGTGGAGACAGTGACAGCAGAAGCGACCTCGAAAGCGCGTGCCATGAACGAGGCCAGACATACCTTTGACAAAGCGGAAGAGAGCACGACTCACCGCTCGTTCTTGCGACCATTCTATATCCAAGCATGCGACCCCTACACCCATCATCTGTACGAAAGGAGAATATTTGGAAGCTGTGGCATGGAAAAGCTACGGAAACAGGGCCAAGCATCGCGTGTCCAAAGATGTTTACCTCTGTCGTTCCAAGACATCCTGCAGGGAAAGCTCGCACTGGTCACGAGCAGTTTTGGAAGCGGTGCCGAGTCTAGCGTCGACAATAGTCGCGCTGCAGCAGATCTGAACAATAATTTCGACCTGATCGTGTGCAGTTATGCTTTGCACCTGTGCCCCCAGGACCAGCTTCCCATGGTTGCTCTCTTGCTGTCCGACGTGGCAAAGTTTTTGCTTATTGTCACGCCACACAAAAGACCGGTGCTGAAACCTGAGTGGGGCTGGGTGCGCGTGACGAAACACGGGGATCAGAAGGAAGCAAGGGATGCACAGGCGTCGGCAGATGAGATAATAGGCAACGAGCAGCAAAAAGAAGACTCCGACAGAGTCGCAGCGGAGGCCTTTTCTCCTGCTTTTTCACTGCCAGCGGACAATGTTGGCGGAGCAGGTGGCTCGCGCAAAAGTCGAAGGGCAGGAGCAGCTCCGCCATATGTTGATGATCCATGTGAGGGTTCGCAGTTTGAACGCGCACGGGCAGACGATTCACTCCGTGCACAGCCGGAATCCGGTGACGAGGAGGAGGTCGCAGACGAAGAGGAGCCGGGCCAAAACGAACTCGTCTACTACTGCTCCGGCAGGCGAACGCGCGGGATTTTGTACCGGTCCACCGCGTTTTGCGACGGTGCGGAAGGTTGGTGATGAAGTAGAAACTTTTACAGCCTCAGAACGTGGCTATGGTCGAGGCCACAAAAGATAGAGCGCATGGATCCGAGATAAAGCACCTGTTGTGTCAAAACAGCAGCGACTGAAAGATGACGTAGCGACGAGATTTGTGATTTTCCTCGTGGTACAGCAAAAAAACTGTGGCGAAGCGACATAGAAACAAAGCCCTATGGGACACGACAGCGACATTAGTACAAATCCATCACTTCTCAAAGCATCTCAGCCAAGGGGATCTCCTCAAAGCACGCAAGACGAAGCTGCTTGCATGGTCGTCCGTGACCTTGTGTTTCGTCTTCTTTCATGCGTTTAACTTGCAGATGACGTAGCGACTGCGACAGTTAAGTATGCGAAATACTGAAGGAGATCAACGGGGGAGATCTGGACGACAGATCCAACCTATGAAGATGTACATGATCGTCGATTCTGCCGCCGTGTGTTGAGTGTTGTCCGGAACAAGTGAAAGGTCAACCTCCGCATTGATCCTTGGGCGCATGCTGGCTCCCTCTCCGTTGTACGCTGCCGGATCTACCATACAGAAGTTGCCTCTGATATTCTTGAGCTCATGACTCTTAAGTTTTGCTTTCTTTCACTTCTTTTCACCCCACTTCGAACCTGGGCAGCCAAGAAGAACCGACGACTTTATAAATGTGATTCGCTTCCTTTTTTCTGTACGCTCATTGACCCTTCGCTTTTTTCTTGGTCGGACAATTTTCGCAAGCTCCAGGTACTCAGAAGAAAAGCGATCTGGGAGCCTCGAGATAGTTTGAACTTATTTGACGAAGTTAGTTGAAGAAACCTCAGTACTTACATACCCTAACCGCCAGCGCGCAGCAAGCAGCACTTTTTCGACACGCCAGTCTTTCTCGCACCAGCCATGCCCGAAGTTTCGTCAAAGAAAGCCTCCGCTCGCTCCGGTCCCTACACTTCCGTGGGAAAAGCTGGAAAGGGAATGTCTTCAACTTCAACCGCGAGCGCTGGAGCAGATGGCAAGCGAAATTTAGGAGGAGCTCCCCGAGCAGCATCATCTGCTGCTGCTGCTGCCAACAGTAAGTCCGTCTCCGTGGATTCTGCAAAATCCACAAAACGAAAATTCAAAGTGGCAGCCGTTCATTTTGGGCTGCCGTCGGAAAGCACGCTCGACGAGGTGCCGGAGGACGAGATTCAAACCGCGCTGCAGACCGCCCTTCTCGAGGGGGTCGACCTGATAGCGTGTGAGGCCGGAGACGCGATGGTGCCCTTGAGCTTCAATTTTGCGCAATTTTTGAAAACCACAAGAGAGCAAATGACCAGCGGTGGAGGACAACACAACACCAGCTTCCCCGCCATCTATGCCGGCAAGCGGCACCTGAAGCGCTTGGGGCTTGCCGGGGGCGACCAACTGCTTTACTACGACCAGACGGGAAGAGAGATTTGCGTCGGCCACAGCTTGTGCTCCGGCAACGCGAAAGCGAGTTTGCCCTCCTTCGTGGAGCAGTTTACGAAGAAGACATCTGGCGCGGCCGCTTCTAGCGCAGCGGGAGCAGGAGCAGGAGGCCGCCCGCCGTGTAATTCTTCACGCGTACAGACCATCGAGGTCGGCGGAACTGTGGCAGGAGCGGGAGAGCAACAGCCCGCGAGGCACGTCGTGAAAGTTGGGCTTTTGAACCACAAGGAGGAGCGGTTCGGGGATTGTGCGGACAAGTTGAAGCCCGGGAAGTCGAACACGGCGGCTGCCAACACCTTCCCCAACGACGTATCCCTGTACATCCACGTCGCCAACGACGCGCGGCCGGCGGGGAAGGGGTACGTGCGCTCGGGACGCCAGTTCTTTTCGAAGGACGGCAAGACCTACATCGGGATCTGCAACCGCGACGAGATTGCGAAAAAGAAAAAGCTGTCCGACTACAAACTGCTTTCCGTCTGGATCAACGGGGAGCAAATGGACGGCGTTTCCGCGCCAAAAATCGTGTACGAGTCGGACACCGTACTGGTGCAAGTGCTTAGTGTCAACTTGTGAGCGGTCTGGGCGGATGTTTTCTGAAAATGTTGAAGATCATCCTATCTATCAAATCAAAGTGGACCATGCTCCACAAAGACCGGGATAGTACCTTGCTCAATGAAATAGCGGGATACTTTGGTACTTAGCGCGAAGTATATTCCGGAGACCCTACTTTGCAGATTTTGCGGATCTTCAAAGCTGACTGCTGGCGCAGCCGGAAGTGAAAATTCAGGGAGTAAATGTTGTTCGAAGTTCTTGGCGATCGCGTTAAGTCTGATCTAAGTAGAAGACTTCCTTGACGATGTTTCGTTGGGGCTAGCTTTGAGAATCGTCGTCGCACTCGAAAATCGCATTCATGCCATTCGTACTTTTTCGTCTCAATCGATCGTCAACGGGCGCCGGCGGGTTTCGTACTCGCTGCAGTCGTAAAGGGGTTATGCCTCTTGTTCAAGCCGCTTTCGTTTCCTGTGACACATTTGACAAACCTTCCGCACTATGGCGAACGACCTTTCGAAAACTTAGTATAAAAAAAGCAAATAAAAGGCAAGAATCTGTCGGCAGTGTTGAAAGAGACGCAGTTAGGAGTCTTGCCATCTTCACTCGGTTTCCTTTTCAAGAGGTAGAATCTATCGAACAAAAAATATACTTTTATTGGCCGCCAGCACTACATCAAAATCAATACTAGGCCTAGGGCGTCTCCTTGGAGGTCGTTTCGGCGGCTTGTGATTCGCAATGACGCACTACAGCACGAATTTTGTCTCTCGCCCCACAGCCAAGCTATTGCCCCTCGTCTTCTTCTTCACTTCTCTCACCGAGGAACATCAAGTGGCTGCTCGAACCCAGACGTCCAACCAGAACAAGCAGGAGAATGCGAAGAAGCAACAGCAAACCCTGGGGTTCAACCCGGGAAGCCAGCAAGCGGCGCAGGTGCTGGACGCGAATCAGGGCAGTGGGGCCAGTGGAAGTGCAAATCCACCGCTTGCGTCGCCTTCGGTGTCGGTGTCGCAGTCCGACGCACCATCTTCGGGTGCTGCCGCAGCCGCGCAGGTGCAGCAGAAGGAGGACGGAAAAAACAGCGAAAGCGCTTCTGGCAGTGAAGGAGCAGCACAAACAAGTTCTACTTCGTCGGCAAAAGCAATAGACAGTGATGGCGGCTCTTCCACCGCGAGCCCCGGGAACAAAGAAGCGGCAGGAGAAGTAGAGAACAAGGTGGGGGACAAGAATTCAGCTGCAGATTCGTCCTCTAAAACCGATGCTGACAAGAAGAAGAAGGAGGAGCCAACCGAGCCCAACACGTTCTGGAAGGAGCTGCACCAGGAGCGGGTGCTGCTGATTCTCCTACCCATCGCGATTTTCCTTGCGGTCGTCTTCGAGCGCGCGCACCGGAAGTGGCTGCGCGTCAACTTCTCCCTGGAGCTCGACCGCCCCCACGTGTCCGTCGACAACAGTCTGTCGGGACTGACGCACAACCTGTTCCAGACTGCGGTGTCTCTTTCCGGGATCTATTTCAAGCACCCGGCGGGGAAGATCAAGGGCTTGTCCTACATTCTCATGCTGGTCTGCCACAATTGCTTCGGCAAATACATCGACGTGCAGTTTTTCTCGTTCACGGCAAGGTTTTGGGACTTCTACCAGCACCCCTCGCTGGAAGTGTTTCAAGCACTCATCCTCAACTGGCTCATGCTACACACGGCCGCGGTCTTGACCTGTATAGAAGTAGCAGCGTTTTTGATGTTTTTTCAGAACTTTATTCGGTCAAGTGATCTCCTGTGTGTTGGATTAATAGGATTTGCGGTTTTTCTTTTGGATCGATATGGTGTGCATGATATCAGGAGCACGCTCCTGGAGTCTCGTTACGTCCATTGTTGAGGTTCTTTATTACGTCGAATAAAAATCAACACAGCCGTCTACTCGGTGTACATCGAGAAGATGTTGAAGCTGCACTGGCGGGAGCACATGACGGTGTATTTCGAGAAGATTTGGCTGCCCCGCAACTACGAGTTCTCGCTCCGGGACGACAAAGACATGGACAACCCCGACCAGCGGATCCAGGACGACATCAACGATTTCGTGGAGTCCAGCTACGGGCTGTCGCTCGGCCTCTTCAACGCCGTGTCCAACTTTTTCCTCTACAGCTACATGCTGCTGCAGATCGCGCCCACCAACTTCTTCGGCATCTGCAACTTGCCGGGGTGGCCGATCTTCTTGTCGCTGATCTACGCGTCCGGAGGGTCGCTGCTGATCCAGATGATCGGGAGCGAACTGACGATCCAGGACTGGCAGCTGCAGCGCTACAACGGGAATTTCCGGGCCGAGTTGCGGTGGAACTTCACCATGAGCGCCCAGCTGGCCTCCATGCACGCGGCGAAAGCGCAGATGCGGCGGCTGCTGCAGCGCTTCGAGGAAATCAAGAAGTTGTCGTGGGGCAAGATCCGGCTGGAGCGGCAGCTGGACGTGTTCGAACACTTCTTCGGGTCCGTGGAGGCCATCATGTTCACCTGCATGTTGCTCCCCTTCTTCATCCGTGGCGAGGTTACTCTCGGAAACATCAAGCAATGCGAGTTTGGGCTGCACCGCGTGCGCGCCTGTTTCGACTTCTTCGTGCGGTCCTACGGCTCCTTGGCCCGGTACCGCGCCTGCTGCGACCGGTTGAGCTACTTCCAGAAGAAGTTGCTAGAAAACGCGGACTCCAGCAACTTCTCGACGGCCGAGGGCCTGAACACCGGGAGCTATCGTACAAGAAATTTGATTCATCGGCGATTCGAAATGGAAATAATTTTAATTCCGAAGTAGTCCTTCATGTGGTCATGCTAATGAGCAGAAGAAGTAGTAGAGGAAGATCCCACGACCTGCTTATCATAATCGGATCAAATTGTCGGTTCCGATTTGTTGTTAGGTTAGCGGTGTGCATCTAGCTGTTAGTGGAATAAGTATAAACACAAGCACTTTGCTCATGCTCTTTTGTATGCTTAAACTCGTCATCGAATTTTTTTTTGCGATAGTCCTCCGGACCTGAGTCCGAAAGCGGCCATACCATTGTACGGCACGCAGGCCGAGCAACAGCAGATCTCCCAGGAGCTCGCCCAGTTTGGCACGGACGAGTTGAACGACGACTGTGCTTTCCGCAGCGACTCCTGCTACTCCGAGTCCGATACCACCGCCAGCTATCGCGGTGGCAGCGCCACCTCCGAAGCGGACTTTGGATCCAGCACGGGGCCGCCGAGCAGTGTGGTGTCCGATGCGGAGGGTGGTGAAAACGGGTCCGGCGAAGGTCAACAAGCCCTCACCCCCTTGACGCGGAACCAGATGTGTTTCCAGCACTTCCGCGATCTGGCGACGAAACTGCGCACCGGGCGGGTGACCGTGTGCCTGCCCAGCGGCCAGGTCATTTTGAAGCACGTCCGGTTCGCGCTGCCCTCGGGCACGCGCATTTTGCTCTGCGGGCCTGAAGGCACGGGGAAGTCCACCTTTCTGCGCGTTCTGGCGGGCGTGTGGCCGTTCGTCAAGTACGAGGACGAGGTGTGCGAGCACCTCGGAACCGTGTTGCAGTCCGCGAACATTCACCGGTGGGAGCAAATTACCAACGCAGTGGACGACGACGACGCTGACCAGGAGCAGGACCACCAGCAACGCCTTTACAACCACCTTGACCAGCAGAACAACGGGAGCAATATTGCGGACGACAAGCTCGCCCTTCTTTCCGGCTACGACTTTGCAAACCGCGCGGGAACATCATCATCTGGTGCAACGACCACTTTGCGGCAGCGCCGAGGTCCTCGTGCTCCTGGGAATAGTAGTAGCAAGAGGAACAAAAAGCTGACGGACTTTCTGTTCGAGTACGATCGGTCCGGGGGCGGGGGATCGGGCAGCGTGCTCAGCATCGGCGACGATATTGACGCGGACCACATCGTGAACCACGGCACCACGACCGGGACAAACACCAAGAGGCTGGCGGCCTTGAACACGACTACTTCGAAGGCGATCCGGTGTGGTAACTTCAAATTTTTCCCCAAATCGCTGGCTGAAGCAGAGTCCGAGGACGAGGAGGAGAACCACGAGCTGCACCAGCCCAGGAACAAGGAGCTGCCGTACCTGATCCCGCAGCGGGGGCCCGGACTGCCGTACCCGATGACGTTCCGGGAAGCCATCTGCTTTCCGGATCCGAAGGACACCTACTCGGACAACGAAATTTACGAAGCTTTGGGGAAGGTGAAGCTCGACCTGAACGCGAAAAAGATCCTCGACTACACGTCAACGCAGCTGCAGCAGCAGACAAACACGACCGCGGCAACTGCAGGTGCGCTCGGTGCGAGCGCCGACGACGCCGGCGGGGCGGGAACTACCCTGTCGAGACATCAACCGCAGCAGCAAAAGCGTATCGGGCTGGACACCGCGATTGACGTCGCGCAGATCCTCTCGGGCGGGGAGTTGCAGCGCCTCATGATTGCGCACTGCCTGCTCGCGAAGCCCCGGATTCTGCTGCTCGACGAGGCGCTGGTGCACTTGAGCCAGGAAAACCAAAAATTGATGTACGAACTGCTCAACGACGAGCTGGTGGTCAAGCGCAAAACGGCCATCGTGTCGGTCTCGCACGAGTGGCGCAGCCTCCTGAACGTCCACGACCGGTACTACAAAATCGACCGGAACACGAAGCGCTTGCATATGAAATCAGAGCAGCACGACTACTCGAGCCCACCAGCAGCGAACGACTGTCGGGGAGTTGCATGATAATTATTGTCGGACTGAATCACACATGAGGTGGTTTTGCATTCGTGCCCTAGTAGGTATGATTGACATTGAAAAAACGTATTTTTATTGCATGCTGCCAGTACGTCAAGTAGAAGGGCGACGTTATCGCTATGGCATGCTACGGACACGAATATGCCGATGCAGTCGACGCTGCGTGTGGGAAATGAAGTTTTTGAGCTGCATACCGCTTCGGTTTGATCCCTACAGCGAAGAAGCGTAACCGAGACGGGGCGGTCACGATAGAAACAGCCCCAGCAAAACACCATGAAAGCCGAAACGTATGTCTAAGCATTTTCCACAGTGAGCCTCTTGATTTCGAATGCATTGCAATTGGTAAGTGCACTTGATGTTGGCTTATCACTTGCACGACGCTTTCCGTTTTTCGTTTTCTGAGCCTATTCAGCAAATTGCGTCCTTGTCTTCTTGAAGGGACAAGCAAGACTGCAGTTGCTTTTCACGTAGCTCAACAACTTATCCTCGCGTAGAAAAAAATCGACATTTCACCGTGTGATACTCCACAATTCTCAATTTCTGTACAAAACATTTTCGCCACGAAGGCGGACTATTATCTGTTGATAGATGTATCAAAAGTTTCACTCCAGCCAGATCGATGCATTGCTTCATTTGGTAGAAGCAAGAAATCTCTTCACATGTACAATCGAAGCAATTATAGCAGTCAAAATAAACGACTTCAGAGAAAAATTAGCAGCCACCTGCATTGCGATGGCGTTTATCTTTACTTACATCAAAATCAATGATGACAAATCAACAATGAAGAACGTACTCTTGTTGGTGAAAAATATTGCCCACGTCTGAGTTGCTTTTTTTTCCCATAGTACAGGGAGGTACTCGTAGCTAGAGGTATGTCGTGTTCGATGTGAGTGGCACAACTACATCGGCTGAAATGTCACCCATCGATCGGTATCGTGTATTGGTATGATCCAGTTCGCCCATCGTGACATCCCTTTAGACATTCCATTGTTGCTTTTTGCGAACGTATCATTTGACTTGTGAATGTCTATCATCTCAGGCAGTGGAAGTGAATACTCCCATGCGGCCCAGTTCAGGAAAATTCGACATTCTCAGGAGGTGGTAAAGATCTTGCTGCAAACAAATGTCGTCTCTATGTGTGAAGGTATCGTCGTATTTCCCGCCGGTATGAGGTAGAAAAACGAAAACTCGCTGCTCGTAAACGTAATCTAATTCGTCGTAAATCGCTACCGAAGTAGCATGTGAGCTTCTCGTAAAAATCGCAATCGAAATAGAAAACTATGAGTTACCTGCTTTGCTCTTGTCGAAACAATTCTAGTACCTTCAACTTATTTTTCCCTATTGCAGCTTTTCTTTGCTGACGCCCTGTCGTGTTTTTCATCCTTGCACACAGTTCCTGCAGCTGAAAAACACGTCGTTCTACTTGAAGCAAAAAAAAGTCATGCTATCTTCCTTGCGGAAAGACATCCGGGAAACTATCTCGGTCGGGGCTCCGATGTACAACAACGGCAACCCCTCGGGCTGCCTGCGTCTGTACCGGGGGCTCGCGGGGGAGATGCTGTCGAAAATGGGCAGGGCAAGCTCGTTGGACCAAACAGAGAAGCAGGCGCAGGACCGACTGCAAAAGGCAATGGAGAAAATCGACCAGCGGAGCGCGACCATGACGATGCCAACAAGTTCCTCTGGTTCGACTTCAAATTCCATGGTCAAGGAGGACGCGTGGACGTTGCGGCGCGCGTTCGACGATATTTTGTCCATGGGAACCCCCGACATGATGCCGGACATGGAGGACGTGCGCGTTGTGAAAGTCCCGTGTCAAAATCCGAGGAATTGCCAGTTCCCCAATTGCAACTGCGAGAGCAAAGCAACTCGGTCTTCGTCAAGCACAGTAATGATGGTCAGAAACCAGAATTGCCAAAACCCGAAGAATTGCAAATTTCCAAACTGTAACTGCGGCGCTGCTCCATCAAATTCCGATATCGCAAGGGTGTGCCAGAACCCGCGCTGTTGCAAGTATCCGAATTGCAACTGCGGCAGCAACAGTCGCTCCTGCGGTGGGGGTGTGCCGTCAGTCTGTCAAAACCCGCGGTGTTGCAAGTACCCCAACTGCAACTGCGGGCGCGCGGCGGGTCGTAGTTCCTCCTGCGGACGGGGTGGCATGCGCGGACCCCCCATGGGCTGCAGGAACCCACACTGTTGCCAGTTTCCTAGGTGCGGTTGCAATGCGGTAAGTAGAGGCTGCTGAGAAGAACTACACCAGCGCCATTCGTATGTATTTACTGTGATGATTTGAAGATTTCCTTGGCTTCGTTCCGCCACCTGGGCGCTGACGGTGAAAGTCACTGAAGGGCAGCTATCTCGATCTCAACACGTTTCCTTTACTGTACGATTTTCAGATGTAGTTATTAAGTTTTATGCTACAGGTTTCCTTTAGTTACAGGAACGCACCGATGTGGATTCGAATGTGGGGATGGAGCAAGCCTTTCTGGTAGTGCTTGCACATAGGACAAGCAACCCATTGGATATCAGCGTAGTTGTTCTGTTCTTGCTTCAAGAAAATTCGTCTCTCGTTGTACAGTTTCCTGCTCGTCGAGTATGAGAGATTACGTCGAGCTGAGAGTGAGATAACAATGCGGTGCTCGCGTAGGTTCGACAAAATTCCTCTGAGGTCGGTTTTGTTCGAAGCGGTACATTAGTTGATGAAATTGATAAGTCCGATTATTTAAAGATCGCTTTCTATTTCAGTTTTTGAGCTCAAAAAGTCTATCGTTATTTTTGCCGTGATGTCTGAAAGTGAAAAAATGAAAATGCACGTGGCGAATTCCGAATTTGGACTCCAAAGCGAGCAGAATATGCAGCAAGGAGTTGATGTAAGCAGCTGCAACAAGCAGGAACACGCACCGTCGAGCAAGGGATTTCCGCTGACCAAGCCTGCGCAATCCACCGCTCTTGGAATCCGGGATGATGATGATGGAGCTGGTCCCGCTCGCGCATTCCGCAAATCCCAGCTGCGCGTCCTCTTTGCTGTATTGCTCGGAGCATTCCTGGTCCCCGCGTACATCCATTTCTGTCTAGAATACGGCTCGAGTTCCACGCTGGGCTTCAGTTTCAACCGCGCAGCAAGTAACAGTGAATACCGTGAAGATACCGACGTGCTGACGAGTCTTGTGCCGACGATCCTCGATTTCGTGCCTGGATTTTCACGCCCTTCTCGTCCCAGTGCTGCAGTTACTGACACGACAGGCCGCGGAGACTCGCAGCGTGTCTTTCCGAGCACCTGGCGCCGTCTGCGCGCTGAGATTCTAGTGACGAAGAACGCGGAGAGGGGTTTTCCAGGAGCCGGTGCAGCAAGTGATGGTCAAGACCGGCACCAGCGTTTGTCGCAGCACCTGTTGGAAGAAGAAACAAAGTTGCAGCAGATGCTGACGCTCGCCTGGGACATCCACGACATGACGACGACGATGGAGCACCGCATTCCAAGCGGCAAGAAGCTAACCTTCGAAGCTGTTGGGGGTGCTTTTCCAAACGACCATGTGCTCAGATTCTGGAATTTCGATCGGTATCGTGTCTGCTTTTGAATTTCATTTTTATGGCCACGCATAGTGGGTGCCGCGTTGTGAGTAGTAATTTGCCTGCTCATCTGGTTGAGGCACCATGCGAAAATCACTGGCTTTTGATGACCACAGGGCAATAAAAAAAACGTAAATTGAAGAAGAAACTCAGGTATCAATACGACCTGGATCCGGACAAACTGAACACGGTTTTACAAAACGAGTACAAAATCGGGAACTTTCGGTCGTCCTACTCGCGGCTGGTCGACCGGTTCCCGCTGTTTTGTGTGGACAGTGAGATGAACGACCACGACTCGAGTGCATCAACAACTTCCTCTTCTGCAGAAGTTGTCCGTGTCACTAGCTCCTCCTGCGAAGAAAAATTCGGCGGTGGATTTGACAAAATTCAGCAAACTATCGGGACTTTGGTGAAGCTGGAATATCGAGTCACGAATTTTCAACACCTCATGCACGACGATGAAAACGCAGAAGCGGAAGTGAAGCAGTTCGAAATTCAGTGGCTGAAGAACATGGAGAAGATAAGATCCAAGCAGCTACACGGTGCGGAAGGTCGTACTGGAACGTCGAAAATTCGGTTGCACTTCTTCTCCGAAGGCAGCTCCGTCGACTACGCGTTTTTCAGTGCAGTGGAAACGCGAATCTCGCTGTTCTGCTTGGCGGGGTTGGGTGTTTTCGCCGCGGTCGGTCTGGTCGGCATGGTTTTCTTGTGGAAGAAGCGATATGTCGTCGAAACTAATGTAGCTGATTCTACTGATGTTGGCCAGCAAATCGTCTCCAAAATCGAACTTACCGGCACGCTCCAGCGCATCGCTTTCTCCGCTTGCAAAGTGTTTCTCACCACGGTCACAACCTTTGCGATCTTCGTATACCACTGCTGGACGCTGGTGAAAAATGCAGAAAATGACAACTACAACACTCCGACCAAGACCGACTTTCAGTTGCTGTTACCGAATGTGATCAAATTTCTCACGTTCGCCGTTCTGCCGGTGCTGCTCTCCGGGCTGGAGTTAGGGCTCAGGGCGGAGAAAAAGAGCACGACCCTGCTTGTCGTTCCGACGATTCTTCTTCTAGCACTTGGCTTGCTCTTTCTGACGGTTTTCGGTGCGAGCAATTCTGGACCAGAGACGACGCAGGAGTACTGGGCAATCACTTTGCTCATCGGGATTAGTGTGCACGCAGCGATTCACTGGGTGTTTGGGCATCTGTTTCGTGCTGGAAACCCAGGTTTTTTACCACGACGCACTTCGTCTACAACAACTACCGTTGAAAATGATTCCGGGACCAAAAATGTGCAACAGGCACTCCACGAGAAGCAGGAAGGGGACGAAATGCGTGTGGACGTTGTCGTTCCTGTCGACAATGAGCTCTCTCGAATAAGCACAAGCAGCAACAAAAACAATCATTCCCCAGAAAAAACCACTTCTCGTAGCACCACGCCGGCGAAGCAAACTCACGATGCAGACGACAAAGCTTCCGCCGGTTCAAGCACCGAGTTGAATTTCACGGATCCTTCGTCGGCATCGGTATCGCAAACGACATCCCCTACGAAAGAAGAGGTGTACGACGAAAACGTTGAGCACGACAAGGAGTTTGCGATCAAGCAGAAGTCGAGTGCAGCCTCGGACAGTGCCTTCGCAGGCACAGATATCGAAGCGGAGGTGGAGATGAACGAGCACACAGTAGTGAAAAATACTACAAGGAAGACGCTCGCCCTCATCCGAGCCTTCCTGTTTCTGTCTTCGCTCGCTTTTGCCACAGTCGTTGTTCTGATTCGGAACGGAGAGGAAAGGGAAAGAAGCAATACGACCTCAGACTTGCTTTCAATCGAGAGCTTTGTCGTCACGCCTTGGGCCGCTACAGCAACGTCTTTCGCGTCGTCCTCTACCGCGCACGTGCGAAACTACTTGGAGTACAAGCAAAACCAATCTGTTTTCACCAACGACGAGGTGGAAATCGTGTACAGCGTGGCTCCTCCTCAAGACGCTGTCACCAGGCAGAATGATCCGAATGATCCACATCCTCCGGTCCACTTCTCGACAAAAACCGAACTGCTGGAAGAAAAGCGGTTTGCTGAAAACTTGAAAAACCACCTGTCACAGCAGTTTTATTCGAGTCCGCGCTCTGCTGACTGCCATCCCTTCACCACGACCGCGTTCTTCCAGGATTTTGAGAAGTTCCTCTGGGAAAACGGACTGGACAGCACAGAGAAAATTCCGAGCAGCTTGGCCCACGAGTTCGTTCACATGAAGCAATACGAACACTGGAAGGCGGATCTGAAGTTCGCTACAGTTCTTGATCCCGCTTTTGGAATGGGACAACAGAAGCAGTACTATGTCAACAACTTCAAATTCCGCGTGAAGTTCTCCTGCAACGCAGAGAAGATCCGAACGCAGGAAGTACTAGCTGCGGCGCAGCAGTTTGTGATGGCGCACAAGAACCCGAACGAGAGCCAAAAAATCTACTTACGTGCCGCGGTTTTCTATCCGTTCGCGGATTCCTGGTCGATGGACAACGGGTGGACGGGGGTTGCTACGAAAAACGGTTTCTTCACTGCTTTTAGTGGAAATAAAGAACACGTTCCTTCCAGCGACCTCGACCGCTTTGCTGCCACCACATCAGCTGGACCCGAAGTAGACGAAAACACTTCTTACGACTTGGCCATCTTTGCGGTTGTTTCCAGCCTTTTCCTCGCAATCGGAGTTGCGGTTGTGGAAAGAAAAACCTCCTACAGGTGGATGAACGAACAACGGTCCCTCTCGGCCTGCTTCAAACTTGTTTCATCCACCGCCCTTCCTCACTTGCTGAGTCTATTCGCGACTGTGGCGGAAGTGTTTGCTGTCTTTCTGTTGCTTGCCGCAACAACCGGCGAAAGCGAAAGTGGCGGTTCTGCAGGAGGCAAGGATGAAGCTGACGGAACAAGGCTCGCAAACGGCTTGCTGCCCATCTCGGCCATCAGTCTGACCGCCATGTTCGTCTATTTTCTTGCAGCGAAGACAACTACATCCGTTGGAGCTGCATCAAAGTGGTCCTCCTATGAGCCGCGCTGCACTAGTCCGGGCACTAAAATGAACACCGCGGCTCGACCAACACCAATCGGCTCCCTCTCGCAGCAGCAACACCTGTTTCTGTGGGCGGTGCCGATCTTTTCGTTTTTCGTTTTGCAGATGGTTTTCTTTTCTGACATCGTTGCATTTCAAACAAGTGGGGTTCTCTTGTTCTCGACGGTACTCTTCACTATTTTGAACTCTATCAAGATTTGACGCAAAAGTGATGCCAAAAGGCTGCAGGAAGCATCCCGTGAATAATGAATCATGCTGGTACTAGTATTAGCGCAAGCGAACCAGTACGTACAACTAGTGCAAGACGCACGGCTTCATAGATTTCCGCAATGACAAACCTTTCTTACTTTCAAAAGATTAGCAAATAAGAAAACTACCACCTTTGCTATACAAAAAGTGAGCTTTTACTGTGCCTCTTTTCGCAAGTGCTGCATGCACCTAGATACTTTGCTACTCGAATGAAAGGCACAAAACAGACTGCACTGGTTCCAGATATCGTCTCTCAAAAAAGTATCCTCTAGCCGTATTATTTTTGTCTTTGTATCAACCTTAGGAGCTTACTACAGAATTCACGCTGCTCCAAAAATATTTCATTTCCCCTTACTTCTCCTATTCCACTTTCACATACCAGAATTGTTGAATGATCTCGAGAAAAATTAATTTGCCTGTAGTTCCTATTCGTCTAAAAATTGAACTTCTATTTTCTGACTTCTTTATGTGGGTTTTGCACCGTTACCGAGCGCCAGAGATTTTGGAAACACCTGCCACGGTAGCAGTTAGCGAACAAGTAGAGCAGGATGGTATTTCAAATAGTTTACTTACTGTATGATATCTTTTCCATCCTTCTGACACCACGGTGCTCTGCTGCAATTCCAAGAAACAGTCGCAAAAACACACGGCAAAACAAGCCAACTTCGAGCTTCTTGTATATATTGAGACGCGTACGCGGGCGGAGGGACCAGGAGCAGGACCACGACAGGGATCTACAAAATAAAAACGACGCGAAGATGAAAAAAGCTTTCTGCCGAGAGGCCGCCGCCCCCACTCGGAGTTCGCGCGGTGTTCGCGCTCCTAATTATCATCCCGTTTCTGACACCGGTGATCAGCGATTGTGTGTCTTAGAGTGTACTTGCGGTTCGTCAAGAGCAATAATCTCTTCAAGGATCTATCTCCAGTCGAAGCCCAGGCCCTTTTGTGTTGACCCGCGGGTCAGCCTAGGTACAGGTAGCTAGACATAGCACAAAGAAATAAACGTCATTCTTTCTGATACTACTGACACTGTAGCTTTGGTTTTCAGCTTCTCCGACTTTGGGTCGGTTGTAAGACATGGTCGCAACTTTGTCATTCGTCTTTTGGAGGAGGTTCTGTTCAATTTACTAGACCACAAACGAAGCTACCAAGCAACGTGATGATGGAGCATCCTTCCGTTTCCTCCGCCTCGAAGATCGAAGTCGTTGGTGGCCACGCAGCAGCCGGAACCGGGCCTGCAATCTTGAAGGCACCACAACCCGGGCGGCTCTGGAAGCCCTACCAGGAGTTGACGGAAGAGCAGCGAGCGGAAGATCCTACACAGAAATCCAGGGGAGATGTGGAACACGCCTTCTATCAGGAGGTATATCACGCAGTCGATCTACATCCGACCGCAGACGTAAACGAAGTGAGCCCCCTGAGCCCTTTCCTGCCCAAGTTTTATGGCTGTGTCTTCGACGAAAAGACCAGCTCCCGTTTCCTCGATCTTGAGGATGTCACGGCAAATTTCGGAAAACCGTGTGTGTGCGACTTGAAGATCGGAAGAAGAACCTACGACGAGACAGCGAGGTCGTATCCCAGAGAAAAAAGCTGGCAGGGCATATTTGTAATGCGAAAATAAATACACAGAAAAACAAAAACTTGCCATGGGAGGGCCCATAGCATGCTGCTTCGGATATGCAATACAGATTTTTTTGCGTATCTATTTTTGCATTACAAATATGACCTGCCAGCTTTTTACTGTGTGATAAGTCGAAAAAAATTCTCAGCCAATCGACCGGGTACCGACTGCAAGAAAGAATCGGATTTCGCTGCTCGGGCATGTCGACATTTGTGTTGGATGGCATAGGAGGAGAAACTACGGGGGAAGCGAGGCGTATCATCCACGATCACAAATGGGGCAAATCTCTAAACGAGACGCAAGTACTTGAAGGCCTACGCATGTATTTCGACGGCGGCGCGGCATTCTTAGCATCGTCATCTTCACTTGGTTGCAGTAAAACAGATGCGCGGCGGGGCCACAAAGATCACAGCTGCGAGTCATTGGTCAAGAAAGCGCTCGACCTACTGCAACAGCTTAAGGTCGTTTTGGAGACACGACCCAAATACAGACTGTACGCGACCTCGGTGCTTTTCGCGTATGATGCCGAGGACCCAGTTGCATCTCTTCGCATGAACTTGATCGATTTTGCACATGTTTTTCACATTCAGAAATACGACACAGGGACTGACTTTGAAAAGGATTTCAATTTCCTCTTCGGATTGAAATCCTTGATGATATATTTGAAACTCATAATGCAAAGAAATAACGAAAAACGATGAGAATGAAACGAAAATGACAAAAGAGAGACAATGAACACGCATGGAATCCGAATCGAAAATCGACTTGTTTCAATCACAAACCTACCCAGAAACCGATCCATATTCTCAAGCAGATTCAATTTTTGTTCTTTTTTTTATTTTTGTTCTTTTTTTTGATCGCGATCGGATCTTGATTCTATGTCATGATTCTTTTCGGTTTGTGCTTGAATCTTTATTTCGTTGCCTATCTGGGATTGGATATGAAAAAAATTCGGTTTGATTCAATTTTTCTTCGATTCATCGGAAAAAAATTGTATTTAATCGACGAGTCTAGCAAGATCGGTGTTTGAGGCGATTAAATATTTTTAATTGTCCAGCGAAACCCGGCGAGGCTTTCGAGCGCATTGAGCTCCGGCTCTGATTTTCTCAGCCTTGCAGGGACTGGACAGCTTTCGCTGAGAGAGAAAAAGGCATGAGAGATATGAGAGAGCACGACGCTGAGCGTAAAAGGGCCTTACATATGGACAAGAGACTGTAAAACCGGCTATGGGCCAGAAAAGCGGTTTACAGAGTGTCAAAGACGTCAAACGGTATGCTCAGCCCGCTGAGCGATGGCCAAAGACTACATGTCCTCCGGGACCTGCACCGCCTTAGGGTATTACGAAGCGCAACGATCTCCGGATCACTAGTTGCGAAAAGCCAGCACTTACTACTCCGGTAGAAAGCAAGAAAAGCATGGGCCTCCTTGAGGACGCCGTCGCTGCCGCCCGCGGCAAGGAAGAGATGCCCGATGACATCGAGATTGCCTACAGCGCGATGTGGGACGAAACTGCGCGGAAGGCCCGCGACAACGATCTGCGGGAGTTCTACGCCCGCACAATCGTGGAATTGGCTGGCGCCAAGATCACCACCACCACCCAAGTCCTCAGCGACTGCGCGGACATCCACAAGAAGTTCGGGGTTAGCTCCCTGGGCGAAGCGGCAGTGCACAGCGACTCGATTCTCACCGATGGTGGGAAGGTCGGCACAAAGTACAAGATCTTGACGATCATCCGCAACATCGACAAGAAAGGCAGCGCGGACACCTCCGCCGGCGCCGCCGGTGGCGACAAGGACGGCGGCAGCAAGTCCGAGACAGTGGACATTGCGAGCAAGCTGAAAGACATCGGCCTCGAGAAAATTCCCGAGGTTTTAAAGCCCTGCCCGGAGCTGGTGCTGAAGGTGAAGAGCATGATGAAGGACGGCAAGGCGTTGCCGTACCTCGATCACATGAAAAAACCGGCGTTCCCGTCGACCCACAACTTCAGCAGCCAGCATAGCCTCGCGGATCTGGATGAAGAAATCCAGAAAGAGCTGGCGGCGCAGCTCGGCGGCTCCTCCTCCACGGAGGCCGCCGCGCAGAAGATTCTGCTGGAGCAGACCGCTAAGCTGCGGGGCACTCTGCTGCCCCAGCAGCAGTACATGATCGTGAAAATCCGGATCTTCGTCGCCCAGATGATGTGCGGCCTGCACAAAACGAACGGCCTCGAGGCCTTCATGACCTACCTCGGGCACTTCCTGTCGCTGAGCGCGGAGTACACCTACAAGGTGGCGGTGAAGTATGAGGAGGATGTCTTCAAAAAAGCGGAACACACCGCAGGCCTCCGCGACCACAAGAAGTACGTTGAAAAGTTTCGCGCGTACGATGTCCGCGACGCGGACATGAAGCAGAAGCAAATCCTCGATAAGGAAAAGCTGGAAAAGGAGAAAAAGGAAAAGGACCGCAAGTCCCAGCAGGAGACAAAGGGCGGCCCGAAAGGTGGAAAAGGAAAGAAAAAGGGCGGCGCGCAGCACCAGCGCGACGGCCCGTACACTGGCAAAGGCAACCAGGACAACTACTATGAGTCCTACTACGAGAACGATTCCTGGCAGCAGGGTGGCAAGGACAAGAACGCGGGAAAGCCCTCGGGCAACAGACAGTCCGGCAAGCCGGGCGGCGGGGGGCAGCAAGGGCAGAAGCCGAAGGTCTACACCCAGGAGGAGTGGGACCAGTACTACCAAACCCAGCGGTCCTCGAAAAAGGCCGACGACCCCTGACTAGCCCCCGTGGCAGACGGGGAATCCCGGCAAGATACAAAGCTCGTGGGCGTAGCCACGCAGGAATCAAAAAGTAGCAACTCAACTTTTCGCACTGCCACACGCAGCAGTGCGCCCACCAATGAAAACGATAACCCTGGCGCCGCTCCGGCGGCCGCACGTTCGCGCACCACGGCCTGCGCCGCCATCCCACACCCTTCCCAGACGGGCACCGCTTCGGACGGCGAAGTCGTCGATACTTGCCCGACGGTCATCTACCGTGCAAAAGTTGATGAGATCCCGTCTCACCTCCGCCACAAGCTCTGGACAAGGGACGTCGCGGATTTCCACCGCGACGCTGAGCGAGCAGGAAATGCTGGGAAGCGCTACCGCTCGATGGCCGAGCATGACACGAAGGTGGGCAAGCAGCGCGGTCTCTTTATGACCATCCCCAAGACCGAGCAGGGCCCGGCGGAACACCTTTGCCAGGCTTTGGGGCTCTCCTTCCCGGAGCGTGCGCGGGCCTGTCCCGCCGACCAAGAAAAAGCGATTGAATTCGCATCAGAGCCTGTGCACAAGCAGCAGCTCCACCGAAAGAAGGCCCTTCGCTACTGGCGGGCGAGGGCGCGGGCACTTGAGCCAGAGAGGCAGGCCCTGCTTGAGAAGCTGGGCGACGCAGAGCGGGGAGTCGTCGGTGACAGCCACCTCCCCGTCTTGCGCGAGATGTTCCTCGCGACGGGCCTCGGGGGAACCGAGTACCTCCAGCGACTATCGAAGGATGGCACCGCGATCATCGGCACCCTGCGCGAGGAAGGGGTGTACCCCGTCAAGGGGAGTGAGGCGCCAAAGATGTCGCTGGAGGAACTTTACCGGAGGAAAGAGGATGTGATCCAGCACATCGAGCGGGTTACTGCCCGCGACGCGGCGGAAGACCGGCAGCTGGTTTGGGATTCTCTGAAATCCGAAGCGGGGCGCGGGGTGGTCTCCGGGCCCTTCCACCTCGACAAGGACAAGGACCAGCTCCCGGAGAGTTTTGTAGTTCTCCGGCGTTTCATCGTCGAGCAGCCAAAGCCCGACGGCACGGTGAAGAAGCGCCCGTGCGACGACGGGCGGCGCGGCCTCTGCAATGAGGCGACTAGCATCCACACGCCCATCTGCCTGCCCGGCATCGATGACTTGGTCAGTGACCTGGAGCGGTTGACGCGGCGGATCCTGGACAAGGAGGGGGACGCCGCCGATGTGCGGCTCGCGTCGTGGATCGCAGACCACAGTGACGCCTACAAGCGGCTTCTGGCCGCGCAAGATGTGCCGGTCTACATCGCCGCGGTGTCGCCTTGCGACGGCTCGCTGTATCTCTGGCGGGCGACCACCTTGGTCTTTGGGGAGTCCGGGGCCGTTCTTGGATACGGCTCCTACAGCAGTATGACCACTTGCCTGGTCAGGCGCATTCTGGGCTGCCCGACCCGGGCCTACGTGGACGACTACCTGGGGGTCCACAGGTACCTTGACGACAGCATGCTTGATGACGTGCTTGAGTTCCTCCGGGACATTTTGGGCCAGGCCTTCAACTACGAGAAGACCCAGCGCGGGGTGGTCGTCATTTGGCTCGGGGTCCGGATTTCCCTGGAGGCCTTCGCAGTCACGCTTGACATAGGGGATTTCCAGCGGAAGAGGCTGAGGGACTCGATCGCGACGGCCCTGGCCGCGGACGAACTGGCGCCAGAGCCCGCAGGGAAGATGGCGGGCCGGCTGTCGTGGTGCAGCTCGGTCGCCTTTGGGCGGAACGGTCGGGCCTACCTTCCCCCGATCTACGCGCGGCAGCACTCGCAGCGGCAAACCGTGGGGCGGTGGCCGCTGGGAAAAAGACTACGCGAAGCCCTCCAATGGTGGGCAGGCACGATGAGCAGCGCCTTCAGCCGTACCAAGTCGCTCATGCCGGCCTCCCGGCGGCCGCTGGTCCTCTACACAGACGCCTCCGGGCTTTACGGCGTTGGCGCCGTGCTTTTGGACCAAGACACACAGCGCTTCAAGTGGTTCAGCTTCCACTACGCCGAGCTGATGCCGGTCGTCCGGGCGCTTTTCCCGGACTTCACGGAGGAGATTGAGTACTGGGAGACCTTCACCTTTCTCCTCGCCGCAATCATGTGGCGCGACGACCTACGTGGGCGCCAGACCTTCGTCTTTATTGACAACGAATGCTCGCAGGCTAGCACCACCAAGGGCTGGTCGGAGTCCGAGAAGTGCAATGGGCTCATCGCACTAATTTGGCGGCACCTGCTTGCCATCGACGCGGAGGCTTGGGTAGAGCGGGTCGCCTCAGACGACAACTGCGCAGACCCGCCCAGCCGCGGCATCTCGCCACGCAAGGCGATGGGGGCGGCCTTTTCCGCCTGGGGGTCCGACCGGGTCGGTTTCGACGGCGCGGACTTCCACCGGGTGTGGGAGTCCATCAAGCAGTGATGTGCACTAACGATGTTCGGCGCCGCCCGAACATGCTTATCGGAAAAAATTGAATTCGTTCTACGTTTTCTGTTTACCCTGTATGATGATATGTCCAGGCACTTTCACTGTCGCTCTTACTTCATTCTGTAAGATGTAGATGATAGTTAGTTATCGCATTCACGTGCACGTTTTGGCGCCAGCCCACTTCACCACTGACTGACGTTACACAGACATAGAATTTTCGCCCCCTGATGTGAGCCAGCGAAGCTAGCAGCTCAGGGGCTCCGATGAGGGCCATCGCATTGGTCGCGAGCGCATATCTGGGTTAGGTTTAGGACTCATCCTGATGAGCCTCAAGTACAAACTTCACATGCACACATTCTGACATATCTCAGCTCGCGCACGCAGGAATATACTCACCCGGGTGAGCATTCAATGTAGGCCCCAGGAAGAGCTTGCAATGGCGGCCCCGCCGCTAGCGGGCCCGCGCGAATAATGTTCGCTTCATTTCGAGGCGAGGATGAAACGAGCTAGGAGTGAGGGGTAGTGGCCTCGAGAGATCATGCCGAGCGCATGATGTCGAGTGTGAGATCACGCAGCGCGCATGATCTCCAGGCGACCGGCCGCCTGCCTTTTCGCAGGCAAGACATCGCCAGTACTACCACCCCTACACAGCATACTTGTGCGCTTGCTTTACCAGAAAGAAATGCCACCAAAAGCGGCGCCTGCCTCCGGCAAGCGCGCTGCTACTGACCATCCTCGGGTAGAGGAATTGCTCGCGTCCGTGTCGGACGCAACTAGCGTTGACAACGACGCCCGCCCGGCCGGGTCTCTGAAGGCGAAGCTGCAGCGCCTAGAGGACTGCGGCTCCGCGGCGGAGCGGCAGCAGGTTCTATCCGAGAACCTCCGTGCGGTGAAAGGCTCGAGCATGCGTGCTTCAAGTTGGAACACCTACAAGTCCCCGCTTTTGGCCTGGGGGCGGTTTTGCGACTCCAAGGGGATTCCGCATTTTCCGGTCAAGTCCATTGACCTTCAGGAGTTCGTGGCACTCGCGCAGAACGAGCAGACCGCGCGCTCATACAAGTCCGCGATCACAAAGGCGCTCAAGTTTTTGGGCTTGCCCGCCGACTTTCCCGGTGATGAGTTTCGCGACATCTACACCGGGATCAGACGTAAGCAGGCCCCGTCCCGCAAGAAGGACGCCGTGATGCCGGCCACCCTCTCGCGCATGATCGAGAGTAATGACTGCAGAGAGCTGCAGATCATCTTGGCGACCTGCTTCATCTTTCTGCTGCGCCTGAAAGACGAGGCACTGCCGTTGCGGAGAGGCTTGCCAACGGACGGCCCAAGCCTGTCACTGAGGAGTGCCGAAAGGCACAGCGCGGTCTTCGTCCATTCGAATGCCCTGCACGTCGTCCTTCGCTCGCGGAAGAACAGGGATGAGGGGACGCACCTGGTCCGCCCCTGCAGCTGTGGGAGTGTCCCCGCGGACCTGAAGCGCCTGGTGTCGTGGCGCGAAATTTGCCCTGTGCATGTGGTCGGGGCCTTCGTTCGGTCGAAGAAGCACGGGGAGGCCCTCTTCCCATCGATCACCTACAAGTTCATCCTCGACAAGATGAAGGAAGCCGGCCGGGCCGAGGCGGCCCCGGCAAACTTTGGCACGCAATCACTGCGGCGGGGTGCCGCGCAGAGCATTGTCGCGTGCGGAGGCAACCTTCGCGACATTTTAGTCGCGGGGGAGTGGAGTAGCAAGGCATTCAGAGAATACCTGGACCGTGAGGAGATTTTCAAGGCTGGGATCCTTGAGCAGGCCAAGGGGAAGGCCAGGGATGTCCTTGGCTCTTCAGATGATGACTCTGAGTGAATAGGTCTGCGACCTGTCGTTTTCACATAAAGACACAGCCTCGCACTTCTTCGTGCGAGTTTGCTCGCGCGGGTCAATGGCAATGCGCCCGGGACCTTTTCACGCACACAGCCCTCTGCCCTCACAAGGACTTGGCAGCGTTGGGAGAATCCTCGCTCGGGCCTCGGTGGGATAGCCTCACGCGGATTCTTTCCGCTTCGCAGCCGCCCAACGCGGGCGTGCACGACAAAAACTGTTCCCGTTCGCCCGATCGATTCTCGCGCTCTCCCATCGCTGAGCCCGAGCGACTAATCAATAGCCGGAGATCAAATGCGTATGTCAATTAAATTGTATTTAATCGACGAGTCTAGCAAGATCGGTGTTTGAGGCGATTAAATATTTTTAATTGTCCAGCGAAACCCGGCGAGGCTTTCGAGCGCATTGAGCTCCGGCTCTGATTTTCTCCCTCCCTCCGCGCCCAGTGTTAGGTGGCGCCTGTTAGGCGCGTGCGCTTGTGCGTTTGTCGTCCCGGGGGCCGACACACAAAAGACCTTTACGTCCGCGAACTCGAGTGTGTTCGTGCGGACCGTCTCAGATCATTGGCTGTAGTTGTTCGGGTCGTGAGATCATTGGTTCGAGTGGGATACATGGATAGCCTCACGCGGATTCTTTCCGCTTCGCAGCCGCCCAACGCGGGCGTGCACGACAAAAACTGTTCCCGTTCGCCCGATCGATTCTCGCGCTCTCCCATCGCTGAGCCCGAGCGACTAATCAATAGCCGGAGATCAAATGCGTATGTCAATTAAATATGGATAAAAAAAGAAAATGAAAAGATCAAGATAATCAATCTATCTCGAAATCAGAAAAAATTCAGATATGGATCGATGAAAGAAAATTTCTGGGTATATCCAATTATGAAATGAAAGGAAGAAATTGAGATATATCATGGATCTATCTATTTTTGATGTCATAGATATCCATATGTGGTAGGAAATATAATTTTTTTTAAAATATATTTCTGATTTATCTATGATATTCATGTCGAATTATCATTAAGAGAATTTGAGAAGATCAGATGGATATTTCAATATATCCGAAGAGAAATTCTATATGTTATCATTTGCAAATTTTTCAGAAAGAATTTGAAAAACAAATAAAATGAATCGGAAAAAATTTCCGAAACAGATTTGCGTTAAATCTTCAAAAAAAATTTGAATATGGATGATTCTTCAATGAATTACCGAATCTGAAAGAATCTATCATTCAATAACATGAATTAGAATAAAAAATTTTGTCTTTCTCTTAATCTTTAGATAGGATCCGACATTGATTATTAAACCATCCCCAATATCAATCATTTGATTATGACAAATTTCAATCATACCCAGAAATACCCAATTCGATCGATTCCATAAATATTCCAGATTTGAAATCAAATTTCGATTATGGATTTTCTATTTGATTCATTCCATTACCATCTCCATCATACCATGAATTTATTATTCGATGGACACCTCACGCGAATGCATCTTATTGCTTCCATCGAATTCGAATTATCTCATTTGACAAAGAAATCTGGGTGCAACTCGATGATGTCCGTCAAATTGATAGGATGGATGGACCATCTGTTGGATTCCATAATTTGGTTTGTTGATTGGCACGTGAAACACAGGTTGTGAAAGTGTTGATGTCGTCTTTACCATATTCGCCGACTTCATTTTCAATTACTTAATTCTGCTCGTCGCTTTTCTCATTGACTCTTTGAGATGAATTCGTAATAGCATTTGCGGATCAGTTTTTCTAGTGTACTTGTTTCGTCATTTCTTATTGATTCCTCTTTTCCAGCAGCCGTTTCGAATGGGGTTGTTCCAACCGTGTTACGAACTTCCACAAGATTCGTCATCTTGATCTTTTCGTAGAATTCTACCGCATTAGCCGTTATGCTCCGTTCACGTAGATACTCGAGAAATCCGGGGCGCGAAAAAATCTCCTTGCTGTATTTTCCCGAAAACAGCTCAGCGATGCAGGCATTTTCAACAGGAGCCCCATTGCCGTCTTCATTATTCGCAAAAATTTGGGATAGGAAATCCGTTTTGTGTAATGCCAGACACGCTTCTCTGCTAGCTAAAACTTTCGCCCCGGCGCGCTGCATCATCTCCCGTTCGAAGCGCCGCAGCGTGGACTTCTTGACAAAATTTCGCGAACAATCCTTGTTGTTTTCGCACTTACCAAGCTCCTTTGCCAGTAAACCCGCCAGCAGGCTCGCGTCCAGCAGGCTCTGGTTTGCACCTTGGCCCTTAAACATGCTCATGGGGTGCGCCGCGTCTCCGAGAACGGTGATACAGTGCGAGTTCCGTTTCGCCAACACAGCGGAGGTCCTCTCAGGGTCGCGGTCGAACAGATGTGTGCCCCAAATGGTGCCCGGGTCGGTCGCGGTGACTAAATCACGGCACGCGGGAAAGTGGCGAGCGAGGAGGTCTAGGGCCAGAGTTTGGAGCTGGAGGGATTTCAAGAATTTCGTGGATCCGTCGCTGCTCTGTACTAGGTCTGTCGCTCGGGTAGGGGTAGGAGTCGCGTTTGCCGGCGGACGAGTAGGTTCCGCAGGTCGTGAGGCAGCCGTTTTTGGCGGGGTGGCTGAGCTATTGTGTGCATCTGACGAGTGCGAGCGCAGCTCCTTTTGGTTATCTTCGGCTGCAGTTGCCACGGTGCTGGTGCTGCTCGCAGGAGAAGAGGGGGGAGAAAGAACTGAACAGGTTGTAGTGAAACGTGGACGTCGTTCGGAAATTCTGTCTTCGTCCATACTCGACCTTGCGCACACACTCTCCGTAGCCTCATCAATCTGTTTCCCGGCGAAATCTTCGAAACTCAGCTGCCACATCGTGAGTTCGTCGGAAAACGGCATGACAAAGAGGCGCTTCCCCTGTCCCAAAACGTAAAAGCCGCCCTGTGGAGGTTTCCTCTTCAGGTGACTCAGGCCAACGATGACGGAAACGTTTAGCGGCTGCAAACAAGGCGTTGTCAAAATCTGCGGCGGCGAACTGCAGGGGTACGGCGATGGGGGCAGTTGGCCACCAGTAGGGCCTGCTGCGTTAAGAATTTCCCAAACGCGACTGCGAATGCCGTCTGCACCCACCACGAGGAAAACGTTTTTTACCACGACCTCTTCGGTTCTTTCCTGGCCGTCCGTTCTTTTTCTCAGAAATCTCAGGGACACTGGGGCTCCTCTTGCAGCCGAATTTTTACCAAGATTCGAAGATTGCGCTCTACTTCTCGTAGACGCGACTTCTTCAGCGGTTCGCTTGTTGGAGGGCTTGGTAACCGAAGATTGAATAGTGCTGCTGCATCCCTTTTGCTCTACCGTGCTGGTTTCATCGTCCTGCTCGAGCACTTCTTGTAACAGCATGCCCCACTCGATCACAGAGCTACTTGCGCACTCGCTTTGTCCTCCGGGATTTTCTGCAACGCTAGAATTAATTTTCTCCAAGAGAATCCTTCGCAGTTCCTGTCTCGGAATGCGCAAGTTTCCTTCCAAGTTTTTTTCCGGAACATAATCAGCATTCTCTTGCTTCACAATGTTCGTCTCATCGCCACCGGAAGAAACAGCCCCACCCGATGAAGCAGGTAACCTCAAGTCGCGGCCAAAATAGCCCAGCACGTGCCCGTCGTTGTCAAACACCCAGTGATGGTCAGATTCTTGGGAAATCGCCCGACAAGCAGCCTCGACACCCAGCTGGCGCAACCCAGAGGGCGTGAGCGTCATTCCGTACCCCTGCTTCCGATCATCAAATTTCGCATCCCGCTCGTAAATTCTGAAGTTAATGTTTTTCTCCTTCAAAAGACCACCGAGCGCCAGGCCACCCAGACCCGCACCGATGATAGCGATGTGCGGCGGTGGATTGATGATGTGTTGCATTTCGCGGATAGGCAGAGTACTTTTACCGTGGTCGAGAACGCCGTTTTGCAGCTGCGGTTCGGGCAGCAATGGCGGAGCAGACATGCTACTGGTCGTCGTGAGGGGCGACATTTCCATGTATGCTATTTCTCTACTGTTGTTTCGTCAGGTCATTGTTGAATATTCTTTGGGTTCTCTCCGAGCGAGTGAAGAGCGTTGTAGAAGTTGCACTGCCAACCCAAAGTGCGTGCTGCTACTGTCTACGTCTAAGCTGTAGCACTGGTTGCCAAAATCAACGAACATCTTGAAGCTGCCCAGGTCGGGAGATTTTGTCATTTATCTACGGGGATTTAATACTTCACCTCGTTTTGACCAAACAGGTATCGCAGATCCATTTCAGAGAACATTGATCTTGATCTTCTCCCTTGTTGCGTAATTTGGATCTTGAAGATCGTCTCGTAATATGTTCCGCGAAAATAGATTTTTCTCATGCTTTAGATTCATTTTTTTTTGTTTCTGAATGCGAACAAGCGCTGCCTTTTACGCCGACAGGAAACAACCGTTGTTGCGACGAAAACTTGTTCGGGCTATTTTTTTTCTGCTACAGAAACGTCGCAACGCCCTCAAGCAAAATTCCATAAAGGTGTAAAAAGCCAGAAGTGACGTACATCTGCTAATCATTCGTTCTTTCTTACCTCGGGCTCGGCGTGTGTGTGAAACTAAAAGAAAAAGGTAATATCGGAAATGCATTTTTACAAAAAACAAATCTCAACAGCCTCCATACAGCCACAAGGATGGCAACCGGAGGAGACCGAGTAAGAAGACATGCAACAACTCTTAATGGAAAAGGTATGACAGGTACCAATTTGGTGGAAACGTGTGTCGCACGACATCCTAAACCAAAAGTGAAATCTCCAAAAATCAGCCAGGTCGAAAGGATATTGCCTACCGTGTTCGACCGAAATCGATGCTTCTTCTCTTTCCTAACGAGTGCGCGCGCCGATACGAAGGCGCAGATCATGTTTTGTCTTCCTCATCCCCGCAATATCCGATCTTCGCCCTGCTATTTTTCACCCGTAGTAGCACAGTTCCGAAATTTGGTAAAGAAAGGTATATGACATTGTGAAACTTCGCTAATTGTTCTCGTGGATAATTATGGTAGCATCTCATGTAGCTCTCGCCAAAAATTCATTTACTTGTTGATGAGCCTCTATAATCTCCGACATGAAATAACTAGAGTGGTCAGTATTGCAAATTATTCGTACTCTTGATCGTCAGACGGTAACGGTATTACAAAAAGGACTACTCTATTGGAAGCTGCCGCCATTTGACGTGTGAGCCAACTGAAATTGATAAGATAAAATGTGAATCTGTGCAATCGGTGAGAAAAAAAGGCATTTGCAAAGCTATTCAGTGAAACAGCCGACAACAAAATTTCGAATTGAAGCCGAAATAACTCCTTTTCTTGCTATCAAAGTGAATTTTCGTCCGGAAACGCGAACGAAACCACAAACGTTTGGTTACTCGGTCCATACTATACAACAGAAACGCAAATAGCATCAACATCTTCTTTACTCCAATTCTTTAGAAGAATGCTGTGCAGTGTTTTTATACTGAATCTTAAAGCACAAGTTGGCTGCATGTAGCATAACGATATCCTCAAGCTGCCGCGGCAGTGGACACGGCGCTGTTTTGCAACAACGACTTCGCGCGACTCGGCTGAAAGTGGGCCAGAATCACCGTGATGTCATATCAGAATGAAAAATGCCCCCACCCCCGAACTTGAAAGCATTTGTATTGCAAACCTTTCCAAATGAAACATTCGCCCTCTTGCACCTATCAGCATCACAGGTTTCCAATCGTGGATAGCGAAAATTTGTATTGCAAAAGACCCCAGCAAGAGCGGCGCTTGTCATGCAAGCGATGCGATACACGCCTAGACTCTGCATCAGAAAGATTCATACTCCTTTCATGCATGACAAAAAGGTTTCATTTGGAAACTTCGCATCACAAATTTTTGCAATTTGAGGGGTGGGGGGCACTTTTCACTGTAATATGTCATCCACGACGGTCTGCTCCTCCGCAATCCACCTCTTCCAGGCTTCCTTGGCTAATTCCTCTGCTGCCTGCATCGCCTGGCTCGCGTCATACTTGTTTACCAAATCGACGGCCTGGTATGGATTTTCGGAAGGGTGGGAACAGTTGATGTCATCCATGCTGAGTTGTCTGTCACACAGGAGCAGAAGCAGGAAAAAGAAGTTGTGCACATTGTGTGAAAAGGAAAACTCTTTTCTGCTCTTTCGTGTATGATGAAAAAAGTAACCGGAGTATCTTTGTTTATGTACTTCCTGATTGCTGATGAATTCCCAGACACCGTCGGAGCAAATCAACACGAACTGGTGCTTGTCCTCGATCGTGAAGGACTTCAATTCCGGATCTGAAATCACGCCCGCCGACGCCCCGACCAAGTCTCCGATGGATCGCGACATTGCCAGTCCCGGGCAGATGTGCATTGCAAATTTGTCTAGGTCTGGATTTGTCAACATGCAACATTCGTACGACGAGAGCTGCAGGGGCTGTATTGCGTGAAGAGGATCGGCTACTGAGCTTGTTTTATGTCGTCTTGCAAGCCATGCGCTTGACGAATAAATATGCAAGAAGCCTTGTAAAACTCATTTTTCTACTTTTAACATGCCGTGCTGTCGTACAAAAGTAGACCACAGTGTCTTCACGCAAGGCCCAGCAGCACCAATCCGCGGCATCTTTCTAGACCCAGACAGATTTGCATTTCATAGTAGAGCTTGCCCTTCAAGAACACCCGCTCGTTGACGTCACCGTTCAGGCAGCGCACCTGCAGAAGCAGAAATTGCGAGTTGCTTACGAAGCGCTTTGCGCGTATGGAAACTACAAGGTGGTGTTTCATCTGAATCTGGAATCTCGTCGATGAACAAGAACCATAGATGATGATGAAGCAACAGCAAGTGCAATGCTCAAGTGGACAATAAAGTGTTTCTACTTCCTGAATCTTAAAACTGTTCATTCGGGAGGTCCTGCAAGAAGCACTAACTATCAATACCTGCCCTCCGTTCTTGTGGATGCGCGCTTTCTCGGCGGCGAGGCCGGGCTTATGGTCCGGGGTCAGCTTATCAAATGCAAAAATGTCTGGGTCTGGAAGCATGCGAACTTGTGATGCGCATTTCACAACACAGACAAATCTCTCAATTAAAGGCAGCAAAAGGTGCCCGCTTCCTGTCACCAAAATGGGGGATTTGTCATGCGGATTAAGCAATGCGGAAGCTTCTCGAAATCTGTGATGCTAGGGCTTCTATGGCAGACATTTTGTGTCATGCAAAAACAGCATGACAAAAATCTGCATTCTTCCAGACCCAGACATTTTTGCATTTGATACAGCTCGACACCGACCAAGTTTCCGGTGCTCTCGTCCAGCTCCGCTATGACGGCGCGACTGTCACCCACATGCGCGATATGTCCCTCGTTTTGCTCCTCCCTGAGCACCAGGACGGTGCCCGTCGTGCCGGAGAGCGTACAGTCCAAGACCTAAAGTGAAGTTAGTTTTGTCGTGCACAACGAACTAACTAGAACTTCCGTTCTACGTTTCATTCACCTGCTCTTATTTGCACGACGACCATGACCCACCACAACCATGACCTGCGCGAGCAAGGAAGTATCATGCCCTTTCGCGACATTGAACGCGCAAAGAAATGATGTACTTACGAAGTAGTACCTGTTTCTCGTTCGCTTTTGCAGCCTGCTGATGCGTTTTGGTGAAGGCTTTGGTCAGCGCTTCTTTCGGGTCGGATTTCAGTGTGTCGGCTGAGCGCAAGAGGATTGACGGGAGGAGTTGGTGCACGAAGTGGGACACCTCGTGCCCGAAGGGCCCATGGCCGTCGAAGACACCGTAGATCCCGCAGCTGTTGTCGACCTGTAGTTTGGATCCGATACGTCGTATTGGTACTATGTATCCACTACAACGCGCCGGTCTTGACATTCACTTTTCACACAAGGAGAAAGCAAGACGCGGGGGCACAGAAGGCATCCTTGTCTTTCAAGCTCAAACCACTAGTAAGGTGCATTGATTTATTTCGAAAACTTATTACCTGCAAGACGAAGTAGTCGTCCTGGTTTGGTGACTCGGGCTTCAGGCCTTTCTTGCAGGCGTACCCCAGGCCGAACTGGGCGACGTTCACCTGGTCCCCGGCGTAGTTGGAGGAGACCGACTTGCATTTGTCTTCAAACCCCTTCTTATCAAATGTAAAAATGTCTGGGTCTGGAAGAATGCATGTTTGTCATGCTTGTCTGGCATGACTATTAAATCTGTCATGCACGTTGCCCAAGAGCCGCACTTTTCTGTCATGCGGAGACGCAATTTGTCATGCAGAATAGGCAACACCTACAAGCTCAAAAATTTGTCATGCTGAGCCAGCACTTGTGGCCTCTTCATGCTACGCCACTCAGCATCACAAGTTTCCAGACCCAGACATTTTTACATTTGATACTTCTGGGACCCGGTGGGCTGCAACCCCGCGACGGAAAATCGCTTGTCGCCGGCCGGCAGGAGCTCCAACAAGGTTTCAAACTGTTGAGGGATGATTTCATTGTGTTCTTGCTATAGGGAGATTGAACTTTTTGTTTAATGGAATTTGTTTCCACCCAGTCCAGACGAAGCGACATGCACCTCCACCTCGTACAAGAGTTTATTAAGCTTTTCTACATAGCCAGCCTCACCTTCGTCGCCGCAGACTGCTGCTGTGCCTTTGTGGCGCCCTCTTCGACTTGGCTGTCCGCTCCCTTCAACACGGATAGCCTCCTCCTGGTTCGGTCCGGCACCTGCTGCTGCGTCTCCGCTTCCTTCGCGCCGGCCGCAGGGGTCTTATTCTCGCTTGACTGCACGCAACCCATGACTTTTTCCTTGAGTATTGAACTATTTATTTTTCAAGATCTTCTTTTTCTCTACTCTGTCGTCTTTTTTTTCTTTGTCGCCGATTGACCTTGATTTTACCCGAAGCCACATCGGAAGGAAAACCCGCCTCACCTTTTTTTTTTTTGCCAAAAAAACCATTTGAAAAAACTCTCGGATACGTTATTCCGTCAAGTCAGGCGCGCTCGCTCTATGGCCCGGTGGCCTGTTCTTGTCATTTCCACACCGACGCTGTCGTTTTCACAACCACTTTTGCAGTGGAATCCCATGACAATTTTGAGAACAAGGACAACGCGGAAACCGGGCAGGAGAGAGAAGACAAACAGAAGCAATTTGTTTTTCTAGAATTCGTTTTGTAGAGTAAAGTTAAAGTGGACAAGTTCATTTCTGTAAAAAAGTAAGGTTTCTGTTGCGTACAGGACATTTGGATAAAAAAAACGTCGCCCAGAAGTTGCTAGGAATATTTAAGCTGAAAATTTCGAGTTCACGGGGCAACCAACTCTGCGTAGCTTGTGAAGTTGTAGACTGATTGATTTATTATTCATCGCATTTTATTTGTTGCTCTTGGTACACCGAAACAGAAGCGCTAGTCTCGCGAAAAGGAAAGAAAAATTTTGCACTGGCAGGTGCATAGTTTGATAGACGAGAAACAGAAACTTTGATGCTCTTCTTGACCGAAAGCATTACTAGAAGCTCGCGAGTAGTACTGATACCTCTGTACAAAAGAAGTTGACACGAAATGGAACTGCGGACTTGGAGGAAGTTCCTAACCTAATTATTCATTGGTCTTGATGACCTTTGCTGACGAGCCTCTAATCGAAAATCTTACAAAAAGTGATGTAGTATCCTCCAGCGGAAACTTTTGAACCAAAAGAATTGAAAACGACTTGTACATCAAACCTTATCCTGCATTTGTTATTAAAACTCAATCTTTCTTGTATACTGTTACCTAAAGTTGTTTCAAATTCATTTTAACATAGGGATTTAATAGCAATAGAAAAGCATAAACGATTTGAATCTCTAGATTTCTAAAGTTACTCACAGTCGCACCTGTTTCGCGACCTGCTTGTTTTCATCGTACAGTCAAATGATCCGATCTACTCCCAAGTCGACATCTTTCCTGGCCGCTACCACTCACTGCGCCTGGTAGTACGTGGCCCCGCCGCCCGCGGCACTGCCTCCCCCGTACTGCCCCCCGGCCGAGCCCCCATCCGCTCCCCCGGACTGGTTCGAACCGGACTGCTGGTACGCGGCCGCCCCGTAGTTGCCATACTCCTCGTAGCTGCCGGTGTGGCTGAGCACGGGCGAAGCCCACTGTTCGTACCCGGTCGGGATGCCCCCCGCGGGACCGCCGGCACCGCCGAAGCCCGCACCATACGCGGCTTCCGCCTGCTGCAGGGACGAGTTCGCCTGCTGCAGCTGCTGCGCGAGCTGCATCTGCATCTGGAGCTATCCTGAGTAAAAACGTACCCACACCAGAGTCAGGGTGGGGATTTTGCAACACAAACCTAGGAGTTTTGTGAGTCACGCATCACAAGCTGCAGTCCGTAGCGTAGTGCAGGTGCGCAAGGCCAGCTGCATCAGAAATCCATCTGCTCATCCTGTTCACAGCATCACAAATTCCAAACCACGATTGGAAATGGCTCTCATGGGGATGCGCATTACAAGTCTTCCGGTCTTTGCAAATCTGCATGACAACTCTGGGGTGGGGACGTTTTTACTTAGGATAGGAGCTGCATAGGGTTCACGTTCAGCGCGTTCACGTCGAAGGAGCCCGGGGCCGCGGCGGCCAGGAACGGGTTATCAAATGTAAAAAAGTCTGGGTCTGGAAGATTGCCAGGTTTGTCATGCATATTTTGAATGACCCATGATGTCTGTGATGCATGCCCTAGCATCACAGATTTTCAGAGGACTTTGCGATGTCTCTACCGCATGAGAAATGCCGTCTTCACGTAGCACAAACTGGAGTCCTTTTGCTGGTCATGCAATACAAATTTTTTTAGAATCCAGAGACAGCATGACAAGTTTGAAATCTTCCAGACCCAGACATTTTTACATTTGATACGGGTTCATGGTCAGCAGCATCTGATTCAGCATCTGCATGTTCGGCGCACCCCCCGCGTGATGGTGCTGCTGCATCGCGGCCATGTATTGTGCGGCATTCTGCTGCTGCATGGCTTGGTTGTTGTAGAAGTTGTTGTAGTTGTGCTGCTGTCCGCCCTTCATCTTTCCGCCGTAGTCCGCGCCGTTGTACGACGACATCTTGCCGCTGCCCTTCCCACCGTAGTATCCCCCGGAAGACTATCAAAAGTAAAAGTGTCTGGGTCTGGAAACTTGTGATGCTGGGTGGCGTCTCATGATGAGGCTACAGATGCTGGCTCAGCATGACAAGTTTCTGAGCTCCTAGGTGTTGCCTATTCTGCATGACAAACTGCGCTTCTGCATCACAGAAAAACGGAGCTCTTGGGTAACGTGCGTGACAGATTTAAGAGTCATGCCAGACAAGCATGACAAACATGAACTCTTCCAGACCCAGACATTTTTACAGTTGATACAGACTTGTGCCCCGCACCACCGGACTTCCCCATCGACTTGTAATATCAAATGCAAATATGTCTGGGTCTGGAAGCTTGTGATGCTAGTTTGTGAATGGTGGGCGCATTACAATACGCAGCCACGCATGACAAGTTTTGGAGCTCCTCTGTGTTTCGCTTTCCGCATGACAAATTGCATATTTGCACGACAGGAGACAGCCTTTTTTGTTTTTCCTGCTGATGCATTACAGATTTAAGAGTCATGTGAGACAAGCATGACAAACTTGCATTCTTCCAGACCCAGACATATTTGCAATGCATATGTACCCGCCGCCCTGGCTGCCCTTCTTCTGCCCACCCTTGCCGTAGGAACCGTTGGAAGAGCCTTGTCCACCGCCCGCGGAACCGTAGTAACTGTAGGAGTTGTCGAAGTTGTCGGCGCTGCCGTAATAGTAGTTGTCGGAATTGTTGTACTGCCCTCCCTTGCGCCCGTCGCGGGGCAAGCAGCACTTGGTCTCCACCCATTTCTCGTCGATAAAATGCTCGTGGTAACTGTTGTACGGTCGTATTGCGGATGGATGTAACAAAACCGAAAGGCAAAAAACGTCTTTCCAATAAAACATGAAGAGGAAAAATAGTGTGTTTTATGCATGTCAAAAGGAAAGCAACGTCATTATACTCCTCCAAACACTTGACAACGGAGTCGGAGTTGCGAAAGTTGACGAATCCGAAGCCGCGACTGTGGTTCGTTTCATGGTCGGTGATCACCACGGCCGCGGTAATCGCCCCGTACTATCAAAATGAAAAATCCCCCCACCCCATATCAAAGCGGAAATTTGTGATGCTGATTTGGGGCCACAAATCAGCTTTGTATTGCAGAGAGGCATTGCGGCCAGATCCCCAGGCTAGGTAGAGGCGCATGTGTCTACCTATTCAGCATGGCAAACGACGCCCCTTTAGGCCCAACAGCATGACAAATCGCTTCCATAATGGGGCGGAAGCTTCTGCCCTTGTCTTCTTGCAAGACAGATGTGATCTGTGGCCTCAAATCCGCAACACAAATTTTTGGAAACATACCTTTTCAATATGGGGAGGGGGGATTTTTCCTCTCAATACGTACTTGCCGAAATACGCCCGCAACTTGTCGCTGGTACAGGTTTCGGGCAACGCGCCGACAAAAATTTTTTGGGTGGAGGTCTGATAATATGTTGTGTTTTTTGTGTTACAAAACGAAACGCACCCTATGAAAATGCCTCCATCATCAGTTGCGAAGGGAAAGAGGAACTGAGTATGTAAATCTGTACCTCCTCGGTTTCCGCGATTTCCTTGGCGCGCTTGACATCGAGGATTTTTTCCTGGCCGGCGTCGTCCACGAGCGTATGCGGCACGTTCTCAGGCTTCAAAACCTCCACAATCGCAGACGAATCTTCAAACGACAGAAAAGCGTAGCCCTTGCTCTTGCCCGAAGCGAGGTCGGCTTTCAGGTTGCACTCCGTGATAGCCCCGAATTTAGAAAAGTGCCTGACAATTAATTGCGGGAGGTGAATCTGAATCAATGCTCGCGTTACTTTAGTGGCTTGTAAATGCTCACACAAAAGGCGATAGGATAACAAAATCCAGGGAGCTACATAACAGACACTCAGCCGTCTTCGTCGTGCAATGATCAGCAAGACGCAAAAATAAATACTCTCGCAGCTGTTCCTCCTTGATGTTCGGGCCCATCGCGCCGATGAACAACCGGGTCTCGGACTCCACATAGAAGTCGCTCTGCTCCTGCTTGAAACCCATTTTCTGACGCGTCTAAGGATTGTATAAAATTTCTTGGAGCTACAGAGTACCTAATTGAGTTTCAGTTTTCGTTTTGGATCACTTCTGCCAGGCCGAAGCTCCTTCCTCTCCAACTTAAAGAATTGCAGCTGTTCGATTTGTTCACCCACTCTCTTCCACCTCAACTTTTTTTTTTGGCTTCTCGTTTTGGGTTTTCAATTAGGTTAGCAAGCGGAGAACCGAACACACCCAAAGAAACGGTGATCAGGCACGACCGGAGGGACGACGGAGAAAATGCGTACTTCTGAATGTTAAATCGCGAAGGGCGCTGACTGTGACGCCCAAGGCAGTCAAAATTCAATGGTGACGGCCGGCCGCGCAGTAAAAAAGCGCGCCCGGGAAGGGCCCTCGGGCCCCGGGCAAAAATGGAAATGGATCATCACCATGCCCGGCCCAATTAAACTAGGCGGCGCCACACAATGCAGGCCGGCCGCCCCATCGGGAAAAGCAACGCAGGCAATTCGCTTAAGTGGTGACACGCGCCCCATGTTAGGGGGCAGCGCAAAAAAGGCCAGCGACAACGTTCCCGGCCCTGTGCATTTGCGGGCGCGAGCACGGGCGCCAACCGAGAAAGGGCGCGCCGGGCTACTCCGTTGGCCGCGGGGCCCCAGTCAGGGGCGCCCCCAGTAGGGCGCCGCGCCGCGCTGCATGCTTGGGAAAGATATGGGCGCCGCCCGCTTGGCGCTCTTCCTCGCTGCGCCAACAGTGCTGCGTCTTCGTCGACGTGTACGCGGCGCTGTATGGACGCCCGTCGCTACAGGCGCCCTCCAGAAGGTCGTCTTCTTCGTCCACCACCTCAAGGCGTCCCGCGCTTCCCCGGCCAGGAGCCGCTGCATCTGTGTAAGCTCAGATCGTTTTACATTTGTCCTGTGTGCGGATCTCGCCTCTCCAGCGCGCCACTTTGAAGTTGCTCTCAGTCTCAATGCTCGAAACTCACTGAATGACACGTTTTTGCAGCGCTCACTTCAACGACGACGGCACTAACTTAAACTTTGAGGAATTGCACACTGAACATTAGCGACGATTAAAATTTCAATTCGACGAGGGTGACTCTTTGCTCAGTCCCATCTTCAACAGCGAGGCGCAGAAATAAATAAAGCCGAGACTGTTTCTATCACTGAAATCCATAGACAAAAGAGATCTACGGAACTGCAGCAATTTGTTCAAAGAACTACTTCAACGTTATTTTTTTCTTCAAAAAGCAGACAAGTACCTCGCCCGCTTCAACAACTGTTCATCAAGCTCTGGACAAGTAATCATAAATTCAAGTGGTTGTTTAGCAAAACTGAAGTCTTTTGCTATTTTGACTGACTGAAAACGAAATAGAGTAGTAGTGGCTGTTCAGAAAAAGTCTAGAAGCAGTGTATCAAAAGCTGCAACATCCGAAAATAAGCAAAAGCCGCCTTAATATGCGTGGAACTTCATGCCGAAGTTTTCCCACGTCTGCTCGACACGACAGCCTTGACTCACTTCTTCGGGAAGAGCATCTTTCGCAATTCTGGCTTGTCGTTGTCCAGGCACAGCTTCAATCGGGTATCCAACGTGTTATCCACCGAAATCGTTCCCTCCTGGCAACTCAACACCACACCACCGAGGCAAGTAGCCGGGAGGTTGCTGTTATTTTGGAGTTTCACAAAATGAAATGCTAATAGAACGCATGGTCATGCAGTGACAGCATCTTCGTCGGGGAGCATCGCAAATTGTATCACCCCAGAATCAGAAGTAAAAGCGTGCTATGATTCAATACGTTGAATCCAAGGTCAATTTCAAGGACGCACGCACGTTCGTTGCCTTAGCGATGGTTTTGGCGAATGCCTGACTGGCTGAGTCCAGGACTCCGCGTGCAATGGACACATCGGCTGCTCGCACTTTGACGGTCACCTGACAGTGAGTTGCTATATTCATTTCGACGTACTTGTATCGGTCTTTCGACATGACAAAGCTGAAACATGACACATGCGCGTCGAGCATGACAAACTTGTTCCCAGCGACAGTTACTGTACCTCCTCCTCCATCAGCTTCAAACACCCCTGGACAATGAGGTCGATCAGAATCTGCTTGTACTTGGCCTCCGATCTGGACGCGTCCTTCAGCTTCGCCGCTACCTCACCCGACAATAGCTCCATGCAGTTTTGCCGGGCCTCGATCTTCTTGATGCGGGCCTTGTTGATTGCCGTCGAACGGGCGATGGCGGCCTTCTGCATCACCTTCTTCTTCTGGTCGGCCATTTCGGTACCTGACAGAAATCGATTTGAAATTTTGCAGTCACAGACCTCTCGTGGGTTTTCATCAGAGAGCAAGCCTGTAGCTGTTGCTGTCCTTTGCTTTCCGCCTGACAAAATGCAAAAAATACGCGTCTTCTCCTTCATGGCCTGCACCAGTTTCAGCTTTTCCACGTTAAAGTCCTCATTTGCCTTGTCCGTGATCTGCGCAGCAGTTTCCTTGGCTTCATTCAAGTATGCATTGCAAAAGTATCGTACTCGTATAAATGCATTACAAATTTCCTCAGCCGCTGAGGAAATTTGTAATGCATTTATAGAAATAAATGCAGATTTGCCTTGGAAACAAGATTTGTAATGCAAGACTTTTTTTTTCTAGTCTCCTCGCGCTTGACTTGTCGTTTTTTCTTTTTGATTTTTTTTTTACTTTCTTTTGATTTTCTTTTGATTTGTAATGCAAGACTTGCATTTGTACGAGTGCGATACTTTTGCACAGGATATCAAGATGAAGTTCACCATCTGCTTGATCTGCTGCTCCGCCTCCCCGTCGTTCATCTTGGGCAGATGGGATCGTGGTTTGAAGAACACAAATGAAATGATATCTGCACACAGTCGACTATTTTAATTTTTTTTTTTTGCAGGACACACGCCCGAGAAAATTTGGAAGAACCGCCTTGAAAACGACCAAAGCCGGCACTAAGCGTGGTAGGAACAGATGAAGAAGGTATCACGCAATCAATGTGATTTATCATTGAGGAAGTTGCAGATTGGTTGAATGACAGGGCACAGAAAAAACCTGAACACAGTCCTGGAACAGGCACGAGAAGTGATGGCCCGTAAAAGCGAGTCAGGGCAACGCCTCCTATCCTTTGTGGCAAGCAGCTAGAACCTGCTCTCGATCATGGCACTCACCTTTTTGATGCGCAAAGTGGTCTTCGTCAGGAATGACTGGTGTGTGCGCTTCAAAAATCTTTCTCGCCTTATCAACAGCGGCGGCTGCTTTTTCTCTATCCGCTTCGACATCGGTCAAGTCTATGTAGTACGGCGCCTGCCAGCGCTTTGCTCTTTCCCCCGCTGAAAAACGAGCGGGGATAAACGGTGGATACACGGAAAAAGACGGGCAATAATTGTCTTCTCGCGTATTGAGGTTAGCTTCAATAGCTTTGCGCGGAAAGATGAACAACCCGTCCACAGAATTGACTCCCGGAGCTCCGCTGTGAAAAACGATGAGAAAATCGATCAGGTGAATGTTGGTCCCTGGCCCGGAGAACACGATCCCATCAATGCGCTGTCCCTCTAGCAAAACTCGAATCCCCTGCTTCGAGCAGTCGATGCTCTTGGACTGCAAAATTGCTTTCCGGTGCACCGTGCGGTAGCTTCCGAGGTAGGAGTTGCACAAATTTTTCTCTGCATGTTCATGCGGACCGAATGACAAATCGTATCCCAAAGGTTTGTAGAGGACGTCTCGTAGGATCATCAGCCCGCGATGAACAGTAGCGTCGTTGGGACTCGTTGTGGATTTCTCCAGCCACTCAGCGTAGCTTGCTGCTTGCAGCTGATGATAGATCTCCCACTGGGTCTGTAGAAACTTGCAGAGCTGCATACCACTTAACGCGGAGTCCGGTGAGACGCTAAAGAGAGATCCTCGTCCGCGGCGGCTGAAGTACTCTTTTGAATCCAGGCCGAAGACCTTGCGATCTTGTGGAGCGACGCACAAAACCGGACCGCACTGTAAGAAATCTTGTTTGAATCCGCCGCACCGTCGATTGAATCTATAATGTAGCGGATTCGGCTGTTTCTCCTCGGTCGCAGAAGATGAAGAAGAAGTCACGCCGGAAATAGCTGTAGGAGAAGCTTCCTCAGCGATGCTGTTCCGCGGCGTGATCCTCGCTCGCACTGGCGGCGCCGTTGAATACCGCAACACCAAGGGCATCCACCGATCCGCGTCGCCGTCTTGGCCATCTTGGGAAGCTGCAGAGGTGCGGATGCGAAACAAGAACTGAGCCAGGCACCCAAGAGGCATGGCCGCCACATCAATCTCGACTGTCGAGTTAGCAGTCTCCTTGTATTTCCGAATTTCATCTCGCACCAAGTTGATCGCGAAGCCCCTTGCTTTGTATCTTTCGTGCGCGACCAACACAGCATCTTGATTCATCGACGATTCATCCAGGCAAAAGCGTCGTGGACGGCAGTTCCTACGAGCACGTCCAGTATATGGGCTTGCGTATCCAAGAAAGTCCCCATATCCCGCCCATCCAGAGTTTGCGTATACCACATCAGACCGAGCTGGAACTCCACGCGGCCGATTTTGCTTGTGCCATGCACACCAACCTTCTGCTTTTCGTAAACCCGATTTACGTGCGATTTCTCGAGCGCGTTCAAAAGACAGAAAGCTCGTAAACGCGCCCCGTCGTGCTGCACGACCTGCGACACAGCTCCCTTCTGCTGGAAATCGAGACTTCACAATGTGAAACGCTATTTCTCCGGAATGCATGGTGTTAGTTTACTATGATAGATTGGTGTTTGACTCGTCGTTCATACATAATTTTTCGTATTCGACAACTTCGGCATTTATCTTTATTGTTTTGCGCACCCTTTGCGATTGGAACTGAAAAGTAGCAACATCTCCAGCACCAGCCCGTTTCTGTGAGTGATACCATGCCCGGCAGGGTCGAACACGACTTCCTGACAAACAATCGCTCCTCAGCAGTGAGCCAAGATGCTCGCACGTCGATGCTGAGAGTGAAATGATAGCTTCCAGTGTCGTTCCTCAATTCTGGCTTGTAGCACGAACATGAACCTGAGAGCAGCCTGTTCCTGTCGCCAAATTTGGTATTATTTCTGGAGTGCGCGAATTAAAAATTTCGCGTGCCTTCTGAATGGCTACACGAGACTTAGCAGTATCGGTGTCTACATCTCGAAGATCGATATAGTAGGGCACTTGCCACTCCTTTGCTGCTTTTCCTACCTGCCGTTTTGGGTCAGACGTCGGTGGGTAAATGGAAAAGGAGGGACAGAAGGCCTCCTCTCGCTTGTTAAGGTGTCGCGCAACTGCTTCGCGAGGTAGAATGAAGACGCCATGCACCGTGTCGCTGCCGCATCGTCCGCCGTGAAAGAGCACGACAAAATCGATCATGTGGATATTCGCTCGCGGTCCGGAGAAAACAATTCCATCGGTGCGGTCGGATTCCAGGAGCACTCGCAGTCCCGAGGTGGTCGAATCGTCGGCTGCCCGTTGGTCGACAGTCGCTTTTCGGTGCACGGTACGAAAGCCGGAGAGGTAGACGTTGCACAAGTTTGTCGTCGACATTTCGTTCGGGCAGAAGTTGAACGAAAGTCCCAATGGGTTGTACAACATTTTTCGTAGCTTCATCAATCCGCTGTAGTACGCCTTGTCGAAGCCACTGGGAGCGAGCCGCGGGAGCCAGTCACTAAAACTTCGCTTCTGATCCGCGTACTTTTCCCACTGTCGCTCGAGAAATAGTGAGATTTGCTCACCATCCAGAGCTGTTGATTGATGCACATTGAATTCACACGTCAACATACGGACACTGGAAGCATCTAGTGCAAAAATCTTGTCGTCTTTGGCTGCAACGCACAACAGCGGTCCTTTCTGAATGCACCCTTTGCCTTTCCCGCGGCATCTCCAGAACCGATAAACGGGGTCTTCAGTCGTTCCAGGTGCAGTACGGTCAATCTCAGGCCGTGCTCGACGATATATTCCAAGCGTGGATCGCAGAGCAATTGGGATCCATTCGTCTGCGTCCTGGTCAACTTCTCTACTGCTCACCCTCGCAGGCGCTCGTACACGAAACAGAAATGACGCGACGCAATTTATTGGGAGGGACCGCAACTCGATGATGGAGGACGCGCAAGATCTCTCGGACCGGCACTGGGCAGCATCCTGAATTTTTTTGAGCAGCAGATTCATCGCAGTCACGCGTTGAGAAAAGCGTCGCTGCCCGTCCTGCAGCTTCACCGGTTCTGCGACATCCAAATGGCGTCGGCGCCGTATTCGCGCAGGTTCGTACCCAAGAAAATCCGGAAAATTTTGCCACCCGAGACCACGGTAGACACGATTGGGATTCGACGGAACGCCGGGTGGTCGGTTCTTCTTGTGCCATTTCCACCAGTCGCGAACTCCACAGACGCCAGACTTCCTCGCAATAGCTCGGGCCTTCGCGAAGGGTAAGTACTGCTTTGCGGCGTTGGACGAGGCTCTTCCGAAAGGCCCGCCTGTTGATGCGGGTGAGCAAGCAGCGGAAGCAACCGTCATCTTGACATCTTCTCAAAAACAACAAAGGCGTGCATGTGTAGTCTTGCCAATGCAACGGCAGAGGGGGATGTCTTCAATTAACATACTTACTCGTCCAAAAAACTTCAAATGGTGTCGCTCGGAGAGCTCTACGTGTGCCGTGCCGAACAAGTCATAGTTCTTCAGACATTTTAGCTGCTCTGTGCATCTCTTGTACCTGTGCCTCTTCATGAAGCGCTCTCGCTTATCAGAGACAGTGACAGCTTCGCTTTCTTTAGGAAGTCTCTAAATTGAAAATTTTCCGCGCTTTTTCGACCGCTGCAAAAGCGCTGATTTCGTCATTTTTTGTTGCTTTCAAATCAATGTAGTATTGCTCTTGCCAGTCGCGCGCACGTTTGCCGGCCCAGTATCTTGGAATTGAAGACGGAACGTACACTGAGAAAGCTGGACAGAAGCCTTCCTTGCGGTCATTCAGATGTTCCAGGAGCGCACTTCGTGGAAAGATGAAAACGCCCTCGACGTCGATTGTTCGATCCTGTGCGGGACCGTGGAAGACCACAAGAAAATCGATCAGGTTGATGTTTGCACCCGTACCGGAAAACACAATCCCGTCCAGCCGTGCGGTGTCGAGAAGGACTTTCATACCCCGAGAGGCTGAATATCCGCGCCAATGTTGAATGGACTTTCGGTGGACGATCCGGTGCGGTCCGACGTAGGTGTTGCACAGGTTGAGTGAGGATAGCTCGTTCGGACAAAACTCCAAAGCGTACCCAAGCGGCTTGTACAAATTATTGAGCAAGTACATAATGCCACCGTGTGCGACGGCGTCCAGACAGCTCGTCGGTAACTCGCTCATCCAATCACAAAATCGCGCCTTTCTGTACTGCGGATTATTCCAGTGAGTTCGCAAAGTATCGCAGACAGCGTCAATATCGATTGCCTCCGAGACCGGTATGTGGAATCTTGTGGCTAGACTACCCGGCTCTCCTGACTCCGGGTTCTGCAAGAAGAGTTTTCTTTCAGTCGGAGCGACGCACAGCAGCGGACCATACTGTAGCCGTGTACTTTCTGCCGGATTACATCTCCAGTATCGGTAACTCACACGGTCACGATCAGGATCATCATCTGCGGCGCGTCTATTCCGTTCTCCAGCAGAAGTCTTCCATTTAGTGCGAAACTGAAAAGTCGACGATCGCAAGAGGATGGGCATCCACTGGTCAGCTTCCTGAGGTGCAGGGTCACTCCGCACGCGAAAGAGAAATGTTGCAATGTAGTTAAATGGTAGAACCTTCACGTCGATTTGCTGCAGGGGCTGTGTTCTCTTGTTTACCTTGTCGATTTCTTCACGGACGAAATTTATCGCCGCGACGCGCTGTGAGTACCGCTCACGGCCGCGCCCTTTCAGTTCGGGTTGGCCGTCTTCGAAACGTCGTTGTCGACATCCGGGTCTTTGCCGCTGTCCCATCGCGCCCTCGTATCCCAGAAAGTTGGCATACCCATTCCAGCCAGCCCCCGCGTAAATTTTATGCGGAGCTGAGGGAATTCCTGGGGGTTTTGTTACCTTGTACCAGCGCCACCACGCTTCTGCGCTACCGAGTTCGGCTTTGCGAACATTTTCGCGGGCCTGTACAAACGGTAAATAGACTTTCCGCCGACCACCTCTCAAACCGTGAGTACGCTGCACGGCCTGGCGAATTGTTGCAATGGACGAGGTCTGGGACCCCCACGCGTCCGCAAGGGCCAAACCAGCCATTCTGAGGGTGTGGCACGTATTAAGTAGATTAATCTAAATCTTCATCGTAACTTAGAGCGATTAGTTTCCAACTCGCTCTCAAAATAGAGGCGCTCTTCTATACAAAATTTCTCGATTGCGCTCGCTGATTCTCGCATTCGCATTGTTTTCAAGACAACAACGGATAATCTCTATCTCAGAGTCATCAGAACAAAAGCAGGGACAGGGAGACGTCCTCGCTACATGAATCAAATGAGACAAGGAGTAGCATTTAAGTACTAGAGGTATTTCCCGATGGTTCTTGTCTATCACGAGTTTCATCACTGGTCGCGACGGGCGCCAGAGGAATCCTTCCAAACCTGTCAAAAATATTTTGAGCCTGCGCTAGTGCTCTTGCGGCCTTTGCTTTATCCGTTTCGATGCCCGATAGATCAACGTAAAACGGTATTTGCCATCGCTGCGCCTTGCGTGCAATTACCAGCTTCGGCGTAACCGACGGAGGATATACCATTAACGAAGACAAAAAAGATTCTGCCCGCTGCCCCAAATTTGCAAATAGGATTTCTCGTGGAATGATGAAAACGCCATTGACCAGTTGGCTTTGTGCACTCGGGCCGTGGAATACGATGAGAAAATCAAGTAGGTCGATATTCCTTCCGAGTCCGCTAAACACGATTCCATCTCGCCGCGGAGTAGCAAGGAGCACCTTTAGCCCGGCGCCGGCACGGCTGCCTCGCACGAACGAGTGCGCCCTTCGGTGTACGGTTCGAAAAGCTCCAACGTAAGCATTGCAAACACTTGGTCCGGACTGCTGCTCATTTGGACAAAAAGAAAAATCGTACCGGAGCTGATCGTAGAGGAGTTTCCGTAACGTGACTATTCCATCGTGTATTGCAGTATCATACGTGCTGGATGACAATTCAATCAGCCACTCCCCAAACGGTCGTCGCTTTTCCGCATGCAGATTCCACTGCTCCAACAGGAAGGTGTTCAGCGATCTGCTCTTGACAGCTGCAGAAGAGGGAAGAATAAATCTTATCGGTAGTCCACCGACGACGGTCGTGTCAAACAGAAACATTTTCTGTTGCCGCGCTGCCACGCATACTAACGGACCGCACGGCTCTGGATGAGAGTGGCGCTTGAACCAATTGCATCGCCAAAATCGATAACCGTGAGATGGATGTTGCGCAGTGACAACGGGGGTGTCGACTCGATCATCGGGAGCGCCCCGGTCTGTGATGCAACATTTTGATCGAACTGAAACGACCTGCGCATCTTTCGATGAACGCAGTAGTATCGGCATCCACAAGTCGCTTTGCGGTTCTGCTCGCTTGCCCTTCTCGTTCTCCGGCTTAGTGATACTACGAGGGCGGAACAGAAACGACGCAGAGCAATTGAATGGCAGAAGCTTCAAATCGACCACAGAGTTGGCATTCGCATTCGACGCTGCTGCATTCGTTTTCCTCACTTCGTTCTGAACGAAGTCCATTGCTTCCACTCGCTGCAAAAAACGATTTCGACCGTGCTCTCCCGGTGGTGGCAGAGGACGCTGTCTTTTTCGCGAAAGCGTGTAGCCAAGAAAGTCGGGGAATCCCCTCCATCCTTCTTTTGCGTAAACGCGATGTGGGGTCGAAGGCAAACCCGGAGGCTGATTTTCCTTATGCCATTGCCACCACAATGAACACTTGCGGAACCCGAGCTTTCGTGCTTCCTCGCGAGCTTGCTCAAATGGCAGATATGCAGGTCGGATTCTCCCTCGCATTGTTGTAGTACGTCTACCGCCCACTTCAACTTTATGCATTTTTAGCATCCCCTAGCGACAGCGAGAAGGTGAAGGCAAGAAATAATCACCAAACTGTATTTTTGTCTCTCCATGACACCACGATGATTTTGCACTCTCGCCCACACGTAAAGGAGATAGATGTGACGCTGGCCTTTTTTCCTCTCAGCTCGTATTTCGCGCATCGTGCTTGTGACCAGTTTTTCAAAATAATCCAAATCTGTTCTCTCGTGCTGTGTGAACATGAAATAAATCAAGCTGCAGTCGAATGCCGAAAACTCTGCCTCACGGCAAGAGAGATCAACGAAGCCTGTAGCGTGTCGATCAATGAGCTGATCATGCTCCACGGCACCATTCCTCCTTGGAGACGCAAGCGTACTTGACACGTCTGAGGTGTTGAAAACAGGCAGCGGGAACGGGAGGAATTGATGGGAGTCTCTAGAACGCTAATTCACGCATATAAACTTTTGCATAGTATTTTCCCATATTTGCCGGATCGGCTCCTACCGCTATCCTGAACAAATCCGGATCCGGCCTTGCACCAATCCCTGCTCCCATCAGCTCCTCCACTGGATGGCTTAGCTGTCTTTTCCCTGCTTCAAACAGTGAATTTCCCGTCATATTTATCCGGTCCGCACCGCCGTTCTTCTCGTCCAGAAGGAGAAAATCGTTAACGTATGGCAGTGATTTTCGGTACTGTTTTGCTTTCCAACGTTCCGTTTTTCTTTCAAACCATCTCTATCGCGTACGGAATTGTGCTTGTTCGATGGAAATGAAAATGTAGTTTATTCAAGCTGCCTCAATATCCCTGTTGTTCGTGTTCCAATTCAAATCAATGCTCTTGCTGCGGATATTCTGTGAATATTTTCCTTGCCGCATTTTGTGCGACTGTAGCACGTTCTGCATCTTGTAGCGCTCTCGTTAGATCAATGTAGTATGGCTCCTGCCACTGTCTTGCTTGCCGCCCGGATTCGTAACGCGGACTGGCAGTCGGTACATGAAGAGAAAAGCACGGGCAGAAATTCTCTTCTCGGTCATTCAAGTTATCCTCAATGACTTTGCGCGGAAAGATGAAGACTCCTGCAATAATATCGCCATTCGCAGCCACGGAATTATGGAAGACGACAAGAAAGTCAAGCAGGTGAATGTTGGTACCGGGCCCAGAGAAAACTATGCCATCGAGACGCGATGTAGCGAGTAGGACCTTCAGTGATCGCGCTCCCGAGAAGCCTCGCCAGTGCTGCGATGCTCTCCGATGCACGACACGGTATTGCCCAAGACGAGCATTGCAAAGGTTGATGTCGGACTGTTCAGTCGGAGAAAATTCAAATCGGTACCCCAACGGCTCGTAGAGAATTTTGCGTAGCTGCAGCAATCCGTCATATGTGGGCTTGTCTTGCGACCGCGTTTGCAATTTCCTTACCCATCCGTCAAATGGCATCTTCTTCGTCTCATTTGTAGTGTTCCACCTCTCGATTAGGAAATCGCGAACTGCAGTCGCGTCTACAGCTGCAGAAGTGGGAATCTTGAATCTGGTGCGAAATCGGCTGTAGAAGCTGTCCTGTAAGAACATCTTTCCCTCGCGTGGCGCCACGCATAAAAGTGGTCCGTACTGGAGTCGCTCCTTTTGGTGCGGCTCACATCTGAAGTAGCGGTAGCTCGGCGACGCGTAGTCGACCTCGTTTCGCGTGCTACTCTGCGGCTGTTCCTGTTGCAGTCCCAGTCCGGACTTGTACCTATATGAGGATGAGCGAACAAGAATGGGTAGCCACAGGTCCGGTGCCTCGAGCGCGTCGTTGCTGCTGGTCACGCGGAACAACATACTGGCAGCGAAGTTTAGTGGCAGATTAGTAAACTCGATTTTTGGGCACTCCATGTTGTCGGTCAGAGTTTGTATTTGATTTTGTATTTCTCGGTGCACGAAATCGATGGCCTCTACCCGCTGCGAGTACCGCAAAAGGCCAGTACTTCCTACTTTCGAAGGATCCACACCGCTAGGAAAATTCCGCCTAGGTCGGCAACCAGGTGACGCGCGGCGTGGCATGGACTTGCCTTCGTACCCAAGAAAGTCAGGAAATCCTTTCCAGCCGGAGTTCGCATAGACAACGTTGGGCGACGATGGAACCCCAGGCGGATGGTTTTGCTTGTGCCAGCTGTACCACTGTCGCGCTTTCCGCAAACCTGCACGACGCGCAATTTCACGCGCCTCAAAGAAGGGAGCAAACTGAGCGCGCTTCCTACCTCGCGCAACTTGGCCCTGCGGTGCACCTGCGGCCCTCTTGTTCATCGCAAGGATGTGAGACGAGCAGCCAATGGAAGCCATTTCGTTTCTATTTCACTACGTAGATGTCATTCTCTCGTTTAGTCCACGCGCGCAGTCGCTCTTTGCACAACTCGAAACAGCTTCTTCTTGCTCGTACGACGATCTTGTCCTCGTTACATTGTCTTGTTGTTCTTTGTCTCTTGCAAATCTTCGTATCTGAAGAGCAAGCACGCCTTTGCAGCAACACAACCTGCGACTTTTATCGTCTAACACGATGCCAGGTACAGCATACGTTTTGTTCGAAAGAGTTTCCCCTTTGGGGAGACGAAGCCAGAGCTTTTAAGTTGCTTTTCAAACAGTCCGACTTTTTCGGTTTGCGTACTAGCAGCGACGATTCCGGTGGGGCGATCAAAATGCCAACTCCGGCATGTACACCTTTGCATAGTACTTTCCCATGTTCGAAGGATCTGCTCCTACTGCTATCCTAAACAAATCTGGGTCTGGCCTTGCGCCAATCCCTGCCGCCATGAGCTCCTCCACCGGGTGGCTTAGCTGGCGCTTCCCGGCCTCGAACAATGAATTACCCGTCATGTTCACCCTATCCGCTCCGCCGTTCTTCTCGTCCGGAAGGAGAAAATCATTCACGTACGGCATCGATTTCCGGTACTGATGAACCCAATCCGCGGGGTAGGGGTAAGACATGTCTTGCCCGGAGAAAAGACCTGCTTTGTTGATTCGTATTGCAAGGGGCAGCTAAGCGATGTCAATCACGTATACAAAAAAACTTCGCTTGGATGCATGATATGCAAGATCAAAGAGAGAATCGTACCCATCGGCGCTTTCCACGCATTCTTCCCCACATACGGCCGTATGTCCGCCTTGTGCTTCCTCAGAGGATGGTGGCTCAGCCCGTCTGATCGTAAAATCTCGAAGTGCTGCTCCTCCGTCGTGTAGGGAACGCAGCCTACCATCTTATCCTCTGGCAATACGCTTGTGATATCCGAGCAAGCCAAGCACTTCGCCTTCTTCGGATCTGGCATCAATTCCCTCATATTTGGATCCGGCCCCCGTATCCTCGTGTTATAACCTCCGGATTTCGTCTCCAAATCGCTTGGGACTTTCATCACATTCCGCAAATTTGGCACCCACCCGCAGCCGAACTTCGGGTTTTTGCAGCTCACCTCCGCGCAAGGATCCGTGTCGGGAAGACGGGTCCCGAAACGCCGTTTGCATCCGTAAATGGTGGGTTTGCAACAGAAATTGCACTGGGCGGAATCGGCGTAGGCGGCGAAGGAGGTGTAGAGGTGGTGAGCCTTGAAGGACATTATTTTGCTGTGCGTTGTTAATGCCTCTCACGCTCGTAAATCAAAATCTACAACAGGAAAACTGCCCCGATATGAACCACGACCAGCACAAAAAGCTGAAGCACAACACAAACTATATGAATGGATCATAGCATGTGATCAGTGCAAATAACGGACGAAGAATATTACAACCGCAGCCGTGCAGCGATCATACAAGCGTCAGTAGCAAACGAGAGACAAAAAAAAAGTTTCAACGATCAACGATTTAACGAAAGTAGAACCTCAGTGAAGATCTGGGAAGAAACTAAAGTACGATTGCGATGTGTAGACGATGAAGCGAAGATGCAGGGCGAAAGCGATCAAATCATTTTCTCGTCGAACAGCGATAATGATGACTCTAATGCGACCTTGGTGAGGTGTTGTCTCTGATTTATTTTGCTGCATGGTAAAAATCGACTATCCCATAGTAGTCCAACGGACTTGCGCAAGGTACAGAACAGGCTTTGGGGGCCGTAACTCGGACTTCGCTAAAGGATTTAGAAAAAAAGGAATGTCTTTGCTTGCACAGTTTGCACGTACGTCGAACCACTCATGGTCGGATTTTTACCAGCTCATGAAGCTCTGCTCGCTTTTTTGGTCGCTATTGCAACCGCATGTGAATTTCTGATCATGTCGTCCGCAGCAGCATCGTTAGCTAGCCGCTTCGTCGTTGTAAAAAAACCATCCTAGAGTGCAGGAAGATGAATCGCCAGAAGTAATTCCTCGGAGTTACTTCTTCTTTCCCTTGATTCCCGCCGCCGCTGCAGCGACCGCCTTCTTCTCGGCAGCCTGTTTTAGGGTTTGGAAACGACACATTCTTTATGTTGCGCGGTCGAAAACTCGCTGCCAAAGAAATTTACTTGCATTTCTGGAAAAAGCCCTGCAAAAAAGAGAAAGCAGTAGACTCTTAAATTCATACCTGCTTAGCCTTGAAGGCTTTCTCCTCCTCGGTCATCTCGCCACCACCGGATTTGGCTTTCTTCTCGACGACGGCACGCTGTGCCTTGTTGCTGGAACCACCGATCGGCATTTTGTATGAAGGGCGGAGCGAACTGGTAACACAAAAAGGGTACTGCTAACTCACTTCGACAAGCTTGAGAAGCTAACGATTCGTTGTAAAAAGTCGCAAAGTGGATTGCTCCTGGTTTGCAAAGTTAGAAGATTCAGAGATTGAAAGTAGAGTGGATGCGCTTTAGAAAGCTTTTCGATCTTAGCGTCGAAGGGTGTGGTTTTGGGGTCAAGTTTTTCTGCTTATTTTTCAGTCCGTGTATTGCAGCGAGGAACGGATCTAAGGAACTCACGTCATGGTCGCTACACACAAAATTCTTCGACATCAAGATCGTTGTTGTCTTTTTGCATTTTGATCTCTGTAGTCGTGTCTTCTCTCGCACAAGCCTTTTATGCGTGCACTAGACCGATGTTTCTCTTTTCCAACTGCGGGCAAATAACATTTCTATTCAAAAGCGGCTGCAGCTGAGTTTTGCTTTCGTGGATGCCGCCAGAATCAAATGCTAGTACTTCCTGACACGTATTTTCGAAACAAAAAGTAAGCCGTCAAGATGCGAACGTTTTGTAGTCATCTTATCTGCACAAGACAGTTTTCTGCCGCACGGTAAAACCGCACCTCCAAATCACAAACCCTCGACAAGCCACCTCACCAATTCATTTCCCGCGCAATCTCGGATTTACAAAAGCCGCAATCCCATTGTTGAAGTACACATTGCCGAATCTTTGCGCCTGTACTTTCGCATTCCACGGGAAGTTGAGCACCGGCTCCCAGCCAAAGTGCAGAAAGTTTTTCACTAGCACTTCCTGTGTCGCGTTCCAGGCCTCCATGTGTTCCACGAGGGAATACGGGTAGGCATCGATGAGGCAGGGCGTTGTCGTCGTAGTGGAGGTAGACGTTGAAAGCGCTGCACATTCTGTTTTTGCAACAAGAAAGGCACGCTCCGCTACGTTTCCAGACAGTTGTAGTGCCATCGACGTATTTGCTACACCGGTTGCACCGACAGTGCTACAGGAATGATCCACGACTGCAATCGAACTTCCTCCTTGTTCAAGCGGTGTTTCTGATGTTGTATTTTTCATCTCCACCGCATCAGTGGTGCGAATGCCGGCCTCCTCCATTTCCCGGCGCACCTTCTGTTCCGCTGCCACGCTAGCGCTCCGCCGGATTTTGTCCAACGAGAACCCCGCGGCGATAAATTCGCTCTCGGAGACTACATCGGCGTTGCACCGACTGCGATCCACGGAGAGGTCCATTCCCTTCACCGCGTTCTGCAGTCCGTTCCGCGTTAAGACAAAATTGGACACCATCTGGTCGCTGTCCCCGTGGTAGAAGTCCTTCGTGATGGGGAAGAGGTTGAGCCACTCGAATTGCATCTTCCAGGCGTAGTGGAGGTGCGTGCCGATGTGGACTCTTTTTACGTGCTTGTTCAGGATTTTCTCGAAATTCTTTTGCACAACACTCCAATCGTCGTTGGCAAAGAGGTAATACTCCGCTCCCTCGATGTCCACGTCAAGAAGGTCAATGATGCGACTGTTTTTGGTAGTACTTTTACCGCCAATAAGGCCGTACAATCGGAGTAACCCAGGTAAATCATCCTTCCAGTTGTGCAGGAGCTCGTTGTAGGGCTGTTTTGCCTTCTCATCTTCTTGCTGCTTCATGCGTCGCAGGCCCCACCAGGCGGGCTATGGGAAAGGAAAACCACGAAAGCACCACTCGCGAAACTTCGAGGCCGCTCGTAAGTAATGAGAGACCCAGAGACATCATAGTCAGTAGATAAAAGCGAGGGGTGGCGAGGATGTCTCTTTTCCCATATCCCCCAGCTGTGTTGCATTTGTGCTGCACGATAAAGCTCGCGGCCGAAGAAGCCGGCGTGAAAATCGAGAGAGCCGCACTTCTGGATGTTTCGAACAGGACCTGAATCGCCATGGTTGATATTCATTTTTCCACCACGACCGGCCATTTTTGTTTTGTTGCAGAATCTTTCCATACCTTTGTGCTTCCGCTTCAACCCATGAATCCTTCCCCGCCGGATCCCGTTATGCCTCGCCATCTCCGAAACCGTCGGCCCGAGCGCCTGTACCGCGTCGACCAGGAGATACCGGTAGCAAAAATCCTGGTCAAGCTCAGTTCCATATTCTGCATTTCCTTCTTCCCCGTCCGCCTGATCGAGTCCGCCTCCTCTCGCGAGCCACATCCGGTGCCGCAGCTGCTGCTGGACCGCTTTGTGCGCTGCGAGGGTCCAGTGTCCGTACCCTGAGCCCAGCTCAACGACGGTGAAGGGGCGCCGGCAGTTGATGCACAGCGGTCGGGCGGTTGTGGGGCTGGTGTTTGCGTTCTGAGAGTGCGCTTCCAGCATCTCCGCGCCCACTTTCGGAATCGGGAGGTCGAAATTTGCATCGACGTACTCCTTTGCGGCAGACAGAACAGAGACGTATTCGAAGTACTCCTCGGAAATACCGGGCCAGGAGGTCTGCAGCGACGTTCTGGATTTTTTTCCCTCGCCATTGACCGTTCTTTCACCGCTGCTGCCAACGTGATTGAAAGTTCCGTGCTCTTTGTCTTTCCGACGAGCTGTGTCAGTTCTCGCAAGTACAGCCTCCCGAAACGCCTCGCACTGCTTCCGCCGTAGCGAATGGGCCTGCTGCTGCCGTATAGCCTCGATGTCGTCGCCGTATTTCTTGTTGCAGAAAATGCGGTAGGGGTATCGAACTCCCATAAAGTCAGGGATTATTTGCTTGTCATCGAACGCGAAAAGGCTGCCTTCCTCGCGTTTTCCTTTGGACGGAAACTCAACGGCACTAGCAGCCTCAGTCGGTATTTTTGGGCGCGACCATTCTGCGGATTTTTGCGGACCTTCAGGGTGATTGCTTGTGCCATCACCATATTCGTCCGTGCCGCTCTTTGGAACGTCCTCAAAGAAAAACGCGTCGGCCTCGCTTTTGCTGCTTTCTACATCGGCTTCCGTAATGACAAATGGCCAATATCCAATAGTCGGAGAAAAAATCGGGTGGTGTGCCACAATCTCACCAGTGAGGTCGTTTCTCGTGTAGGTTTCCACGACTAATTGCTCGCCGGGAGCAACATCTAGTGCGGCGATTGAGACGAGATTGAGCGACAAAACCACGGAGAGAAAAAACAAGGAGAAACGAAACATTTTTTTGGAGACAAGTGACATTTGCTGCCCCTTTTGCAGAGGACCTTTTGGCGGACTCTCACTTCATATCTTGGTCTTCGTCTTCCAGAAAGAGAGAGTCAGGCCTACATACGACCTTAGCACAGACTTCTCTCTCGATGCGGCCCTAGAGGCGAAAACGATGCAGCGCATCAAATAGATATCGTACATGCACCGAGAAAGGAAGTGGTCCTGAACAAAGTACCTCGACATCATGGCACCGCTGTTGCGGCTCTCCGTCAGAAGCCCGTAACGCCCCAAAGACCTTCTCGAATGAAATGGGGAGTACTTCAACCTTCAGAATGAATCAAACATAAACATTCGTTGACTTATCATGCGGTGGAACTTCAAATAGTCGTCAAAACTTGGGAAGAAGCGAGAGCGAGAGGGGATTAATTTTTGTAAAACATACGTTGCAGGACGGTGGGGGTGTAAAATTTCACTTGCTGCAACAACGGTCTTTAGAAAACGGGCAAGAACATGCCTGAAGCGGGGTCCGCCTAGACAACAAAATCGCGATTGAAAATAAATTGCACTGCAGAGGAAATTCAACGTAAACTCTGCACCAGCGATAAACAATGTTGTAGCTACTGTACGTATAAAAAAATCAAAATCTAGTGTAAGACGCCACCTATTCATGTGAGCAGCTCTGCATCGAGCTTGAGAGGTGCTGGCTTTTCCCCGGGACCGCCCGGTGCGATATCCACAGGCGTCGTCTGCAGTCGGTCCTCTGCTGGTGCCGCAGGACTGGCACTCCCTGCCGCCTCTTTCGAAACACTTTTATTTGCCAATCCACTTCTCGGACTTTTCCCCCTTGCCGAGCTCAACGGGCTACTGGCGTTGCTGAGCGCGTGCTTTTCCCGCAACAGTGCCTCTCTTGGGGACTCGAAGTTCCCACCAGATTTTATCCGCGGACTGGGTGAGGGCGACATTTCGTCCTCGTGCACTTCTAAAAAGGTCCTCAAGATAGGCTTCTTCAGCAGTTTCGCGGCCGCATTATCGAACATATTTTTCGCTCTTGGCCGGTGCTTCTTCTTCGACAACCCCTTGAGGCCGACGCGGCCGAGCGTCGCTTTTGCCTTCAAACGCTCCACACGCCCGAAGTACCGATCGCCGCCGTTGCCTGATAATTGAAGTTTTTGTCAAGATGAGAGTCAGCAGATTTTCTTTTGGCGTGCAGCTAGACTGAAGAAAACACAACACAACAAAAACACTATACGCAAAATCAAAAAAATCAGTACGGATCATGGTTTCCGGATCTGGCGTTTTGTAGCTGACGACGACGTCCTTGGACGGTTTTTCCGTGATTGTTCCACTGGGATCCTTCTTCTTCTCACCGTCCTCATCGTCGTCCTCCACATTCCCCGCGGTCTGTCCGAAGTTCTGCCGCAGCATGAGCTTCGTCTTCGCGAAGAACCGCGCTTTCGCGAGGAGTTTCTTTTTCCGCTGTTGGAACGATGCGATGGACAACGCCTCACACAAGGTCGGCGGCAACACGTGCCACGGTTGCGGCGGCAGCGGGTCGTCCGTGTACTTCGGCGGCTCGCCGTCCGGCATGAATTTTACCGGTCGGGACACGCTCGGCGTCAACAGCGTCGGATGATATTTCGTCCACGACATGTGGTCTTCCACACTCTGCGCCGAGAACCGCAGTGAGCTGTCCGGACAGGCGAGCAAATCCCCGCACGTCGGCCTGGCCTTCGGCTCCTTCGCGAACAGCAGGCGGAGCAAGGGGAACGCCTTCACGTACCTCTTCGGGAACTTCTCCTCGCCGAATCTGGTCAAATCGGGGACGTCCGTGCCAAAAGTGACAACTTTTTCCACGTACGCGATCCGTTTGTCCACATCCGTCGCGTTCTTCGGGTAGCTGAACGGCGGCTTCAATGTGCATAATTGCCAGAGAATGTTGCCGATGCCCCACAGGTCGGACTTGCTCGTCACTGCGTCGCCTACGATCACTTCTGGCGGCCAGGAGAGAATATCGTCCTCCTTGATACTGTCCCCGTAGTACCGGAACAGCGCGCTGCCCCAGTCGCCCAGCTTCAACTTGTAAAATTTGCACACGTCGAAGTGCGGGCCGCCCTGGATCGCCGACGGGCCGAGCGGCTCGAGGAAGACGTTGGAGGGTTTGACGTTTCTGTGGATCAAATCGTTGTAATGCAAGTACGCAATCGCGTGCGTCACCTGCGCCACCCAGTAGCTGATGTCCGCCCACTCTAATCTGGGCACGATGTGCTCCTTGATCCCCCGTCGGTGCAACTTTATCCAGGTTTGCAAATCACGGGCTGGTTCAAACGCGGAAATGATGACCAATTCCGTGGACGACCGGTAGCAAGCGAAGAACTTCGTCAAATTTGTGTGTTGCCGCGAAACTTCCCGCAGTCGGGCAAATTCGTCGATGATTTCCATGGCGCGCGTTATCCGGTCGGGTTTTTTCAGCAGCAGATTCTTCATTTTCTGCGTCACGGGCGTGCGTTTTATCAAATACAGGTATTTCAAGTGCTCGTCGTAGTAGTTGTCGACCAAGTCCCTCCTGTGCTGCATCTCCTCCGCGAACTGGCCTTTGTTTTCCACCCGATTGATCGTCCGCGGGCAAGTGATATTCACGGCCGTCATTCCGTAGGGCGAGATGTGCGGCCCGAGCTGCAGTGGCGGGAGTTTCAGCTTCTTTTTCTCGTCTTCATCCTCATTCTCGTCGTCCGTGGACTTATTCAGGAGCGCGGACGACGATTTCTTCACGTCCTTCTCCTCCTTCCCCCCGGAGCTGGGAGAGCTGTGGAGTTCCTTCGCGTCCAGGTCGCTCTTCGACGATCGACTGCTGACGCCCAACCCCCTGGCCGTGTTACGCCGCTCCAGCAGTTTCTTTTGCTGCTTCGCGTTCTCCTGATCCTGGGCGTGGCTGTACTTGATCACCTGCGGGAAGAAATGCGGGACGCCCGGACAAGACTTGAGCTTCTGCAGGTTTGCGGGCGTCAACAGCGTGTTCTGGCCCTCGTACAGCTTCTCCGACTTCTTGTCCCCGGCGAAAGAGACCTTCGGCGCGGACTTTTTGTCGTGCAAACCCCCCAGACCCACGGGTAAAGAATCGCGGCGGATGATGCCGTGCTTCAGCTCGTTATTCCCTTGCAACAGCGTATCCACGTCCACGTCCGGGATCGGCTGCTCGCAATCCACGGTTCGGGCCAGGTCAAACGGCTGGTGCAGTTTCACAGTTCGCGCGTAGTCCCAGTGCGACCAGACGGTCAAGCTGGGGAAGTAAAAGTAGTCCAGTTTTTTCAAGAACTTGTCCGCCTCGGCCGTGCGGGTGGGCGACTCTAGCTCTTGGAGCTTCTTGAACGCGGCATTGAACGCCTTTACGTCCATTTTGGCTAGAAGGCTTTCTTGCTGTATTCAACGGTAATTGTAAAGGGGAAAAATTTGATTATCTCGTAACTTTCGTGATAAGGTGGGGCTGAGTTATAGAAAATGAGAGGTAAAGGGGGAAGAAGAACAGCGTAAGTGCAATCGTGTGGGGGAAAAACTGAGTTGGAAACGGAGATAGAGTAGAACAGATATGCTTGTGCATCATGATTCTACACTTTAGACCCGTAGAGGACATCAACCGGACGAAAACGACGAGGACGACAAGCACGAAGCATTTCCAGCACGCAGAAAAACATCGCACGAAAGAATTGAACGAAGCCTACCGATGCGGAAGCAAACTACATTCGAAGAATGCATGAAGACTCGAATGCACGAAGACGAAGCCAATATAGAACGATGGCACATGTGTATGTGAACGACAAACAGCAGACACTGGCGAGCACAACGGAAACAGAGACACGGCATCTCAAAAATAACGAGTGCGAAACCGAAAAACTAAAGAGTAAAGACACTTTACACGATACGACCAAAAAATACACGATATACGCAAGTCAACATCTTCCTCTCCGTCACCCGCAACAAGTAAAGAGTTTTCAATAAGCGTTGTAAGCAACTTGATTTGAAACAAAATTCATTCTTCTCGTCTATCTTGCGGTTGGTCTTTCATTTTTGCTTTTTCGTTAAATCATCGTACACAGCGAGCAGGCCACGCATCTTTGTAGCAGAAGTTATAGTGATTGAATGGCAATCGTGACCGTACAGAACATAGGAATCCGCGTTCCCGCCCCCGGCTTCCCATCACCTTACAAGTTCCCTTGCACTTCTTTCCCTCGAGCCTCGCCGCGACTCTCCTTCTGGATAGAAGAGCGACGAAGTGGCGTCGTACCGCGAGCCCTTCTCCGTTATGCCGACCGTCGAATTCATATTCGTCCGCAGCGAAGACGTCACTGTTCCAGCACCCCCTATGCCGCCACTCCTGCTCAACCCTTGCTGCTCGTACCGTCCGCGGGGGGACGCGATTCGATATTGAGAGGAAAAATCCCCCCTCCCCATATTGAAAAGGTATGTTTCCAAAAATTTGTGTTGCGGATTTGAGGTCACAAATCACGTCTGTCTTGCAAGAAGACAAGGGCAGAAGCTTCCGCCCCATTATGGAAGCGGTTTGTCATGCTGTTGGGCCTAAAGGGGGGCCGTTTGCCATGCTGAACTACTAGACCCATACGCCCCTACCTAGCCTGGGGATCTGGCCGCAGTGCCTCTCTGCAATACAAAGCTGATTTGTGGTCACAAATCAGCATTCACAAATTTCCGTTTTGATATGGGGAGGGGGGATTTTTCATTTTGATATTCGACTACTCGAGTTCATCGTGCCTATTCGGCTGCCAATGGTCCGATTCAGATCGATGCTGCGATCGTAGGTCCGCGTCCACGGTGGCGGGATAGCCGCGTCCTTGTCTGGAACCAGGTAGGGGGACGAGGACTCGTTCTGTCTTCTAGCCGCGGACGAGAGTATACTGGTATTTCCACCATCCGCACGGGGGCTCCGGTTCGTCGTGATGGAAAAGTTTTGGTTACTTTCCCGAGTTTCGTTTTGGAAATGCTCCTGCTGAAACCTCTGATCGAACATAGCGCGCTCCAACTGCAGAAACCGCCGGTCCATCTCGGCGAGCCGGGATCGCTTGAAATCCAACATCTTGTGTTGCTGCTGAACTAGCATGTTCTCGTACCTGAGGATTACATTTTGACGACTCACAACTCTCGGGAAGGTCAGAGTGTCAACATGCGTAGTACTAACTAAATAGCCCAAACATAACAAAGCGCTCAGTACTTTCGCAGCAAATTCCAGACGCTTTTTGAGAACGTTTCTTGACTTTGCTCTTGCTTGGTGAGCAAATGCACTTCCAGTTTGGTCGCAAATTCCACCAGGTTCTGCTGCGTCTCGGTTTTCAAATCGGTAATTGACTTTTCCAATGTGCGGCACACGCCCCACAGCTCCCGGACTTCGGCCTCGCGAGTAGTCTGGTGTAGGTGGCGTTATGTTTGTAGGAGATGATGAAGTCTGTGTTGCATAGACACGCATGGCACCACTGCGTTGTGATGGCTGGTAGTGCTATGAAAGCTGCAGTGCAATAAACGAAAAGCAATGTACCGCATCCTTCTTCCATTTTGCAACTTCGCCCTCCAGCTTCTTCACGTCTGCGTTTCTCCTCTCCCTTTCCTCCGATATGCTTCGTAAAAACTAGCTACCTGCTCCACCGCTGCCCTTAATCAAGACACTTGTCAAAAATTCTCGCTCAAGTTGTATATTCTGCATCTTGCTGCTGATACGAGTCCAGACAAGCATGATAGCACCACGAGAAGAGCTCAACATCGGGAGCAATAATTTTGCCGTAAAAGCGATGTAGAATTCCGCTGTAGTTTTCACAACCCATACCCAGCACCAGGTCTTCGCACTGTTCCTTGTAGACACCCAGATCCTCCCGGACCTCCATAACGCGGTCGGCGAGATTGCCCATCTTTTCCGCCACACTGGTCGTGATTTCCTGCAACTTCCCTTGGACTTTGTCACTCACGTTCCGCCTGTCTCTTTCCAGTTCCGTGAGCCAGTTGTCCTCCTGGAGCTGCAATACCTCCTGCACTGCGTTGCATATGGATTGCAAAAATGTCTGGGTCTGGAAACTTGTAATGCTGCGTCGGGAATAGTGAAAGCTCTGTAATGCATAGGCAAGCATGAGAAATGCCTGCGCTTCTTTGTGTTGCGTTTTTCGCATGACAAACTGCGTTTTTGCATGACAGGCAAAAGGGTCTCTTCTTGGACACGCATCACAAACTTTTTGGTCATGCCAGACAAGCATGACAAATCTCGCAATCTTCCAGACCCAGACATTTTTGCATTTGATATTGCAGGCGGCAAAGCACTTTTCGAAATTTTTCTCCGCCTCGACGTTCGTGTTGGTTATGCCGACCTTCAGCTTCTCTACTTCGTTCATCACCTCCCCGGTCAGCTGCGTTTCCAGCTGCGTCAGATTGTCGCGCACATTCGAAGCGAACTCCTCGTGTTGATCCAGCGTTACCGGTCGGTTCCCCGGGTTGGGCGGGTTGTACTGCTGCGAGGGGAGAATGGTGTCGGTGGACAAAGAGTTCGGATCCTGCTCTGTGTAGTAGTACAGCGGTTTTGGATTTCTCGCGACGTTTTTCCCGCGGTAGACCGCAGACGCGGCGCGTTGCCGGGCGCGTGCCCGGGTGGAGTTCGGAGGGATGTGAAGCGGGGTTTGGTTGTTGAAACCCACAGCAGTTGCCTGCTTGCGACTGTAGTGCAGTTGTGGCGCGGAGGAGTGCTCCTGTAGCTGTGCCGGGTTGATGTTCCGTTGCGGGAAAGAATGCTGCATGTGATCTGCTCTGCGCAGCCGCTTGTTCGCGGAGGGCGATGAACTCGTCCCCCCTGCAACAAGACTGCTGTAGCTGGTCGCGCCATTGTTCAAGAGCTGGCCACCCTTGCTCGGCGGTGCCCAGGGAATAACGGGCTTGTTCGGATTATCGCGGACGTCCGGATGCACGAAATATGGACCCCTTTCGTGCGGCTGGAAACAACTGCGCAGGTCTTTATAATTCCCGTGGCTCTCTGGTCCTCCTTGCTCGAGCCGTGATCTCGAACTGGCGGTGTCTTGACTTCGGGTACGGCTGCGGGGAGGCGGCAGCTGCGGGGCCCGATCGTGAAGGTCGTAGGGTTCTTCGTTGGTGTTATTTCCTGGTACTTTCCCTCCTTGATGCGTCGACGTGCCTTTATTTTCTTGCGCTTTCATACTATTCGGAAAGTAGAAACCTTTGTCGCGAATCTGCTTCACAAAATTGATCGCGTCGTCCAACTCTGCTGGAGTTGGCCCGGCCGCGGGCCTGGGCGGGAGTGCTGCGTTTGGCTCGTCTCCGTCCGTAATTTGTTGTGACCGGTGTTCTTGCAGATCCTGCGGCGAGCGAGGCACTTCAGATTCCTTGCTGGAACTGGCGCCCTTCTCTTCCTGCGAGCGCGAGGACATCGCGGGCTTTTTCGAAAAGGTGTCCAGTCCGAGCACGCGGAAGCGCTCCCGCAGCACTTCCCCAGCGCTTTTGTGAGCAGAGCGCATGATGTTTTTTTCTGCGTTACGTCGGCGGGCAAATTCTCTAGATCTTCATCTTTCACCACGCGCAGACAACGAAAGCACTCTCTTGCTGAGTAGCTTAGTACACCTTACTGGAAGATAGCATGAGGCGTTACGCACACACGCACACGGAACAAAGAGACAAGCAAAGATGGCCAACGCCAAAAACGCTAGAAGCAAATGCGCTCCCACTCGCAACACCGTCTGTTTTGGATAATTACACACTCCGCTCTTCACTGTTCAAGCAAAGCCGTGGGCAAGTAGCCTCGTCTCAGCGCAGGGAAATACTACATCCATACCACTTAGACGCCAGCTTAGGAACACGGGAGGCCGGAGGTGAAGGACTTATCGCTGTGTTGCATAGGTAGCAGATGTAGTCGCACCACAGAGGTGCTATGAATAGTTGTGATATTTGTCGCGAAAAGGCAACGTCGCGCTCGCCTTCATGTCTCGTTCGCTTTCACCATTCCGCCTACACAATTGCGAATAAAGCGAAAAATTCGTGCAGGATTTTGTTTGTCGCCAAGTCGCCTCTACTAGAGGATCTAAGACTCTCTCAGTCGTAATCCCCCTCGAGGCGACATGCCGTTCTCACGGCGTGCGCAATGTCGGGGTTTTCCATGGCAGCGTATCTTCTTTCCTTGTCGTTGAGTTGCTTCGTGACGGCGTCCCCGCTGTTGTGCGAGCCTTCCAGAATTTGGATGGAGAACTTGGGGAAGCCGCTGTCCGTCGGAATGTCTATCAAATGTAAAAATGTCTGGGTCTGGAAACTTGTGATGCTGGGGGGCGTCTCATGATGAGGCTACAAATGCTGGCTCAGCATGACAAGTTTCTGAGCTCCTAGGTGTTGCCTATTCTGCATGACAAACTGCGCTTCTGCATCACACAAAAGCGGAGCTCTTGGGTAACATGCATGACAGATTTAAGAGTCATGCCAGACAAGCATGACAAACCTTGCATCCTTCCAGACCCAGACATTTTTGCAATCCATAATGTCTTCCCGCAGTTTGTGCATGATCGCCAGCCCGATCAGGGTTGCCAGGCTGCAAACGGGCGAGGTCGGCTTGAAAGTCACGTTGATGTACTTTGCTTGTAAGGAGGAGGACGGCGGGTGTGGAGAATCTTGCGGAGACACAAAATTTGCAACTGTTGTTCTATCTTCGTCCACGTCCATTTTCGTGTCGAGATCGCCGAAATTCGTTATGCTGTAGTAGGTGCCGGAACTGTCCTGCAACGACCGCTCGTCCTGCTGTTGACCGCCCGTACTTATTCTCTCCTGCTCTGACGAGTTGCAGCACGAGGTCTTACTCGCGGCTGTTGTACCAGCTGCACCGGCCTGGTGGTCTCCACCACAGCACCCGCTTCCGTTATTACTGCTACAAGAATTGCCGTTCTGCGCAGTGGTCTTTTTCAGTTGTGTTTTGCACAATTTCCCCTCGCTGTCGGTAACGACAATGCCCTCCGGGTACACCACCTCCAATTCTTCTAACGTATACGGCTTTTCTGGATCTTGGATCGTGCGCAAACTGAGGTACACCTCCTCCGCCAGCGGATGGCCCCAGTGGTAGTTGGTGGAGCAAAATTCCTCCTCCTGCTCTTCATCCTGTTCCCGGGTCTCCAGGTTGGGGTTATCGTTGCCGCAAGACATGTTTTTGTCTGTGCGCTTCCCGGATTTTTCAAAAGGAGAAACACTTTAAGTCTAACAATCAGAAGTAAGTAACCTTGACAGCGTGTGGGGCACGGCACGAGTCAGGGGGTTTGCGATTGAGTAAAGACAGCACAGACGACAAAAAATAAAAACAGAAGGGGTATTGTCGCGTATATTATGGTCTATTTCCAACACAGATTCCTCGACCTGAGATTTTTTTTTCGAAAACGATGAAAGAGGCAAGGGCACGATCACGATGCTGGTGTTCATTCTGTCACACGGAAAGATATTCATTTGAAGATCTTCTACTGCGGCAAAAATTGAACCGAGCTGTTGACTCACATCCTCAATCATGGCCTGCTTATGTCCCGCGAACAGTAAACTTCTCGACCTCGATAATGCGCAGCTTCTAGGGTTGGCTGTTATTTCCGATTTCTTTGATGCCTTGCTTTATGCGTTCCCAAATAAACCTCTAGACTTGATCTAAAAATCCGGATTAAAAAATCTTGGCGCAGCAAAGAACAAAGTGGTTTTGTTTGTGGAAAAATAGGATGTGGCTGGGTGGCTGGTTCTTATAAGCGGTGCTGTTGTATTAACGTCGTTACTTTGGCTTGTCTCCTCGGGGCTAAGGTTTTACTAAAACTCCTAGCGTTGAAGACCACAAACACCCTTAAAAACTCTTTTGCTCAAAATACGGTGAAAATGTGAGATCCAGCTGTGACCTCGTTGCGCTCTTTCCCTTGATATTGAACAGAAGCGCGCGGTGAACATATTTAGGTTAAGCAATAGATACGGAAAGGCTGAAAGCGAGTGGGATGCGAAATAGGTTTGTACTGGAGTTTTTCTCGGTACGATGAAACTTCTCAATAACAACATCTCCCGAAGGTTCAAGCGCTTAATACGCCACCGCGAGGCCAGCCCGCGTGGTCTTTGCAATATTACAGTTCGTATCATGAGACGTGATATTTTGCGTATATTTAGGATGAAAACTCAAACTACAGTTTGACACCGCGAGTAATTATGGCTCGCTCTATATTACGTATTTGACGACCAGGACCTTCCTGCTAAACGCTCCCTTGTCCTCACCTTGTGTGACAAGTTTTTTCTTTTTTTTGCATATTCTTCCCGTCCGAACCTGAGCGCACTTTTTGTTCGGACTTTTCGTCTTACGCCAGTCCCTTCTCTTTCATCAATCGCAGCATGTTGGAGCCCAGCTCGGCGGGCGAGGGGGTGACTACCGCCCCCGCAGCTTCCAGGGCCGCGATCTTGTCGCTGGCCTTGCCCTTGCCACCGGAAATGATGGCACCCGCGTGCCCCATGCGTCGCCCTGGCGGCGCAGTGACACCTGTGATAGTAGTTGTTTCATTCTCGGTTTATTTCTGTGAAAATGGTCATCAACATTCGAACAAACATCATACCCAGTTTATATCAGGATGAATTTTATTTGACTCTTCGTACACGGCTCCATCTGGATAGAGCTAGTTTAAGCTTTATACCCGCAATAAAGGACACCACCGGCTTGCCCGTGTTGTTGTGCTTCAACCACTCCGCCGCGTCCTCCTCGGCGGTCCCACCAATTTCGCCAATCATGATGATGCCCTCCGTTTGTGGGTCCTTCACGAATCGCTCCAGGCAGTCGATGAAGTTGGTACCGTTAAACGGGTCCCCGCCAATTCCCACGCACGTGGACTGCCCGAGCCCGGTCACGGTCGTTTGGTGCACCGCTTCGTAAGTCAGCGTACCTGGGCAGGATGGAATAAAACGAAAAGTGAAGCAAAAACAGTCATCAACCGGATGCATCATACAATATGGCAAGAAATCCAATAGTGATTCACTTTGACACGGTCAACGTCGCGAGCTGGTTGTATCTCAAAACACTTGAATACCACTCCTGCTGACGACGCCGATTTTTCCAGCCTGGTGGATATAACCGGGCATGATTCCGATCTTGCACTCGCCGGGCTTGATAATACCGGGGCAGTTCGGGCCAATCAACCGCGTTTTTGTTTGCGTGTTCAATGCATGCAGCACTTTTACCATGTCCTGCTGCGGAATACCTTGCATTTTGTAGTTGATGTGGAAATTACAACTCAATGAAGTACATATTCCTCTACTGCGCTCTCTTCATTTCGCAAGTATTAACACCAATATGATTCTCGTTTTGATTTTGAAGGCAACATGATCGGTTGCATGCACAAGAATTCAATAGCTGCGTCACATTCTTGTGCTGCAACTACCCCCTTCATTACCTTCCGTGATGCACACCACGAGATCCATTTCGGCTTCGATAGCCTCGAGAATGGCGGCCGCAGCACCCGATGGCGGCACGTAGATCACACTAGCATTGGCTCCCGTTTCCTTCTTCGCCTGTTGATTTTGGGTTCATACGTCACCTCTACTGAGTTACCATAAAGGGAAAGGACGAGAGCGGAATGTGGTGGATATTATGTATGATTCACTTGTATTCTTATTACGTGTAAACCACCCAAACACGACGGCGCATCAAAAAATCATACGCCTGTTAAAGTAGACATAGAGGCCTACTTATTGCTGTGACAGTGAAACCTATGTTGCCTCTCAAAGGTGGAACAAAGAATCTACCGATTGCAGGTCGGCGAAGACCGGGCGGTCCAAGTGCATGGTCCCTGCCTTTTTTGGGTTGATCCCGCCTACCACGTTGGTGCCGTACTCGATGGCCTGCTTCGTGTGGAAGGTTCCCTGGCCACCGGTCATACCCTGCACCAGCAGTTTCGTGTTCTTGTCCACGAACACAGCCGCCGTCGCGCTGAAATTTCGGCTTTGCTGCGAGCTGAAGGACGACCGCGCCGAGGCACCAACGCTGCCCAGCACGCGGTTGGACATCAATTTAGACAGCATTTTGTGCGCTTGCTTTTGGCGCTGCTGTTTTTTGCTATTTGTATTCTATGTTGAGTATCTTACGACGACGTACTTTGGTCTGTTTCGCGTGACGGAGTGCCCGTAGCTTTTGTGGAGAAAGTCGTGATGATGAGTAGTTCTTCTAGCTTTATTCGCTAGTACATACAAAATTTAGAAACAGTGCACAAAGTTCTTTCGGGGTACTTGATGAGCTCTCGTGAGTTTGCTGAGCTGTCAAACCCAGTCTCCTGTAAAGTTGTGTCATGGAAACAACGCTTTACACATAGGCAGTTACTTTTACGTAGTGCGAGCGTGTTCGTACAGCAAGACACCATAGGGAAGAAAACAAACGGCTCTCTCGCTCACACACAAAGCTCAATTGAAAAATCTTGAACCAACGGGGAAGATACATGTGGCAAAAAAAGGCTCAAAAAACACTACACGTAACCGAATTCGCAAAGAAAGCAAGACCGAGTTTTTCGAAAAGAATTCCTTCAGGCAAACAGACCAAACATGTTCTCTCGGAGACCGACACCGTGGTTCTGATTTGAAACTATCTTATTGAGTTCATATAAAGACTACTCGAAGTGGGACGAAACCGATTAGAGCAATCGTTCCGTATGATGAATGGTATGTAAGTAACTCCACTCTACGCAGTATCTTGTCTGTCACGAGAAATCTTTTCTATTTTTCCGCACTTTGCTTACTGGTTGCTGGTACATTCTTCTCAAAGGCTTGACCTTGCGTACTTCTGCTTCTATTTCACTTCGCACAACTTCTACTTCAAGAAAGTGCTTCCATATAGAATTCCGGCTGCACCTCTCACAGAACTACTTTGTGACTTGGTAATTCATTAGTCCGAACAGGCAAAAACCGTTCATCTTAATCTTCATCCTCGGCTCCGAGGCCGGGATCCCGGAAACAATCCTAGCTAGGGCTTCGAGGTGGTCGTCCCTCCAGCTTTTAGTGATCATCAAACTCCCCCGCCTCCGAGTCTTCCGCTGTTGACAGCAGCCGTTTCACCTTTTCGATTTGCGCGTGAAACAGCTGCAAATTCCGCTCCTCCTCGCGCAGGGCCCGGCGCCGCGCTCGCAGTTCTGCTTCGGCCTGCTGAATCTGGTGTGCGACAAATGCAGGCTCCAGATCCAGTTCCCGCAGCTCTTTCACGCTAGCTTGCTGCAGGGCGTCGTACCCACAGGTGGTGCCCGATTCGAATAGCCCGTCGCGAAACAACAAGGAAAGCCACTTCTTGGCGGGGCTAGGCTGTGATGGAAGTAAATCGCTTCTAGAAGTTGTGAGCTGTTTCTCTTTCTCGCGTGCAGTCTGACCAGGAATTGACCCGATTCGATGGTTTCCTGGTTCTGTCGCCGACGTCGTGTTGTGCGAAAGATAATTTGCTGCAAGTTTCTTTTCTTGCGACGTTGTGGCGGAATAAAATCGTTCTTGTGCGTCGAGCACCTCCTTCATGTGAGATGAGAAAGCATCTCCCTGTCCTTCAGAAAAAAACTTCCCTTTCGTTCCCAGCGTGTTCGTCGAGTGTGGCCACTTACTTTTGTTTTCGATTTCGCCGCCACGTGGTGCTTCAACCTGAGTTTCCTGAGCCAACGAGTCGTCTTTCTTCGGAGCAAGTCCTGTTCCTTTGCCAGCTTTGATGCTCCCGTTATTTTCTCCCTGCTGCAAAAATTGTACCTGCCGCAAGTGAACCTTTTCCCAGGCAAAACTCGCATCCGATGTGGAGCTACTGTCGGAATCAGAGTCTTCACAATCGCTCCCCAATAAAGAATCAATCTCCACTGGTCTGTAGTGCGCATCATCACGAGACCGTTTTTCCAATAAAGATGCATCAGAATCAGTTCTTTTCCAATCGGCGAAATTGACCCCAAAATCCGAATGCCGCTGCACTTTGCGGCCTTTTGGGTCGCTACCTTTCTCACTGTTGCCCTTTGATGGATGTCGCCGATAGTGCTGGTTCTGGTGGCACTCCGACGTTGACACAGGCTCGCGGGATTGTTGCGCTTTCAGGCTGGAGAAGGTTCATGTGGTAGTTAAGTTTCCATTTACTAGGTGAAAGTAGTTACGAATATCTAGAAAATTCTAAAAAAAAACATTCACCAAATGCAGCCTCCCCAGTCGCTAGCTCACCAGAATTTTCACAACATTTGAGAACTCATCGTCTTAGTCTTACCTGATAGCGCTACTAGTCTGCTTTCCCGCGCCCCTCTTCATGGAAGATGCCGCCCTCGCATCTTGGGTGGAGTCGCTGTCGGAAGAGGACGTCCCACTCGCTCTGGCTTCCTCCCTCGCTTCGACTTCCCCGACACCGCCTCCCCCCGGGCATGATTTATTTTCTTCCGCAGTTGCCTTCTGCGCTGCAGAGTCCTCCTCCCCGGAGCAGTCCGGATTCAATCTTCCATTGTCGCTGGAAAAAAATTCGTCCTTGTCGTTACACCTCTGCATCAACACTTTAAAGGCCTTCTCTGCGATGCTTTCCTCCGCTTCGCGCAGCTTCGCGAACAGGTCCTCCGGCTCAGGTTGCACGGGCTTTTCCCCCAACAGCGCCGGTATTTTCACCGAACACCGCCACTTTGTCACCTTGATATCGCGCGGGTTCCTTGGCCGTTTCTGCTGTTTCTTGTTTGCAGACGAGTTGTTGCGTCTACTCGTACCTGCCATAGAAGTTGCAGCTCCCGACTGCTCCAGACCAGTCGGGAGCTTCCCGTCTGAAGTTTCGGGACCACCGTCGAGCAGCGCGACGTTCCCAGATGCAACATGCAGCAATAATTCTGAACCGCCCCCAGCACAGGTCACCGCTTGCAGTTGTGGCTCCAGCACCTCAATGGCGTGTCGCGTGTCGAGTATGGGGTACTAGAGATGTGAACTTTTGACCAACCTAGTTCCATGCCTGAGAAGGCCGCGGTCTATTAGCAACGAACATGCACCGATCTCTTCAGTTGCACTGTGGTGCAGCTGCTTGTGCTGTATACTCCTGAACGATATTTATCGAGGATGTAACATCAACCGCCAAACGATACTACATCTCACCTCCATACACTGCACAAGTTTGTTGTGCGCCGCCGCGTCACCTGCGTTAACTGGTATTTTCCGCTTGTTTTCCCGCACGAGTCTCGCCGTATGCAAGAAAATCCTTTCCGTGTGATCCGAACGAAAAATTGTGCTGCGACTATACTCTTAATGCACAGAGAAAAACTCATACAAAACCAAAAGGAAAAGCAGGACCACTCTAGTTCGAAATAATGCGAATCAGAGCCACAACCGAGGTACTCGTCGCGGAACGAGCCTCCGAATATGAGAAGGACATCACGTAAGGACCCTCCGTAAATGACCAGCAGATTCAGCTTGCTCTTCCAGCTTGTCTCCTCAACTGGGAGTTCGATCTCCCCTACCGCGTCCGCCATTTTGATGTTTTTTTTCGCTATATTATGGCACTTTTCGATTTGTATTTGATACGGGGCATACGTTGTGAAATCAACAACTATAAGCCGTTTGACGAGCTGAGAAATTCTTGCCTGCGCAGCGAGACCGAGAATGGTCGGCAGTCAAATTGAACCACTTAATCACTTCACCCGATTAACATCACTGACTAATGAGGTGAGTGAATCTGAGTCGTACTCGCAAATGCAAAATGCAAACGGTTACAACCCTGCTTGCTTAGCTATTGTGAAGACGAACTGTAGCGATGTTTGCGAAAGACGAAGAGGACGAGGGAGAGTACTAAGTTCGGCGTAGCACCTTATCAACTACTGGCAGACACGTGCTTCGCGACAAACCCGGAATCAAACAATATTCCATCGAAGTCTATGCAACCACCATGTACTTCGCTATCGCTTCTTTTGTTCTTGGTTACAGTGGCATAAGTACTTCACCGCCGACAGATCTCGGGCACAACTGGTTAGTAGTGGCACACTTGATCCAGGCTCTGGCTTGTCAACACACACGATCGCTGCAGCTGCACGCAGTTCTTTTGTCACGAGCTAGACGCAGAGACGAGATCTGCTTCCACACTGACTTCTGCACAAGCGCCCACAAACGGCAATCCTTTATTCCATGACGATCCTTATCGTGATCCTGAATTCAGGTCATCATCTTCCAACAAGAGAGGCCCACGGTATGTAATCTTCGGGATCACCTCGCGTACTGCTTTCTGAGCTCGATGTGGACCTACCGAAAACTAACTTTTCCTGGGGTCGAACACCTCCTGCCCCAATTCCGCGCTGCAAAGCCGTGCTTTCACACGACGGATCATTGCTTCCGAAAGCAGCAGTACCCTCGATTATGGATTTTAGTTTTCATCTTTTAACTTTTTGTTTTTTATTTCCTTCGATGAGATCAGGCATCTTCAATCACCTCCTTCATTTCCCGGACATGCTTCCAGCGAGGTCCTGCAGCTTTGGCGGCACTTTCAAAATTTCCAACAGAGTCACTTTTGCCTCCAGGGAACTCAACACGCGTTGCCTTGTGCTCTCGGATGAATCACCACCCTCTAAACCGCATGTGCTTGCTGGCAGTAGCGACGCAAAATTCACCTGCAAGCAGGCATCAGCCTTAATATCTTCCTCGAGCGTGGAACGGCCTGTGACCACTACGGTCTTCCGAAAGTTGTCGCCCACGGAGAGTTCCGCCCGCACGCTGAGCCCCGGGTAGCCCAGCCGAAAGAAGAGGAGTCCAAAATTTTCGTGCGGGTAGTTCGGCAGGCACTCGAGCCAGAAATCGCCCAGGTGCACATGAAAAAGTCGGAAGGGGGTACTTACCAGAGTTTGGCTGGCGAGCAACCTGAACGAAATTATTTTACGCAGTTTCTACATCAAACCAAAAACTTCGGAACACAGTTTTCGCTCGTCCACGTATTTATGTAAGTGTGGTGACGGCTCCTCATGTGGTTATCGGAATCAAATCAAGAAGTGAAATGCAGAACATACAAGAAAACGCATTTCAACGTATACAGTTCGTTTGCGTTTTCCATAGACGTTGCGGTGGCAGCGAGCTGCGGGGCGACTCGGTCCTTCGGAAACAGTGCGTGCCCCTGCGGAGACCTTAAGCGCCAGCGGGCAGAAAGCTCTCCATCCACTTGCACGGTCTGCAGGATTTCCTTCTCGTGGTCCACTTCCTTCGCACTACTATTTCCGTTTTCAGTCTGTCCTGCTTCTCCGTTTTCTTTCATTCCTGCTGCAAAACTTCCCCCGTCGTGTCGAACAAACTGTGCACTGCTTCCAGCACCTTCTGGCTCCTCTATGCATTCCACTTCGAAGCTCTGCCCGGCATCTTCTACCTGAAGACCTTCGTCGCCTGCTCGGGAAAAAGTTGGTATTTCGATGGTATCGCTGATCGCACTCAAAGGCGAGCGATGGGCTTCCTTTTCGTTCACCAAAACGCGGAGCGTGATGCTCTTTTTACCAGCACCACCTGGGTTTACTTGATGCGTTGCCGAGTCGCTTGTTGGCGCACTTTCAGAACTTGAGGTAGAAGACTTAGCACCACCACGGATAATTCCTACTGCAGACTGTGCCTGCGGGGTGTGAGTCTGCCACACGTTTAGAAAAAACCTTCCAGATGACACAGAGGCTCCTGAGCTTGCACCACTTCCGGAAGATTTATCTTCCCCCGTAGTCGTGGTGTTCTCGCTGCCGGCCCCGCTCTCCTCCGGTAGGTCTTTCCGCAGCAATTCCAGCCGCACAGACGTGTTGCTACCTGGAAGTGTGAACGTCGAACTAGTGGTGCTCTGAAAAAAGGGTGGCGGGTTTCTCACGGTCCACCTGTAGCCCGCCGGTATCTTCTCCGTGACATTCCGATGGCGCAGAAGTGACTTCGGCGTCGGAAACTTCCTGGTTAGGTCATTTGCCAATCGCTGCATGGTCTTTATGTTTCTGTCACAAGATTTTTGAAAAAAAAACGCAAGCAACTTTAAGCGATGATGGTGTTCCGCAAGGGCGGAATATTCTCAAAAACAAAAAGGTTTTAGGACATGGTATCGCGAAGCAGCTAAGGTGCAGCTTGAGGCAGTGCTACAACAAGCTAGAAGTTTCTAACAATTTGAGTTTGATTCTGGACTAATTAGAAAAGATTTCATACGCATAGAAACCGAAGGACGTGCTACTTTTTAGCACGCATCGCAGCGTTTTTCACACCGCGGATTCTCCTCGACAACGATGCCTGACCATTAAATGGTGTGCAAAAGATCGAGCCTTGAAGACCGAAAACGCAAAAACAGTTTCGAGATCAACCCTTTACTCGCACCTTATGGCAAAAAGAGTTTCGAGATCAATAAAGCATGGACCACCGTTTTTTCAGTTTTTCATTTGTCTCGAAACCCGTAAATGCTGTCTTCCATCTATGATCTCCGGATCAAGGTGTGCGCGTTGAAGACAAGCGCAACCGCAATAAAGCTTGTGAGTTGTGCCGTACGTCGCAAACACAGATACCATGCACTGTCCACTTCTGTTTATCTCCGAGAACAAAATGGTCGGCGACAAAAGTTTCGTTGCTCACAGTAGAGCCGTGCGTGGAGGTAAGAATACCTCTTTTTGTTTCGTGATCATGTTCATGTAAGCAAGCTTTTTCAACATTGGAAGATGAGAGTCACACACCACACTGGAAGCAAAAGTTGCAGAATTCGTCGCTCAAGATAAATCAATATCAGCCGGCACAATATGCCGTGAAGCAGCACGGCACTACAAGAAGTATTCCACGCAGCGTCCGCGTTGCGACTGTTCAACACAATTCGCAAGCAGCGCTTCTACGTTCGGAATCTCTATGCCTTCGCGATCGCCTCGCCGGTAGGGAGCTGCGCCAGAATCTCTTCGACGGACTGTTCCAGCTGACTTGACCTGGGAGGCAGGTCGTCCTTGCTCTGCAGCACGTCGGGAATCAGCTTGCGGCACTTGTCCAGGTCCCGCTCTGCCGCGGCACGCAGGTATTCCGTAGAGAGCCGGTCGTCCGTGAAGGACGTCGTGTTGCTGCTTGCCATAATGTTGATCATTGCCGTGTGAACAAAGGACCAAAGGTGCTCTGCTTTCGGGTTCAAGACCAGGGAGGAAAGGTAGAACCTGTGTGGAGTGAGGGTCAACATTTTTTTATTTTTTCCTAATTTCTTCCTTCAAAACAGGAGCGACGATACCAGACTGCAGATGCGGGCAATAAAAGTTGCAGAGCCAAAACGTCGCAAAAATCATATTACGGCTATTTACAATAAATGTCTACCTTGCCGCGTCTTCGTGGTGGCCAATGTTGGAGTTTGCTATTGCCAAGTTGCTCCAGGTTCGCGCGTAGTTCGGTTTCAGCGACAGGGCCTGGTGGTAGCAGAGCTGCGCCGCCTCTGAGTTTCCGCTATTGGCCAGCGTGGCGCCGAGCTTGTTCCAAATAGAAAAATCGAGCGGCGAGCGCCGCACGGCTTCCCGCAGGGCTTCGACGGCTTGGCCGAAGTTGCGCGACACGTTCTCGACCACGCCAAGCGCGACGAACACCTGCGCTTCCTGCTTGTTCGCCTCCGCACTTTGCTGTTCCCCGGCCGTTCCGCCCGCTCGTGCCAAAATCGAGTCCGCGGCGCTGTGGAGCAAGCTGGACACTTCGCCACGGAGTTTTTCGAAATCGCTGAGGTCCAACAGGTCCGCGGCGTCGGGCTTGGACGAGCTCGACGGTTTTTCGTGGACCAGGTGCCCGTAGTCCTCGTGGGATTCCACCCACTTGTACAGGTAGCGCAACGCCTCAACCTGGTCCAGCTCGTTCGTGCAAGAAACGCCCAGCTGGAGAAGGGAGTCCAGGTTGTAACTGTGGGTTGTCGATTGTTTAGCAATTAATTTTGTCTGATCTGCAGCACGGTGCGGTCTATCTCCACGACAGGCAATGAAGTAGATATACATAAGTAGAAACGACTTCAACATTGGTACGACGCAAAGTATACTAGACCGAAACAACAAGGGGATCGAAAATGATTGAATCAAGATTCAAAAACATACGGGTCAGCTTCGTGTCCCTTGACGAGGCATTTTATGGCTTCTATGTCTTGATCCAGGTTTGCGTACAGCTGCCCGAGCAAACACCAGCCTTCACTGCTGTCGGCGTTGCGCTGCACCTCGATCTCCAGCACCTGTATGGCCTCCTGGTCCTTGCCCTCCGCGATGAGTTTCAGAGCCAGTTCCATAGGCGACTCGGGAGAAGGTACTGTTTGCCCCGCCGCCGCGGGACCGTCTATGGATTGTAAAAGTGTCTGGGTCTGGAAAATTGCAACTTGTCATGCTGTCTTTGGATCCCAAAAAAATCTGTATTGCGTGACCAGCAACAGGGGTCCAGTTTGTGTTACGCGGAGAGGGCATTTGTCATGCCGAATAGGCATCAGGAAGCCCTCTAAAAATCTGTGATGCTAGATCATGCATTACATGAATCATGGATCGATCATACAAAATATGCATCACAAATCCCGGAATCTTCCAGACCCAGACATTTTTACATTTGATACCGTCGGCTGCCAGCGGAAACCTCTCCAAATACGGGTTGTTCTGCATGAAGGTGTATCTAATGCAAAAATGTCTGGGTCTACGTCTAGATTTGTCATGCATATTTCGGATCACGCAAACCAAATGGCGTCTGATGCAGGCAAAAGCATCACAGGTTTTGAGCACGCCTCACGATGCCTCTCCCGCATGAGAAACTTCCTACTTGCATGCCAAGAAATGGACAGCTTTTGGCGCTCATGCAACACAAATTTTTGTGTGTTCCAGAGTTTGCATCACAAGTTCCAACCCTTCCAGACCCAGACACTTTTACATTTGATAAGGTGTACTCGGAAATCTGCGACACCCCCGGGCCCCAAATGGTGGCTCCGGGGTCCTGCGGCTGCAGAGACTGCATGAAGGACTCTGGCGGCCCGTCGGCCGTCATCGCAGACTCGAACATGCTGGCGCCCATTTCCTCCTCCGCCGCGCGCCACGCCTCCTCGAACATTTCCTCCGTGAACTGATCCGCCTGCATCAGCCCGTCTCCGGCCATTTCTGGCACATTCCCTGGGATCATTTCCTGAACCTCTCCGCCTGAATTTTTCAAGTTCGCAGTCGTGCTGTCCGCGTGCTGATTCGCGGCTTCCAGGTCGTACAGCGAGTCCCAATCTATTTCCAGTCCCTCGGCGTCGACGACAGTGTTTTCGCTGGTGAACTTCAGGTCTCCCTTAGTCACCTTGTCGATGAAGGACACGAACTGACTCGTGGCGAACTTGGGATTACCCGAGTTCCTTAGGTATTCCACCATCTGCTCCGCCGCACTGAAATCCGTGGTTTGATTCCCGTCTACTAGCGGGCCCTGCGGACCGACCTCCTCCAGCGCGCCCCGCGTGCTCGACAGCCTCTCTGTGACCACCCCCGCGTCTGGGTCGGCGGGGAGCAGTTTTGAGCTCGCCGACGTGCTGGTGCTGCTCGAAGACGCTTGTTGGCCGGACGAGGTGACGCCGTCGCCGGCACGGAGGTCTTGCTGCTTGCTCCCGGAAGCGGACGACGAGGACTTTTGATGCGCCGCGTTGGATGACGTTATTGACCGGGACTGCGGGTGGTAATTCTGCAGGGGGTGCTGCTGCCCGCCCATGTAGGCGTTGTTGTACATCATCGGGCCGGCCATCGCGGGCATCATCATCGCCGGGGGCATCATCATCATCGGTCCCCCCATGGCGGGCCCCTGCATTGCCATGGGATTGGCGGAGCTCATGGCAGCTGCAGCTCCCGCGGCGCCGAGGTGTTGCGGCAAGGCGTTGTTTTGCTGGAGCACCGCTGCGGACGGTGGCAGGGGGCCTCTGCTGGCCATCGCACCGCCGGCGCCCCACGCGCTCTCCATAGTACTTTCGGGATTCATCATCGGCCTGCTGCTGAGGCTGTGGTCCTGAGCGAAAAACTCCGGCGGCGGCAGCACCTGGTCTGGTCCCAGTGCCCCGGCACCGCCTGTAGCCATGTGCGCGCGAAACTGGTCCTGCAGGGTGGGTTGCGGCAGCCCGCCGCCCGGCTGCAGGGGGACGGGACCCATGCCGCCCGGCTGGGGAAACAGGGGCTGCGCCTTGTTGCCCGCGGCGAAGGGGCCGCCCGTCATGCTCTGCGCGAAGTTGCCGACGGCCGACTGCGGCAAACTGCCGTCGCAGTTCGCGGCCCCATTGCTGCCCAGCAAATCGCCCAGCATGATAACTCCCCTTGGCGTCCGGAAAAGGGAAAGGCGAGTGCTCACGCAGAAAATAGCAGAGAGAGGGCCTTAGCCTTGTATCATCACATTATGTCGTTTTTAACATAAACCGGAGTAAAGTGTGTGCATGTGCTACTAGTAGTCTCAAGCGCATTACAACGTGCGGAAAAAACACCTCACAAAATTAACTAGTACGCCAACCTGTGCTAGCAGCTACGCGATGAAGCTAAAAAGATTGTGCGGGTACAAGATACTCGAGTTGCTGAAATTGATGCCCACTAGTCGAACTTGCTGAGTAAGTTCTACGTCGTTCGCCTCCAGACAAAACTAAAGCTACATGTAGATGTACGTTCGCACGCCAAAGATAAATGATCAAGCGCTGGATTGAAGTTTTCGCCTCAAACGCTGCGACGCAGGCATGCGAACCAGCAGAAAGCTTGTCACCATAGAGGAGCACGCTTTATCTATTCCGCGTTTGGCTTTGGAGATATCAACATGGACATCGACATGCGCAATAAAGTTTCAAAAAAATAGAAAACCGACACTGCTACAAATTGCTTTTGCAAAATTTTCCTTCTCGTCTGGTTGTATTCCAAACTACTTCCGGCTCTGGCCGCACGAAAAAACGAACACATTCCGCTGCAGTGGATGCGAAGTAAAAGTGTAACTCCCACCTTGAAATAAATGGGGGAGATGATCAAGAATCCACGATCCTGAGAAACCTTTTCTACGAAATTCGTTTTGTATCGGGCTTGCGACTTACGTATCTTACTCTTAGTTTCTCTTTCTTATTTTGTGCAAAAAATAACAAATGCTTGCTTCGGGTTGCGCTTGCGCTTTCGAAATACCTGCAAAAAATAACAAATGCTCGCTTGAAATCAGGATGCTGATGTGCTGTAACAGGAAACAAAAAAAGCAACGAGGGCTACTCAAATAGCGAAATTGTGACTTGTCAGGGCTGACTGACGTCTGGATCATAAGGGGTAAAGAGGTGCGCGTTTTCGGAGGTAGCCATGAAAAAATAGCAGTTCAACAAAAAAAGTGCAAAAATGTGTCTGTTAAACACGTGAAATGGCAAGTGCGAATTCGAATCTGAAGATGATGATGATCATGTGCAAAAAATAACAAATGCTCGCTGAGGCGAGTTTGGATGTCAAAGTGTAAAAATGTGAAAAATACAAACGGTGCAAAAATGTAATGTCAGTGTGACTGTGCGAAGAAAATAATGTGCAAAAAATAACAAATGCTCGCTGAAGACAAGAAATTGAAAGGAAAACTCTAAGAGAAACTACGCAGTTATCCGCGCGCCTCAAGTACCGGAACGACAAAATAACTGCGGTTCTGACTCCAGGCTTCTCAAAAATCGTTTCGGAAAAAGCTATGATTCATTTTCTCCAAAACAACTCAGAAGTCGTACTGATCGTCGGCCTCCGCTTCCGCCATGTCTTGCACGATGTCCCGCGTGCGGAAATCGGTCATGGTGGGTGGCCCCTTGGCCTTGACAGGGTCGAAGTTAGGCTGCTTCGTCCAGAAGCCCGGGCGGTTTTTGCTGCCCGAGGAGGTCTTCAGGGAGAACATGGAGCGCCAGAAGGGGTGGTAGCCGTCCGCCTGTTCCACAACATCGTCGTCCGGGTGGATCTGGATGCGGAAAGCGTCCCGGCGGGTATCTTTATTCCCCGCCGCCATGCGGAGCTGCAGGTTCGGGCTGTAGTCCCGCTCCTCGGTTCGCTTCTTGGCGCCCAGCAGCCTCCGCCGCCGCTCGCGCTCCACGCTGGGCGAGGTGGGGATCTCCTTGGCGCTGCTGTAGCCGCTGCTGGGCTGGTCCATGCTGCGGGCGATGCGGAGCGGGGACCGGCGGCCGGACTGCAGGTAATTCGGCTCGTTCGCAAAGTTGGGCGCCATCTCGCGCAGCGACCCCCGCTTCGGGATCGCCGGATACAGCTCGATTTCCGGCTTCGCACGACCGTCGACGGACCGCGAGGCGGTTTTGTCGCTCTTGCTGCTCGACAAAGTCGTGTTCGCGATCGAACCAATGCCGGTCGGATCCACGTGCACCAGGTCCCGGCGACCGCGGCCGTCGGACAGCGGCAGGATTCCGCCCCACGCGGGGTTCACCAAATTGGTTTTGTTTCCCGAGTTTTTCAGCCGCGCCTGCTCCCGCAGCTCGCGCTCGTGGTTGCGCATCTGGATGTGCTCCGTGAAGTTCCGCCGCACCGGCGACAGGTCCAGCCGCACTCCCGCCTGGTTCAGAGTGAAGTACTCCTTCGGCTCGCCGCCCCGCGTGCGCACGCGCTTCTGCTCCGCGTGCTGCGTCAGAATCGCCTTGCCGCGCCGCTCCCAGTAGTACTGCTCGTACTCATTCACTTCGTCGTCCGTTTCCCCTAAATCGATCTCGACCCGCCCTGTGTAGAAGTTCCTACCTGTCCCGCCAAGAAAGCGGTCGCTGCGCATCGTCGTGTTTGGAGAATTTGAATCTGAGCGCATAAAATTGTTCTCCTGAGCAGGTCCTCTTCCTCCTCCACCTCCCGCCGCGGACTGGAACTCTCGATCCACCTGCGAGACGCCCGCGAAGAACTTCCCTTCATCCATGGACGACCGGTCCCCGTCGGGGCTGGGACTGCGGTCCGTGAAGGACACCTCCGGGTCGCTGTGGTGGAATCTGCTGCGGAACTCGTCGTGGTGGTCCTCTTGGGAAAACGTCGAGTACAGATTGCTGTAGAACGACTGCTCGAAGCTGTTGTCAAAGTCGCTCGGGTCGCGCCGGCGGTCGGAGGAGAACTCGCCCTTGTCCACGTCGAAGAAGCCCTGTTGCGTCCGGATGAAGTCCGCATCGAACAGGGTCTTCTCCCTGCCGTGCTTCTTGTAGCGGTGCTTGCGCGTCTGGAAATCCACGTTCAGGATGGAGTTCAGCTCGGTGTTCCCGGTCTTCTTCAGCGTGACCAGCTTGCGCTTGCGCAGCTTCTCCTTCGCCTCCTGCTCGTTTAAGTGCTTGGTGCCGGCGAAGGCCTCCTTGAACACGTCAGCGTAGCAGTCCACGATCGCGGGGTGGTGCAGCGTGTCCGAGTACCGCACCCCGGAAACGAAGATCTTCGGCCTGAGTGGCGCCACCGCGGGGCGCTCCGGGAAGATGTCGGACGGGATCTGGTCCTCATCGGAGTCTAGCTCCGAACCGTTCTTCTTGTCTTCGGTTTTTTCCTTGCTGTCCCCCGCTTCGCTCGCACTGCTCGCGTCGCCCTCGTCCGTGCGCTTCATGAGCTTGCGCCGCTCCTGCTTGTGCTTGCGGACCGCCTCCTGGTGCTTGCGCCGGTTTCGCGGCGACTTGAACAGGTTCGGTTCAAGCAGTTTCTTCGATTTGATCTTGTTCAAATTTCCCTTCTCCACCTCGGCGTCCCGGAGCTTCTTCTTGTGGGAGGCCAGCGCCAGCTCCGCGATTGATTTCGCCTTTTTCAACTTCTTCTCTGGGGCATTGGTCGCATCTCCCTCCTCCGCGATCGCATCTGGGTTTTGTTCTAACCCGCTCTTACTGGTTTTTTTCTTGCCCGCTCTATTCGGTAGGCTGGAAACCGACGAGCTGCGGCTTGTCGCTTTGGACGACTCGCGGTCCGTCTTCGTGTCGGGAGAGGCGTTGCTGGACAACTCTGACCTGGTCCGCTCGCGCGCCTGCTGCTCCGCCAGCTGCTTCTTTCGATTCCGCCGGGCGGCCATCAGCGACCCGCGCCCCAGCTGGTTGCCCAGCGACTGCCCGAGGAAGAGGCCGCCGAGCGCCGCGGCCTTGATGGCCTCCTCGCGGTCGAAGGGCTCCAGCTGCAGGCGGACGAACAGTGTGGGTGCGTGCAATGACTCTTCCTCAAACACCTTCTTCTTCTCCACCATGCGACTGCTGGTCTTCAGACTGAGTCCGCCGTCGTAATGCCGCTTCGCGAAGTACTCCAGCTTCATCTTTGTTTTGCCGATCAGCGCCTTGGTGAGCCGCTCCTTCTTGGTTTGGAACACCGCGTCCGCGTCGTAGATCTCGAACCGCAGCAGGTTCTGCAGCATCTCGTCGCTGGCCGGGACTTTTGTCTCGAACTTCTGGTCCCAGATCGGGTCCTGCCGGTTGTTCGTCACGATTTTCGTCTCGAACACCTGGTCCCGGAACAGCACACGCACGAACGGGTCCGCGGTGCCGATGAAATTTTCCGGATAGATGTTCTGGGCGCGCTTCACCTCGATGGTCAGCAGCAAATCGATCGGGATCGGCTTCCGCTTGGTTTCCGGCGCCTCGTAGACCGAAGGGAGGATCTTGTGCCAGGCAGACTGCTCCGCCACCCCGTCCTTCGGGAGCTTGAGCGCGTTCTTCTTGGACAGCGGCAGCGAGATTCGCACCTGCTCCCCGCCAACGTTGAAAAACTCGTCCAGGTCGGCCTCAGCGACCTTCTCCAGTGCGGGTGGCACTGCGATGTTCGTCAGGTGCAGAAACGGCACCCCGCAGATGATCGCGGCGTCCTCGGGCGTCATGCGGGGAATCCCCGGGAGCCACGTGGCAGCGAAGTTCGCTTTCATCGTTTCCGAATCGAGGAGCCCAGAATTATGGCCGCTAGAAGTACTCCCCGCGGCGACTATACTAGTAGTTGCACTCGTCGCTCGGGCGGATGATGTCTTATTTCTGGCCGCTGCTAGTGCGGCGCTCTGGAACATCTCGCGCGCCAGCCGCGGCAAGAGCGCCAGCGCAGCAGATTGGTTTTGTTGCCACCAATTTCTGCGAACTTGGCTTGGAAGCAACACCGGGGGCAGCTGCTGCCCCACGATGATTCTCCGCGACGCAAACAGCGTGGGCTGGAAGAACGGCGGCAGCTGCACCTCCTCCGCCGCCAGCTGCTTCGCAATCGCAAGAGTAGTGGAATCGAGGTTCAACAGCGTCGCGTTCTGGTTGCGCAAATACGTCGCCACGATCAACTCGGAGTTCTCCGGCGGCGCGTCCTGGCCGGGCTGCAGATGCACGGAGCTATCCTTGCTTTGCGTGCGCTCCTTGCTGAGCTGCCGCAGCTTCGCCATACTGGCCGCCTCTTTGTCCCGCCGGATCTTTTCCTTCTTCGCGCAGTCTTTTCCGAACACCCAGATGAGTTGCTGGTAGCGCTTCTCGGAGTTCAGCTTTTCCGACTTTTTTCCGACCACCGGCTGCTCGACGTCCAAAATTTCCAGAAATAGCGTGCCCGCGTTGGCACCGTCGCGCCGCTGCAGCTGCAGCGGCTGCGACACCGTGCCCGACTCCACCTGGAACTTGCGCAACTCAGACCCGGACACGAGCGGCACCTGCTCCACACCTGCCCGCTGGTTCATCTGATCCTGCGCGGTGGGTTCTTTCTCCTCCTTGTCGTAAATCTCGAAGTGCACCACGGGGATGATCTTCTTCTCCTCCTCCGCCTGCTCCGGACTCAAGTTCGAGTTCGTGTTGCTGTTCGTGCTGCCCTGCGTTTTTGCCACGGCGAGCTGCTCGTAGAACCGCGGGTCCCAGGGCACCGCGCACTGGTACTCCCACAGCGGGTACCGCGTGTTTTTCACGGACTGCGACCGCGTGCTGAAGGAGCTGCCCACGTTGATCTTGATCCACGGGTTGCACTTGTCCAGCGCCGCGAAGTCCGGCTCGTAGATCTCGTCCGCACGCTCCACGAACAGCTGCAGCTTGCCGATGGGCACAATGCTGATGTTCAGCGAGCCGCAGTCCGCCAGAATCCGCGCGGACGGGTCGGCCTTCTTCGGGTCCGGGGGGAACTTCTTCCACAGCTTCAGGTTGCCGTCGAACCCGGCGTGGAAGAAGCCCCGGTGCAAAATCGCCTCGCCGATCAGCTCCGAGTTGGACCAGTCCCGGTCGAACACCTGGAAGCGGAAGTACTTCTGCGAGTCCTGCAGCAGTGTCGAGAACGAGGTGACGTTGGGGTCAAACAGAATCTCGTTCGCCGCCGAGGGGTTGCGCGTGAACTGGTCGCTCGTGAACAGCAGCGTGTCCGGGTCCACCTTGCCCTGCCGCTTGAAGCTGGGGAGCGTGGCCTCGCCGGTGGTGGACGACACCTGCTTCTTCTGGCCCACGTTCGCGGAGATCGACCAGGCGGCGTGGCCCACCTGGAAGTTGCCGCTGCCCACGTAGATCTTCACCACCGGATCGTCGATTCTGTGCTTGCCCATCAGCGGCCAGGACTCCTCGTTCAAGTCCTGGCCAGACTTGACGGTGACGCGGAACCCGGTGAGCTCCGGGAAGAAGTCCTCGGAGAACGTGTTGGTCGGCAGCAGTCTTTCCGGCAAGCCCCCGAACGCGGCGGTGGCCGCCGTGTCGTCGAACCCGAGATGCTGCTGCGCCTCGTAGACCTTCTCCGCCTCCAACTTCTGCTTGCGCCGCATCCGCTCCGCGTGCTGCTTCTCGAGCGCGATCCGGTGCTCCTCCTTCTTGCGGACCGACACGCGCCGCAGCTTCTCGCCCAGGAAGTCGAAGAACCCCACATCGGAAAACGCCTTGGACTGCGGGTAGTACCGCGCCGGGGCGGAGTCCGAGCGGCCGGGGAACCGCTCGAACCGCACGTCCGGGTTGCGCCCCCGCTGGAACCCGTCCGGCTTCTGCAGAATGAACTCGCAGGCCGCGCGCTGCTTGCCGGCCAGCTTGCCCAGGCGGTCCACCCCGCCCTTCTTCGCCGCGGCCTTGGCGAGCCCCAGAATGGAGGACCCCAGTCGGGCCTTCTTCGGAAGCTCCGTCGTGGCCACCCACTTCAGCGCGGCGAGCGGCGGAATGATTTTGATCTCCGGAATTTGGTGTTCCGGCCGCGTGCTGGATGAGACCACCGATAGCTCGGTGCTCGGGTTCATCGTCGCGTTCTGATGATCTATGGGCTGGTCTTTCGCAACTACTGCCGCAGGACCGCTGGGCACTTGTGCACCACCACTACCGCCGTTGAGCCGGACGATTAGCGATCCGACAAACCCCGGTGATGCTGCATTCGCCTTCATCTCCGCGCCGTCATCTGCAAGAACCTCGTCCTCCGGGCTTGCCAAATCCTGGTTTAGTCCCTGCAACTTCAATTCAATCGGTTCATCTATTCCGTTTGTCTGCAAAGCCGAGTCCAGGTCGATGACAGCTTCGCCGAGGATGGTGCTCTGCTTTCTCTCTTCCTCCTTCTTCACGTAAAACGCTACTCGCGTCGTTGTAGAGCGTTTTGTTGTACTGCTCGTTCCAGTGATCATACCAAACCGGTCCGACGCTGTGTTGGTAAGAGCAGCATCGTCCTCAACACTATTGCCCTCTTTGTACAGAAGCGAGCCGTTCCAATCGAACCGGATGGTCTGGTTTGTCTCCTCAACTGGTTCCCCGACGATCACACGCGCCAAATCTTGCGACGACGTTCGCGTGCGCGTTGCGCTCTCCTGCTGCAGAATCTCCATCTGGACGAAGCAGCCCGGGAGCTCTTCCTCGTAGCTCTTTTGCATCAGGTCCGAGTTTGCGTTCAGAGAAACTGTTTCGATGCTCAGGTTGAGCAACTTCCGCGGCGTCACGGTGATATTCAACGCTCGTTTCATCCTCTTTTCGTTCAAAGTTGCATTGGTCTTCGAGAACTGCTCCAACCCAAACCCCAACTTTGACTCCAACGCGTAAGGGGGCTGCTTCGCCTCCTCCGGGTTCGTCAGCGTCAGGTTTTTTGACGTTGATGAACCCAAGCCAAGAACGCTGCTGCTTGCACTAACATTCGATGTTGAAATGAGCTGGTCCAGCTCTTGCACACTCATCCTCGCCTCGCCTAAAAGCAAGGGCTCGTTTGTCTTCTCGTCGCGGTAGTAATCGTCGAAAACTTGAAACAGGATTTCTTCCAGCTCTTCCTTTTCTGCGGGCTTCGGAAACAGCAGTTCTTGCTCCCACTTGATCAGATCGTTCGCCCGGTCCACCATTCTCGCGTTCGCGGCACTCGGACGGAAACTGTTGGTGGTCGTATTGGAACGGGCAACACTGCTTTGGCTTCGACTGCTGTACGCGAGCAAGTTCTTTACCGAAGGTATGACGTTGGTCTGAAACGACTCGAACATCTCTACATCCGTGCGCCCAAAGCTCTTCAGGCTCTCCTTCGATCTCGACCGCCTCTGCTTCCCTACGGCAGCCGCGTGCTTGTCCGCGGACTTGAAGGACTCGGCCGTCTTTTCCGCAAATTTCACGTGCAGCTCCTCAGGCTCTTCCTCCTTCAGCTTCTTCAAAATCGTCACCCGCACAAAGGGGTGCAGGTCCATGTCCGGCGTCATCGGTTTCAGGAAGTTGCTAGCGTGGTTGATCTGGATGGACAGCCCGACATTCTGGACGCTGGTGGAAGTTGTAGAGCTTTGTTCCTGGTGCACTTGCTCAATTGTTGTTCCAGTCGCACTGCTGTCAACAGCGGGAACAGCAGCTTCCACAGGACCAGACACGACTCCCTCCTCCGCTTCTGTTGCGCTAATTTCCGGGATGACTTCCTCGCTTCTCAAGGCCCGCTCCATCTTCTCCATCTGTAGCTGCGCGGAGACGAGCCGCTCCAATCTTGTCGACACCCGACACAGCTGCTTCGTGTCCTCCCGCAACTGCCGCTCTTGCAGCCTTGTCGCAGAAGTAGAAACACCAGAATGACCCAACGACTTTTCCTCCTCCACCGCTGCGTCTGTCGCCAAACCGTTTCCGAAGATCGACCGTGCGCCCTCACCGCGCGGCGAAAGGTGGTTGGTCTGCAGGGCCCAGTGCTTTTCCAGGAACGACCGCTGGGCGTGCACCACGTGCGCCACCCACTTCTGCGCGCCCCCGAGCTTCACCTTCTCCACGAACAGCCGCTGCTTGTGCTCGTCCCACGCGTAGCGCTTCTGCGCCACCGAAGCGCCGCCGGCCTCGTCCACGACCTGCGCAGACAGGTCCCCGGTGAGCAGGAAGGGTTTGTTCCGCAAAACCGACACCACCGTGCTGGTGACCACGTCCGTGACCACGGGCGCCGGGTCCGTGTCAATGTGGTTCAACAGTCCCTTCAACCGGGCCTCCGAGCACACGTGGCCGTAGTGGTGGTAGCTGTGGTGCGAGATCGGGGGGAGCCGGTAGTCCTTGCACAGCACGATGTTGGTATCGTCCTCTTTTGGGTCCTATCAAATGCAAAAATGTCTGGGTCTGGAAGGTTGGAACTTGTGATGCTAACTTTGAACTCTAAAAAAATCTGCATTGCATGACCAGCAAGAGGAGTCTAGTTTGTGCTACGCGGGGAGGGCGTTTGTCATGCGGAGTAGGCATCAGGAAGCCTGCTAAAAATCTGTGATGCTAGGTCGTGCATTACAGACATCCTGGGTCAAGTCTCAGAATCTTCCAGACCCAGACATTTTTACATCTGATAGGTCCTCCGGGGTCCACAGCTTGTACCTCGCGACCGCAATCGGATCGTTCCAGTCGATGTCGATCTCGAAATTCCGGTACATCGTGGAGGAAAACAGACTGTTCGTGTTCTCCAGGGACGACACGTGCGTGGGCGGGTACTTGTACTTCGCCTCCTTGTCCTCGCGCGTGTAGAAGATCGACCCCTGGTCATCGGAGGAGGAGGAAGAGGAGGAATTCGTTCCCCCGAGACTGGTCCCTTGTCCTCTTTTTCTCTTTTCTTTCAGAAGTTGCTTCTGCTTTAATCGCTCCTTCCTCGGGACCAATCGTGAAATTTTCCAGGCGATGCTCTCCTGCACTGGCGTGTCCTCCACTTTCGCTAGGTCGCAGTAGTGCACGATGGAATTGTAGTCCTTGGCCACCTGGAAGTCCAGCCCCCGGATCCAGATGGCCTTGTGCCGCTCCTGGAACCGGATCGGCTGCGTGCGACTGGCGTTGATCAGTGGGTGCAAGAGCAGTGGGGAGTGGACCTTGGGGTTCTTCGGGATGAATTCGTTCAAAATGTTCGCGGTTTTATCTCCGAACGCCTCGGCAATCCGCTTGTCCTCGGCGGACATCTTTTTCTTGCGCTTCAGTTGGTTTTCGTACCGCTTCTTCTCGATCTTCTCCTCGTACTCGTGCTTAAAGAGGAACTTCATGCGGTCCTTGAACCGCCTGACATTCCCCTCCGAGTTTTTCTGCCAGGGGTACACCCCACGGGGTCCGATGATGGCGTTGGTCTCCATACGGCCGCCACCGGACACGGAGTGCGCCTTGCGCCGCAGCCGCTTCTCCCGCTGCACGTAATGCGCGATGCGCTCGCGCGAAAAGGGCTTCTTACCGGTAGCGGAAATGATCGTGATTTTCGGCGCCGCGGAATTCTTGCCGGGCGTAGCAGTTGCTCGTACACCACCAACGGGCACCGAGGCCGTCAGCGGACTGACGCGATTCTGATTATTCCTCGCCAGCTGCTGCTGTGAAGGTTGTTGTTGATTACTAGACCCAGTAGTTCCACTGCTGCCCACGCCAGGTGGGCCGGCAGCTGGTCTGTCTACGTCTATTTCGATCACCTCCTTGCCCCCGTCCAGGTTCACAGTCGGGTTCGAATCAACCTCGGCGTGGCTGCCCTCCTTTTCGGCCGCCTCGGCCACGTTGTACTCCTTGACCAGCTCGGCGGTGCCGAGCGTCTCCTCGTCCAACGGTGGTAACTCGGCGGACACGTCGGTGAGTGGCGGGGCGGCATTCGCCTTCTCCGCCGACGCGGCCTCTGCTGCTAGTCTGGCCCTCTCCTGCTCTGCTTGCATCAGCTTCATGGCCAACTTGGAACCTGTGAGTGTTGAGAAAGAATTTTTTTCAGTTGTGACCTCTGGATGAATTTTGCTAGTTTTGTTTCATGCAACGGACGGCAATGCTCAGTCTGAAACGTTCGACAAAAAACACAAAGCTCAAATGCACAGTGTAAAATCACATTATAAAGTACTTTTGTCTTTCAAATGCGGCGCCAGTGCCTTCTGCGCGATGACGGCCTCCATCTCCATTGTGTATTGCGCGTCGAGCTCGACTTCCGTGGCGATGACTCCCTTGTTCTTCAGCTTTTCCTTCTTTGATTTCGCGGACTTGGTCTCCACGAGCGGCTTTAAATGCAGCGTACCGGCCTCATCCCGTAACGGGTCCCAGCCCATGGCGTGGAAGAAACTCCGCTTCTTGTAAAGATGCGACCGGACCTTCTGCGTCACCTGATGCCTCTTCCGGTACGCGCGGATGATGCGGTGGGGCTGTCGCTCCATGATACGGTCCTCCTCATCCAGCGCTTTCCGCACGTAGTACTTCGTGACGAAGGGCGTCAGCATGTTCCGCTGCTTCGACATGTCGTCCGGCACGGAGAGCGTCCGCTCCATCTTGTTCACCCACCCGAAGCCCCTCTCAATCTCGTGCGCCGTCACCGCCTTCTTCACGTCTTTCAACACCTTCTTCCCCCGTTGCGACAGCGCGTAGTGCAGATGCCGGCGGTCCCCTTCCGTCTTGCTCCCGTCCTCGTCGTCCGCACGCATTCCGGAGATGCGGCCGTCGGACCGCTTCAGCAGATTGCTCATCAAAATCCCCGCTTTTCGGACGGACAACACCTGGTTGGGGTGCGGCTCCAGCCCGATTTCCTGCTCGGCCAGCATCGCGGAGCTGCTCCGCCGGGTCAGCAGGCGCCGCCGGTCCAGTTTCGAGTCCTTCTTCGTCAGCAGGCGGCCCGCCTTCTTTTTCTTCTTCTCGATCTTCCCGCGGTCCTCATCCACCTCCCCACCGTCCTCCTCGCGCACCAACGGCTGGGGGTCGTAGCCCCGCCACTTATTGCCGTCGAAGAAGAAGTTTTTCAGAATCAGCAGCTTCGCCGCGAAGATCTCCTTCGTTTTCTCGAGCTCCGCCTCGCGCTTCAGCCGGATCGCCTCTTTGCGCTCGAATTCCGCGTACTCAATGTTCGCTTCCAGCACCTCGCGGTCCTTGATAAATTTCCGGACCGCCTCCTCCTTCGACAAACCGCCCTGTTCCGCGGCGCGCTCCTCGGTCGATCCGGCCTTCCGCTTCGCCAACATGATGTCCGGATTGAAGGGAATCAGCTTCGCATGTTTGAACACTGGTTGAAACGCCGATATGCCGCTGCTCTTGCCCTCGCCGTCCCGCGCGTCGCCGCCGAATAACAAGGCCTGCAGCTCCCCGGACCGGCAGGACGAGTAGATCTGGTACGCGATTAGCACGCCGAGGAAGGCGCCGCCACCGAGCATGAAACTCGACGTGCCCCCCTCCTCCCCGGCGTCCGCTTTGCCGGTGACGCGAAACTGCGGGTCGCTCGTCGCCCACTCGTAGGGGACGCCGCGCAGCTCGTACACCGCCACGACGTCCCCCTGGTCCGTCTTGTCCTTCAGCCGGAAGCCCTGGGACTTTTGGTATAGCAAGCAGTTCATGCTGGTCACCTGCCGCAACTCCGTCTCCACGCTGCCCGGCGCCACCGGCACGGTGGTGAACGACTGGTACTCGAAGCCCTCGGGCCGCTCGCGGAAGTAGCTGAGTCCGTGGTCGATCGCGGCTTTGCGGCAGTCCTGGTAGGACGACGCGTCCACGACGAGGATCTCCTTGTAGCGGTCCACCAACATATCGTCGTTCCGGAAAAACTTAGTGTCGTTGCAATTCGAAATGTCGAAGGTGATCGTCAAATCCTCCGGGTTGCACGTCATGAACAGGTCCCCGTCGAAGTCCGGGTGCACGTCCTGGCACTTCAGCGAGTCGTCGGAGATCGACTCGTGGGGCACCAAAAAGGGGCGCACCGTGGTCGCGTTGCGCAGAATCGGGTTCCCGTCCAGGTTGATCATCGACTGCTGTGGCGCCATATCAAATGTAAAAATGTCTGGGTCTGGAAGAATGCAACTTGTGATGCTGCATTTGGATTCCAAAAAAATCTGTGTTGCATGAGTACCAAAGGGAATGCAATTTTTGCCACGCTGAGAAGGCATTTGTCATGCGGAAAAGGCATCGCGAAGCTCTCAAAAAATATGTGATGCTAGGGCATGCATCACAGACATCAGGACTCATGCAAAAAGTGCATGGCAAGTGTCAGAATCTTCCAGGAGACCCAGACATTTTTACAGTTGATATGCCAGCTGGTCGCCGCGGACCAGGGTCCGGCACACCTCGGGCACCGGGTTCACCACCATTGGCGAACAGTAGTCGAACCGCAACAGCGGGTCCACCGTGAAGCACCAAATGCTGTTACTGCCGCCCTTGTCCGCCTGCCCCTGGTTGCGTCCGTCCGGGTTGCGGCAGTAGTTCTGGTCCAAGGGCAAGTCCACCAGCAGCCCCCCGGGGTAAAACACGTCCGGGTTGTAGTTGGTGACGCCGAAATCGGACGGGGCGTTCGGCGACCGCGTGGTCACGCCAAACGTTTCGGGCGCCTTCGTGGTCGACGCGTCGATGGCATTCTGTCGGTTGATCAACTCCTGCTGGACGTAGGGATTCTCCTCGTTGAACCCCCGGTCATCCAACAACGGCGTCGTCGCGTCCGCGGTCAGTGTGGAGAAGGGGTGTAGGTGCGGGATGATCTCCTCCCAGGTCTGACACCGGAGCCCGGTCGTGGTGGTGTACGCACACCCCACGTAGTTGTCGTACGTGAACTCCTCATTGCACTGCCGCGTGCTCCACAATTTGTTCAAAAACACGAACCCGTGCGTCTCGTTGTACTCCAGCAAGTTCGGCATGCGGTTGAACCGCAAATTGTGCCGCAGTGCGATGTTCACATCCACCAACGCGTGCATCGTGCGGTTGTTCAGATCTCGTAAAAACTTTTGCTCCTCCGCTGCGGACCCGAACGGGCTGGGCAAGTACAGCATTGCGCGGGTTCGGTTGTACTCGCAGGAGGAGATCTGCAGCCCGTACGTCTGGTTCGGCAACTGCAGTGCGTACTGCAGGGAATGGCGCATCTCGGTTACTAAGTCAATGTCCATGGGCAGAACCAGCCCGCCGTTCCCGCGCATGCCCGGGTAGTGCTCGTACCCGTTGCAGATCGGCCAGGTTTCGAAGTCCGCCGTCAAGACCTGGAAGTACCGCTGCGCCTGGGTCCGTTCGGGGCTGTACAGAATGTCCAGATTCACGCCGGAGAACCACCAGGAGGTGAGACTGGCCGACAATCTCTTCGCCGGCCAGGAGATGTCGCTGGTCGAGGCCAGGAGCTGCAGGTTGACCTGCTGCGCGGCGGTCACGCAGCCCGCCGCCTGCATGGAGGGGGACAGAAGCTGTCCGTTGATGCAGGTCGCCTTCAGCGGCGGCGCGGGGAAGGGCACGTACCCCGCCTGTGTGTTGCACGTCAGGGTGCAGGACCCGCCCTCGGCGATGGAAAAGCCCTCCTGACAGGGCCGCGCGTAGTAGTACTTGCTGTCGTCCGGCGCGGCGATCTCGCAGTGCTTCACGTTGGTCCCGTCGGCATTGAAGGTCTTGCGGTAGCACTCCGTGTTGAACTGCCCGTTCGGGATCTCCGGTCTCGACGCCGGGTCGATGTAGTACGTCCATGGCGGCACGGGGAGTAACACCGAGTCGTCCAGTTTCGGCCCGTAGATTTCGCAATCCGAGTACAGCAGCCGCTGGTGCCCGAACCCGGAGCACCGCTCCTCCTGGATACACAAGCTGGCGCATTCGCTCTCGGACGCGACGGTCTTCTTCCGCCGCTCTAAATTTAGGTCGCTGTTGGTGCACCAGCCCTGGCCCAGCAGCTCGAACGCATTGTAATAGTTGATGTTGTCCACGCGCTTTCCACGAAATTTCGGGTCCCAGGCCGCAACCCTGAAAATAAGCGTGTCCGGGTGCAATACGAACAGGATGAGCAGAGGCACAATGCCAACACGATTGGTCGTGCGATTGCTGCGCGTTTGCCTCATGTTCGACAAAAAAGTCTAGGTAGGTTGTTTGTAGTAAAAGTGAAAATTACAAAATAGTAGAAAAGATGACCAAAGGAAATGTACAGGTGAAAATAGGCAAAAACAGAAGAACCCTGAGATCCTCGTGTCCAATGAAATAAAGTACAGAAGAAACGAAGACGAGCGATATAATTACGAAAAAAAAAGAAATTACGAAAGGGTATAAAAATACAAAAAAGAGGGCAGAACGAAAAAAAAAGACCTGTTTCGGGTGATGCGAATACGACATGGCGAGTTTGTTTTAATCCACGACGATGTTTTGACGAGTTTACGGCTGGAGAGTTTTCATTTCTGCACGAAAATTTAAAGTCTGCTGGACGTTGACGATTGTTCTATTTTGTACGATTTTTGCGGCAAATGACTGACGTGCTTTGACCACACGAAATTCTGACGACTGCAGACGCTGCATACAGCACGATGTCGTTGGTCCTTAGTTACTTTACGTCTTGCACGATACCAAGGGAAGTTATCTGGCCGTGCAAACTTGATAGATAACTACAACGCAAATTATAACTGCTGCTGCCGAAGCAAGAAATTACTATCACTGGTTCACACTGCGACTGCCAATCACATACAAATCCGCTCACACGCACACCCGTCTTTCGCTTCTCTTACCTCGGGCAATGTTAATTTCGTCCAAGTCCAAGTGATGTTGACGGCTTCGGAATTACTACAAGTTACTGTTTTCTCAGGAAAGTTGTTTTGTTTTGATTTGCAGACCAGCAACGACAATTTGAAACAAAACTTTTTGTGCGTAAAACCAAAATTCTGCAGACACGGCATTTTCTAAACGTTGACTGTATTCTAGGATGCGGAAAAAGAGTGGAAAATTCGTTTCAAATATCTACAGCGCACCTATAGACGTGTAAACGTACAAAACGAGAATTGGGAAAAGCAAAATCAGAGCATAAGCATACCAATCGACACACACCTTGCCAAAAAAGAAGATACAAGTATCTCACCGCGGTACAGCTCTAAAAGAAAAAAATTACGTGAGTGGTCGACCACAGAAACTTCAATTTGCTACGTAATTCTTCTCACGTTGGCGCGGATCATGAACGTCGCAGCGTTTTCTGATAAGGCCCGCAACACTATCTAAATCGACCACAGTTCCGACGCGTGCGCGTGCGGATTGAACGCATAATTAATCGGCCTCGCACCTCCCCCGCGAGTCCCTCCACACACACCCGTGCCGGAATTATTGCTTACATCCCGCCCTGCGCTCTTCCGATTTCCGCGCGCCGTGAGAATTTTGCAGGCGCCGTTCCGAAGCGATTCGTCCACCGCGTGCTCCTCCTCCCGGTACACCCACTCCAGGTCCGCCTGCGCCATGGGAATGGCCGCCACCAGGCCTTCGTTGCGGCACAAAGGGCAGGGGTAGGGGTTGCACAGCGCGCGCACACCCGAAAAATTCTCCCGTCCAAGGAAAAACCGGAGCCGAGACCGGATGTCTTTTTCCAAACAGGAGATGTGGAACGAGTGCTGACAATGCGGCAACGTGAGGATGTCGTTGGATTTCGTTCTTTCAGTGCTCCCCCTGCTGTCGCAGAGACAGCGGGGCCGGTTGTAGTTTTCGTTTTCACGATTGATGCCTTGTGCTTCTAGTTCTCCTTCTTCCTCCTCTGCCATGTTCGAGGACGAATCTACTGCATGGGAAAGCACGATCGCGTCCGGATTCTCGGCATCAACCTTCCAGAGCACCAAACATTCGCTGGTGCAATCGTAGCCGTCGTCCTCCTCGTTTTCCATTACAGAAGTATCACTGCCCGTACGTGGTCTTGAAGACTGGGTAAAGGGAAAGGATCGCACACTTGCGGGGGAATTCGCCGATGACGCCGGCGACGATGGCGCGGTGGTGCTACTGCTCGAGGAAGACGTGGACCGAGAGAAAAAGCTTGTACCTGCTGACAAAGCTGCACTACTAGTAGTACTTCTACTTCCCGGAGTCGTAGCTCCGCCGAAAGACATGAGCTTTCGCTTCACCGCAGAGGAGCAGCCTGGGAGCGTTTCATAGCAATCGGCGACGTCGTCCTTGTTTTTTCCGTTGTACTTGAACACCAGCGGCTGCGAAAAGGCGGAGTCGGGGAATCCTCGAGGCAAAGGCTCGCGAAGCAACCTGACTGGAAGTTTCTGCTCGATGTGGTCCTTCGATTTTCCACTTTTCATTTTCTTGCCTCTTTTCCAAAGTCCGTTCCTGGGCCACATACAGGCAGGTGGAGGAGCGACGTGGTCATCATCATCGATTGGGGATGCTCTACCAGTACTTCCGCTTGCACCAGCGTCGGCTGATGGTGACCGTGAGTCAGACTCTCTTACAGTTTCTCTTTCGTCGGGAATAGAGACGACTTCCGCCAGGAATTGCTCGAACGACGATTCAGTAGCGCGATGAACTGTTACAGCACTGTCAGAAGGAGCGCCTGGAACATTCTCATCAGCAGTTCCCACGATACCCTCCTGTGACGTGCCAGAATTTAAAGCTGTCCTCGCATTTCCACGTTCCTCCTGCCGCTCTCGATTCCTTCCTCCCGACGAAGCAGCAGCTCTCCCACCAGTCCGATCCGCCGATAGACACAACTGCAACAGAAAGCGGCCGACGCTTGCAATGTCAGAGTCGGAGCACGACTTTTTGGTCGCGGAGGAGCCTTTCTTCGCAGGGACAACCTTTCCATTCTGCGTCAACGGCTCCAGGCAGATGGCGCATTCCAGCGGTTCGTCAGGCTCTGGCTTCCTTGCCTTTCCAGTAGGTGTGGTTGCACTCGCACCTTGTCTGGATGCGGATTTTTCATTCTGTGTTGTGCGAAAAAATAGCCCGAGGGAAGATGAAGAGGAATCTGAAAGCTCCGCGTCTTGCCCCTCGCGGTCTGCTGGTACCGAAACGCCTCCGGGAAATTGGTCGAGATCAACTCGTCCATATCCTGTGCAAAAGTATCGTACTCGTATAAATGCAAGTCTTGCATTACAAATCCTTCTCGTAAGGCAAATCCGCATTACAAATTTTATTTCTCATGCTGAGGGAATTTGTAATGCATTTATACGAGTACGATACTTTTGCAGTTCATAGTCCACCTGTTTCAACAATTTCTCCGCGCAGTGTTCGGGAGCTAGATGGGGGTATCAAATGTAAAAATGTCTGGGTCTGGAAAGTTGGAACTTGTGATGCTAACTTTGAACTCTAAAAAAATCTGTATTGCATGACCAGCAAGAGGAGCCACGTTTGTGCTACACGAGGAGGGCATTTGTCATGTGGAAATGGCATCAGGAAGCTTTCCAAAAATCTGTGATACTGGGTCATGCGTTACAAGCATCATGGGTCATGCCAGACAAGCATGACAAGCCTTCCACTCTTCCAGACCCAGACACTTTTACATTTGATAGGGGGAGTGATTGTGCGAGTCGAGGAAAGACGCAGAGACAAGGCAAGAGCGCTACTTCTCAGCAGCAACTCATGCTGTGAAGACAAAAGAAGCACGATAATCTGGCATGCGGACGCGATGACATTTTTGTAGCCTTCGCAGTACCGAATTGGAAAACCTGCTGCCCTCGGCCGCCGCTGCGCCATAATTTCCCAAAAAGTTATAATTTTCGCACCGTACTTACTGTACTCCCGATTCCGCTCGAGATCGTGTCTAAAAGTGGCAAGGTCATATCGTGTGCCGTAATGTATCAAACACGGTAAACAACTTCCGAAATCAAAACAACGACGAACGTAGCACCGCCACAACAGCACAGACGAACAAGGCCGCCCAAACAAGAACTTCGTGAATCTATGCAGACCGTGTCACCTGGTCGTAAATTGAATTTGAGTTAGTGTGACGCTAGCAATCAATACTGTGAACACTTGAATAAAACATCGCAAAGAGCCCCCCACGCTATGCCGTGTCCAGTCGCATTATAATGCGCTTCTTTTACTATATTTGGAAGCAATTTACTACAATACAGGGAGACATTCATGGCTGCTCATCCTACGATTTGGACTTGTTACGCAAAATACAAGAACATCCGAGGTTGCGGTACAATCACAATACTAGGTATCTTATTTTTCTGTGAAACAATTTTCAGCTCCGTCTATGCAACAAGCTCCACGGTACTGGAGCTTTTCAGTATTTTCGGGATAATAGAGATTTGTTGTTTTGGATACATTATCAAATGCAAATTTGTCTGGGTATGGAAGATTCTGAGGATTCGACATGCACGGTTTACATGAGCCATGAAGTCTGGTATGAAGGACATAGCAATAGCATGACAGATTCTGTGAGGGTTCTATCATGCCTATCCTGCGTGAGAAACTGCCTCTCGATTCGGTCAAAAGTGGACAGCCTCTGCTAATCATGCAACACAGATTTTTACACGATTCAGATTGAGCACGACGCGTTGTTTCGTTCCAGACCCAGACACTTTTCCATTCGATAAATAGCCTTGGGATTCCACCACCAAGCGGGCATCTTCTGCGGGATTATGCTGCTGCATAGCGGCGGCGGAGAGGTGCGGCAGTTATCGCAATAAGGCGGTGTGGTCTACTCCTGCGTGCTCGACTACGCTGCTGGCTTTTTGGTCCCGAAGAAGCTTGGGCAGGAATTGTTCGTAGAAGCAGGAATTGTTCGTAGGGTCATGGTCTCGTAGAAGCAGGAGGTGACGATATTGCTAGAAGCTGGCGATGAACACGAAGTAGATCACTCCTCCCGTGCGTCAGAGCCTCCACCTTGATCCTCGGCTGAAGCTTTTGCGTTTGGGCTATATTTTCTTGTGCTGATGAAGCAATCGACTGTGATGAGGAGATGTTGTTGAAGCTACTTCTACAAACATCAACAGCCAGCCGAGGAACTTGCTGTTGCCCATGCGCCGGATTGTCGTATGGTCTACGGAACGATCCGGGGCGGCGAAGAGTCTTTGCAGGAAGTGTGTCCTAGAAAGTCTTTGCAGGAGGGTGTCCCCCCTTCCCAGGGGGGCGTCCTTCTTAGCCGACCTCAGAAAGGTAGATGTCGTCAAAAGCTTTTGTATAAGTGCCGGAGTGAAGCTGATTGAACCTAGTTCGAAATCGAGTAAAAAACGAGAGCTCTAACAATCAAGAATACTTCGAAAACCTAGTAAAAAACGAGAGCTCTAACCATCAAGCACTTAGAAAAGTAAACTCGAGTTCTTAAATCTATCGCAGTCTAGAGCTGTAACCTATGTGCTTATTTTCTGTTTTACAGATTTGACATTCCAGAGTTTGTCCGTATTGCAGCGCATAAAGAGCACGATTTGAGCCGTTTTTTCGGTGTTTGCGTTTTGTTTATTTTTGTTCTCCCTCGTAGTCGACAAAAGTTGCGAGGGCTAAGTAACACGGACCACCGAGGGCCAAAGCGATTTTGGAAATCGAAACGATTTTGGAGGACGACATCAGGGCGATTTTGGTCACGACGTCACGCCAGCGATTTTGGACAACTCAAGAAAATATTACGAACAAGCGCTACACTGGGAAATCGTTGGCAGAAGGGTAGGCGTTGTCACAGGAGCGAAAGGGTCACAAAAGACTGGAAATCTGGATCCTGCAAATTTTTGTACTCTTTCATCTTTGTTTCGGTTCTTGTCAAGCTTATCTTGCTTGATTCTGCTCGAGAAGAAAAAAGACCGACCACCTTCAACGAAAAATAGTCTTCACAGATTGAGTTCTTTTCTCACGACACGGCGCGGTAAAACAGGGACCACCGCCCAAGGCTATGGACCACCGCGATGCTGTTACACGATTACGGAGGTTAACGCTTGGATCTGCTTCGATCAGCCACCGGCTGCGTTTTTTTGTACTTTTCCAATAAGAACGCACTCGCTGTCGCTCGCGATTGCAGTGGATCTGGCTGGCAGCCGAGCAAGTAGCAGCGCCACCAGTTCTCGCAGGACCTTTGGCACTGGAGCAGTGCATCGCAATAGATTACTAGCAACGATTCATCTCAATTTGAATTTCAATTTTTACTATCTCAACAGCATTCCAACAAAGAGTCGCTCCTTCGTTCCTATTAGACTCGAAAAAGTGAGATGTTTTTGCATTACACGCCGAGACTACAAGTATTTTTTGCTTTTCAGAGTTATCGTATTAAAATTCCTTGCGTGCATAATAGTAATAGCTACTCCTCCAGCTTGTGCAGGGGCAGCGTGGTCGATGAAGAGTCGGTTACAGAAGCGGATCGCAACAAATAAAATTCCCATCTTCATAAATTGTTGTTGATGGACCTCCTCCTCCCAGCTGCGGGGCCTCATCATCATCATTATTGTCATCATTCTTGTGGTGCCTGTCCGATTTAAATGCTTTTCGTAAGTGCTTTTCCCTGTGAAAAACTAGTTCTCTGAAAAGTGAGGAAACTCATCATCTGAAACAATCGAAGGCTTTTACGATTCATAACATAAACAACTAATAGTCATCGCATTTGAACCCCGAAAAATAATTCTGCAAACGTAAAGAGTTGTGCTTTATAATTGAGGACAGCTTGGTCCCAGATCGGTTATGAAATTTTTTGCTGTAAAAAGGTTTAACCAAAAACCTCTCCTCCAGATATCAACTGCAAATATGTCTGGGTCTGGAAGGGTGTGAACTTGTGACGCTGCAGCTGGATTCTACAAAAATCTGTATTGCATGAACAGCACAAGAGGTCCAGTTTTTTCCATTGCGAGAGGGCATTTCTCATGCGGTATAGGCATCAGAAAGCCCTCACAAAATCTGTGATGCTAGGGCATGCATCACAGACATGAGGACTCATGCAAAATGTGCATGACAAACCTTGCACCCTTCGAGACCCAGGCACTTTTGCACTTGATACCAGAGGCCAAAATGTCATTTGTCCCGTTCCTCGTCTCTTCGCTTTCCCAATACTAGATCTAAATTTTCATTAACAAAAATTTTATCCATGAAGAGAAATATGTCAAGTAATATAATATCAAAACTGTAGTGATACAGAATAGAAGTAGCGCCCTGTTTTAGTTTTAGTAATAAATATAAATACGGCCGCTGGTTAGCTCGCAGTCACGGACCGTATACCTTCTAACTTTTCTAATCTTCACCAATCAAATGTAAAAATGTCTGGGTCTGGAAGAATGCAACTTGTGATGCTAACTTTGGACTCTAAAAGTGTCTGTATTGCATGACCAGCATGAGGCGCCCAGTTTGTGCTACGAGGGGAGGGCATTTGTCATGCTTAACAGACTGCGCGACTAAAGCCCGGGGGGGTGCGGGGTCCGAGGGGTGCACAAAGCACAGCCCGGAACACCCGAACATGCCCCGCGACTGGCACAGGACCAGCAACGCAACTATTATCGTCGATCTCAGTTTGTCGATCACAACGTAGCTGCGAAGCCGTCCATTCGCCTGGCGCCCCAAGCCCAACCCCACCTCCGAGGAAAGGCCACAACCCGAGAGGATCCGCTGCTGAGCTTAGGGCATTTGTCATGCGGGATAGGCATCAGGAAGGCCTCTAGAAATATAATATGCGATGCTCATGCTAGATCATGCATTACAGACATCCTGAGTCATGCAAAATATGCATGACAAACCTGGTAACCTTCCAGACCCAGACATTTTTACAGTTGATATACATCGCGCTGGGTCTTTAGTGGAGTGAGAGTATTTCATCTAGAAACCGAATTTTTTGGTTCTTTTTGTTTTTGGTTTGTACATCTACATACATGATCATACATATGAAGGTACATTTGGCAAAAATTAACCCCCCCGCCGGATGGCTTTAGCCAGCGCAGTCAATGGCTTTAGCCAAGAACGACCCTAAAAAACCAATGCGCCAAAGGGCGCCCGCTTGTTGTTCGTCCGAGGCACCGAGAACGAGATCCGACCCCAAATACATCGCCCGATGGGCGCCAGATTGTGGGCGCGGAGTTGTCAAACCGACAAAGGCGTGCAGGACGAAGAGAGGAGGCGCGCCGGCATGTCGACCATGAAAACCATCCGCGCCAAACCTCCGCGAGGCTCTTCGGAGGCTTTTACCGGGAAAGGGCACGGACCACACAGCGCATGTCGCCTGTTGGCGACCCCAATGCCGGCGGGGGGAAAAACTCCAAACAAAATCGGAGCAGCGCGGGCGCAGCGTGACGCCACACGCACGGCGCAACGCCTGCGGCGGGGGGTCGCGGCGTGTTTCCTTCTTGATGTCACGATCACGCGCCGGCAAGCCTCCGGACAATGAAAACGCCGCAAACAGCGGCGCACAGCAGGGGGCCAGCAAGAAAAAAAGGACGCCGCAAGCCCTGTAGCAACTGTCCGCCAAGCAGCGCGCGACCATCGGCCGATGCCACCTAAGAGTGAGCATCCCATCCGGAGGCCGCCCGACCTGACGCTCGCGGCAAGAGCCTCGCGGCTTTTTCAAAACAAAAACCCGGGCGCTCTTTACCACCCCCCGCGCACCAGCGGCGAAGGGGGGGCTGAGATTGCCGGGGGCGCAGCGGGAATTCCACTGGCCGGCGACGGGGTTGATTGGCCGGGCCTGCTGGGCACCCATGCTTTTTCCGCGCCCGTCCTTCTATCCCCAGGGCCAGGGCCGGGCGACCCGCACGCCCGGCGGAGAGCGCCAGCCATACTGGATAGAACGAAACCTGCCAACCGCAAACCGGTTGCGGGCGCGGGCCAATCAATGGGCTATGCCCGGGCGCAGCTCACTGCGGGCAATGCACACAGATGCCCGGCGTCGGCCCGGCCAACGCGTTCCACCACGGCCACCCCCTTCTCCCCGGGAACCAGGTGGGCCGCCCGAAGCACTTACCCGCCCCGCAAGCGCAGCGCGGGAAATCGGAACGCACCAAGCGGGCCGACAGAAGCTGGCGCGCGCCCCAATTAAATTATGCCAGCGAGGGAGGCAGGCGGGGCCCCGGCCGGCCCCATGCGTGAGGCTTTGGCCATGCTTGCAATCCAAATAACGAGATAGAACGAACGCAGGCGGCGCGCCGGCCGATAGACTTCCCAACGAACGAACCGAGGGCCGCGGCGGCCGAATCAAGCGCAGGTCGCCCGGGTAATCCCTATACTTGCGCCCTTCCACACCATGCAGCCCCCTGGCCCAAAGCGAGCCTACCCGCCGGCCCGCCGTAGCTAAGGGTGGTAGAAAGGCGGGCCGGCCTGCTGGCCAGCCAGGCACGGGCGCGCTGCGGGGCGAGACGGGCAACACAGACTCGGGCCCGCCAGCGGATACGGCATTCCCCTGAAGCGACCGGCCGCCCGGGAAGGGCCGGCGCCCAAAATTTGCGGTGGGCCACCCATCCAACCTCCTACCCGCCAAGAAACAAAAGGCGCGGCCGGGCGGGGGTCAGCCCGCCGGCGGGGGACCCTGCATCCCCTTGGGGGGGGGGCAGGCATACCCAGCCAACCCTGGGAAGGAAAGCCGCACGCAGGTCGGAGGGCCGGCCGGGCCGCACGGGCGGGGCGGCGAGGGCGGCCGCGGGAAAACAATGGGCGTCAATGATGCTTCAGGGCGACAACCCGCCCTCGACTCGCGAACGGGCCGACGGTAGTCGGGGCCCCCAGCCCCCAGGCAATCGCCCACCCGGACTGGCAACGGCAGCGGGCCTGTTTTCCCCCGGGTATGGGATTGGGCGGGCGCAAGGGTGGTAGGGAGGGCGGATGGATGGTTGGGCGGATGGAAAAAGGGAAGCCGGCGCGGTGCGCGCGCGCGGGCCGGCGGGCGCGCCCCCTCTGCGGCGCAAGTAGTTGCATGCCTCCCCGGCGCCCCGCCCCCAAGCCCCCAAAGGCACACACAAAACGCCCGCCGGCTGGCGCCACGCGTCCGCCGGCCGGGCGCCTAGATGCTTTCACACAGGGGCGGGCGGCCCCCGAAAAAGGCGGAGCGCAAGACGCGAAGCGGGAGAAGGGGCGGTCGCCAAAAACTAAAAAACCCGCGGCCGGGGCCGCCGCCCGGGAGCCGCAAAACACCCGCAGGGCGCGGCTTGTAGCATCCATAAGGGGTCCGGAGTTCCATAAGGCTTCCGGAAGCCTTCCGGCGGCTGAAAGCCACCGGCGGCACCGCGGAAGCCGGCGGAACGCCAGCGGAATGGGGACCGGTCCCGGAGGTGTAAAAGTTCAAAGAGCAAAGGCAGAAAGAGCCGGGGCCGGCATGCGGGCCAGGTCGCCAAAAGTAAGAAACCTGGGCCCGCCCGCGGGGCGCGGGTGGCGAAACATAAACGCGCCATCGGCCCAGTGCGCGTCCCAGCAGGCCCTGTCCGTCGGTGCCAGGACAAAGGCCGTCCGAAGCAAGCGCCCGCAAAGCAAGCAGGCGAGGACATGCGGGCCCAGCCGTTGCGCTGCCGCGCAACAGCGCCGGGCGCCGCTTCCATCTGTTCGCTGGCCCCAAGGAAGCAAAGGCTGGGGGGGCACACAGGCAGGCGGCCTCCCCGCGCAAGTCGCGTAGCTGCCCTGCTGCGGGCGGGCATCGTTCGGTGGCACGGGGCCCGGTCGGAGGGAACAAAAAGGCACCAAGCCCCAAAGGAAGCGCGCAACATACGGGCCGCCGGCCCCCGAAGAACGCGCGTTCTACCCGGTTGGGGCGGCCCTCGGCCCGGTGGCGTGGGTCGAACCTGCAGGCCGGCCCGCCCGGCGCGCGCGCGCAGGTGGGCTCCTGCTGCTGAGTCCTCCAAAGTCAAGGGAGAACGCAGGCCGCACAGGGCCTCCGGCGGGCGCCACCCGCGCGCCGGCGTGCGCGGCACCTGAACAAGCCTGGGGCCACGCATTCACTGCCGGGGGCAGGCGGACGGCCCCGGGCGCCAGGGGGCTTTGCTTGCCAATCCGGGGCCAGCGTGGGTGCCTGGCTCCCATCGGTTGCCCCCGGCGGTCCGGCGCGGTGCCCTAGCGGTTGCTTGCAAGGCCGAGGCGAGGCCGCCCGGCCCAGCCGCCGGCGGGCTCGCTGCCAGAAATAAAGGCCGCCGCGCGGAGGCGGCGCCAGTCTTTCAACCAGCGGGCCCGCCACCACCAAGCCCCGGCCGCTCCCTCGCGTGAGTCAATGTGGCTGCGGTCGCCGGGTCGGCAAAAAAAAACCGGGCTGGGCGAACAAGGGACGAACGCGCGGGGGCGAAGGCAATTGCAATCGGCGTCCTCCCATGCACACAGGCCTGGCCAGCAGCAGCCGAAGCGCGCGACGCAGAACCAGCCCACATAAAATATCCATCCATCGAGCAGGGTAGGCGGCGCCATGCACGCAACAATGCAAACAAAGCGGCGCTCGGGTGGCGCGCAACACCAACGGTGGGGCGGGATGGAAGGTAAAAAAGCAAAGCAAAAGGCGGTGGCGGGCCCCGTCGCTGTCTTCCATGGGGCAGCTTGCTACGCCCGGGCGCCGACGGCGAGCGGGCGTCCCCACCAGGGCAGCAACCGCAATCCGCCCAGACCGACAAAATAATTTGGGCGGCCGCTGGCGGGCGCCGCCCCCCCTCCCAGCAAGCGGAGCGCGGACCCAGCAAAAAGAAACTGCGACCACAAAATAAAACAGGCGCCCAAGGAGCAAGGGGGATGCAGGCGCGCCACCTTCATCAGCGGCAGCGGCAGCGGGCGCGCCGCGCGCGCGGGCACAAAGCAAGGAAAGGCCCGGCTGGCCCATTCATTGCGGGGGAGGCCGGCGAGTCCCCTCGGCGCCGCGCCCGCTTTCTTGCATGCCGGGCGTTACGTTTTCCTGCCGGGCGGCCAGCCGCCTTCCGCCTTGGAACAAGGCCAGCGGGCTGCACCGGGCCAGCGCCCAAAGCAAAATCGGTGCCCCAGGAAGCAGGAACACACAATGCGCGCATGCTCTTCCCGCGGACTCTCCTAACCAAGAGTGGGAGCGCGCAGTCCGGCCGTCCCGATCGAACGATGCCCAGGCCGGCGGCCCAAGAAATCCGGCGCCACTTTCGCACGCCCCCTCCCCCCCAAGAGGGCGCCCCCCGCCCTCCACCGCCTCTCTCCAACGCCACAAGAAACACAAGAGAGCCTCGGGTGGGTTGCCAGAAATCGAGCAACAGGCGGTGGCTTCTGCTATCACACCTACAGACATGGTCCCTCCACAAGACCTCCAGGCGCGCCCGCGAGTAACTTCACTATGGTAAAGAGCTCTGGCTAAATTTCATCGAGTTCAATGCTTCAAAGGCCGAAATCGATCAAATTTAGCCAGCACTTTTGTGGCTAAAGCCAGCGCGCGCGCTGGCTAAAGCCATCAGCCGGGGGGGTTAATTTTTGGCACTATGTACCTCCTTAATCATACACGACAACAATTATTTACGCAGGATTATCTTAGAGTAGTAGCTCGCCGAACTCCGAAACTGCTGCTCTAGGCCTTGTAACGGAAAGTGCGGCCCAGCGGCGACGCTAACGCTAGCCGATCACACAAGTCGTGTAGTGTAGAAATAAGTGCTCGCCGTGATATCTTCTTTTCTCAGAGTGCTACAACGAGTCGATCAGTTTCTGGCAATTGAAGCACTTTTGAGCGGCAACTGATGCTTGATGTCCCAGGACCTGTGAGTAAAAAAAACTGACCAATTATGGTTTTTTAATTCATGCTGTTCCTTTTCATGCCTTTTGGAAAATAGACACATACTTATTCTCAATCTGAATGCAACATCGTTTACACAAAAACAGCGATACCAGTTCTGCTCCCTCTTGTTCACTTGTAACAAATCTTAGAAGCCCTCCTCGTCCTCCGATTCGTCAGCTTCATCTTCCCAATCCGCCGGCCCGAGACCCCAGTTTCTTTCCCATATGCCACAGAAAGAAGATCCACGACTGACATTCACGCTCGACTTTTTTTAAGACTTAGGAAGACGGTCGCGCTGACCACGCCGATGGAGATGAGCAAAAAAAGTTGTAAGAATACTGCATTTTTGACCGTCCTTCCTGACGATCCTTGTTTTCATCCGGATGCATAACCCTAAAGTCGAGTGTGCCAGTCAAGAATCAGGATCTTCTTTTTTGCATATTCCAAATGTTGAGCCGCATCGACGTCTCTTTGCTATGCGAACGAAATTTTTTCAAGCCGAACATCAGCGCAATAGCACAAGCTGCATCACAAGGAGGATATGGCTTGCTCGTAGATTCATCATTGTAATAGCTCTGTCTGACGGCGATTCGACAATTGGAAATGCGACTTTTCAATCGACAAAACCTTCTTTAGAGTGACAATCACTCCAACGTAGTGAGTGCGGTTGAAGTCAGACTTAAGCCTCACTCACTACGTTGCCAAACTGCAGTTGCCATGAGAAATGACCAGTTTCGCATTGACTTGGTATCTCCGGCTCGAAATTTCCTTAGGATACTTCACGAAGGTTCCGTACTCCAGAATTTTCACCGCGCCATCGGTAATGCCGTTTATCAAGCGGTTTGCTGGTCTCATCTCGTTTTCCGCCGCCGGCCGTGCGGCCGCGAGGATTTCGTGGTCCAAGATCAAGAGATTCGCGACGAGCTTGCTGTCTGCGTGCGGTAATTGCAGGTTGCTTTCCTCTGCGCGGTGGTCTTCGGATGCACCTGCAGAGTCGTCATTGGTTGTGGACAGAAAAACTGGGCTCCTTTCACTAAGGCCGGGCAACCAAATTTTTTCTTCTTGCCCACTTTTTTACAGTACGTAGTCAGGAGATTGATTTCAAGAATTACATCGGTGGCTGGTCAGTGAAAAAAACCTCCCACAAACGTTTCATAATACCGGCGCTGCCCAGGTTGTTCTCGATGTCGCGCACTGCCTTCTCCAATGCTTGCAGTTCGAGTTCCTTGCGTCGCCTCCACCATCTGCTCAACAGGTAGCCAGCGATCAAACAGGCGGTCACGGCCACGATCAGAAACAACAGCATCCGATGACCCTCTTCGAAGCGGTGATCGAAGCGGAGGAAGACCAGAAAGGACGTGCAGAAGTTCCTGACTTGATTGCAAAAGTATTCGCCAATCGCGCTTAGAAACTGGTAGACATCAGACAAATACACCGTGAAGATATCGAAACAAGTAGTGGACTGCGACGGGGGATGTCCTGGAGTTGCGACGTTTTCTTCGAGTATTTGTGCCACTTTTCCTCCAGGGACCGATGAAAACAGCTCCTCGTGCTGGTTTCCCCGAAGTCCCGAGGAAGTTGTGGATTGCGGTCGGACTGCCGCCCTGGTTTCTCCTGGCGTTTTGGCCATCGAAAACGACGGTCCAACAGCTCCTGCGCTTGTTTGAAACTGAATGTCAATTGCTGAAGGATTTCCGGTTGATGTAGTCCCTCTTGCGTTCGACACATTTCCCGTTGGATCACTTGAAAGTTTCTTCTTGGTCATTTCCGTGGTCCGCTCTTCCCGCATCATGAGGTTCGAACTCGGATCTTCCTGCACAGGAACGCCATGGTCGTCGATTTCATCATGCTCTCCCTTGGTCGTCGAGGAACCTCCGACGACTTCAGCAGGATCCAACTGCGGGACCTTCTCTACCGCACCTTCCAGAAGTCTACTCGCCGATGTTGAAGAATCGGAGGACTGCGCCGAGGCGGGAGACGGTTCTGGCACAGCGGAACTAGGCGTTGGTGGGAAAGCCAGCGTTGTTACGGCGTCGTGACCGGGGTGCTGCGTCATTTTTGTCGATTCTTGCTGCTGTCCCCGGAGGACGACGCCAACTTCAATCGCACTGGAGGAGCCGTCGATTTCCGCTGATAGGTGGCTTGAAGTTTGCGGCAGCACGGTAGGTGAAGTCGGGGAACCAACAGGCATCGTATTGGTGGTAGCTTTTTCACTGTGACCAGCGCCTCCAGCATCGTCAACTACACTTGCCCCATCATTGGTACGTTCTGAATCCTTATCGTTCGCCGAAGTGCCCTTGGTTGCGTCATCGCGAACCGTCTCGTCTACGACGTTCTCGGCGTGGAACGGCTCCGCGGCGCTTCGCATTCCGTCGTAAAAAGTTTGCTTCGGCTCGTGTAGCGCCGCACCTTTTTCGATCAACGAGGACTGCTGGGTACCGGTAGTTTTTAAGGGATCGCTGATGGATAAGTCTCCTCTGAAGGCAAGGACTGCTTTGTTTTTCAGATCCTCTAGCTGGACGGGGTTGCGAACAGTTTCCCAGTCTGTTATGTAACGACCGGCTACAGTAGCAAGGTCTCCCGCGGAGTCTGTGAACGTGTAGCCCCAGCGAGCACCGAGTTTCTTGAATAAATCGTTGAACATTGCTGCAATTCTCGGGGGTAATGACGTTGACAATTTTTCGTTCGTTTTTTTCCTGAAGCCTCCGTTTCCCCCCCACTTCGTCCGCACAGCTGTAACAAGGTTAACAATCGCCTCTGCCTTGCCAGTGATGCTGAGCTTCTGGAACCAGGACATTTCCCTCGGAACATCGATTGTTGTTTTGGCGGGGCTGTTCTGGCAAGAGTCACCCGCAAGAATTAGAGTATCCTTGTAAATCTTCTGCGAGATGACTTTGATTTCGCCGGACGAAAGAACCCCGTCATTTGCTTCAATAAAAGATGAAGAGGCGATCCGACTGCTCGCCGAACTACTAGGGTATCCGCCAGTTCCACTGCTTGCAGTTTCTCCTGGTTCCAGCTCCCGGACGATGTTGACAAGGTCTGCGGATTTTCTTGTTCCCCGTTTGATCGAGGAAGACGAAACTGCTGATGCAGGAGCTGCGCTTCCTGTCGTGCTTACCCGCGAATCCTTTTCGCCCGCACCAGCAGACGGTGACGAGACAGCAGCGTCTGCTTTCTTCGCGGCAAACTTCAGAGAGAACGATGCTGCTTCCGGAGTCTCAAGGGAAGAAGATGGGTTTGTAGTGTCCGACGGTTTCGAGCTCGCATAGGACACAAGAATATCACCCTTTCTATTTCGTGGTCCTCCTGTACGACTACTCTGGCTCGTTTCTTGCTGCGATCCCGAGCTGCTGGTCGATGCTGATGGCGAGGACTTGGACATGGTGTAGCCGACCGGGTGCGAAGCGAAGGAACTTCCGCTACTTTCTGCAACTGCTGCACTACTCCCGGTTGTCAGAGATTTCCTCGTTGGGATGGAATCCTGCGCAGGAGTGCTTTCTATTTTTGCATCGTCTGTGGAGCTACCAACAGCAAGTAGACTCGACTCGCCGTCATGCTGGCTGCCGCTTTTTGCTGGCAACGACGGCAATTGACTTACGCCTGCTGCCACGTCCTGTTGGCTCACCATGTTCACAACGAAGTTGGAGGCCGGTGAGGTGATGTGAGTGAACAGACACTATCGCTGAGTCCCACCCAGGCTGGTACCGATCAGGTAGCTACTTGGACATCAGGCTGGCATCACTTCTTTGTGGTTGTGCCGCAACGCTTCGTCAAGGAGCATTACACGCGCGCACTTGCAACTAAGAAAACATCGATGCTCCAATCAATCACCTTGGCTATTTCCGGATACGATCATGAAATTGGAAGATGAACAAGTAGCAATGTCGGCATTGGTAGAGATAGGTTGACGTCGCCAAGATGAGAACATACAAGAACTTACAATCCTCTCAAATCACTCCGCGATGAAAACTTAAACGCTCTCACTCGATACCGTTGTACGGTAACTTTTGCTACGAAATCTACGTCCATCTCGCTTCCAACTTTCACAAATCTCGTCTCGATTTACCGCATCAAGACCCAAAAAGATCAAGCAACACGAGAAATCAATACAAAGCATCTTTCCGGTACAATAATGGCCTCAATTTTCGGACGTGCGCTGCTCGCCTGCGCCTGCATTTACTGCAATCATTCTCATCACATCGATGAAATTTGCGTGACTGCGAACTCGGTCGTTCTCGTTGCAGTGTGAATCTTATGCTGACATTTGCACTAATCCCCTCGCGGATTATCACAACTGTCGACACTACCCGCATTCCAATTCTTCTCCCTGTCCATCTCCAGCTCCTGCCGCTTTTTGCGCAACTGCTCCAGTTTCTCGCGGTGTCGCTTCAATTTCTCCTGTAAGGTTTCGGCTGCGGACAGTGTGGGGGAAGCAACTTTTTGCGAATGGTGCAGTGTGTCTGCAACAACTTCTCCACACATATCACGATCTTCAGTTCTGCCAATGATTTTCGTCATCTTGTCCGTCTCTCCGGACCGAAAAGTATCTTCGACGTCCGCGTGCCTCTCAGTCGTCCCAAGTCCTCCACTGCGAAAACTGTTCGCCGCGAGCGCACTGATTATCGCACCGTCTGCAGCGGGAGTGTTACTGTCATGCTCATCTCCAAGAGGATTTGATGCATTTGTTCCTTCCTCGCACGACATTCCTTTTTCCGCCATAGTTCGTGCGGTGCTGGAGGTCGACGCTACTTCTCGCTCAACACTGGCACCACTGCTAGAACTGGCAGACACACCTTCCCCAATGGCAGGTTTCGATGGCGCTTTATTTGTTTTCAATCGATTCCCGAAGAGTCGCTGCGCCACGTCCGCGTCGTCGAGTGTCCCTGAGCTACTTCGCGACGACGCAGAACCGCTCAGGTCCTTTGACGAATCATCTGTACTCTCATTTTTCTCCCCCGCTGCCCGATTTGATGCCAGGATCATGTCGCTCATCTGCTGAATGACCAACTTCTGCTGCCTTTTTCGGCGCTCCCGCGCAATGCTGTGGTACGGGTGCAATCCGTCCAGCTCGTCATCGAGCAGTAAATCGACGTCTTTCACTTCCTTCGTACTCGCGAGCAACGTATCCCGTGGCGGAACTGTGAGTCAAGGCACTTAAACTTGCAAACTTACTTATTTTCATAGCACACTGCTGCGACTTTGATGCATGACAAACGAGCAATTCAAATTCTGTCGTGAGAAATAACGATTTCTTGAACTACAAAGCGTGCAACCCCCGTCTCCGACTGCCGCGGCGACTGGATAGAAACACTTCTTCACTTTTGCTCGGAAACTGCAAGATTTCATCGAGTCTCGCCTTGACTCAAGAACGATTCTCCGACGATACAACTGCAGCCGCTGCTTCTCGAGTTCGGTGCCGCGCACGACCCGGGACTTACTGGATGCCCTGCTTCTCGCGGCTGATTTCCGCCCATACTCTTCCTCCCCCTGCTCCTCGGTGCCCGTGGCGTTCCGCCGGATGTTTGCCAACTCCTTCCGGATGTGCCGCAGGTGCGTCACCTGGAACTCGCACTTTTTCTCCCGCAGAACGTCCTTCGCCTTCGTGAACAGCGGCTGCAACCGCTCGTGTCCCACCATCATCGACATCAGCAGCTTCTGCTGCCGCTCCTGCGCGAACCGGCGCTGCCGAAACTTCTTTTCCGTGGCGCGAAACGCCTCCTGCTTGGTCATCTTCCGACCGGTGGAGCGTAAAGCTGCGCCTGCGTGGTTGTAGCTCCGCCCCGTGGATGATGAACTACTGTTCGCCCCGCCATTCATCAGCCGCAACTGGTGTGAAACAAATTGCATCACCGGGTGGTCACTGCGGTACACGTCGTTGCCCTGCTGCCAGTCGTTCCCGTCGGTGAAGCAGTCGACGAACCGGAGGTCCGGGTACTTCTGCAGCAAGTCGCGGACCAGGATACGGTATCAAATGTAAAAATGTCTGGGTCTGGAAGAGTGCGCGATTTGTCATGCTGCTTTTCCATGACCCATGAGGTCTGGAATGCAGGACCTAGCATGACAGATTCTGCGAGACCTTTCTAATGCCTATCCTGCATGAGAAACTCCCTCCCGACTTGGTCAAAACTGGACGACTTTTGGTAATCACGCAACACAGATTTTCGCATGCTGCAGATTTAGCATGACAAGTTGCAATCTTCCAGACCCAGACATTTTTACATTTGATATCCGGTACGGATTCGCGATCTTCTTGTCCTGCAGCTGCAGGTTCGTCAGCTCTAACGGCGGCACCCGCTGGCAGTACAGCAGCCAGTCCGGCCGCTCGCGGTAGCTTTGCTGCTCCAGCAAATTCTCCACCCGCTGCACCACGTCGTACCGTATGCCACGGTAGAAATTCGACCCGTTCGGGTGGATGGCGCCTTTGGTCATCTTTGAGGTTGTGGACTTTTTTCTTACTCTCGCGCCCCTCCTTCGTAGAAGTCGGTGACTGTACTCTGTTTATTGCGGAAGGTACAGTTTCAGATGTATCCACAAGCTGATCTGGTGCAAGATCAAAAACCGAGTCTTAAGTTTTTGTTTTTTACCGCTGATCGCGATGAGAACGAATATTCCGGGAGGTGGTCAACCGAGGATGACCTGCAAAGGGAGGACAAGCATACGAACCGGACAATGAAGGGCTGCCGACGAAAATCGTCCTGGGAGTGTGACCGAGGAAGGAAAGAATGGCCCTGCTCGTGCACGACTCGGAACAGAGCAATCTCCCGTCTTCTACAAAAGTTTCATCGTCCAGTTTTCCTCATCTAGCAACAGAAACCTAGAATAGTCTCAAACGTTTTCAATATCCAAGTCTTCAACGTTGCCATCCAACCAGTGTACATCAAGCTAAGGCGTAAACATCAAACAAACACATCGCGCACCTGAAACTGTGACTACCAGAAACAAGTCCAAGATGAGTCCGATGTATTCTCCTAATAACACGTTACCTGCAACTCCCTTCCGCCACAATTGCGATTCCACATCAAGCTGCATCAAGTGAAAAAGTGATTTGCTAAATGAGGTTTCAATTTTGTGAGAAACCAACAGCACTGCGAACGCGCTTCCTGCAAATAGTACGTAGAAGAAAAGTGGGTGTCCTTTTCCAATTTTTTCCGAATGTGAGTGATGTTTTCTACAGTATTTTTATCGGTCAAACGGTAAAAGTTAAAAATAAAATCCAACTTTGTTGAGTAAAGTGATCCTAAGTAATGTATCAGAACGTCGAATGGGAACAAATCTTTGTTTCTTTCAACTTGGCTTTTTCCTCCTTTTCGCACGCACGGTGGTCACCGTGCGATTTTCATTCACGAAGCGTTCTTCGGAACAGTCTTTCCGGACGCAGCTACTTCGTGCGTCGTCCCGGCATCAGCCGAAGCAACTTCTTCCTGCGTGGTATCACCACCCGCCGCGGACGTATTTTGCTTCTTTGCATCACCGCTTTCAGCCGAAGATGCGGTGGCGGCTACGCCTGCATCGGTCATCAGGGTAGATGTGTCACCAGTTGGCATCACGACTGCACCCGCAGTCTCACCAGCGGGCGTGACGTCCGCGGAACTTTCACCAGCTCGCGTACTCGATGTCGTACGTGCATGCTGAGTGGGAGTCATCGATGCCGGTGCCTCAGCCGCGCTTTCCCCAGCCGGCGCAGGAAAGGCAGCTGCAGTCTGTAGTTTTTGTTGGAAAATAAGTTTCTTGCTTGACATCGACGGGAATGGTCACATGAAGACCAATTGTGTACGTCAAGTGCTGTCCCTGTCGCACAGGAATTTTCCTTTTTCTAGTTCTAGTAAATTATAGTGGTTCCAGTTTTCGAGTTTTACAACATTACTAAACGAGCTACAATCTGAAAACTTAGTACTACACAAATGATAAAACGAACTACATGGAAGAAAACACTTCTTTGCTTTCCAGGGGTTCGAACTGACAAGAAGAGAGAACTTCTTTTCTTTGCAGGGGTTCGAACTGACAAGAAGAAAGAACTTCTTTGCTTTCCAGGGGTTCGAACTGACAAGAAGAGAGAACTTCTTTTCTTTCCAGGAGTTCGAACTGACAAGAAAAGACAAATTCTCTTCCTTCCCGGGGGTTCGAACTGCCTGAGGGCGGGGGGGGAGAAGGAGTGGCGGGCGAAAGCGGAAGAGGGCGGGAAGATAGAGAAGCGAAGAAAGGAAGGAGGTCGAGCAAAAGAGCGCGGGGCGCCCAGGCTATGTGTTACCCCGTTTCCCCCCCCCCCATTTTCTTGCGTTCTATTCAATATGGGCGCACAAAATACAAAGAAAACCGGACAACCTAGGCCATAGAGCGCAAAATGCAAAACCGGGCACCCAAGAAAAAAAAATTTTTAGGGTAAAAGTTTTGTCATGGCTTAGGCTGTCCGGCTTTGCATTTTGCACGTTCATACTACCCAATGGGCCGCCGCCCTACTGCCCCCCGCCTTCTCTTTTCCCCTGGCTATTCCAGTCGGCACGGGTTGCCTAAAAAAATGCGCAGGCAGTTCGCGCAGCCCACTAGCGCCCCACCGCGGGCAGCCACTTCGGCGATGGCTCCCAAACACGAAAAAAGCGCAGCGCCACGCCTTGGTTTTATTTACTCAGTGCCCCGCGAGCGCGGAAGCAGTTCGCGCAGCTGCGCCGTTCGCAGCCCGTCAACTCGCGCAGCTGCGCAGGCAGTTCGCAGTCCATCAGTTCGCGCAGCTGCGCAGTTCGCAGTCCGTCAGTTCGCGCAGCTGCGCCGTTCGCGGTCCGTCAGTTCGCGCGGCTGCGCCGTTCGCGGTCCGTCAGTTCGCGAAGCTGCGCAGCTCGCAGCCCGTCAGCTCGCGCGTGCTCTGCAGTTTGCAGCTTGTCAGTACGTTACGAAAAGACGAAAACTCGAAAACCAGAACCTAGAGTAAATGAACCTGCAAAAACAAGAAAAAAAAATACTGGTTGTTCTGCAACCGCGGCCTCTTTCGTTTTCTGCTTCACAATCTCCTCTTTTTTCTCCACTGAGTACTTCTATGCGGTACGAAAAAATGATCTTGCGTTTTCGTGCATAAATTTGTTTAAATAGGGATTACGTGCAAGTGGACCGAAATCAAACAACCACACCACAAAGGAAAAATGAATCCGTCTTGGTCTTCCATTGTGTCTCAATAGATGCATACTACCTTGGGCTCGACCATGGTGCCAGGAGATATCTCTGATTTTTTCGCTTTTTCATTTTAGACAACGTGATGCACATGAAGAACTACCAACTGCGATATGCCAGTGCTAGTATTTTTTCGCGGAGATAACTTCGGGATCGGATGGTGTTCCGCGGGGCCGGCACGGTCCGTTTTTCCATCCTTCCTGGCTTGCTGGACCCAAGCGGCGCGCTCCGCGTTCGTTAGAAGGAGCGGCACCACATCCTCTTGTGTCAGCAGCGCCTCCGGCTTCCGGACGGCGAAGCAGCTCCAAATCCGGCACTGACCGCCTTCGAGCCTCCCGCACTTACTCTTCGACGTGTCCGGCTCCGGCAGGAAGTCCGCTTCGTAAAAGCCGTTTTCCGCGTAGGCAACCGCGTCCTTCTCCTTGTCGTGCGTGCCGTACCGCAGCTCCCCATGACGGTTCGACCACGTGTTCACGTACCACTTCGAGTAGTGTAGTGGCGATCCGTGGCAGGAGTGACGGTACTCGTTTTCATTCTCCGCCATACGTGTGTGCTCATGGTGCCCTGCTCTGGACGCGAAAAATTTTCCAAACGCGGGCATCGCTGCTGTGGTGCGTCGCGACCAGGTCAGGACGGGAAAGCGAACTCCTCCCGTTGTGTCGAAGTGTAGGCTCTTTGTTGCCCCAAGCAGTCCGCCCGCCGGCACCTCCACGGCCGGGATGAAGGTACTGTAGTAATCGCGCCACCCGCTCCGTACCGTCCGCGCAAGCATCTCGTTCGCATGCCACCGCCGTTGCAGCCGCACGCGGAAAATTTGTCCGACGTCCTTCGCGTACGGAACCGGCCACGACTTGTACGTTTCCTTCGGCGCGAGTGGCAGAATTTCGCAGTCCAGTTCCCACGTGCGGTAAGCAGCGTTGCGGTTTAGCTTAAAATTCACGCACACGGCCACGGGGTTGCGCGGGTCCCCGTCCTGACCCACCAGCAACACATCCGATCCCGTGCGGGCACGCTGCCGTGAAAGGTCCGCGGGCAGCCCCAGGAATTCTTCCGCGGACTGGAGGTCCTCCCCAGCGAGAGTTTTGTTCGCCAAGTACTCGGTCAGAGGCCCGAAGGGACGGTACGAAGCTGTCAAGTCGTCAATGTCGCTGTCACTGTCGTGCGCGTTTTTCACGACATTTTCGTGCACGTCACCCCTTATGGGACTCTCAAATCAATGTTACATTGATCCCTTTTACATGATTTGCCATCATGCAAAACCCCTGTGAGCCTCCACACGATCAGGATCAGTGACTACTTCGCATGACACTTTCTCGAACAGATACTTGCCATGGCAATCCGTTCCAAATTTGTATATGCAAGACCACATGCAAGCTACTTGTTACGCCGTTACCTTTCGCTATTCTTGCATCGCAAATTCGTGTTTAGAGATATCAATGTAACATTCGAGAATTCCATATTTGGCGTGTAGGTATTTGGATGCTCCTTGTCATCGTCGCTGTTGTACAGAGTGTCGAGAGTGGCGAAATCGCCAAGCGGCAACAGTGTGAGGTACAGGTGCCGGCGCAGCACCGGGTGCGGCACCCGGTCAAGGTGCCTCAGGCACGTGCTATCTTGACCCGCAAACAGGAGCCTTTTAACAATCCCCTGCCCCTGCCGGTGTCGCGACTCGCATTCCAAAGCCCGTCCCGTGCCCTCGATGACTTGGGCGATCCGCTCCGCGTAGTGCTTCCGGGCCTTGAACAAAGTAGCCAATGCGTGAAGCCAGACATAGGACCCAACGATGGATGCGATGATGGGACTACCGCCAGTGAGCATGATAGTCCCCATAAGCGACGCAGGAAGCCCGACCAAAGGCACCAGCGACAGATGTTCCGCGATAAAAGCCTCGTGATTCGTCATCGCGTGCGCGGATTCCCGGTACGGCAATCCAGAAGCAAGTGCGGAGCCGCTAGTGATGTCGTTCCTGCTCTCCAACGTCTTCTCCTGCTTCCGCAACTCCTCCTGCCGCTGCAGAAGCGCGTTGCCCTGGTTCTCCGCCTCCTGGTCAGGCGCCGCGGCGCTCTCTGAAAATTCATCGGGAATATGCAAAGTTGCGTGTTGCGGTAACTCGTCGACGACATCGTCGGCGTCCACCAGGTTTAGTGACGTTTTCGGTCCATCAGCGTGTGACCCCGCGTTCCCGTCGTGCACAACCAAACTAGTAGCCCTTTGCAGGCCAGTCGCGTGCTGCTTCGCCGCAACCAGCAGGCAACAGCCGCTCCGGGACCACAGGACCAGCAGAAAGCCGAGGACAAACCCCTGCATCAGTGCAACCAAGGAGGGCAGCCGTCTCAACGACAGGCGGATCTGCATCTCCAAAACGCCCCGTGACGCCACGCGCCCGTCCGTCCAACAAACCACAAGTAGGGTTGACGCTGGCTATTGCTTCCGCTTCGTGCACACTCACAGAATGTAACAAATTAGTACGTTTCCAGTCCGTCGACAGGCCACGAGGAACAGGAAGGTCAAATTTTAATCAAACAATAGTGAGTGGCAGAGTTAAAAGTCTTTGAGAAGTCGTGTCTTTCCTCGCGTTGGAGTTAATCTTTGAGTGTCTTTCGCTTTCCTCGAACCAAGGGAAACAAAAAAAACTTCTACAATCAATGGGAGCAGAGATAGCGACTTCAAATTTTGTGCATGCAGTAGCAGTACTTACCTCTACTACAACGACGCCATCGTTACACATCCCCCGCGACGCGTCGAATATTATGACGATTAATTCCTTCTGACGATCACGAAAACGAATTCAAAAAGTTACGAAAACTACAGCAAGACGAGATGTTCGGGACGAATACACGCCCAAGGCTGGTCACTTTAAGGAGCATCATACGCAACATCATCCACGGACGACCCGACGTATGACTCTTTAACGTACAAACGAACTGTACACGTATCAACACGACCAGAACCCCTTTTCTGTGCCTCCTGCTGGTTGAACAGAGAGAACAATGATCTTCGCCCGAAAAGATTCACTGTAAGTGTGATTATGATTCCCTAAGAGTGCATAACAGCGCTTCTTGATGAAGTAGCGATAACGCTTCAGGGGCAAAAGAGATAGGTCTAATCCCGCTCAGTACCGCCCTGTTGGAACTGGTTGTAGTCTAGTCGGAGCAGCAAACTCTGCAGGCTGCTGGTGTCTAATTTTTTCAGCAGGCTGAACAATTCTTGCACCACCATGTCGAATTCACTTTCCAGCTTCGCTTCCCGCTTATGCACTACAAATTTTCGGCACACGACGACGCACAAAAAATGCATCATGATCATGATATGTTCTGACATCACCTATAAAAAATGTGACTTGCTCTTGCTCTTACATCAGAATGCTTCCAAGTAAAGAGCGAGGAGGGCTGTCATCATGCAAACTGTCGTTACTTGTGCACCACGTGTGGCCGGTGAAAAATTTGCCGTGGATACAACCGCTGTTCCATTAACAGGTACTGTGCGCTGCTTGGCGCGGCCCGCGTGGCCTGGTTGCTCGTGTTGCCGATGCGCACAAACCGGTTGGAGATGCTCACAATGGACAAAAGGCACTTCAGCACCGACTGGTCTGTGTTCAGCAGAAAGCAGTCCGCGATGTCCAGTGCAAACATCTCTGTGTCTGGAACGTTGCGAGATTTGTCATGCCAGCCTGGCATGGGTCTGAGCTCTCTCTGTATTGCGTGGCCACGAACAAGAAGTCAGAGATCTCTTGTTTGTCACGCAATTTCATCACATGCGAAATACACAACCCAGGGCCACGAAAAAATCTGTCATGCTTGGCATTGCAACTACATACTTGCGGTGTGCTCTATCATTCACTGACATGCATCACAACTTTCCAGACCTAAACTAAACATGTTTGCAATGCATACGCCAGCACGTGCGACAAAAACTGCTGGTGGGCAAACTGCAGGTCCTCAAAGTCGTTGTCCGCCTCCACAGCGTCCACCAGATTCTGAAAACTGGCCTCCAGCACGTCCTGCTGGAAATACTGCAAAATCTGCGTCACAAAGAAGTACAACCGGTGCCGAAAGTGGTGGTTCCGCCGGCTGCGGTTGCTGAGCTCAAACTGGTTTTTGTTCCTCGCCCGGTACGTGCCGTAATCATGATGATAGCCTTGTTGTTGCGCCGCCGAGTGACTGTTTACTCCGCCGGCAATACAAGTAGATGTTGGGAAATTTTTCCTGTGCGCGTTCAGCTCGCGCACCAGCCAGATGCGGCTCAGTCCGTACAGTGCCCGCTTGTACGCGAAGAGGAGCCGAAAAAGACGGTTGTACGCCGCCAAGTTCTCGTAGCTGATAATCAGGGACAGTGGCCACGGAACGTCGAACGCGATGGACAGGTCGCGGTGCCAGGGATCAATCACCAAGTTCATGTCGTCGCTAGTACCGCCAGCGCGGTGCCTCCACGACTTCAGACGCAAGAACGCGTTTGGCTTATTCGAAGATACTTCATGATCCGGTGCAGCCGATATTGCAGCTTTTTCCACGGGAGAGTAAGCGCTGCTACATGAAAGCTGTCTGTCTTCGATCGCAACGATTCCCAGATACCCGCAGCCCAGCGGGTCAGGGCCAATTTCGGAGTACAGATCCACGTCGTTCACTTCGTACAAAATAGTCCGATAGTTATTTGTACTCGCTTTGGCCGTCGTGGGCGGGAGGTGAGGATGTAAAGATGCTTTGGAGGTAGATGAGCCGTGCGCTTGCTGCAACACCACCGCAAGCCGGTCCCCGTCGTACTCGATTTCGATTTCCAGTGGTACCTGCCCGCCATCGAACCCGTGACTCGTCGTCGTGGTATTGTTGTTTATCCCAAGGTCGAAATTGTTCCGCTCGCCTCCGAACATCTGCGACGCTTCGTCATCATAGTCGAAGCGATTTGAAGTTACTGCAGCTCCTCGCAAAGTCGCTTCAGAAAGGGAGTGATTGAGGTTTTTGAACTGGAATCCCTGGCAAACAAGGTTCAGATACTCTTGCTCAACCAGAGTGGCGGTGTCCTCTCTCGCGCTGCGATCCTTGTTCCCATCGCTGGTGTAGTGCTTGTCATCTTCCTTGTGAAGATTCATTCTTGAAGGAAAAGAGGCAGCTTCAGCAGCAGTGCTTTCATAACCAAATCTAGCAGAATTGCTGCCGCAACCCCTGCTCCTTTTCACGCTCGCACGACACCCAATTTGCTTGTTGTTCAGCACGACAAACTCCACCCAGAACGCGTTCCGGTACAACAGTTTCTCCGTCACAGAGGGAAGTCGGTGGTCCGGCGCGCCAGCTCCTGTTCCGCGATAATTTTCGTTCACATTGAAAAACAAGTCGCCCTCGCCGTGCACATTCCGGATCTCTTCTCGCAGCGCCTGCTCTACCCGATTCTCTTTCAGCACCAGCGTAGGGTCATCGCTGGCCTGGTACACCACCGCAAAGCGAGTCAGGTGCGGCGGAGATTCCATTGGTGAGCCGGTTTGGTCCTTGTTGTAAAAAGTCTCGCTAATCCGAGCAGGATTTTTCCTGGTCCTCGCGGCGCCATCTTCAGGCCTACAAATTTGGAGCACGAAACTCGTCTTCCACGGCTCCGCGATAACCTGCCGCGCCGTGGCCCACACCATGTTCAATTCAGGGGAGGGTCGTCGTGGGTTTGAATAATTCTTACCGATTGAAGAAAACAACACTCCTCCCGCCTCCCCCTCTAGATCCGCTGGTGAGCAGTATGTTTTTGTAGACCGCAACTTATCTTCCAGCACCAGCTCCAGGGTACCATCTGCCGCCACCCTAGCCCCGATTGGCTCCGCCGGCCTGCTTCCGATCACCTGGACCAGTTGCCCGGCCTCCAGAAAATCTTTGAAAAAGAACCCGCGGTTCAGCAGGCGCGCCTGGAAGCGGTGCATCTTCTGCGGGTCCAGCGAAAACTTGTTTTGCTGCGAGAAATTGCGATTACTCTTCTGCTCGTAGAGTTGTTCCCCCGTCCTCGAGGACGAGGACGACATGAGGAGCAATTGGTCGCTGCTCCAGGCCAGCCGCGAATCGTAACGACTCTGCAGCGCCCGGGACACCGTGCTGGTTGTTCCACTGTTCTTGCCGCCGCTACTTTGCTGTTGGCCGCCAGCACGTTTGCGGTCTTGATCCTCATCCATTGCCAAGTCTTGCGGAAAGACCGCTCCCCCCGAGGAACTCCCAGCCAGTCCGTAGGATTCGACCTGCTTTGCGACCGCAAAGGCGTTCTGGTTCAAATCGACTTCCGCGCTCACATGGTTTGGCGGGTTCAAAAACAGCTCGTGGCCCTGGTCTAGGAAGGTCTGATAAAACGAACCGAACGCGCAACCAAAAAACCCCTTGAGGTCAAAGAAGTGCTGCAACAAGCTGGAGGTTGTTCTGGATGCGGATAATTCACCTCCCTCGCCCGATGTGTCGGCTGTTCCAGAGGAAGAAAAACTCTGTTCTGGTCGGTCGTAGAAATCGAAATTCAACACCAGCCGCCGCAATTTCCTCCCGATCAGCTGCCGCAGAAAATTTAGCGTGCCTTCCATCACCCACACCGGAGGTGCGGAGCAAGAGGTTTTCGCATTTGCAGATGACATATCCGAGAACGACGGAGCAGTAGTTGTAGCGCCCAGGAGCTGCAGCTCCGTCGAATCCGACATTCTTTTCTCGTCAAACGGCTTCAGTGCCGGGAAGGACCGTGTCACTGCAAGAATCAACTCGTACAACTTGTCGAAACACTGTTTCTTCTCTTCGTTCGTCAGCCCCGCGTGACTCAGGAGCAGCGCGCGCACCGCTTTTCCCAAAAACAAGATCCGCTCCCCGAAATCGATGGCGTCGATTTTCGGGCAGAAGCAGTTGGGCAGCTTGCCCAGGTTCAAGTCGAATTGCCGCAGCCAGAGTTTCCGTGCGTACGCTGGCGAGAGAAGGTGAGAGGGCTTGTTCGTGCTTCCGTACAACCCGCTCTGATCCTGTCCAGCAAGGGCTCCAAAGGTGTCGAACGGGTCGTGGGCCCTCGATAATGAGTGGCAGTGGAGGTCTGCGTTATCTAAATCGTACTCTAGATCCGGAGCGTAGTCGATGCCGTCGGAAAGGTCGAAGCCATAGGCTTTACTGCTTCCGGGGTGGTGGAGGTGATTCAACATCGAACTACTAGCCACGTCATCACCATTTTCCACCACCAAGCTGCCCTTCTTCTTTTCTATCACGAACTCGGAAAACGGATCGTGCAGCACACCGTGCACGCACCAGGCACTGAGCTGCTGCACAAACGCCGTTGCAAGTCGCTTGACTAGGATTCCGAACACTGCTCGGGTTTCCGCACAGCGCAACTTCTCGCCTTCCGCGTAAACGAAGTCGAGCAGGTTGAAGTGCGCGTGATTTCGGTTATTGCCACAGCCACCAGGACTGCTGCTGATGTCGTGCTCGTCCACCGGACTGCATGCCCCCCGAGTGCTACCGAAGAACGAAGGTTTATTGTTGTTTCTTCCTTCTTGACCATCACCGTTCCCGGTTGTAGTACAATTGTTCCCCACAGATGATGAAGATGAACCGAGGACTCTGGCTCGGAAGGTATCCACGACGAAGACCAGCTTTTCCAACACGCGCGAGGGGACCTGGAGCACGGCGAACAGCTGCGGGAGCGTCTGCAAGCGGTTGTTGTTTTTCTCCTCCTCCGCTTCCAAAAACTCCAACAGCGGCCGGTAGCGCTTTTCCATGTTATTACAATGAAAAATGCCCCCACCCCCGAACTTGAAAGCATTTGTATTGCAAATCTTTCCAAATGAAACATTCGCCCTCTTGCGTGTATCAGCATCACAGATTTCCAATCGTGAATAGCAAAAATTTGTGTTGCAAAAGATCCCAGCAAGAGCGGTACTTGTCATGCAATCGATGCGAAACACGACTGGAAGTGGAATCTGCATCAGAATGAAAGATTCGCACTCCTTTCATGCATGACAAAAAGCTTTCATTTGGAAACTTCGCATCACAAATTCTTGCAAGTTCAGGGGTGGGGGGCATTTTTCACTGTGATACATGTACTCCTCGATCCCTTCCGCGAGGGCGAACGCGTAGCAACCGTAGAGCGCCAGCGCGGAAGGATCGGTCATGTCACCCAGAGGCCCAGCATCGCCTTCGCCCAGAGCGCCGGTTAAATTCCCTCTCCCACCACTCGAACCGCAAGCCGTCACACTCCGCAGGGCCGCCTTCGTTTGCCCGAGTGGAACCTCGTTCACAAACTCGTCGAGACGGTACGCGTAGTAGCCACATTTGAGGATCTTCTCGCACAGAACGCGTTCGGGCGACGGGGCGGACACGGCGCTGTCGCCGTACCGCTGGCAGTGCAGGGGTAGGTTGTGCTCCACGATTTGGAACCCCGCCGGCGTGGACGTGACCTGGTGTCCGGTCGGAAACCCCGCGAGCGCGTACAACAGCTCATGCGTCTCGATCTCGAATCGCTGGGAGACAGGTCTCTTCGCGGGCTGGGATGTAGCGGTGGCGGCTCTCGTGGCGGGCTGGAAGCTGGAGGGAAACAGCCCTGTCGGGCCCGCGGCACCGCTACCACCGAGGTTGAAATACGAAGGCATAGCTGTCCTTTAGGACATAATTTTGCTGTTGTACTGCATCAGACGGCTTCTTCACTGTAGTTACAAATTCTAAGATTACGCAATTGCAATCGATTTCCAACAAAAAGATAAAGTGAAAACCCGCGAAACAGAACGAGCCAATAAAGGTTGTAATATTGACAGAAACTGCAGCTACGAAACCTGATCTGTAGAAAAACTAACGCAGCGACCATGCACCAACGCTAATGGGTGTTGCACCTGATCCAGAAATACGTTTGTAATTATGAAGGAGCCACAGCAAAACGATTTCCACAGAAACTCTGAAACTGCCGACGGGCCCCACGAACACAATTCTGCCGCACCTACAATTCAGAGTACTTAGTAGTTCGGCTCAACCGGTAAACCACCTCACGCGGGCAGGATTGTTTGACACATGCTGAAAATGAACCAAAGCACAACTAGCGCTCAAATTCGAAAGTAATTTCACAACAACGTTGTTCCAAAAATTTTACCAGAGCACGCACTCCGTCATTCACCCTGATCATTCGACATCCTGCTTTCTACAAGCGTCGCTTTCCGCCCCGAAATCTGCTGCGTTCATTCTTCGAAGCCCCCCGTCTCCGGGAGGACTCCGGCGCACAACAGGCAGTGCTGCCCGATCCCTAATCTCTGCTTTTGCAAAATGCCCGCAGTGAAGCGTACCCACAGCGTCGATGACGTCTTTTCGGATGAGCCACCACCGCCATACGTGCCCCAGGGAGTTCGCTGTATCGTCGAGTTTGACTTCCCATCCCAGCGGCGCGTTCAGGCGTTGCAGAATTTCCGTAGCGTACCTCCGAACCTCGTTTGCGATCGCGACATGCTCAGTGCACTCGCCTCCATCGCTCACACGAAAAAAGCGTGTCCACTCTGAACCCCGGGGCATGGTCCAGGTCAAGAGGGCCAAGTTCTCATGGGTCAGCACTTCGCTCGACACAGAAAAGTTCGATGCTTCTGCGGTTATCGCCGGCTCGCCAGTATTTTGCGGGGGAGGCACATCGGCTGTGCTTTTCGTCTGCTGCCTCTTCCTTCGCTTCCCGACGCTGGCGCGGCTAGTGGTTCTCTCTATTCTCTTTTGTTGTTCTGAAGATGCAGTTGAAGAAGTTGTGCTCTCCAACGGTCGGCTTCTGCCTTCCCAAGGTACAAACCCAGCCACGTGCAGGCTCCAGCCGTGGTGTTGTGCTGAAAGTTTTGCGCTGTCAGTGAGAGACACGGGCAGCTGCATAGCCAGTGTGGTCATTTGGAATACCTGCACTGCGCGGTCCTGTCTGTCCAGGTAGTGCACGAGCGGTAGCTTCGCCAAATTTGCAACCTTCGCTTGCTTTGCCGGAGGGAGAATGGGCAAGGCGCGCCGATCTGCACGATCTCCGTCGCCGCGCAAACCCCACTGTTTTTCGAAATCGTCCCTCTGCCGCTCTTTTCCGAATTCGTCTACGTCTGCAGCTGAGTACCGTGGCCAACTACTCGCATCTTTTCCGTCTCCACCCCACAAGTTCGAAAGGAGGGTCGCAGAACAACGTGCGTCGGAATGTGGCGAAGCCCCGGAGGACTCAGGTCCCGCTAGCTGGTTAATGCGCACGGCGCGACGCACACCATGATCGACCGGGTGGACTTCACTTGCTGCCGCTGGCGGACCTACGATAACCTCCGTCTCAAAAGCTCTGCGGTGAGGGGAACGACTGCGGTTGTCAAGATGAAGCCCTCCGCTGATAGGCGATCTCTCCAGCTGGGCCGGATAATGTACAGAAGGTCCGCGCGAGAGCGAAACCGCCACAGAGCTTCCCGCCACAGCGCAGGCCAAAAGGGAGTGGTAGCGACACCGGAAACGCATGCTGGGCAGTACTGAAAAGAAAAAGATGCTCAGAAGTGAGGTGTTGATGATTGAATTTGAAATCGTAGATGCAGAATAGAGCTACAGTTTGTTTTCTACGCCAGTCCTCCACATCAGACGTTCGATCACGAGCAAACAACTCGCTGGGGCGGTTTCGATTAAACTCGCAATGCACACAGAACCGGGACCGCTCATGTTGGCACAACATGATCACGTGGCACTCCAAGTATAGCCTCTTTATCCAGCTAATGAGCGCACGTGAATAGATCACCGCTTTTCTTCGCGATTTCGCGCTCTCGCGGAAACATCGGTAAGATCCCAAATTCCACATCCTAGCGCAACGAGCCCTGCATGGATCAGCTCTCCGCAAATTTTTCATTATGAGAGCAACAGTGCGAAGATCATTCGCATCTTGTTTGACAGCAGGGATCCGGGAACCCAGATCACGAGAAGATCAAACTTTTTCCAGTACAAATCATCACGAACGCCTCACTCTATGACCGCGCGACGGCTAGACCGCGCTTGCTTCATTGCACACGAAGTGTCACCTCATCAGAACTTGAAGAAACCGAGAACGGCATGCAGTGAGAAGCCATCGTCGCACTCTGTTTGCAAAACTAGATCCGACCTCGGGTTTCTCAACAGAAGCTGCAATTGCAATACGCTTTATGAACACGTGCCGAAATAGAAACAAAGGCCCAGAAACCTACACCTTCGCCACATGCGAAAGTTAACTTTCTTTGTTCCACTTACTGTTTAGAGTAGTAGTCACACGAGTAGATCACAGCAGCACGTTCTTTTCGGTCGAAGCCGATCTTTTTTCATCTTGTCATGCTGGAGCCCCAAAATTACGGGATCATGAACTGCGCGTCCTTGTTGGTCAGGGAGCGGTACACAGCCTGGAAGACGTGCAGCTTCTCCTCGACGTTCTCTTTGTCCTTGCGATCGAGGGTGACCTGTGTTTGAAGTGCGATTTTGAGTGAAAGACGTTCCTCTGCGCACAATGCAGAATATCATGACACATTTGCACCTCGCGCCGCACAGTCAAGGTGTACGAAAACATGAAAACATAAATCTAGAGTAAATCCCGCGCTGGAGGAAACAAAATCAAAATGGTGTGACATCACGAAGAGAAGAAACTGTAGATACCTTCAGCAGCTTGCTGCCGTCAGTGGCCATGCGGGTGCGCTTTCCGGTGATCTCGGACGGGTACACGACGTCCTCCAGAATGGACTCGTGCACAGCGGTCAGAGTACGAGTGCGCGGGCGGACCTGATGCGATGTGATTCAGTTTGTGTTATTTGCGTATATTGAGAAGTTGAAATGCAAATGTAACACTCACCAGAAATAAACATCAAAGCGCTGTCGCAAATACCGATTTTATGCGAATAAAAAAACTTTATCAGATGGGGGAGCTTATGAAGCAGTCTGCAGAGTCGCATCCGCAGCGGCATGAGCTTTAGAAATAAAGTCCAAACCTCCATTGACAAAACTCAGACTCGACCAATTCTCAATTTTAGACTCCGATCATCATGGTTCTTGCACAAAACGCAACATCGCAACTACATGCTGCAGGCGATTGATAAACATTTCCCCTAGTTCGACTCTTCAAAAGATCTTCAGAGTAGTTTCTCCACCATCTTAAAACACAACAAGTACCTGGATTCCGCGTCTGCGGAAGTTCTTGTCCATGATGGTACGGTTGGCGACGCAGATGATGTGCTTCTTCTGGAACTTCTTTTCCAGTTCGCGGATCAACTTGGGGAGGATCTTCTTGGCCTCCTGGTGGACGGTGTACGGCACGAACACGATAATCGCGTTCTTGTTGGTCTTGCCACCGCTGCACTCGATCTCCTTAGCGCCCGCGAAACGGAAGTCCTTCAGGTCCGCACGGAGGTCGTTGCCCTGTAGTGTCGAGTGGGTTGGGGGAAATTAGATTTTTGCTTTCAGCGAAGTGAAATTTAGATTTTTAGAATTTTGCTGACAAACATTTTGTCATGCATCAAAGAGCCGAATGAAACAACAAAAATCATACCGGAGCAGCCTCAATATCCATGATGGCCTTGGCAACCTCCTCCTCGAGGTCGTTCGGGCTGACGCCCTTGTCCTTCACAATCTTGGAAGACATGGTGTGCTGTGTACGATCTACTCTTACTACAGTAAGTGTCCTATAGCACCGTTTCCCTGTGGAAAAATTTGGCGGAGTGTCAAAATTTAGATTCATAGTCTATTTACGAAATCCTTTAAATGTATCGGTAGTGCCGGCGGATGACGAAAAAAACTCTTCGTGCGATTCTCAGATTTCAAGTTCGTATTGGATCCCGCAGTGCATGACTTTTATTTCCTCAGATCTTTGCATCCTAAAATTTTGATCGATGTGCTTTGAAAGTTCTTGATCTTCGTTTGTGACTCGTGGCACTAGTCTGCGATCCAAGGTGTCTTTGTGTCCGGGATCTTTAGAAATTTGCGGAACTGCTTGCATGTGTGAAAATGGAACGTATAGATCGCACTTTTAGGCTTTCTTCTATGGCAGATCCAGAGCAAGCGAGCTCTTGTACGACGTTGAACCATTTGCTCTTCACAGATCTGCGCTATCGATGTTTGTGAGCGATCCCGGGAAATTCCTGTAACTGCCTGTTGCACTGCTGCAGGAGAGATCTGTATACTGAGACTCTTGCAGAACCACATAATATGACTCAGAACTTCCAAGCAATACCGAGGATACAGCACGACTGTGATCATAGTTGGAAGAAGGCGCAGGACATGCCGTTGCATTGCGCTCTGAACCTCGCCGGTGAGCCTCAGCTGATTAGATCTTTAGATTCCGCAGAAGACAGTGAGCAAGGAAGTACACGACACAAACAAATCTGACTGCTCCGCACCGAAAAACAATGCAGCGCTTGCACTGCTACATAGCAGGCACGCCGCATTTTGGGATACAGCTTTACACATTGCGCCCCCAGTCAGCCTGAGCGCAGCAGGATTTACTGTGGAGACCTTTACACGGGGCGTCCAGATGCAAGAATGCCATCTCTGTGATACGCGCCCGCACCTTTAAGTTTCGTAGACGCTGCTGTTCCCCGTCCCTCTCGAAAGGTTGACAGCGCATCTGACTCCAGTAGCCCTGCTAGACCTCTTGTGCACTAGGCTGCGACGCGTATCTCTCCGCAGGGTTGGTCGTCCTGGAAGTAGCTGGCAGTCTCACCCTCAGCTACGTTCACGCCCGTACTGAAGCGCTCTCCGTCCGCTGCCGCTACGTCACCCGGCAAACATAAACAGTTCTCGCCATGTGCAATAGATGGTAAGTCGCACGACGTCCTCGGTCCTACTGCTTCGGGAGCTGCGTCTGCGGACCCGAACGCCGAAACACCCTCGAAGCCGCCGCTTCCATGTGTTGTTCCACCTCCCAAGGCTTTCTCATCTGCTTCGCCTTTCTTGTCAAAAAATCCTCCCCACGGTAGTGCGCCTCTTGTCTTGTAGCAGTACGCGCTCCCGACTGCGATCAGCATGCCGGGAAGCCAACACAGAAGCATCAGCCCCGTCCCGCCTAGTGGAAGTGTCTTCCCGTATCTTCCTATCTGCTCCGAAATCGGTTGACTGAACATCCGAAAAAACTCCTTGCGCAGCGCCTCCCGCTTTGCTTGCGCGCGAAGTTCAGCGCCATTATCTCCGATGGCTTGCTTCCACAAGTGTAACGGCGGCGGTGGGGTCGCGGGTCCGGTGGATTTAGACGACCATTGCAGTCCACTGCGCCGTAGTAACTTCATGTTTTCTGCTGCAGTCACCCCGCCGGAGCAGCGCTTCTAAATCATCAATGTCTCTTCCGATTTCTACGGCAACACGACTGGGGATGAAAACGAAGCGATGAGAAAGGAACCAAAGGTATAGAATCAATCCAACAGGTGCGCGCCAGTAGGTGCCCGCACTACATGCGAATTATGAAACACCTTTCGGCGCACTTGACAGACATCGACTAACTCCATCACAGCCTGTCCAGTCATATTGTTCATTGAGCGATCTCCCCCAAAAAAAAAACCGCGTGTGATGCAGTGCTTATCCGAGTATCAAACCCCTTCGAAAGATGAACTACAGCGGATCTTCATCTTCTCGCAACTTCTGCGGACAATTAAATGTCACTACACCTTCTCACAAGTCTATGCGCTGAAGCTCAAATGCCTTTAACACTGCATAGACCTGCGTGAGACCTCGCCCACGTGGGGTTCCAAGCCGGGTCCCCCGTTCTGCCCCTACGCAGTGCTTCTTTTTCTCACAGTTGTCACATTTTGTTTTTGTTTATGAAATCTTTTGTACTCGGTTTCTATTGCTTTCGATCTGGATCCAGGCCATACTTCAAAAGCCACCCTTCCCTCCAGGTTTGCATGAAGCCGTGCTTGCTCATGCAGGAGAAGCGGAAATTTCCCCGGCTGTACCCATTGTGGATGTCGCGGAGGTGCAGCCGATTCCTCCCGTATCCTATGTAGAAACGGCCCCACCACAGAGTTGTCGCGCGAATCTGGCGCATGCCTGAAATCTTTCTCTACTACGCAGCCCCACTAGGACCACATTCTACCGCTATCTCGGAGCTTGTCGCGCTGGAGTAAGGATCAGGGACTCAATTTGTAGCGATGCAGTTGCACGACCTAGGTGAAGGTGAACAGGACTACGCTACGAGATCAAACTTTTTGTCATGCATACGCGACTGCACCACATCAAAAACCTTTGCACCGTCGCCGCAAGCCGCTTCGGACGCAGGAGGATCTAGGGTCAGAACCGCGAGAAAAACATCGCGCAACAGCCAAAGCTGCGCCTGCTGGTTTTTCTAGTAAAATTTGGCATTCTGGGGTGGGGACGTTTATACACAGGATATCCCGACGTGCTTGTTTTCCAGAATGCGGCCTTTCACCCCGAGCGTCTCGAAAACCGCCTTGTACACCCGCCCGTTCACTTCGTTTTGCAGGAACGCCTTCCTCGCATCCCCGTCCTTGTTCATTCGGCGACAGTAGGAGGGGAACCCCAGTGGGGTCTGTTGCATGTACGGCCCCGGATTACGCGACGACATTGTGGGCAGTGCAAATGGTCCGCGAACAAAAATGTACAGATGAGTTTTATACCCTTGTATGCATTGAATTGCCGCGAGCACAGAGAGGGACGCAGTCGCTCTTCTTGTTCAAACGAGCACTTTGATTATGGTTTCCATAGTGTTGTGAATGTGAAAGAAAACATGGTTGGACGGTGCTCCCGAGAAGAAAAATTCCCAACTCAACACCGCATGTTGACACCTTCGAACAAGCGTTTCATTTTGGCTTCTGCCGGTTGCTTCCTTAACGACTTACCCGAGAACAACAGGCACCTCTTCAGTGCTGATGCGGTCGGAACGCGCGAACCACTGCGCAATTGCCGGGCGTTGTTCCGCCATGCCCCGGACTGCATGGTGACGAACGATGTTGTTTCTACTCACTTATGCCAAAATTCTGCTTTCATTCACTTTGTTCATTTTGAGCGGAGGTCGCATAAATATTATAACTCGTTATCGAAATGCTGTACGCAGCGCAGTCGCGGATGTGAATCGGAGCCGGTGAGTCCGTGGAAAGAAGGTCGCTGGGCGGCGGATTGTGATACGAAATAAGGTTATCCTCAATTTTGATATTTTGCTACTCAGCGGTAAGACCACGACAAGAGTTCTATTCTCATCGTCAGCAAGGCTCAACATCTTGTTTTCGTGGCGACGATGTTTGTGCGAATGACCTCTGTGGCGTGCTCGATCATAGCCGATAATTCGTGGACATCAACACTGTAGTGGCCGTATCCTGTGCAAAAGTATCGCGCTCGTATTGCAGTCATGCATTACAAATCTTTCTCTTAAGATAAATCAGCATTACATATTTTATCTCTCATGCTGAGGAAATTTGTAATGCATTTATACGAGTACGACACTTTTGCAGTTCATAGGCCGGTCCATCCTTCACAGCTAGGACACCAGGGTAAAGAATCTATCGATAGGAATCCGAAGATCCGTCTGACAACTTGAAAAAGCAGGTGAAATACGCTACGTGTCGTGGTGCCCCCCATAAAATAAAAGCTGTGGCTCGCAGATTCAGTGTTGAGTATTAAATTTCACGACTTCTGAGATCGAACGATCCATACTGCTACGCGTCTGACACGAGCTACGAAAGCTTCTGTCGTGGTGCGAGAAGCCCCGCTTTTCAGCATGTGTTTTGTTGTCGCTTTTGCACAAGACTTTTTCCGCCGTGTAAAAATCGCTTTCGATATATTTGGTAGACCTCTAAGACTGTTTTTCCAAATAAGACTGTTTTGTGTGTTGTGTATAGATAAAAACTCTAATAGACCGTGTTTGCTAAAAGAATAAGAAGATGAAAAAGGATGTGTATAGATAGATACTGTGGTATAATAAGCCAACCGTAGTTGTTGCCTGCTGGAAAGAAATTCATAAACACTGTTGATTGGCTTTTAAAATCGCCGGTTGTTCTGATGTTTTCCGAGAAGATAAGCGTCGCTGGGAGATGAATAAGTACTACTGGTCGTCTTGTCGCCTGCCGGCCATCGTAGGCCGCTTCGTGTTGAGCCGGAAAAACATCGAAGAATTTTTTCTTCTGTGCGCTAAACCCTCGCTCTTCTCACGCCGCGGGCAGGGGAGCCGCGGGTGGATTTTCGAGCATCGCACTCGCTGGGTCGCGCTTCGCGTACATGACTTCCAGATCCGCCCACAGCGTTTTTCTTCTTTCCTTCTTCCCCATCTCCTCCTCCAGCGATGCGCGATTGTTGGCGCTACACTCGTCAAACAGCGGGGGATCCGCTTCCATCAGCAGCTTCAGCACGTTGAATGTGAGCCCGTGGACCTTTTATTGATAATTTCCTCTATATCTCATATTCAACCAACAACAAATCGTGGCTGTCTGTTCTTACGGAGACCAGCACCTACAAGGAATCGCATCCACGCGCAGCCACCTGTATGGAATGGAATCGCTGCGCGATTGGGAATGCAAAGAGAAAAACACCGTCTAGGAAAATACGACATGACCCTCGCCAGGACATGGAAACAAGCGCGAAATAAGATACCGCCGAGTTCCAGTGGTGCTTCGAGGTGTTATACAGCGCACCGAGCACGATGGGAAAGAGTTCTTTTCTGTTGGAATTGATCAGCTTCACTATGTAGTCGTTGTTCCACAAAAACAAACTTCGCTCCGCCACCTGGAAATGCGGGCAGTCGATACCTGTTGTTTTTCTTTCCGCTGATCGTACATGCAAATAAACCTATGTGCTGTCGTCGAAGCTAGTGCCAACACCATCTCACAAGGGGCTGCTCCTCCACTGAGAGTAGAACTACGCAACTGATTGTCAAGAACAGGTCGTTGTGTACAACGATTATGCAGGTAAAATCGAAAATGTGTACATAATGCAACGCGCTTGAAGAGCTGCTTTTGGATGGCGACGAACTCTGGTGGCTGCACGAGTTCCATATCAAATGCAAAAGTGTCTGGGTCTGGAAACTTGTAATGCTGCATTGGGAATAGAAGTGAATGCTTTGTAATGCACAGACAAGCATGCGAAATATCTGCGCTGCCTTGTGTTGCGTTTTCCGCACAACAAACTGCGTTTTTGCATGACAGGGAAAAGGTTCTTTTCTTGAACACGCATCACAAGCTTTTCAGCCATGCCGGACAAGCATGACAAACCTTCAGTTCTTCCAGACCCAGACATTTTTGCATTTGATATTCCAAGATCTCCTCCAATTCGTTCAGATAGAGTATCTGCTTGCTCGTCAGGCTCACTGGCCAGAACTTCAGCATGGAAATCACAATGTCAATCGCCAACTTGGGATCCTTCTCCACAAACTGCGTCATACCTGTGTTGAGTCCAAATAGCATGAGCGAAGCAGTGTAGGATGCAGCGAGGAGCGCCAAGTACGGAAGAAGGAAAACACCAATCAAGCATCTACTTCTAGTTATTCTTGTTAGTTTCGCGAAACAAAAAAACGTCAACAACTGCAACCAGTATCAGTGTCTTACAGTAACTCAATTGCTGGTGGAAGCTCGCCAGGGACTTGACACTCTATGCACCCAAAAAATTTGCATCCTTTAATATCAGTTTGCCTATACTGTATTTGCAGCATATTGCAACAAGCAGCTTTCAAAAAAAACTTCTCCAAACGGAGGACCACATGACATCGATTACAAGCGCTCTCCACTTCATCTTTTGGTGCCTAACCGTTCTATCGCGTGTTTTAATGCAAGCTGATAAGGATGTTGTTCCCGGTAGTTTTGGTCAGTTTCGTACTTTGTGCAGTGGTATCAGTGCGCGCACGAGAAAGTCCTTGTGCTCGTCCTTCAGTGGCAAGGCAAACCCGTTGATGATTGACCCGAGAATTTCCAGTAGCTCTCCGACGCCGTTGTGCATTTCTGACTCGTATATCACCTTGAAAAAGACGTGCTGTATCGCCCTTCGGATAAAGCTGCGCAGCGCCATAAACTTCCCGTATCTGAGTATGTATGTGAAAAGGAGAATGAAAATTATTTCATTTCTTTGTGGTCTGTACCTGCGCCTGGCAGATTTCTTTTTTTTTCCTTTTTCTACCACAACGAAAAGAACTTGACAAAAGGAAAAAAAACATACACTCTGTGCAGGATAGTTTTCAGGTAGTCCCGCTCTCGGCAGTCCTCGGAGTCAAACAGCTCCAGCAGTTTCAGCACGAAGTTTGCGTCGATAAATCGTTTTGCTATTTTGGGGTCGACGTCGTTGGAAACCACAAATCGGAGAAAAAACTCGTAAACCTGATTGCGCGTTATTCATGTTCTCGTAGATCACCTATCTAATCAGCACTTTGTGATGCAAAGAGATCGCCGTGATGAGATAGAAGTACAGGTAGTAGCAACTCCCAACCGGGGCTGGCGGTAGTAAATATCATTCCATGTCATGACTTCAAAACCTTCCTGTAGTTTTCCCATTCATTGATTCGTCAAGTAGAATCCATGACAATTTTGTGTAGTAAAGATTGTACGATTTGCAGGTGTGGCCATGCGGAATCAAGCTGCGGCTCGTCGTCCTCAGGGTCGTAGATTCGCATAATTGTTCTGTTGTTTCCTATCGACTGCAAAAACTTTGCCCCCAAATGTGTACTATTCGGATTCCTACAATTGGCTCAATCTTTGTCCGAGGGGAGACCGAAGACTCGCAACCTCTGCGATTATGCTAATTTACAAACAACATGCAACTCACATGCCAAAAGGTGGTACATTTGATTTTATTCGTCGTTCTTGTGTTCCTGCTATTCCATTCCAAAAGGATGGCCATCGCGATGCAATAGAGGGACAGCGACAAGGTTGCAGTCGATACTCGCCGGAAGTGATCTGAAAATGTTGGCGGCCACCATGTTGACGACGTCCTCCATTATGCTCTCCGTGAAGCAATTTCGGGTGTTGTTTATGTATTCCACGATTTCGAGAAGTGCTTGTCGCTTTGCTTCTTTTTCCGTTGGATTTGCCTCACTGTGGAAGTCGAATACCGCCGCGCTGCAGGCTGCTAGTTTTCGGCGGAACAGCTCCCCTCGCTCGGACACTGGCGTTTCCCGCAGTGTTGGCAACGACCCGAAAAGAGTGCCGGGATCTGTTTGAAGGATAATCGAGACTTTTTACTCGTAATAACGGAGAGGTGGACAAGAGGATTTTATATGCACTGCACTGCCTTCTTCACAATGCATCGAAGAAAGAGATTCCACGTCCGCATGGGGTTGTGGTCTTTCCAAGAGAAAAATCGAAATCTATCTGTCAGATATTCTACCTCCTGACGCGGGCCTTGAGGCTCCGGGTTTTGCGGTCGCTTTGCCGACATCTTTTCTGCTTGGGGGTGCCCGCTTGCCCTCCTCGTTCCCCATCCGTCGCTTGATATCCCACAGAAAAAAACTGGCAGGTCATATTTGTAATGCAAAAATAACTAGAAAAAAAAATTTGTATTGCATATCCGAAACAGCATGCTATGAGGCCGCCCATGACAGATCTTTCTGTGTATTTATTTTTGCATTACAAATATGCCGGGCCAGCTTTTTTCTGTGGGATACTTGACTGTCTGTATCAACTTCATCTTCCCGGGGTCTTGCTTTCGAACCTTCCCGATGGAATGAACAAAAGTTCTTTGCGTGTGGTACTTAGGGTCGTGATGAAGTGATGCCACCCAACAACTTGCCGCTCGTATAAGGAGAGAAAAAGTTACGCAGTCTAAAAACGGATTCTTCTTATGGTTCCCCGTGCTGGTCCTCTACTTCCCGATCGATCTACTCTTACTGGATAGTAGTAGACAATTTTCCACCTCCGAAGTGCTGCTTCTTTTCGAGAAGTCCTGCTGGTAACTTCTCACTTCTACTGCTTTCCACAAACGAGGAGAGAAGGAGCGGCTTCGTCTCGACCGCACATGGGGACGGACAAGCCATCGTATGCGTCGGAGGTCTCAGCAACAGTTGACCGGCATCCTGTTTCGAACCACGTCCTCTCCTGCACGGGCGCCGCCATTTCAGAGGTTACCAAGACATCAAGCCGATATCGATCAGTGCGAGGGCAGCAGCTTCTAATAGCGATTTTTTGGTGTGCGCAACGTTAAAAAAATTGGGGGGACGGAATTTTTACAGCACTTTAGATAGTAGCAGTTCTACCTTGCGAACAATCGTTTTTACAATGCGCGGAGGAGAATTGAGAACCCTATTCCTCGTCGCAGAAACTATATCACTAGCGGTCAACACAACTTCAAGTGAAAATCAAGATTCCCAAATAATTCTTGTGTGCCGTGTAGTAAATTTTCTCCTCGGAAATCACAGCTCTGCAAGACGACAGGGTAGTACTCAACACACATGAAATTCAAAATCCTAATTTGTACAGCAACTAATTAAGTTGAAGACCCTGTAGCGCGATGGGCAACTGTAGAGAAAAATGTCTTGCCATGCTTCGGACTTGTAGTTATAGATGATATTCTATCTGCACTTCTTAGAGCCGCTGTGATGTGGTCGCAGTCACAACATTAGTGAAGACTGCCGATCAGTGGTGTCTTCTCAGTTGTGATGAAAAAACACTCATTCCTGGTTTGTTATGTCTACTATTTCACATACTTACTACTCCTTCCTCGTCCATCGTTTTCGTGCGTGCATTGATGTTGTGAAAGTGTTCAAGTCTACCAGAATTCGATTTCGAATTCGTTGCACTCTCGTGCATGATTGGCATCAAAACTACATGCTGCGCTACCACTAGAGGTGCGGCAACAGTTTCTTTCTGGGTTCTCTTCAAAAAAAAGGATCGAATCATTTTTCTACTACACTCAAGAATTGCACATGCATGCAGAAACAGTGCGGGCGCACTTGTCCTGAACAACCGTGTTGACTCATCTCGCACAATAGGAACACAGCACATCTCAGATCTAGTACCACTTGCGTGCAAACAAGCGAGGTGCTCTACTCAAATGAATCCTTGCTTTCATACAGCTTGTTCAAATCATTTCATAACAGTCGCTAGAATAAGAGTTCCGATGATTGTCTGTGCCTCCTGTCGCACTGCTTGCGCGTGAAGAACGGAAATAACGCACCCGATCGCTTCTGACGGTCGATAGCGCGCCGTCGGCAACTTGGTCACCTGCCTGTACCAATCAGCTATTGTCAATGGTGTTGATCATGTGCTGCGTGATGATACTGGTTCCCTTCTTTGGGTCTTTCGACACCCGCCAGTAGCGTTCGCACACCTGTTTCCGCGACAGCATCTGCACGAAGGTTTCGTCGTGCGTGATGATCATGAGCTGGAACCCACTGTGGTCCCGGCGGGTTTCGATCAAAGAGCCCAGCGCTTCCGCCAGCGCCTCGATGTTTTTCTCGTCCAGATTGGTCGTGGGCTCGTCCAGCGCCAAAATCCCGCACTGACACCCGAAGGAATCCGCCAGTGCGAGTCGCGTGATCAGACTGGCGAGCACCTTCTGTCCCGCGGAGCACCGGCCCCGCATGTCCAGCTCCGTACCGTTGGCCAGCATCATCACGAGGCGGTAGTTGTAGGACCGACTGCCCGCCCCGCCCCGCTTCACCTGCGCAGCTTGTACAGGATTACTATTCGCGACGCCTTCGTTCAGCTGCAAGGGGTCACTATTCAGGTTGTTTGCCGCAGCTCCCGTCGCGTCCTCGGCGTCGGAGCGGATCTGCACGTACTCGATATCCTTTCCCTTGTAGATTTCCTGCCACAGGCTCCGCATGGTGAAGTTGATTTCCATCATCTTTTCCTGGTGAAACTTCATCAGAGCCACGTCCAGGCTGTTGAAGTACTTTTGGCAGTCCTGGGCCGCGGTTTTCACGCTCTGCTCCTCGATGATGGCTTTCCGGTACCGCTCGTCAATGTCCTGGTACAGGCTGGAATCCAAATTGTATCAAAATGAAAAATCCCCCCTCCCCATATCGCAACGAAGTTTCTGATGCTGGATTTCCGTACACAAATCGCAGCTGTCTTGCAGTACAGGACTGCAGGCGTATGCCAAGCCTCAGTCGAGAGGTTTTGACGTAGGTGCCTAGCATGGCAAACGTGTATGCTCTAAGCCCAGCAGCATCACAAACGGCCTGCAAAATGCGGGGCGCTCTTTGGACATGCCTTCTTGCAAGACAGACAGGATTTGAGGTCACAAATGCGCATCACAAATTTTCAGACGGATGCGTTTTCAATATGGGGAGGGGGGATTTTTCCTTACGATAAATTCCTCTGTGCGTCCAGCATCTCCACACCGATCTGGTGCAAGCTTCCCTGGATCTTCCCCCGGTCATTGATCGCCTGCTCGGTTTTCACCTGGAGTTGCTGCGCCAGCTGGTGCTCGGTCTCTGTCAACTGTTGCATCGCCGTCTTCATACTGCTGGGGGGCGCGTTTTGAAGATTTCCTATTTGTTCACTGGCAGATGATGAAGACGATGCCTGGTGGTTTTGTTGCCGTAGCTGCTGGAAAATCTGCGCCACGGGCTGCGGCAGGTAGCTGTCACCGAGATTGGCCAAATTGATATCATTGTGACCACCACCGGCGACGTTGCTCGAGGACGATGCGGCCGCGGCGTTGCCGCTCCTCACGGGCGTCGGGGAGAAATCTGAGCCGCTAGACGAGTTATTCGGGTGGAACAAAGCACTATTTTGCTGTTGTTCTTCCATCTTAACCTCCACCTGGTCTGGCGACGACGGAGTCACGGCCGTCCCGGTCGCCGGAGGATAATTATTTCTGCCGCTATTTCCACTTTCTTGTTCGCGGAGGACATTCCGGCTCCACAGCTCGACCTCCTCGTAGCACTTTCGCAGCTCTCGCCAGTCGTCGGCGACTTTCAGCTCGTTGCTGTACTTCTCACAATCCGCTTGGGTGCGGTAGAGTTGGAGATTCTTCGCAAGCCAAAACACTTTGGTCTGCAGGTCGGCCAGGCTGCTCACCACCTCGTCCTTTTGCTGCTGTTTTTCTTTGTAACTCTTTTCCTTTTCGGAGACCGCGAGCTCGGCGCGCTTCAACTCTTCCCGCACACTCTCCGCGTTCCGGATCTTCTGTTCCAGCTTCTCAATGTCGGTGTTCAGCTCCTGCAGCTTCTGCATCTTGTTCGCCAACTCCGTTTGCTGCCGCTCCAGAAACTGCACAATCTGCTTCTGCAAGTTCTCGAAGTTCCGGCACTCCAGCTCCACCTGTTTCAGCTGCTCCTGGACCTGCGCGGAAAAGCTGTCCAGCTGCTGCAGATTGGCGCTCAACGCGACCAACTCCTGCTCCACGTTGGCAACTTGCTTCTGCAGCTCCTCTTTCCGCGTCATCTTCTCCTGCAGCAGCTGAAACCTGGACTGCAATTCTGTGAGCCGCTGCCGCCGCCGCTGCTCCTCTTCGTTCAGCTGGTTCAGCTGCTGCTGCTTCTGGTCCAGCGTCCGCTCCAGCTGGTTCGACTGCTCGAACAGGGCGGAGAGCTCCTCCCGCTCTCGCGTCAGCTCGTTCTTTCCGGCCGTTTGCGACGTTCCCGCACTTGTTTGCCCGAGTAGCGCGGCGGGGTTGCTGATCGACATCTCCTTGTCGCGCAGGTTCCGCTCCGCGTCCCGCAGCTCTTCCTCCATGCGCAGCAGTTGCTGAAAATGCACAATAACCGGCTTGAACGAGTTTTGTTCCTCCACCAGCTTCGCGAATTCCGCCTGCAAATTCGTGATGTCGAACTGCTTCTCCTGCACGAGTTTTTGCTTCGCCGTGTTGTTCTCCTGCTCGGCGCCAAGTTTCTGCTGGCACTCCTGCAGTTCCGCGAACTTCGGTTTCAAATTTTCCATCGCCGCGAGCTCCGCTTCCAACTCCTTCACTTTGGCTCCTGATTCCGCTCCGCACTTCTTTTCGATCATCTGTCGCAGCTTCGCTACCTGCGCTACCAGGGCTTGCCTTTCCGCCTCGTTGGCAAAGGGTCGCTTGCACATCTCGCGTATCCTGCGTAACAACGCCCTCACGGGGGAATAAAAATCCAGATGGGGCTTCCGCGCGAAGCAGTCTTTATTAAGCGAGGGACTTCACCACTTAAGCGAAGCACTTAAGCGAAGCAGTTAAGCGAAGCACTTCAGCGAAGCACTTAAGCGAAGCACTTCAGCGAAGCAGTTAAGCGAAGCACTTCAGCGAAGCACTTGAGCGAAGCACTTCAGCGAAGCACTTGAGCGAAGCACTTAGGCGAAGCACTTAGGCGAAGCACTTAGGCGAAGCACTTAGGCGAAGCACTTAAGCGAAGCACTTAAGCGAAGCACTTAGGCGAAGCGCTGCACTTAAAGCACTATTTAAACGGGGCACTACTTAAGCGGGTCACTACTTGAGCGGGGCACTACTTAAGCGGGGCACTACTTAAGCGAGGCACCAGTTAAGCGAGGCGCTGCCCCTAAGCGAGGCACTACCTGTGCGAGGCACTAATTACGCGAGGCACTACTAATGCGACGCACTACTTATGCGAGGCACTACCCAATCCAGGCACTACTTAAGCTAGGCACTACTTAAGCCAGGCACTACTTAAGCGCAGCACTACTTAAGCGAGGCACTACTTAAGCGAGGCAGTACTCAATCCAGGCACTATTTAAGCCAGGCACTACTTAAGCGAGGCAGTACTTAAGCGAGGCACTACTCAATACAGGCACTACTTAAGCCAGGCACTACTTAAGCCAGGCACTACTTAAGCCAGGCCCTACTTGCGCGAGGCACTACTTAAGCCAGGCACTACTTAAGCCAGGCAATACTTGAGCGAGGCACTACTTAAGAAGCGAGGCACTACTTAAGCGAAGCACTACCTGCGCGACGCACTGCATAGGCGAAGCACTACTTACTTCAGCGAGGCACTACCTTCTCCACCTGAGGTGCGGTACTATTTCAGCACTACCTAAAGCGACGCACGGCTTAGACGAGGGGCTACTTGAGCTCGGAGCCACTCCGAAACAGTTAAGCGAGGCCCTTCTGCGAAGTACTACTTGAGCAGCGAAAAACTACTTAAGCAAAACGCGTGAGCGAAGCACTAAAGCCTCGCGAGCAAAATTTGCATGACGAATCAATATGGCATCGAGAGAACGTTGCTCAACGGGATATCGCAGCAATCCTTTTTCAGGGATCTCTCTTCCATCGCGTTGTACAACTTAGCACCATTCTCGATCAACGCGAAGTTGCTCCTTTGGCCTTCGAGGCGTTCTTTTACGTCGGCCAGCTTCTGCTCAAAATCGGCCAGATCGGTGAACGCGCTGAGCTCTTGCCTCAGCCTGGCTGCGCCGCTTCCCAGTCTCTCGACCTCCTTGTCGCTGTAGGTTTTTTCCGAGATCCCCTTGTGGTGCTCCTTTTGCTTCGCGTCCGTTTGGCCTCTCAAAGTCGCGAGCATTTGGTTCCCGTGCTGCTCGATTTTCTGCGCTTGCTGCAGGCACTGCTCCGCGATTGCGGGAAAGCAGGACGAAGCAGCTCCGGCTGGTAATCCGAACGACGTGCCGGAACTACTGCTGAAGTTGTTCGTGGAGAAATTATTGCTGGATGTCGAGAAGCCTCCCACATGGCTATTGGTCACCCCTCCGGCAGCCGATCCAGTTGTAGACAGCAGTCCCTCGATGCTGCTTCTCGCCTCGTGTCCGAACCAACTTCCGGGCGCGAGGCCCGCAATGACGGTCTTTACCTGCACCTTCTTCTCGTCCAGCTCTTTCAGTTTCTCCTGCTTCGCGTTTTGCAGGAACTCCACCTCCATCAACAGCTTTGATTGCTCCTCCAAAACCTGGATCCGGTCCTGTTTCTCCTGAAACGAAAATTGCAGGTCGTGCTTCTCCTTCCTCAATTTCGCGACTTCCCTCTCCAGCTCGTTTTTCCGCGTTTGCGTTTCCGCCCCCGCGGTCTGGGTCTGCTGCTGCACCTTCTGCAATTCGCTCTGCACCTGCTCGTACTCGCGCTGCACTTTTTGGTAATTCTGCTGTTCCTGAAACAGCTGCGCCTTCCGCTGCTGCAGCTCGCGCTCCCGCGCGCGTTGCGACTCGCACTGGATCCGCGCATCCTGCGCTTTCTTGCCGATCCCCTGCACGTTCTGTCTTTTTTGCTCCAGTTCCGCCGCCTGCCCCTTCTGCAGCTGCTGCAACTTCGCGCCGTGCTTCAGGCACAGCTGCTGCAGCGCGCGCATCGTCTCCCCGTCGTGGTGCTGTAGTTGCACGAGGGTTTGCTGGTTCTTGTTCTGCACCCCCGCGGAGGAGGAGGAGGAGGAGGCTCCTGCAGATGGTGTAGAAGTAACAGTGTTGTACACCTGTCGCTGCAGAACTTGTTTCATCTTTTGGTCCAACTCCCCCTCCAAAACGGCTTTGAGCGAGCAACTTTGCACCAAGCTAGCACCGACCTGCGACATCAGTTGCGACGCTTGCGGCTGGCTCCCGAGCATGGCGGCCAAATTCTGTTCGCTGTCCTTCCCAACAGTCGTCAAAATCTCTCCGCGCCACAGCTCCTCGCGCCGCTCGTTTCGGGTTTTCAGCAAATCGCCCGCGGCGGCGACCTCGCCGATCTCCGAGCGGAGCTGCTTCACCGTTTGCTGAACCTGCTGAAACTCCTGGTTTGCCAAGTGTTCCTCCTGGTCGAGCTTTTCCTTTTTCTTCCCCAGCTCGGGGATGGTCGTGTCTGTCAAGTTATCAAATGTAAAAATGTCTGGGTCTGGAAGATTGCCAGGTTTGTCATGCACATTTTGCATGACTCCTGATGTCTGTGATGCCTGTCCTAGCATCACAGATTTTGTGAGGGCTTCCTGATGCCTATACCGCATGACAAATGCTCTCTCCGTGTAGCAAAACTTGGACTCTCTTTGCTGCTCATGCAATACAGATTTTTTTTTAGAATCCAAAATCTGCATGACAAGTTGGATTCTTCCAGACCCAGACATTTTTACAGTTGATACAAGTCTTTGCTTTCTTCCTCCAGGTCCGTGACGATCTCCCGCGTCGTATCCTGAGCAAAAACGTCCCCACCCCAGAGTCAAGATGGGGAATCCGCTAGGCAAAACCGCCACCTCTGGTTGTTTCGCATGACAAATTTATCCTCGTAGTGTAATCCTCTTTAGCTAGTTCCGAAGCATCACAGATCTAGCATATCATGCTGATTCTAGCATTACAAATTCCAAAACAGGATAGGAAAATGGTTCTTATGGGGCTCCGCATGAGAAACTTTTTTAGCATGCAGATCTGCATGACAACTCTGGTGTGGGGACATTTTTACTCAGGATACGTCGTGCGCCCCTCCGGCTCCACGAAGATCTGCTCGCACTTATTACAGTGAAAAATGCTCTCACCCCCAAAGTTGCAAGCATTTGTGATGCGAAGTTTCCAAATGAAAACTTTTTGTCATGCATGAAAGGACTATGAATCTTTCTGATGTAGAGTCTAGGCGTGTTTCGCATCGCTTGCATGACAAGCACCGCTCTTGCTGGGATCTTTTGCAATACAAATTATTTTTACTATTCACGATCGGAAATCTGTGATGCTGATACATGCAAGAGGGCGAATGTTTCATTTGGAAAAGTTTGCAATACAAATGCTCTGAAGTTCGGGGGTGGGGGCATTTTTCATTGTAATAGCACTCCTTCTGGCAGACGGCCACCTGCTCGCTCGTGCGCACTACAAGCACGTGCAGCTTCTCGATTTCCTGCTTCTTCGCGGAAAACTTGTGCAGCACCATCTCCCGCTTCTGCTTCTCGTGCTGGAACTGCTTCAGCGCCTTGGTGACCTTGTGCAGGTGCTCGACCTCAAACCGGTTTCGGTCCGCCTGCAGCTGGTCGATTTTAGCCTTCAACCGGTGCGCCTCCTGCTGGTGGCTCCCCAGCAGCTGCACCTGCCCCTTCTGCAGGGTGGCCTTCTTCGACAGCTCTTGACGAACTTGGGTGATGTTCTGCAGCGCACGCGTGTACCGCGTGGACCCGAAAATGTCGTCGAACTTCTTCTTCAGCGTCTGAGAAGTCAGAGAGAAGCGAGATTTTCATTTTCAGTAGTGTTGTACATAGGGATAATTTAAATTTACGTTAAGTATTTCTTTTGTGACTGATTCACTGTCTGTCGAAGGGAAAACGGTTGATACATCGCGTGTTTCATCTTCGTATTGAAAAACTCATTATTATCAAATGCCTTCTGTTCCATTAGCGGCCAGTTGCTTTCTTCCTGGTGGCAAAAGATCACGTTTTCCAGGATGGCTTTTTCGACGCCCATAAACTGCGGCACCAACTGGTCCATTTCGGATACCCGTGTGGTGTGCGAGTTGGTTCCCTGCTTCATGCCGACACGGGTTCGCTCTTCGGCCGTGCCGCCCTTACAAAACTGCAGTGTGCAGTCCATCGCCTTGTAGGACGCCTTTTTGGTGCCTGGAATGGATAAAAAATTGCAACTCGGCCTTGAATCTTCAAGGCTAGAAATTATATCGAGAGTTGAGGAGGCACATTTGTCCCTGGATATCATTAGAAACACTGCACGTCGTAAAGTCGACAGGGCAGCATCGATGAAAACAGCGTGAAAACTTTGTGATGGCACGAGTGTAGTACACTTGTGTGCTTCGTACTTATTAAACATCTTTTCCTATAGATGATTGTACCACCGCCCCCGATGGAGTGAAAGCTCCTGGTGCAGAGCAGCTGCCGCTCTTCGGGCGTGTCTTTCTGGCCCCGGGAAAACATCATTTTGATCTGTCCCTTCACCTCCTGCAAGCGGGCCCACTTCGGATCGTGGATAAACGCGCTCCCGGAACCGACGTTGGGCGGCAGTGCGCCGCAGGAGGCCATTTTGAGGCACTCGATGATGGTGGTCTTCCCGCACCCATTCTGGCCCACGATGAGTGTGACGGGCCGGTCGAACCCGATCTTCTGCTGCTCATCAAAGTGGAAGGACCGAATCCCCTGAATCGCCAGCTTCTCAATCGTGCACATGATGGACGGCAACCACGGAACGTTGTATAGCGGACTTGTGGTTGCTTGAGACGCTGCACTTTGACTGAAAAAAAACTTTACAGCAATTCGTTGTTGTGCGGGGCTGAGGGAAGAGCGTAGCTACCGCTGTGCCATGACAGGCTGTGCCACTGACGCGAGTCTAGACGCCGAAGCGGCTTACTTGAACATTAAAGGTAGGAACAGCGCAAACTAGTAGGTTCATTTCTACTTCGAATAATCAGGAGATCGGGCCACTACGGTGTAGGCATACAAACTAGAACATGGGAATTTACTCTGCGCCTGAAAGAGTAAAGCTACCTGGAACTGCCTACGGGTTTGAGGTCGAAGTAATTTCTAAAGAAAATCAATGTGAACTGTGGTACTGCGAAAAAAATCGGCACAGACGAAAAGTTTTTTTCGCAAAAAGTCCAGCTTTGGTGCATGTTCAAAACAAGAAACAGAATCGAAGATCGTCTTTTGCTTGAAGCGTCTTTGCGGACAACAGTGCGAACCACTTTTAAGAACATACATAGCCCTTTGTTCCTTGACCAAAATCACAGCCTTTTCTTTCGCCACAGTCAGCTGCGAGAACACGTTTAGCCATTCGTTTAGGTGAATTGAAACTCCTTCTTGATTTCAGCAGCAGGAGCGTAATTCATCATCTTAATCTTTCTTTATCGCTCTGCTGACCTGATCTCAATGCAAAACCACGTCCACCATACTTCGCAAAATCCTGACCGAGGTGTTTTTGTTTCTCGCCGTGCTAAGTCCCTTGGTACAATTTCACGTAGGGGCCCGCCTCAAGTTGCAATGCAGCAATAGCTGCGGCTAAGTGCCCGAGAGACAAAACACCGCATGATAATCATGCCGAAGAAGTGAAAAAGAAAAGAAGTTCAGCAAAGTTCGGCTCTGAGGAAACAGACATCAATCTTTCTATGCGCTCAAATGCTGCTCAAGAACATAGGCGAGATCTGGGTCGCCGCATGGTGACTCGTCCACGAAAGGAATGGCGTCCATCGCCCGGCCGCTGCGCGCCTTCCGCCGAAGAATTATGCGTGGTTTCGTCCCCAGCACCGCACCCGGTTGTGCCCCGTCCCCCGCCGGCGTTTCCTGCGCGTAAAAGACATCGGCGTCGACCATGCCGGGGGCTGCGGAGCTCGTTTTTGACGACGCAGTTCTTTTCGAAGAAGAGTCTAACATCCGCAATTGCTGTTCAGCGAGGGACATCGTCCCAAAGTCCTCAGTTTTTGAACCACTGCTGCCTCTACCAGCCGGAACGCTCGCGGCACGACTCGTTGCGCTGGTCAAGAGGCCGGCGTTGTACTTCAGGCTCGCACCCGGAGTGAATAGAGGTACAGCACTAGAAGAGATGGCCCCGGAGGTTGAAGCTGCACCGGTTGTAGTGGCCAAATCCAGTCCTTGCCCCGCCGTCCAGAACTCTTTAATCTTGCTCTCGCACTTGAGTTTTTTCGTCCCGCTGGACAGTTCCGGCTTGAAACTGCAGTCCTCGATTTCCATGGACTCCCGCATGCTGCTGACGTTGCGCAACTTCTCTTCCCGCCGCACCTGACTGGTTTTCAGGCGCGTGTAGAAATTCTGGTCGGCAAACGAGTCGATCTGGTTCTGGTGCTTCCCGCGCCAGTAGCTACAGCGGGACGTCGTGGAGCCCTTACTACTTCCATTGTGTCCGCCTTCTGACCTTGACCGGCTGGTCTGCCCATAGAGAAACACCTTTGGCTGGAACGTGCAGTCCTTCATCTGCTTGCGCTCGAGCTCCTCCCGCTTTCGTTCGATGGACAGCTGTCTCCGCTCCTGCTGGCGGGTGGTGCGGTACCCAATATTTCCCACGTTCTGCACCAAGCGATCGCTGGCGGGGAGTGTTTTCTTCGAGTTCGCGAGACGAAGAAAGGCCTGGTTGTAATCGAAAAGTGAACGTTTCAAGATATAGTAGAAGTACTGGCGCTTGTTTATACTCTCTAATATGTGTCAAGCGATGAACATGCGAGAAAAGCAGACATATCGAAGAGGCAGCCTAATCAATGCTCTATTCGAAAAAACGCATCCTCTTTAAGTACATTCTCGCGACTTGTTTTGTGCTTTTGCACGAGCGACTGGTGGCGTTTCTGGTAGCTGCGGCCCATGTAGGTCAGCCGCTCCGCTACGTTGGCGAAGTTGGCGCGACTGGAACCCAGTAGCTCCTTCGTCTTTCTTCTTGTCAGGTTGAGCCTCGGGGTAAACGTCGACTCGTTTGGCGAGAGAGGAAGAAACTTCCGATAGTGCGACTTGGAGCTCTTCGCCGTCGTCGTGGAGATGCAAATGGAGTTCTCCGAGCATGTCGTCGCCGCCGTACCTCGCGCGCGGATCTCCTGGACAATGCTGTCCAGCGAAGAGAGGCCCCTGTGCGGAATTGAAAGTTGTGAATTAGAAAATGTTCACAGCAGTTGGAAAGTCAGTTCTTAAAATTGCTAACGAGGATAAAAGACAAAGACTCACGCAAAGACTTGTCAGAGAGCATAGACAGCAGCACAGAGCACATCTTCAATTTCAGCAAAAATATTTTCCATAACGACCGCAAGGGACAATTTTTACTGCGTCGTCGCCTTCTGGATGATGCGGTCTCGTTCGGCCGGGGCCTTTCCAAGCAGATCCGCCTCGAGTTCCGCCTTGAGCTCTGCCAAGCTTTTTTCCTTTCGCGTTTCCGCAACGACCTCCACCTCCGCGTCGGTGGCCACATTTTCCTCCTCATTGTAGAACTGAAACGGGCGGTGGGATACGGCTTGCTGCACCACGTGGGTTCCCGAGCTCGTCGCCCCAACGGGTGCTCCGGCAGTCCCTTCTTGATTTGCCGTGGCAGAGGCGGATGCGGAGTACTCCTCGTCATAGTCCTCGTAAGTGGTGGAAACATTGTGCGAGCTGTCCAGGAGAGAGTCTCTCATCTGGATCACTCGGTGCCCCCGCGCATCGTACCCGACAACGATAGCCGCCGATGTGTCGGATTTTTTGTTGGAACAAGCGGACAAGAAACCAGGGTTATTTTTCAGTGCAACGCCGCTAGAAGACGATGAGGGATGGAAGCCTATTACCGTTGGTGTGCCGCCCAGACTCGCGCTCCGCGGGTTGGCGCTGTTCCGCGTGGAAAGATGAAACGCCGCGGTTCGCTTCGGCGGTTGGAATATGGTTTGCGGTCGCTGTTCCACGCCGTTCCCGTCGAACTTGGGAAGCTGCTTGGGGCGCTCCAGCACCTCCTTATCAAATGTAAAAATGTCTGGGTCTGGAAGGATGCAAGGTTTGTTATGCCCACTCTGCATGACTCCTGAAGTCTGTGACGCATGCTCTAGCATCACAGATTTTGTGAGGGCTTCCTGACGCCTATACCGCATGAGAAATGCCCTCTCGCTTTGGCAAAAACTGGACCTCTTTTGCTGTTCATGCAATACAGATTTTTGTAGAATCCAAATTCAGCACCACAAGTCGCATCCTTCCAGACCCAGACATTTTTGCATTTGATACTCCTGGATGTGCTGCAAGTCCCGCATGGCGTTCTGCAGTATGACCTGCTCCAGCGTTACAATCTCAAACGTTACAATAGAATCTGGGATTTGTCTTGCTCTTGCGTAATGAGCATGACAGACTCGCAGACCATTCCACTTTGTGCAACACAAATTTCGGCAGATTGTAGTGCGGTTTGGGACTCCGGAACTTGTTATGCGCAGTCCTATGAGACTTGGCTAGATCATGCACTTCTTGCATCACAGATTTCGGAATTCTATTGTAACGTTTGAGATTGTAACGCTTGAGCAGGTCATATGCAGCAAGCCGGTCTTCTGCTTCTGCATCTTCCAGTGCCGCTTCCGCACCTGGGACTCCGTGGCCACCGGCACAACGTACTGCTTCAGGGAGTTTTGGTCCGTCTCGGGCAGGCGACCGCGGACCGCCGAAGATTTGCTCGTTGTGCCGGACGCGGCGAGGGCCGTGCCAACGCTGGCCTTGCTGTTGAGCCTGCTACTGCTAGCCTTGCTTGTGGTCGTAGTTCTGTGCGGATCGACGCCACCAGTCTTCGAGGATCCTCGGCGGTGGTATCCGGGCCGGCGGTTCAGCGGAACGAAAATGTCGCGACTGGCTTCGCGGCGCAGATCCTCGATGTTTTTGCTGGTTTGCTCCATACTATGGTCCACCACCAGCAGCTGGCGCCCGTCCGGACACGTCATGCCGGCAGACAACGTGGAACTGTCGTTTGCATCGTCGAGGGGGAAGGACGTGCGTTCCGTGCCTCGCGCCCGCGGGGTGGAGGTGAGGCTGGAGTAGGAGTTGGCCTTCGTGAAGTAGTCGAAAGACGAAGTTTTGCTGTTCTTGTAGACAAAATTCACGCTGCTTGCCCTTGCGCTTTTGCTTCCAGAAGATGTAAACGCCGGGCCTGAGTGTCGTGAAACCAACCCGCTACGAGACTGCGCATTCCGGTCCGCAACATTGTTGGCTGAGCTCGGACTACTCTTGCTGTTTCCAGAAATTAAAGGCGGGTCTCCAGTGCTGCGCAGCCCGCGAAGAAATTTTGCGGTTGGTCCACCGGGCGTGTCGTCATAGGCTGTAAGGGTGAGGTTTGCCTTCTTGTTTTTCGGCCGGGCGGACGGCCGCGTCGGGGGTTTGATGCTGACATCAAATTCGGACGCGTGGCCGCGCGATGGTTCTTGGTAGCGGTATTCGTAATCGGGCCGGGCGCTCGAACTACTGCTGCTCCTCTCGTGCTGCGCCACGGTGTGGTGCGGCTGTGCGAATACATGTGAACTCGTCCCGACGGCATGCGCATCCTGAGCAGGCGCCGGTTGGTATTCGAAAGCACCGAGGTCCGGGTCCAAAGCCTTCACCTCCTGTGCCAAACTTCGAATTTCCGCTGCGGTAAGCATATTGATTTTTGTTCATGTGGCGTTACCTACTCCGTCCAGAAGCAGTGCGAAAAAATTTGAGTCGCGAAACTCGCTTACACTTCTTCGGAACAGGATCTTGTTTCGCAGTAGAAAGACCGACCACGTACGGCTCGGCGCAAACGAGACAAAAAGCACGACCATTACAGACCTACATCTGCGTGTCAACGAGCTTCGTGACAATCGTTTCAAGTAGCTCTCAAGAGACAACACTCATAACTGACGAGCACGAGCTGCGATCAAAGCTCAGAATTCGTGTCGTGACAAAACGCCTTCGTTTCCTTGCTCTTGATCTTTCCGAACTCCAACTCCACGAGCGAATAACAACAATTTGACGAATGCGAGTCACAATTTCGGACCAAGCGAAAGTAGTCAACTGCTTCACACGTTTATATCGGGCAAACGCAAGACATCAAAAAAACTTGTCAGCACAAGACAGGGATTCGAGTTCCACATCTTACATGCACAGAGCTTGCATGTGGATGTTCCTGCCCGATTTCGTCAACAGATTTTTCCCCCGCAGAGAATTTCCTTTCTCCTGCCAATCTGTCGCAGAGGACGGGGGACGCGGGCTGCAACTGCTGGAACGTAACTGTGTCGGGTAGCTAAATTCGGGGGAAATCACAAGCAGAAACCAAAGAGTGAGGTGTTGACTTTTGCCTACATTATACATTCGTAGAAAGGGAAAAGCGCAGTAGTTGAACATGAGAAACTAAAGTCGAAAGATAACTACTCTGTGTGTACTTCTGATACTTCGTACTACTTGCTTCTACATCTACTTACACTGGAATAATAAAAAGATTTTTACTTTCATGATCCCATCAAAGCCTATCTAAGGGAACTAACACTGCAGCGGCTTTCCTTCTTTTATTGCGGAACAATGTCGATGTTCAACCGGTGGCTCGCCGGTTGTTTGCGCAGCTCCGCGATGTGCAGCTGTGCATCGCAGTTCGTCATCCTCTCTTCGCGGCTCAAGGTGTTCTTCAGATGCACAACATGTCCCCTGTCCCCTTGCTTCAGTGCGGGGAACAGGGAACCACTCTGCCGTGCACTCCCGGGCGCCGAGGACAATTCCGCCGGGCGGAAACGCAGCAGCTCGTCCAGTTTCGCGAGGTTCCCGTCGACGCTTTTCAAATCTCCCGGGTTTGGTGCCGCATTGTACATCTGAAGATAGTGCTGCGCGCAGGCGAAGAGGAGAGTCGCGGCCGATCCGCCGAGGGAGTGCCCCGCTAGGTCCAGCTCGGAGCAGGTTGCCAGCGCGTTGGCCATCGGGGGTAGTCCGCACCGAAGCGCCTGGTCCGCCTTGTTCGCGTAGCCCGAGTGCACCTGCTTCAGCGCCCCGCACCACTGGTTCTTAGGCGTGCTCTCAAGCAAATTCGAAGATACCAGCTCATCCACGCTGTTCGTTGGCGACAGAGCGAGCACGCAGCGCCGGGTCGCGGTGTCTTGGGACAGTGAGACGATGTCTTCATCCAGAAGCACGTCGGTCCCGAAATGGCGCGTTAACAGGGACACGCGCGCGATAGGCCGGATCCGGAAGTAGGTGTGGCCGGGATCGAGAATTGTTTTCATCAATCCGTCCGGCCCACGGTCCTCTCCGCCACCCGTCGTCGGGTACATGAGCGCCGGGTCGCGCCCCTTTTGCGGGAACACCAGATGCGTGTACGCCTGGCTCCGCTCCACCCGGTGCGCTTGCTCCAGATCCTTTGCGGTCGCGTTGTAGCCCTTCGCGACCGCCACGGCGCGCAACAACCCAGTAAAATACGCCGGCTCCATGTGCAGGTACGGGTCGGTCATGGGCGAGAACAACTCGCGCAGCGATTGTTCGGCGGCTGGTAGCACGGCGAGAGCATCGGGCGCGTCCCCGGTGGACAGGTAATTTGTGGCGGGCACCAGATCCGCAAGCGGCAGCTGTTGCTCCACGATCTTCTCGTACACCGCCCCCCAGTCGCCGCCGGTGATCCCCCCGTGCTTCGGATTAGCCAGCACGAGCTGAAGCGCGTCCATGGTTGGGTGGTACCAGTCGCCCAGTAGAAAGCTGGACTGCGCACCAAAATCCGTGTCGTGCGGCTCGAGGCAGTTTCCCGCGGAACCGGGAGGCGACCTGGTGCGCGGGGGTTCCCAAAAACCGGGCGCAATTTCCCCGCACTGCTCTGTCCACACCCGAAGGCCCGGTAGTGAAGCGTTTTCCGGAATGGCATCCGACAGCCAGTTCTTGTCTTGTGTAATTTTAGGGGCGCCGAAGGTGTACACTTCGGCGATTCGTGGCTGCGTCACGAGCTGCCCCGCATCTTCACCGGAAGGAGCGGGGCCGCTTCCCGGTAGACTGGAAATCTGCTCGGCAAACGAACTCGCTCCTTGTTTCGCGGACTCTTGCTTTTCTGCTCGCGGTGCGGTTCCTGTGGATGTTGTGCGCACATTTTGGTTGTTTTGCGCCTTCACAACCTCCTCAATATCTGCATCATCGCTACGGTGCCAGCGGGAGGAAAGTTGCCGCGACTCGCTCGAAGTGATTTGCAGGATTCTCGTCCCCCCAGCGGTCGACAAGCGCGTCGCGCCCGGTGGGTTGGCCCATGTGGGATGCACGAGCAGCAGGGCGTACCAAACAAATTCGCGCCATCCGCTACTTGTGCGGGGGGTTCCCCGATGTACTTCTACTTTCATTGGTCACTAGCAAAAAATACTTGGGCGAATGCGCACGACATCGATGTCGCGATAGAGACCTGGACTGTCGGGATGCATGCTTTCGTTTGCGGTACACCTCACGAGAACCAACGGATTGCGTGAGTTGAAAAACACGATGTTGCACGAAACAATTTGTACTGCGTCCGGAGACGGTACTGAAAGCACGACTTGAGGGACGACGAGGGGCTGCGACGTTGCAGCGACTTTGCGTTTGTACGACATTTCACGAAAAAAAATGAAAAAGTCCATATAGTTCTCTTGCCTTGGTACGGTGCCAACTGTTCGCATTTGAGGGTGCTGCGGATAGTAACGATCATGAGAGAGTAAAGCTACGCGATGGGACACAGCTAGCTTTTCACTGGATTACGGGGCCGGGCCAGAACGTCTCGCGTCCGCCCCCCCCCCCCCCCGGCGGCGGGTCTGCGATTCGCACGAGCGGGCGACTTGTCCAAGAGTAAAGGCAGGAATCGCAGTACTACGATCGAAACGTGAGTGACTTGCTGCGTTTTGAAATACATGCTCTACTTGCCTACGGATCTTGAACGAGCAAGAGACCCGTAGAGAGGTCGCCCGGTAAACGACCAAGGGACTCGTGGGGCAACCGCCCGGTCGCGTTCGGCGATGCCACCGCCGCCGGCCGCCGGCACACTTGCCCCCGCGCCAGGCCCGGGCGCCGGAGCCCGCCGGCCCGCTTCCGGGTGCCCCGCGCCCGCTTGCCGGGCTTCCCAAAGCCCGACCGCCCAAGCTTCACGGCCAAGAATGCCGAAGCCGCGCACACCTGCATGCCGACACCCCCTGCCCGGGAGCCGGGCCCGCGCGGGCCCCGCGGGCGGAGCCTTCAACGCTTGGTCGCCCTCCTCCGTGGCCCGTTCGGAACCCCAAGCCCGGTTGCAAAAGCCAAGTCCGGTCGCCGGCGCCCCCGCCTCGATCAGGCCCCTTTTACCAGCACCCTTTTTCGAAGCCCGATCGCCGGCGCCCGCCCCAAGTGGCCCACTTGGAACGAAGAACGCAACCGCAGCGCGGTCGGCGCATCCGGGCTTCGTAGCTCCCCGGAGAGTCTCGCCCTCGCTTCCGGGGGCGTCGCGCGGCCCTGCCAAGAGGCTTTATCGGCCCCACCCGCCGCAACAAAGCTTGACCGCAGGACCCAGAAAAGCCCGCACAGAGGGGCCCACGAGGCTAGCGACGGCGGGGGATCTTCGGTGCCACGGCAGGGGCTTAGTAGGACCTAACTTGGACGCCCTCCCCACCGTTGCTGGGGCCGGGTGGGCCTGTTAAGTTACTTTCTTCTGGAAGGGGTGCCCAAAGGAGACACTCTCAAGCCCTGTAGGGATGCTCCCCTGGGCCATCGGAATTTCAGGAAAACCCAGATGCGTAAGAATTACCAAAGTCGGCGGGTCTGGGCCAAATAATATCTATGGGAGTGATAACAAAAAAGTCTTTTTATCATTTGGCAAGATATTTTGCCCGATTTGCTTTTATATGCCATCCAAGCTTTATCTTTGAAATTTTTTTTTTGGAAAATGAAAACAAAGCTAATTTGGTCCAGTCTTAACACGGAAAACCACACAAGATGAAGAATAATGCACAGCATGCATTTATACTCTGACTTACAACGTTCAAACGGATTAAAAATCACACAGAACCTGAATAACGTCACTTTTCAAAATTTTTTGATTTTTTTTGGCGTCCAAAAACATGGAAAATTTGCATCCAATACAGGGTAAAAATTATACAAATGAGGACTGATGTGCATTATTTTTCATTTTGCATTCAAAATGGGGTAAGTAATTGTGATTTTTTTGCGAAGGAAAAATTGGCATTTTTTTGAGGTTCTCAAAAAGAGCAAAGAAATCCCGTGCAGTCACATGATAATTAGAATATAGTATGGCACTGAGTGTCTATATATGGCGGCACATTGTCAATCAGTGTAATTATTTGTTCACTTTCTGGCATTTTTCCAAGTGTATTTTTTTGGAATTTTTTTAATTTGGGAAAAGTTGCCAAATTTCCCGACAATTGAAACAGTTCACATATGTAGAGCGGAGCAGTGTCTCTTATTATCGTGTAGAAACTCAATAACTACCATTACTTTTATCATTTACATGCGTAATGGTTAACATCACTTCCCATGACCCCACCCTCTCACCCCCCAGAACCCCCCAGGCCCCCTCTGACCCCTGCTCCCAGCCTCCCTTCCCCCAGCCCAGCTTACCCCCTGTCCCCCAGCTCTCCTCCTGACCCCCATTCCACCTGCCCCTTACTCCACCTACCTCCCTGTCCCCCCCCCCCCCGGTTCCCCTCTCCCCCGGCCCCCCACTCCTAGGGGGGCGCATCGCTTTGCTGGAACAGAGTCCGGCCCCCGTCGCCAGGGCGCAACACTCTTGGCGGGCCTCCGCGGCGCGCGCCGGTTTTCCTTCCCAGGCCGTGGCCCCGCGTTTGCGCTACGCGGGAGCCCGCTCGCCGTTTTGGTCAACCGCCGCAGGCGCCGCGTCGAGTACTCCGCCGCAGTTAAAAGGGCGCTCGGCAGGCCGTCGTCGCCTAAAACTCCGCGGCCGGTGCCGGTCCTGCGCCGCCTAGCGGACCTCTTCCCGCGCGAGAAAGGCCTCGCCTCGTGTTCTTGGTGCGCGCGCGCGCTGTTCGCGGCCGACCAACTTCCTTCCGGTAGCCTTTTCGGAGACGGATTTTTTGTATCTCCACCCTAGTCCGTCGCCGCTCCAAGAAGCGCCGGAAACGACGGGAAGTGTCTCTGCCCGCGTTTCCGACCCCGGGCCTTTTCCGAATGGTCGCCCGGCGCAGGACTCGCACAAGTTCGCTTGCGGAACGATTGGTGCGCGTTGCAGCTGCGGCATGCGTTACGCTGGAGAAGTGCAGCCCAGCGTGGGGGATGCGGATACGGTTCGGAACCAATGTGTACGAAGTCGGATTGCGGCACAATTTGAAAATCAGTACGATTTTGGAGGAGGCGGCTGCGCAGATCCGGGACAAGGCGATGGACAACGCGGCGAATGAGCCTTTGCCGGTCGGGCTACCGGACCTGCGGCTGCTCAAGAACGAAATGACGATTCTGAAGGGCAACTGGTGCGACGCGAGTCTCGTACCTCGTGGAAAATGCTGCGACTCCGACCAACCCGGTCGGTACCTTGCCGTATGAGAGACATGTTGGCCAGAAAAACGTGGTCGCATGTCGCGGCGTGCACAATTTGCACAGCATTGTTCTCAGGTTGTTGCACTGCGCTTGGCAATTCCGAAGGCAAAGATGTTTTGCATAAGAGTGAATCTTATTCCGGCCGGTTTGAACAGTAGTTGACACCGCACAGATAGCAGCATTGCCTTTTCAGACGAGCACAGCCTGCTAAAGATACGCAGACCACATTCAGAACGTTTTCGCCTTTCACAGCACAGTGACGAAAGCGACCTCGGCGTGCTGTGCGACGAGCAGGACCGGACGGCCAACTTCTACGACTTGCGCGACTCCGACGAATTGGAGCTGGTGTACATGATGTGATATAAAAATGGCTTGCAAAGCGCGAATGTGCCCAAGCTTGCTAGTGTTGGCGGATGTCATCTCGTTGCAGTTGACTAGGAGTTGACTAGGAGGGGCGCAGAGGTCCTCCGCACCCATTGCAACAACAACAGCTCGGATCTTCGAAGAATATTTATTTGTCCACCACTTCACTTGCTTCTTTTCCAACGTTGTCAAAAATTGTTTAAGTACGATACTTGGAAGTCGATGCAATATTGAAGTATAGAGACTTGTTGTAGAGCTGCACCAAGATCTCCCGGACGGTGGCCGCGATCAATGGTGCCAGGCCCTTTGATGTTCCGGTTCAAAATTAACGTCGCCTACATTCCGAAGATCCACGGCTGTTTGCAACGTCGATCGGCGCCACAAAAAACCGAGAATCCTAGATGAATTTTATCAACCTGGTCACTGTCATTGTCCATCCCTCAGTTCCCGGCTGTTTCCAACAAATACTGTCCGCTTTTTCCGTATTGCTTGCGGGGCTCGGCTCTGTTTTTTGAAATTTTTCCGGTCTGAAAAACTCACATCACAGCGACACGCTTGATCTCACGGCGACACTAATGTGAGTGTAAACGACACCCCATAAGGAGATTTTGGCGTACTACCCTGTGCCTGATTTCACAAACATGCCCTTGATTTCTACCAACTCCTCTATCACACCATGACACTAACGTAGAACTATTTTTGTCCACCATCACAAACTCGACTATGTTTCGCAAGCGCGGCAAGAACAAGGGCAAGGTCGCGGCGAAAGCGACCCCCGCGCCCGACGAGGAATCGGACGATGGTAAATCCGATGGGGAGGTACTCGCTCCGCCCACAAAATCGAGCGCCTCGAAGCCGAAGTTTCTCGCTTCAACGGGAACTACGGCGACATTAACAGGTGGGGATACTAGAAGTACTGGTGCTTCCGCGACCGCAGGCGTCGCTATGGACGTGGACTCGCTGGACTTTACGTTTGATCTGAAAGCCAGTGCCTCCACTTCTGCGGTCGTGGCCAGCGGGGCTTCCAAATCCTTTGATGAAGAGGAAGACGCGGGCTTTCTTCACGAGGATGACGACGACCTGGCGGCGCAACTCTGGCGCTCGACCGCCGGGCCGGCGACGGACGACGGCGAGCCGATTTACGAAACCGCGCCCCCGGTCGCGCCGAAGAAACCGGCAAGAGCAGGCGGGAAAAGTCCTAGTGCGAAGACGCAAGCAAGCAGAGACCGACGTGAAGAAGTAGTAGACCGGGATAAAGATGCTGAAGGTCATGATGATGAAGGGCAGCTGCACTCTACTACGACTGCTCGCAAGAAGGAGAAGAAGAAGAAAAAGAAGGGCTTGCAGTGGAAGAAAGCCGGAACCTCGAGCGACGAGTCGGATTCCGCGGAGGGGCAGCTCGATGCCGTGCCGGTGGTGGTCGGGGTAACCACGGATGAGCGACAACAAGATCTTCACTCCTCGATTGGCGGTCGAACAGCCCCCGCAGCCCCCAGCAGCAAACGGCCGACCACTCTGCCACCCTCCACGGCGGCCCCCGGCGTCGACACGTCCCAGGAAGCCATCGAGGAGGCGCGGGCGGCGCGGAGGGCGGCGGCGGCGAAATACGCGGCCACGGAGAGCACGCGCCTGACCGGGTCGGACTTCCAGAGCTTCTACGGAGAGAACGACCCGGCCTTCTTCGGTGGGCTCGGCCAGCGCGACCCTTTCGCGGCGCAGGAGAAGCGCACTAGCAATCTGCACGTCAGCGCCACCGACAGTTCCTCATTTTTGACCGGCGAGCAGGCGGCCGAGGCGCTCGGGCTGCGCACGACGAACAATCGAGGGCGGAATCCTCCGGGGCGCGGCGGCCTAGGAGGCGCAAGTGCGTCGAATGGAACAAACACGACTGGTGTCAAGAACTCGGGTGATCCGGAGGAGGAGGTCGCGAGCGAGGAGCTGCAGGCGCCCAATCTGGCGCGCCAGCGCATGCGCCGGGTGCTGGCTCGGAGGCGGCAGGAAAAGGAAAAGCTTGGTAAGAAAAAGGACCTCGAGAAGCAGCAAGTCGAGACGACGACGCAGGAGCTGAAGATCATCGAGAACCGGCTGAAGTTGGTCCTGGCCATCCAATATGAATTGCAAAAGTATCGTACTCGTATAAATGCATTACAAATTTCCTAAGCATGACAAATAAAATTTGTCATGCGGATCTACTCTAAGAAAAAAATTTGTAATGCATAACTGCAATTACTACGAGTGCGATACTTTTGCACAGGATATCCAAGTGGTCCTGCGGGAGTTCGAAAGGTTTTGCGCGAAACTGTCGAACACGATCGAAGCAAAGCGGTTCGGTGTCGCGGAAGCGGAGGCCATGCTGCTCAAGATGGTAGAGGCGTACGCGCACGGCAGCAAGGAGCCGCGGGAGGAGGAGCAAGATGAGGAAGAGGGGGACAAAAGCTTGGACGCTTTTGCCAAGTTGAACCTGTCGGGCGACCGAGCGGCTGCTTTAAAAAGTGGCGATGAAAACAGAGGAGAAGGCGGGGCGGTCGACGGGAAACTTGTTGTCGATTACTTCCGGAGCTCGACGATGTTCACGGCGGCGTCGGACGGCGACGCTACGAGCGCGGCAACCGCTCGGGCCGTCGAGCAGTTTCATGGCGAACTCTGCACGGAGTTTGCAAAAGACCAGAAGAAGTTCCACCGTGCGTGCGCGAGGCAATTTGAGGCTTTTCTCTCCTCCTCCTCCATTTCATCTGGCGCCGACAGCGCTAGCGCCACCCCGACCGTGATTTTCCAACAGTTTCACCTGATGCGCGACACGTTGCAGACGCGCTCGCAAACCGGGCTGCCGCGAAATCTGATTCAAAAGCTGATCAATCCGGACCACCTCGAGAAGCACTTGCTCGAGGCGCTGGTCGTTGGCGTCAAAGCGGAGCTGCTGCAAGTAGTTGCAAAGAGCGCCGACACCACTTCGGGTCATACTGAGGACAGTCAGAGCACGAGGAAAGAACCCGCTTCGGTTGTTTTTGACGACACAAAATCAATACCAATAGCGCCGATGGTGCTCCTGGACGAGCTTTCGTGGTACAGGGACGGGCTCCTGCCGTTCTTTTTCTCATCCGGCGAAAACGCCGGCTCCCCCCAAACGCCGGAGCAACAGCAGCTCGCAGCGAAGCTTTTGTGGGGCGTGTTCGAGAAAACGGTGCTGCCCTGGTGCCAGCACTTATTCCTCAATTGCTACAACCCCTTTGTGCGAGAACTGCACGCCGGGCACCTCGGCAGCCGAGAGACCTTTTCGACGAACAAACTATCCGCGCTCTTCCTCCCGGAAACAAAATTAATCAAGCACACTCTCCTCGAAGTGTTCAACAAAATCCTAACCAGCGCCCCGGCGATGCAACAGACCGTTTGGGGCAACTCGATCGAGCCCCTCTTTGTGAAGTTTGTGCGCAACAGCGAGCTTCTGCTGCAGTCGGAAGAAGTAGTCGCACGGCAGCGGGCGTATTACTTGGAAAGGGTATCGACATCGAGTGGAGCGCCGGGTGGTGTGCCAGCGCGGGACTTTCGGATCGCGGAGGAAAAGGCGACAAGCTCTTCGCCGACGCACCCGTTTGCGCTTCTAGTACTCGGACTCCTCGTTGTCGCGAACGGTTGGTATCGGTGTTTCCAGATCGGAGAGGACAGTTACAAGGTGGTCGAGCTTGTTGCGCGTCTTTACGAGGTCGCTAAGACCACGATTGAGACCGACAGAACAGGGGGCACAAATCTCACTGCAGCTCTGGAGACGCTGCTTTTCGCTCGAGACCTGGTCGTCAACTGGTCCGACTACTTGCTCCACGAGCGACAGCAGCGAACAAGTAGAGGATCTGCAGCTACAAGTGCGACGACAAAGACCCCGGTTCACTCGTTTCTCCGCGCTTTCGAGCCCCAGATCGGGCCGCTGCTGGCGCAAGTTCCCACCTCCGCACAGGCCGCCGATCTACGCGACGAAATTCAGCGCGCCCTGGAACTGCATAGAGGGTAAACATGTTCCTGGTGATGTTTGTGTGCGACGACAAAATTGTGAAACTACCGCGCCGCCATAAGTGTAAATCAACGGGATGAGCAGGACTCGCATAGGACTTCATTTCTTTCTGATCGAAAAAGTGTATATAACGCAAGACAAGAGTAGCAATCAACTGATTTCAACCTGCAGCAGCATTCATGCCACGAGCGCATGCTAAGGAGAAACAAGTGATAGTTTGTTCACTATGATCATGAAAAGAATATGAGAGCGTCTGAACGATTATCTAATTTTTTATTCAAAAAATTTGTTTTATAGCTTTTCAATAGCAACTTTATTGATGCTGAACCACGGTGGAACGGTGATCATTTCGGAGGTGTCTCGAGAACCGTCGACGGAGCTGCTGGATGGTGTATCAGAATGAACTATCTAGATGGAGTCCCAACTTGAACTAGCTACTTGGATGCATCGCATTTGTATTGGAAATGAACAAAAAAAGACATCATTTTCTAGCGTATGTGGTGCTATTTTCAAGGCCGTCCGGTAGGTACTCCGCCATCAACCTTCGCCGGGGCCCCGATCTCGTAGCGCGGGCGGACTCGGTATCGAACTAATGACCTGAAAAAGGTATTGGAATTCGGTTGTGAGTGATATAGCCATATGAGGTCAGATATAGCCAGCCTCTGCATCGTCCAGCATTTCCGCCATCGCGTCCGCGAAGATTCCGGGTCGGAAAGAGAGCACGTTGAACATCGAAGTCAGGGAGTGGTCATCGTTGTATTCGAGGACAAGCGGGTCCTTCTGGGTGACAGCTAAGGTCTCAATGAGACCAAACTGTGGATCACACATCTCAAACAGAGCGTAATCAATCACCGGCTGCATGGTTTTGAGCCCCTCGATGATTCCATAATCGCCATGCTGCCCACCAACCGTCTGCGCGTCGTGCAGCATCCGCTTTTGTATGAGATGACGACTCTGGGCGATTTTAGTATTCAAATCCTGCGTCGATGGAGCTGGTGAGCCGGTTGCAAACGGGTGGTCGAGGTGGTAGGACAGTCTTTTGGCGTATTCTTCAGACAGCGGCTCACCGGGGGCGGTTTTGCTCATCCAGTATCCTACTAAAAACCAAAGGCGCTGCGATTATTATCACCGCTCTGTAGTGAAAATACACGCATGTTGGCATTTTGATAATAATCGCGGCGCCTTTGGTTTGCATTGCGTATGTTCTGAATCAGCGCCATCAGGTCGTGGCTGTGGTTGCAGATGTTGATGCAGCACTCCTCGGCGCCTTCCGGCAAAGTGTCGCGAGTAAGCTTCTGAAGACGCCGCGGGTCAGAAGCAAAATACGCATCATCGTCTTCGTCACTGCTGATGCCCTCGACATCGGAGTCGTCATTTTCTCCTCTTTTCTTCTTCTTATCATCCAGGCGCTTGGTCTTGCTCAGCAACCACATCAACTGGTGTTTGTGTTTTTGCAAAAACGCGGCATGTTAAGGAGAAACAAGTGATAGTTTGTTCACTATGATCATAAAAAGAAACAGGATCGCAGCGGTTATGATCGTTAAGCTTGTCCATTGGTGATCTGACGGAAAAAAAGCACGTATATATAAAAAATGCAGTGTGCCACGTTCGATCGGAACTTGATGCAGCAATAGATCCAAGATGTTCGTTGCAAGCGTTCCTGAATTTCTCTCCACTCGAAGTACTGCAGTTCGCACTAAGATTGACGGATGATTTTTATATTGATTTGATGACCGCAAAAATCTATGATCAGATCAGTTTTATGTAGGACGACTCGAGTTTTGATTCTTGTAATTTAGTCGAAGCGTTTATGAAACTCAGATAGCAACCACACACCGCACCTTTTTAGCCCTTAAACTCCCTATGGCATTCTTCCGGAGAACACTAGAATTCATCCTCGGCAGCACCCGCAGCATGGCGGTAGGAACTTCGACTTACGTCGCTCGTCAGCCCGGCGTAGAAGCTGCAGCTGCCTCTACCATCCAGCCACTTCTTCCACCCTGTTTGTACCGCATCGCTGGCACCCACCCCTGGGTGCAACTGCAGGGATATCTGATTTTGCCTCCCGACCGGGCTAGCAACCTAGAGGTGACTTCTTCGAGGGGCGGGGACGGCGTCCGCCAGAGACGAGGTGAAGATGGATCCGCAGAAGTACCGCCTCCAAACGGGTCCGCCATCCTTGTGGACCCCCCAGACGCGGACGAGACAAGCATCAGCGCCGTAAAGCACTTTCTGCAGCAGAAAAACCGGACCGCCACCCACCTGTTGCTTACGCATAACCATCTTGTGCAAACCAGCGACTACGCGAAGTGGCAAAGAGAGCTGGGGGGAGCTCTAACCGTTGTCGCCACCGACGTGGAAATCGGGAAGAAGTACACGCACGAGCTGGTTCTCGCAGGCGACCTCAAAGATTCGAAATCGTCGATACAAAGAAGAGAAGACTGTGCGCCCCCGAGTAGCTGCAGGCAGGCACCTGTAGGAAGCGATAACTTGAAGCGTATCGTCGAAACCTCCTCCAACACGTCACTCCATCCGTCGCGTGAAGAGCGCTCAGGGGGTCGTTTTGTCATTCTCAAGAACGGCGGTTTGCCGGCACACAAGTGGTTTCCTCTTTTCGAAAGCGTCGGTAGCGGGTCTACTTCTACCGAGCAGGGATCTGCTGCAGATGCCTGCCCGCACTACAAAATTCGCGTCAGCGCTGCGGTGATCCCCGGTCACCGGCCGGGACATTTGGCGTTTCTGTACGAGCATACAGAAGTAGAAGCGACATCAGATGCAGCACGGCCGGGACTAGTGGATTCCTCTTCGGAGAAAGCGGTCGCGAGCTTGCCATCGGTCCCAGGATTTCGTGCTTGCGATTACAAATCGAATGGTTGTGCCCACCTCTCGTTGCTGTTCGGGGGAGATACCATTCACCCGTCATCCGAGCCCTTCGCGGAGGAAGATGTGCGTAAACAGGTGCGCAGTGTTGCCTGGATGCGGGACAGCATCGGGGCATATTTGTGGCCGCATCGTGATGTTCCAAGTGCTGGAGAAAGTGATTTTGTTGACAACGACTCCATGAAACCCCGAGATCAGTACAGCCCTATGCCAGCTCCCAGCGCCATTCTGTGTACGCACGGGGACCACTGGATCGCTTCGGGTGTTGCGCGTCTGAACGATGTGTCAAATGCAAAAATGTCTGGGTCTGGAAGAATGCAACTTGTCATGCTAAATCTGAATCAGGCATAAAACTGTGTTGCATGATTGCCAAAAGTTGTGCAGTTTTGACCTAATCGAGGGGCAGTTTCTCATGCAGGATAGGCATTAGAAAGGTCTCGCGGAATCTGTCATGTTATGTCCTACATATCAGACCTCATGGGTCATGGAAAACCTGCATGACAAATCTGGCAGTCTTCCAGACCCAGGCGTTTTTGCAATCCATACGATGGGGACGGGGGGACCACAGCAGCAGCAGCTTTTCGGGCGAAGATGACCGAGCACCTGGAGGGCTACAAGACCTACCGGAAGCTGAAACGGGAAGGGGAGGAGTTATAGCGGAGCATGATTTGGAAATCTGTAAGCTGCTACGAGGAAAGTGCTGATGTTTAGCAACGATCTTTCTGTGTCGACTTTGGCTCTACTTTTTGCCTTCCTTAAGTGTTGAATCAATGTATGTTGCAACATTGCAGTATTTTTGAATAAGGTTTTTGTAGGATGAGAGGATACATCTTGTAGGATGACTCAGAAGCATACCCTGCTTCGCACCACCGGAGCAGCCGTGGGATTGTATTTGAACGAGGACTCAGAGAGTTTTAAGTCTCGATAAATTTTGTGATATTATACTGTTGATGGTGGAGCTTGCTCTTCCAAAAAAGAAACCAAAAACTTAGCTGTTGCCAAAAAACCAAAAACTTAGAAGAAAAACATATTAGACGAGTTTGGAGTTGCAGCCAGGTCCGGTCGGACAAAGATTTTCGTGATTTGAGCTTTCAAAAAGCCGGCAGTACGTCGACATAATGTTCCACCATGCAGTACGTCGACATAATGTTCCACCATGAGACTTGTGTTTTTTCCGTCTCCCTTGTTTCGAAAGCCCCTTTCACAAGAAAATCAAAATGTTCAAAGCGTGGCGACGATGGCAAAGTTGAGATCGCGTTTTCATCCAGAAGAGCCCGTTCAGAAAAATTATCAGGTTTTTGTTTCATTTGTTTCCGACCATGAAGCACATGATCCGGTTTAAAAATTTCGATTTTGGTCCGCTACTTCTATAGCGAAAATGAAGGTTCTCGAACTTTTGTTCAAAATGATTTGTGCGAGTCGTTATCGGCCTTTCGTTGCTCTTCACCGCTAAGACTTACTCACTTCCTACCTCTATCACCCACAACACAGGCAACGAAAGCGCTCGAGGACAATAGGCCTAAGTAGAACCTCCGAGAAGTCGCGGCTGCACCGCGCGCTTCATAGCTTTTCCATGCTTTGAAGAATTTGTTGCGATACCGCCTAGTACCTTTTAGTTCTACCGAAATTTTTCCCGCTCGATACTGTTTTTCCTGTTCTTTCTCCACCTCTTTTTTTTTCTGTACGTTTGTGTCAGCTATAGAAAACCAGTTCGTGTCAAAGTATTTTCAACAACTAGAAAGAATGAAAAGTAGATAGACAAACACCTCAGACTACAACATCTTCCCCTAACAACATCTTCCCTCAACAAGAACAATTTTCAAGCGACGGAGACACGTCGACCGTTGATATCTTCCGCAGCGAAAAACGAACGGCAACTCCTACAGCAGTGCAGACCTAGCTGTGTTCCTTCCAACATCGATCACAATCAAGCAGCACCGCCACAGGACCATGGTGGACCTAAAACCTGCTGCCGACCGGCTGCCGTTGGGTGAGAAAAAGGTCACCTTGCGAACCCGCAAGGAGGTACAGGACAAGGGCAAGAAGCTGCACCTCGTCAGTGCTCCAGGCTTAGCCGCGAGGAGGAACGCGGGTGGTGGTGTGCGACTGCAGCCGCGAAAGGATGTTGCGGTGGCGGGTCACAGTGCGAGCGGCACTATGGGAACGAATATGGTCGCGACTAAGCAGCCACAAAGCAGCAAGATCGCGCTCGTCATGAAGAAACGAAGGTATTTCTTTTTGCTGCATTTATTTTTTTATGGTTTGGTGTCTAGGCGGATAAAAAAAATGGAGAAAGACAAAGTCAAAACACGGCACGCTGTTCTGGGCGAGAGCCTGTAGATTCCTTCGACCATCATGCGTGCGAGCGTGAGTAATTCAATTGTGTGAAGAACAAATATCATAACAGCAATAGTCCAAACTCGGGCGCTCTGGCGGAGATAATGGGCGTCGAGAAAGCCGACCTTGCTGTCGCACGCGACATGGACCACCGTGGCAGCGGCGACAAGAGGCAGGGAAGACACCGTATACGCAACCTATTTGTGAAATGTGATTTCTTGTATAACTGAAATGGTGGAAGAACTTGGGACAGTAAAGAGAATCTAAATTGTGGAGTAGTTGTGTTTAGGGATTATCATGATCGTCTTTTCCTGCTCATGTGAAATTATTTTCACAACTTACAATCCTCCAAAATAGGCACCTCGCACAGTGGGTCGCCGGGCAAGCCGGTGAGGTTGAAAACGAACCACGAAACCCAGCAGAAGCTGCTGCAGAAAAACCAGCGCGACCAGCCGGTGAAGTTGACGTCGCGCAACTTGCAGCAGTACGAGCAGCTGCACACCGGTTCCACGGTGGTAATACCGCACGAGAACCGGGTCGTGGTCACCGCACAACCGGAAACGACCGCGTCTAACCCGGAGCAAACGCCCGCGCCGCGGTACGCAGCGCCGAAGGATCTCGGCCTTCCCGAGGAGGGTTTTGACAGCATCGGCAAGACTTCTCAGGCGGAGAAGGAAGCAGGAACAACCAGAAGAGACCCAGTCTCTTCTGGTCGCCGTGGAAACACCAGCAAGAAGCAAGACAAGGAACAAGTAGAACAGAATGCTACAACCAGCGGAAGTAGAGATACAACTACTGCTAAGGTAGTAAAGCACACAGCATCATCAACCGCAAACAAGAACGCAGAGACCGCGGCCACTTTTCTGCCGCTGCCGCGCGAGAGGACCCGGGAAGAGCAGATGCAGCAGGAGAGTAAAGAGAAGTACAACAAGGAGCAAACTGTTACGAATAACACGGCAGTTCTTCAGGATGAACCGGAGGCATCCGGTAGCAGCTCGGATTCCGACTCCTCGTCTATATCAAATGTAAAAATGTCTGGGTCTGGAAGGTTGCCAGGTTTGTCATGCATATTTTGAATGATCCATGATGTCTGTGATCCATGCCCTAGCGTCACAGATCCTTAGAGGGCTTTGTGATGCCTCTACCGCATGAGAAATGCCCTTTCCGCGTAGCATAAACTGGAGTCCTCTTGCTGGTCAGGCAACACAAATTTTTTTAGAATCCAGAGACAGCATTACATTTTCCAGACCCAGACATTTTTACAATCCATAGTCTAGTTGCTCGGACGACTCGGATTCCAGCTCGGGGGAGAGCTCCCAGGAGCCGGCGGGCCCAGTCGGTGTAGTTGTACAGCAACCCGCCCCGGGTGCAGCAAGAGCAACCGTCGAGCCGGAGTATCAGATCGTTTATGGCCCCGGGGGCGTCCCGCACCGCATCCCGCTGCCCGCGGCAACGACGGCCCCGGCGGTGCAGACAAATAAGGGAGCCGCGGGTGGAAGTAGTAATCTTGCGACATCAAACACCAATCCGGCGAACGGACAGAGGTCTACTGCTGCGCAGCAGGGGAACAATCATTATCAGAGTGTGGTCGCGTCTGGTACAACAACCGCAAAAGTCAAAGATGGTAAAAACACTACGCAGAACAACAAATTGAGCAGCACCACCACGGTTTCCAACAAGAATGGGGCATCGACGATGAAGCAGCAAGAGATTCCTTCGGACCGGTCCGACTCTTCGTCCGACGACGAATCCGACGTCTCGGATATTACAAGGAAAAATGCCCCCACCCCCGAACTTGGGAGCATTTGTATTGCAAACCTTTCCAAAAGAAACACTCGCCCTCTTGCATCTTTCAGCATCACAGATTTCCAATCGTGAATAGCAAAAATTTGTATTGCAAAAGATCCCAGCAAGAGCGGCGCTTGTCATGCAAGCGATGCGATATACACCTAGACCCTGCATCAGAAAGATTCATAGTCCTTTCATGCATGACAGAAAGTTTTCATTTGGAAACTTCGCATCACAAACGTTTGCAACTGTGGGGGTGGGGGCATTTTTGACTGTAATATCGGAAGAAAACTCACCCTCGGGGAGGAACGTGAAGCGCAGCTCCGGCGGAGTACAAAAGCGCGGAGCGAATGCGGTTGCTCCACCCCCGCAGAGTAGTTACAACAGCGGTGGCCGCGCCGGAGGTACTACAGGGCCGCCGCGGGAACCGCACACCAACGATAACCAGCTGTCGAACAAGCGGCAACGGAAGCGGAGCGCTTCGGAGGTCGAGAATAACCAAAGGGCCGGCGCGGGAAAGAAGTTGTACAAGCACGAAAATAATAAATCCAAGGGAGACGACGTGTATTCGAGCGACGAAAGGGTCGCGGGCGGCCAGCCGGGGCAGAGGGGGGCCAGGACCAAGCATTACGACGGGCGCGCGAAGACGAGCAACGAGGACAAAGACGAACCGCAGGCGACCAAGCACCGCGGCCGCGGACACCGGGAGAAGGAGCAGCGCGAGGCTGAAAAGCAAAGGGACGCGGCGAAGCTGCGAGGAGTAGACCCGGAGCAGCGACGAGCGGGGCGGCCCGCGGGGCGAAGAGAGGAGAGGGGCGAGCAGCCAAAACCGCAGAAGCGAAACGACAGTCGTGCGGCGGCCGGAAAAGTTGTACCTGGCCCTGCGAGGGGGAGGGAAGGAAAAAAGGAGCTTGGCAAGCGCGAACGATCCCGAGGCGACGATTCAGACGGCGACAACTTCTATGGACAACAGATCGAGGAGCCGCCGAAGCGGCGACGGGAAGAGCGCCGGGAGCAATCCCGGGGAGTGGCCAGGGAACGCACGGGAGGCCAAAGCCCGTTACCCGGCTATGTCGGCCCCAAAAGTTCCAAGAACAAGGACCACTTAGTTTCGGTACCGATGATTTTTTTTCGAGAAACCCTAGTTTTGCGGACCATACGATCATCACGACCGCTATGATCTCGTGGTTTGTCTTGACGATTTTCAAAAGCAGCGAGAAGAGTATTCGGTTTCTACATCTCAAAAATTTCGAAAACAGCGCGGCGACAAGTATCGTGCGTACGACAGCGACGCAGAGGCGGGCGGCCCGGGCCCGAAATACAGCCGGCGCGAGGACGCCTCACCCGAGCCGGTGCCAAACAGACGGAACGAAGTGAAGAAGCTGCCCCGGGAACACCGACCCGCACGAGGACAGTCCCGCGATGGGAACCGGGACCACCGAGCCCAGCAAGATCGGCATGCGGAAGATCCGCCTGGCAAGCGAGGGAACAACAGCCGGCGGCGAGAAGGCGGACCCCCGCCGGACACCAAACCGAGCGGTCGCCACGAGGAGCGCCGGGAACAGCCCCACCGGCGAGGGCGCGAGACTTCGAAGGAAAACAGCGACGCAGCGAGGAGTAGGGGTGCAGCTCTCGCGGCGCCGGCCGCCAAGAACCCGCCCCGGCGGGGGCGCGAAAGCCGGGGGAAGGGAGAAGAGGAAAATGACCGGTACCGTAGCTACGAGAAGTCGTCCAGTAACCAGTACTACGGGCGGCCGGTGAGTAGCTCGAGCAACAACAATTACACGACCGGCGACAAAAATCACAAGGGCAACCACCCTGTGGTTACCCGTGGCCACGAGAAGGACCCCGAACCGCACCAGCGGAAGGTCGTGGGCCACAGCCGCTACGAGGCGGAGATTCGGCGGGAGCAGCGGCGCAAAGAAGCCAAGCGGAATTATGTGGTCGACGACCGGCGCGAGCGCGACACCCACCGCGAGAACCCCGACCGCCGCCGGGCCGAGCGGGCGGACCGCAAGGCCTCGGACTCCAACGACGACCGTCCTGCGCACCACAAGTCCAACGCGCAGCTCGTGATGGGCGGCAATCGCGTCGCGAAGACCATGGGCTCCCGCTTTTATCGCGATCGGGAGGAGAAGGAGAAAGCCGAGAAAAAAACCGTGACGCTCGTGCAAAACAACGCAAGTCGCCGGGGCAAAGATCGAAGTGGAGAAAGGGAGAAAGACAGGAAGCGACCCGCGTCCCCGGCCCGTTCCGGAGATGACCATCGCGAGAAGAAGAAGGCGGTCTTGTCCCCAGCGCCGAGGGCGAAGCTGACCGCGCGCCGCGACGTGGAGAACCGAGCCAAGCAGGCGTATCAAATGCAAAAGTGTCTGGGTCTGGAAACTTGTGATGCTGAGTGGCGTAGCATGAGGAGGCCACAAGTGCTGGCTCAGCATGACAAATTTCTGAGCTTGTAGGTGTTACCCATTCTGCATGACAAACTGCGTCTCCGCATGAGAGAAAAATGCGGCTCTTGGGCAACGTGCATGACAGCTTTAAGAGTCATGCCAGACAAGCATGACAAACATGCATATTTCCAGACCCAGACATTTTAACATTTGATAAGGCGGAGCGGGAGGCGAAAGAGGAGACGCGGAGCAGCAGGCGCGGAACCCCCGCGTTGGCGCCACGCGCAACCCCGGATGAGGACGTTTTGTCTTCTAGCGACGAGAACAAATGATGACGATTGTTCGTAGACTGTTATGTAAGAGGTTGTGAGCCTCTTGAACTTGATCCCTGAGAATATTTTCGTCGACTTAGTTTGTTGAACTGGTCAACAGAGTTTTCCGTTAGTGACAAGGGAGGTGGAGTCCGAACTACACTGCAGGTTTTTCCCGCACTGCTGTCATGTACTAGCAATCGGCTGCTCCGCGTCAGGAGTCAGGAGCAGCGTGTATATGACACATGACGAGAAGACTTAGTGCTCAGTATGACGACGTGCCGACTCCTGTCGCGCGTCCATATGAAGTTCCACTGTTGTCACAAATGAAAGGAGGCATTACTGCGACTCAGCGAGCGAAGACTTTTGTGGTTTCTTGTGCCAGAACAACACCTAACCCTCAGACCAGGAATGAATGGATGAAAAGGAGCCGACACAACGAGGAATCCTTCCGGAATTTGCGGATACGACTCTTAGCGAATATAGTAGGGGTTATTTTTTTTTTATACCACGACACAAAATGATATGTATAAAATTTATCAAAGACTTTCATACTTCTATGCGACAAACACCATTTTCATCTTTTGTCCGGATTTTGGAAACCTGACTGAATCAGCGGAAAACTTCCGGGTGCTGCCAATTGCGCAGCTAGGACTTTGCCGATGTGGCAGGTGGAGTAGAGTTTTGTTCTGTTTCTTTCCTGAACACGAAGCCTGAATTGTTTTCGATGCGAAAAAGGGTTCAGTTTTTACGAGGGACATATCAATCGACGGAGACGATTACGTAATATTACGGCACATCATCTGCCGACAAACACAAAGGTATCACCTTCCTGAGCGACGGTTCTGAGTTGAGAAGATTTCAAATGTTTTTGGCTTCTGCTCTTGAAGCAGAAGGACAAGGACTCGGATTGTAGTAATTGAGTTTTTCGCTTTACCGGTTTATCGTACTGGTGTAGTTTCATTTGGTTTCGTTATCTTTTACTTACCAGCGCCAAAACAAACACAAAAGATGGGTGAAGTTGTCCAAAGCTGTTTCCGCGGGCTTTGCCAAGCTGTTTGCGGCACGGAGATGGATGCTTCGGCCCCTTCGTCTGGTGCTAATGCGCCGAACGTCAAGTCGCTACGGGAGCTCGTTCACGAAGAAGTGAACAGTATGAAGACTGCCACGTCGCCCGACCGGCGGCTACGCGCAACAAGCGACCGGGCGTCGCCTTCAGACGGCGGAAGGCCCGATCTGCCGAGCAGTCCTGCCGCAGGTATCAACAGTGTAGTACATGACAGCCAGGCGCCGTCGACTGCGAGTTCGCCTGAGAAGGCGGGTGACAGGAATATGATCCCAGGATCAAGTAGGAACTCGGTCAATCAGGCGATCAGCCTACAGTCGCTGCTTCTAAACCAGTGTCCGTCCCGCAAGCTGGATAGGTTCTACGATGTGACGAAGGCGGACAAGATTGGGGAGGGCGCGTTCGGGGAGGTGTTCAAGGTGCGGCACAAAATCACCGACCAGCTGCGAGTGGTGAAACGAATCAAATTGCAGGAGGAAGAGGACCTGTCCCAGGTGGCCAAGGAGCTTATGCAGCTTCGCAAATTATATGTGTTTTTTCTTGTCGCTCTAGCGTCTGCGTGCACGACTATCCGCAGGCAGTTCATGGCTTTTCTGCATGAGGTTTTTGCGATAAGCAGCCGTACTTTGCTCGCGTGGCTTAAGTGCGTCGAAAGGCTGCAGCTGCTGCATGAATATGAAATGTGAAGCCAAATCTTCTACAACTAAAGAAACCACATATAATTTGTAGTGCATAGAGCTCTCCGTGGTGCTGAACCTGGACCACCCAAACGTGATCAAATGTTTTGACTGGTTCGAGGAGGAGCGCGTGCTGTACATCGTGTTCGAGCTGTGCGAGGGCGGGGAGTTGGTGGAGTTGCTGGTGCAGAACAAAACCTCCCACAACGCCGACAAAATGTTCGTAGAGGAGGACCAGCGACCCGCGCTGACCGACGTCATGGCACAGATCTTCACCGGCGTTGCCTACTGCCACGCGCTGCACATCGTGCACCGGGACCTGAAACTTGAGAACTGCCTGCTGAAAAAGCGGTGGCGCCGCTCGTCCGTCACTTCTTCCTCGTCAGCAACGGGGGGCGCGAGCAGTGGTAGTGCTACACTACACAATGCAGCTTCTGCTGCGTCCTCTTCTAGACCAGCCACGGTCGTGGCGAAAGACGAAAGAAGAGACAGCGCTGTCGGCACGTCGGGGCGGGTGGAACCGAGTTATACAGCGACTACCAATACCGTGAAGATCATCGACTTCGGGTTATCGGCGATCAATGCGAAGGGGAAAAAGAAGCTGAAGGCGCAACTAGGAACCCCGTTCTTCATCGCGCCGGAAGTGATCAACACCAAAGTGGACTACGGCGAGAAGTGCGACATCTGGGCGTGTGGCGTGATGCTGTACATCATGTTGACGGGCCAGCACCCGTTCTACACGCGGGAGTGCAACGCGAAGGGGAACCACAACCGGAAAAAGGGCACACAAAACCTGTTCCGCCGGGTCCAGTCCGAGCCGCCGCACGCGAAACCGATGGAGGTGCTTTCTAGCGCGGCTCGGGCCCTGATAACCGCCTGCCTGCAAAAGGACCAGACGTTGCGCCCGAGCGCGGAGGAGTGCCTGCGCCACGAGTTCTTCGAGCGCGCGCGCCGGGCTTCGGCGGTGTCGCTGAACAGCAGTGGTGGGTCCTCGTCGCTGAGTCCGGGGATCATGCGGCGCGGGACAACCAACAACTTCTCCGCCAACACGTGGGCACGCAACGCGATCGAGTTTTTACGCGCCGACAAGTTTTCCCGCATTTTTTTCGTGATCGCGGCCCACCAGGCCGCGCGAAAGGACGTCGAGGAGCTGCAGGAGGCCTTTCTGGCGGTGGACCAGGACCGGTCGGGTGTCTTGTCCAAGGCGGAGCTGCAGGAGGCGCTGTTTTTGGAGGACACCACGATCACGATGAGCGACACCGAGTTTGACGCGTTGTTTGAACAGCTGGACTATGGATTGCAAACATGTCTGGGTCTGGAAGAATACAAACTTGCGATGCGCATTTCAGAACACAGAAAAAGCTCTCATGCATAGGTAGCAAAAGCTGCCCACTTTCTGTCACCAAAGTGGAGGATTTGTGATGCGGATTCGGCATTGCGGAAGCTTCTCGAAACCTGTGATGCTAGAGCTTCCATGCCAGACCTTCTGTGTCATGCAAAAACAGCATGACTCTTCACTTCCAGACCCAGACATATTTGCATTTGATATGGACGCGGACGGCACGGGCACGGTCACCTACACCGAGTGGCTCGCCTCCGTCTTCGAAAGGAGCTTACTGAAGCAGGAAGAAACCATCCAGAAAGCCTTCCAGTATTTCGATCTGGACGCGTCCGGGGAAATCTCCTTTGAGGAGCTGTCCACGGTGTTGGGAAACGACGAGGAGGAGGCGGGGCGGATCCTGAAAAAGTTGGACACCAACAAAAGCAACAGCGTCTGCTACGAAGAGTTTAAGAAATTCGTTCTGGAATTGGCATGAAAAATTTCATCGACTCTGGAGCAGCATTTTTTACGCACACGTGGCCTCTACTCTAGTTCGTACAGTAGCATCAAGGGCAGCCTCATCTGCGGGGCCCTGTGGTTCTGCTGAGCCAGTTGCAGGGTCTTGGTGAGCAGTTCGGAAATTAGGTAAAACGCTGTAAGATTGTGAGCTAGTACACAGTTTCAGTTCTTCCAGATCTCTTACTACTTCTTTTATATCGCGCGACATTCCAGGCTCGCTGCGGCGGGGGATGATTTCAAGCTACGCAGCAACACAGTGTGTTCCTGATCAACCTACTGCATCACTCTCATCTTGATCAGCATCTACTATGCCAGCAGCTGCTTCTATCCCTATCGTGAGTGTACGTATCCGCTTTTATTAGGCACTGTGGTGCAGATTGCGATTAGATACTTTTACGTGTGATCCTACCATCAGGCTTTCAGTTGTAATTTTTGCGTTTCACTCTCCGCTCCTATGCTTGCTGCGCGGTAGAGGTAAGTACAAGTAGCTCGCTTCCAATTTTTTTTATCACGCCGAAGAACATCTCAAAGCATGGCTCGTTTACTTCCGAGGGGCAACACCACGGCGGCAGCGGGTCTTCACCCCCGCACTGCAGGTTTATTTTTGGCCGCTACCTGTTTATCCATTTTGACGCACACCACGCCCGCAGCTGCGGTGTACGACGGCTACGACGTCGACGAAGCGGCAGCAAAGATCGATCCTGTGGTCCACCAAATCGCTAAATCCTACGCTCTTCTGGAAGTGGAGACGGGGAACAATGAGGTCGGCATCTGTGGTGGCACAGTGATCTCCAAAACCGCGGCTCTGACCGCGGCGCACTGCGTGCAGAAGTTCGGAGTAGAGGCGGGTTCGCTGGCGAAGTGGGACCCGACCAAGACGCAAGACGTGCAACGGCTCACCGTGTTTACCGGGTCGGACGTTTCTCGCTTGCCGAGCGACGAATTGCTGGAAATAGGAAGAAAGAGCACAAGAGGTCTTGTAGCAGCGAGAAGTGCGCAGGCAAACCGACTCGCTGCACTCCCGGACGTCCGCGTCTTGGTAAAAAAGCCGAGCCTGCAGGTCACCGAGTTTGACTTCCGGCGGGTTTTCGCGCAAACGAGAAGGCAGCAGCATTTTCCCCGGACTACTTCTCCCACAAGGGCAAGCGATGGGCGGGCAGCTGCAGCACACGTGGATGTTCCTGCGCCGACCGCAGATTATTTGCACTTTTTCGACAGTAGCTGGGTCAAGAGACCGAAGTGGAGCCACGTCGAGAAGCACCTGTCTAGTGACATGATGCACGACGCCTGCGACAAAAGTTTGGCCGCCTGTGGCCGGCGTTGCTGCAAGAGGAGAGGCTGTGAAAAACCTACGAAACAGCACCCGTATGTGTACGCCCTGCGGGAACTGCTGCAGTCGCAAAGCGACGTGGCGGTACTGGACTTTTCTGCCTTCCACGCTGCGGGAATTTTTGAAGGGTTTTTCGAGGCCGACGCGGTCGCCGCGCCGGTCCTGGGTATGGAGGGTAGTTGCAGCGCGGATGGGTGTGACTTGACGTCTTCTACCGTGGCTGATTCTCGATGCGAAGAGGACGAAAAATGCGGTGGCGCGACCGATGAAGGAACCGTAGAATGCGATGAGGCCGCTCTGAGGGAAGAAGATGAAAACGAAGAGACATCGGAAGACGACGCTCCTGTCGCGGTATCGCTCGGTGACGCGCAAGCGGCAAACCTGCGCGAGGAAATCTTGCAGCGGCGAAAGCTTCTGTCACGTATAGGTCATTTGGACAAAAACACGGACGAGACTTTCTTGAACGGCCTCAAGCTGATCACGTTGGGTCATGGTCTGACGGAGAGAACAACGAATGACGTTCTCATGGACTACTCCACCGGCCGGGAAAAGAAAGCGCTCGGCCGGAGAAAGTCGAGCACAGAGCTGCGGTTTCGGGAGCTGGATGTTTCAAGATCGCTCGGAATTCTCGGACTATGCACTTGTGACGGCGAGCTTTTTTTCGAGCACTTTAAAAGTTTCTGGAAGGACTTGGGTTGGCGGTTCTTTTGTGCATCGGAAGAGGAGCTGCAGAGGCGGAGCGCGAATCTACACTTGAACGACGGCTGGACGAGGCATTTGGCCGCGGCGGGGAAAAGTGATGCATTCCCTATAACACACGCATTTCGCGCAAATTTGTTGCACCACGGGAAGAAGCTGGGTATTCCACCCTTCGAGGAGGCCGTACTGCATGGCCGAGCGTTGGACACACAGGCTGCACGGCTGACGGGCGCGGGCGACTCCGGGAGCGGACTGTTCATGGTGCTGCCGGACAAGTCTTTCTATCTCATTGGAATCACCAAGTCCAACACTATCGCCCCCTGCAAAAGTTATCAGCCGGCACACAAATGCCCGCACGCGGACTTGCGTAATTTCCGCCCGTCCCAGGACACCGTGGAGCATTTGCGAAAATACCACCCGGGCACAGTACTGGACCAGTTCACAGACCTGCGCTGCGGGGTGTTTCAAGACTTTTTGCAACGCAAGCTCACCGAGATCCGAGCGCGCGAAGCCGAGCGCACGAAGGCTTTGGCACAGCAAAAGCGGATATTGGATGAGCTTGAGAGGGAAGAAGGCCTGTGGGTGGGCAAAACAGTAGAAGTTGAGAATTTACTATCGGAAAAGGGAAAATACCTCAATGGGCGGAGAGGGGTCGTGCTGAGGAGAACGGGTGGAAATAAAAGCGCAGCCGCGGTGAACAAGATGTCAGAAAATGATTTCGCTACAACTTCTTCCAGCGAAGACTCTCGTTCGCTATCTAGTCGTTTCGATGTGCAGCTATTCTTGCCCGAGGAAGAGAAAAGGGCGTTCCATCAAGACTTTATGGCTAGTTCTGCAGTGCCGGCAGCATCACAGACAAATCCACCACGTGTACTAGTCAACGTTTATGATGTGCTCGCACCTCCGGAGTCGGCCGCAAAAAAAAATCATAATGAGGTTGTTTCCATCAAGGTTGAGAATCTTAGAAATGTGGAGCCGAGTGCTGGGTCTGCTGGCAAGAACGATATCGATGGTGAAGAGGAAGTGGACGAAGAACTGCGGTGCCGGTTTCTGCGTTGCTGTCGCGTGCGAAAGAAGGGCGAGTGGAAATGCGATTAGAGAAGCGCTGGTGTCGTTCTCATACAGTCTCCTGTCGCCAAAATCAGGAGTGGCATCCTTGTACGATGAAAGTGAACATTCATGAAGACGAGCTTTGCTGAAGCGAGCACAAGATTTTTACATAACTAAACAACAGCATGCACAGCTGGAAGCGGAATCAACATGATGTACTTAGCTGATATTCTGTCAAGAAAAAGAGCGGACGAAACACCCATAAGTCATGTCTATATGCAAGACATCTTTTGTTCGAAGATTCTTCTATTGTCGACCCTGAGAGTAGGTCATCGTTGCGCGAGAGTTACTTACATTCTAGAGCGTCGATGGGAACTCGAATCGACGGGTTGTCAGAGCGAAAGAGAGATAGAGGGAACGAGAGTGTCGATGATTCGCTTATGCCGCTCTAGCACGTACTTTCCGTCATGATTCTGCGCCTTCATATCGGAGGCTCCCGCAACCATATTTTCCTTCCTGTTTTTCCAACGTTTCTTGCAGGTTACGTTCAAGCTATTAAACAAAGACCTTTCATCCACAAAACATAGCCCAGAGGGTAGGAGCTTCTTGGTCGTTGTATAATACCCTAATCTGCTCCTGAAAGATAAGCCACTAGCACCATGAGGCAGAAGCGCATGGAAGATCCCGCCGAGGTGCGGAGGAGGGAAGCGCTCGTACTGGCGGCAGCAAAAAGGATCGGCATTGACATAGCCACGGAAAAGCACATGATGTACCATTTTCTTTTACCGGAAGCTCACTGACATGCTTTTTTCATCGTTATATGAATGTCCACCTCGATCAATTGCAACAGTTGCAGCAGTTAATCTGCGAGCGAAAACAAGTGACTGCATTTTCAATGTAATGATCTTCAACATAGGTGGATCGCCGAATTCGCTTCACAAGCAGAGCTCCCACCGGAATGGCGAGAATTTCAAACTGAAGATGGGGAGACAGCGTATATCAACTTCTTCTTCTTTTTCCACTATTTTCGAGTTTCGTTTTGTTTTTTGCCGACAATACGACAAGATCCATTGCAGAGGTGTCTGTACCTGATGAGGCTGCGATGGTGCAGCTCGGTGAGGAAATGAAACAAAAGCAAAAGTAGAAATTTATCAAACCGAACAGGTATTACCACCCGGGGACCAAGTGCTTGTCCAAGACACACCCCGTGCTCGACAAATTCGAGGATTTTATCGTGCAGCAGCGGGATTTCGCAAAACACCACGACCCGGTGATCGCAACCATGTCTACCGACCAATTAGCAGCCAAGCTGGGCGTAGTACTGGACGGTGTGCTTAACCGATACAACAAAGGTACGAGTTTTTATTACGTTGTGAAGTTTTTTCGATATGATAGATCAGGCACGAAAAAAGCACCGTTGTTTTGCCAGCGCTGCCGCTGTGGGTGTGCATGTTGCTCCTTCTACGATCCGGACGCTGTGGTGGATGACCAGCAAGTGCTAGGTCTCTATGGTACTGCGAAAAAATAACACAGGTCTCCCGCCAGTCACACCAGAGATCGTGGAGAGCGTTGCCCTTTACTTCTGCGTACCAACCGAGAAGGAGCACGGATTGGCACTGCAGATCCGAATGGCCTTAGAGGCGTACGTTGAGACGCAATACACATTAACGCTCATCACCCGGGACCTTGTGGACCCAATGGTAAATGAGATACGTGGTGGACGTGAGTTCTTGACTACAGTGCATTTTTTTTTCCTCATTCGCATTAGGACGCGACTGTGTATAAACTACTAAATCTTTTCGCCAACTCATTATCCAGGGTTTCCTGAAGAACATGCGAAAGGACATTATCTCGCGTTGCGTGCTGCAGAAGGAGGATCCCGTGCTGATGTGCCAGGAGTGCGAGGAGCGGTCGGCGAAGCTGAAATGCGAGCAGTGCAAGGACTTTTTCTGCATGGATTGCTTTCAGCTCACGCACGCTATCGAATGTAAAAGTGTCTGGGTCTGGAAGAGTCATGCTGTTTTTGCATGACATAGAAGGTCTGACATGGACGCTCTAGCATTACAGGTTTCGAGAAGCTGCCGCAATGCCAAATTCGCATGACAAATCTCTCACTTTGGTGGCAGAAAGCGGGCAGCTTTTGCTACCCATGCATGAGAGATTTTTCTGTGTTTTGAAATGCGCATCACAAGTTTGTATTCTTCCAGACCCAGACATTTTTACATTTGATACACGCCACGGGGAAGCGAAAAAGCCACAAAACGCAGAACGTGGAGCAGATCGTCTGCGATCTGTGCGACAAGGTGCACGCCGTCACCGTGTCTCTGGAGAACCACCAGCGCTTTTGCGACAATTGCTACCAGAAGAAGAGAAGAGACATGGTGGGACACAGAATGCGCGTTATCAAGGTATTTGGTACTTTGAGTTGTTTGATGGTGACGATGTGGGTAGTTCTTGTTCCGGTTATTTTTTACCGTAGTAGGGCTTAGCGCCGTCTGATCTGCCACGAGCTCTGTTGCAGAATTGGAAAGTTACAACTGTCAAAGGACTTTGTGAGTACGTCGCGCGTGAACTTCTACCCGATCAATCACAAATAAAACAGGGCCTCCCGTGCTCCGAGTGCGCAGCGAACTTTGACGCGCAGGACATTAATGACACCGGGGAGAGCAATAACGACGATCCAGAAGACGACGCGAAATTTGGAAACCGACAAGTGAAGCGAAAGCAGGCGGCGTCCATTTTGTGCGAGGACTGCTGCGATCTCTTCTGCTACGAATGCTTCGTGGAGATGCACAGAAAAGTACGAATATCTAAATATGGTTGATTCTTTATTTTTGTATGACTTTCAGTTTCAAGTACTGTTGTGACTCCTAGCTATGCCGAAACCACGGGAAATTCGTTCTGTAAAAAGATGAAATTGAAAATTTTATCACAGGGCAAGCGGCTCCACCACGTGAGCCTGAGTATAAACGACGAGGGCCAGCTGATACGGCAGGGCGACGTGTTGCCACCGGAGGAGGGGCAGGCGCACCTCGACCGAGCACGGCTGACCGCCGAGGGCGGTGCCTACGTCGCGTTCCGGGACGACCAATTTAACACGTATTGGTACCACTTCCGGGACAAAATCATCACTCACCAAAATCCGTACATGTGAGGAAATTGATGGCAGAAGTTACCGCAGGCATCGGATGAATCAATACTCAGAGTTTGGTGGAGAGAATAGTAAAGACACTGTACCTCGATAGGAAGAGCAGGCACTGCATCGACTGAGAATTTTTCCGAAGCGTGTCGGTACCTATGTATTCGATCACACAGATTCCTCGCATGAATGCAAATGCAAGAAAAATTGTTACGTTTTGATAAAAATTTACTTCTCCTCAGTTGTTTTGTTACGAACTACTCTAGCAGACTCAGAAATCTAGCAGACTCAAAAATCGCAGACAAATTCAGACAGAAGCGAAGAAGGTTTGTTCGGTTGTTTTGACGTTGTAGTGCCAAGGGGCGGCCCCACCCCTTGCTGTGCGCAGCTTGTTCTAGGCAAGGGGCCCGCGGCGGCTCGTGGTACTGCATAGTACTAGGAGACACCAAGAAACCTCTTTTCCTTCCGCAGCAGACTCTTGTTTAATATTTGACAAAATTCACTCATTAGCAGACGAAAAAATAGCAGACTCGTCTCGAATAATGTTCTCATGTTCACAAGTTTAGACTTAGATTCGAAATCGCAGACTGATAGGCCGAAAATCGCAGACTAATTTAGACACTTGCTACTCTTAGCAAGCGTTAGAAATGCAGTAGTAGATGTCTTCGCCAAAAAAGCTGCATTTAGGCAAGTACTAGGTTCGTCCCGACCTGGCTGCTGAGAGGTGGAACTTATTACTGGTGTAGGATATCCCTCTATCATCAGAATGAAGAAAACAACCTGCATGATGGGCGCCTCTCGGAAGTAATGCCTCCGCACTTGTTTCTTGTTTGCAAACGAAAAAGCAGAATTCGTGTGTAACATGATTGCAAGCCTAATGTCAGAATGTATATTATCATCCAACTACTTGAAGCGGACGAACTTGCAGCAAAGTGCCCGCAAAACCCGAGCTGATATTGTTTCTATGCTAGCGACTGGACCAGAGCCAAGTCGCTCGTGTTACACCTGTACAAAGAAGAAAACTTACGAAGTGAAGATAATTTGAAGAAAATGAATACCGTCCAAGACCACGTCGGCGACCGCTGAGTGGGACTGTCGCCCAAGATATTGGTGTTCCTCGTTTCTTAGGTCACATCTCGTTTGCGTTTTCGCTTTTTTGTTTCTTATCGAGGGATGTTTTTTCATTCGCGACGAGAAGCAAGCTTCCTGAGGAGTGAAGCCTAAGCCCGTGCTGTGATCGACCACGATCATCTTTGAGTGAGAGGTCTAGATGGAACGGGCATGGCCGTGATCATTTAGTTCTTGTGCAGGATCATCTTTCCCTTACCCCAGCCCCCTCGACCCCAATCTCAATACCAACGATAGAGCTACCGTAGAACCAGCTAAGCTGCTGATGACGCTTGTATTTTGATCCCTCGAGGCGTTATTCTCTGCCGTGTTGTAGAGGGGCTGTACTTCTGCAAAGTAGTGAAAATAAATTAACTAGTTCCCCCATGTTTTGATCCCCTGGTCTACTTGAATTGCAAGATGGTTCTCACTGTCGGTTGGTTTGCTCCATTTTTCTCGAACAGCGGGTATGGGTCGGAAGCGATTTCCTACTTGCTCGCCTTCCAGAAGTACCTGCCCCACATTCCCGTCGCGATTCGGCAGTTTGCCGAGCCGGAAGACATGCAGTGGTCCAATCACAACCTTCCCCCCGAGTTGCGTCGCATCCTTCGCGGCCTCACCAAAAAGTCCTTCGCGGACACCACACGTGTGGTGCGGAACAGAGCAATGTCGGCGAGCGAGGCGGCGCAGCAGGCAGGCAGCGATAATGTTGACCCTGCGAATAAACACTTGCCCCAGGTCGCCGCGGGGAGCGGTAGTGCCGCCGAGGGGAATAATAATAAAGCGGTTCTGACGGGACGAGATCGAGAACCTCTGCATCACCAGCAAGATAATTATGCCGGCGGAGTTGTAGAGAAAGGAGAATTGGCGGCGATCTGCCACTCCACACCGGACGTGTGGCACGAGGACGGGGCGTTTGGCTGGGGAAATTTGCAGACCCGTTGTCCCCCGCCGTCGGCAAAGATCCGCATCGGCCGCACGATGTTTGAGACGGACACGCTGCCTAGCTCGTGGGTGCCGCGGCTGGAGAAGATGGACTACATTCTCGTGCCGACCAAGTTCCACTTCGACATTTGGCGCAAGAAGATCCACGAGTACAAGCTGCGGGTGCTGCACGAGGCGGTGGACACAGAATTTTTCTCCCCCACCGGGACCCCCGTGGTGCCCGTTTTGTCGCACCGCGCGAACCACCGCCTGTTCAACCGGTACGTGGGGCGGCTGGTGCGCACACTGCCCGTGAACCGCAACCACCCGTCGGCCGGGAAGAAGACGGCGCCGGCCATCGACCCGAAAACCGGGCGGCTGGCGCAACACGTGAAGAAGGCGGTGCCAGAGAAGTACAGCCGGCACAAGTTCGGCGCCAAGGCGGGCGAGCTGCACCACCACGAGCAGCGGAAGCTGCAGCAGCGGCGCTACTTCGACGACGACTACGCCGGGGATCTGGAGGAGGACGTGTTCCACCAACCCCCGGAGGCGAAAACCGCCGCGGCGCACCAGCGCATTCAGCAGCAGCCCAAATTTTTCCTCGCGATCGGGAAATGGGAGAAGCGCAAGGGGTTTGACGTGCTGATCAAAGCCTTTCAGGAAGAGTTCCGGTCGGACGTGGAGGTGTTTCTGCTGATCAAAACGAGCCTGTTCCACAACACAAGGAGGCAAATTCTGCAGGAGGCCTTCGGAAAGGAGTACGACGCCGAGAAATTAGACCGGTACCAGCACGTCATCATCGACGAGACACCGCTGTCGTCGGTGGAGATGGTGCAGGTATAATTGGGTTCAGAAGTTTAGCAGGGACGTTGTTCTTCGGGATTTTCTTCAAAGGTGAAGTTCAGAAACAAATACGGGGACGAGATTACTGAAAATCTAAAGGAGAAATATGAAGATGTATCACAAGAACTCAGATGATGTACTTGCACCCTGTTGAATGCTGCTCTTCTTTTTCTTCAACATCTATTCAAAAAATCTTCAAAACTCAATCTGTACCAGCTCTATCGTGAAGCCACCGCGGTGGTGCTTCCGAGTCGGGGCGAGGGTTGGGGCCGGGGACACGCAGAAGCGATGTCTATGGCCAAGCCTCTCATCGCCGTGAACTGGTCGGGGCCCAGCGAGTACATGCGAGACGACAATTCCTTAGCAGTCAACTACACGCTGGTTCGTCAACTGGACCCGAATACTATCCTGTGCAAAAGTATCGTACTGCTCGTACTAATTGCAATCATGCATGACAGATCTTGTTTCTTAGCGAAATCAGCATTACAAATTTCATTTTTCCTTCTGGAAAAATTTGTATTGCGATTTATACTAGTACGATACTTTTGCAATGCATAAATGCCGGCATGTACTCAGGCGACGGGCACTGGGCGGAGCCCTCTGTTTCCTCCATCAAATGTAAAAATGTCTGGGTCTGGAAGAATGCAACTTGTAATGCGTATTTCAGAACACAGAAAAGTCTCTCATGCATACGTAGCAAAAGCTCCCGCTTTTTGTCAGCAAAATAGGGGACTTGTCATGCGGATTCGGCATTGCGGAAGGTTCTCGAAAACTGTGATGCTAGAGCTTCCATGCCAGACCTTCTGTGTCATGCAAAAACAGCATGACTCTTCCAGACCCAGACATTTTTACAATCCATATCCTCCCTGCGACAGCAAATGCGCTGGGTGCTGAATCACGAGGAGGAGGCGAAGCGTATGGGAGCGGCGTGTGGGGTGGTCGCGGGGTGGTAGTTTATTTTGGCACGGATTCTACTGCCGTTTCGGTTGAGAAATAGGATTTGCATGCTTCTTTCGTTCATTGCTTGGTCCATCTGGCTGGCAAAAGTAGTATGTAATGTGTCGTTGAAAAAAAAAATCTGAATTATGCGAACTACAAGCCAATGGCTATCTTCACGACCACCTCCAGCTCCGCTCTGCATAAAAGAAATCGGCATGAACGCACGGCGCTTGATGGTTGAACAGTATTCGTTGTCGGAAATATCGAAGCAGCTCGACAAACTACTCACGGAACTAAATTCGAAAATCGACGAGCGCAACGCCAAGATCCCCGTGAACATCACGAGACTGAGGGATCGGGACGAATTGTAAACAATTCTGTGGCCTTTTTTCGGCGGCTGGGCAGCTTTACAACTCCAGTTGTCGTCGTTCGATTGTTGACCAGGAGGAGTGATCGTGCTGCGTCGACCTCGATGAGGAAGCCAAAGTCCGGCTCCCACGCAGCGGTGATCGATAGTACGAGCGGACGTGAAGAATCGGAAACTCGTTTGATGCGTCAGGTTTTTCGACGTCGCACAGTAACTTGTTTGACGACAACGAAGCGTGAAGACGGCAGGAGGAACAATCTTTGCGAAGATCAACTGCATGTCCCGGAAACAAGAAGACATCCTAAGCTAATCAAAAGAAAGCAGCTATGCCTGGCGCTACGCACGACTCGATCCGGTTTGCGGCGGGCAGCCAGGAGCTGATCTGCTACTTCATCAAGAGCCTCCGCGAAATCCCGGCGGACACGGGGTACTACGCGCTGTCATCGAATACGTCGGGCGGGAGCAACGGAACGCGCTCAGGCATACGATCTGCTACTTCCGCAACGGCGGGATCGTCATATGGTAATCCGGCGGCTGTGACAGGGACGAAAGGAGAGGCAGGAATTTCGGATGGAGGAGCAGGGATAGGCACGGCCGCGGTAGGAAACGTTGCAGCCGGAGGCGGAACCCCAGCCGCTGCGATCATGGCGGGCAATAGCAACGCAGGCACAACAAATGCTGATGCAGGTGGAGCAGGTGGCCCAGAGCAGGCTTTCTTGTAGCCAGGTACAACAGCTGGACGATTGCACCGGTGCAGTGGTGATTTCTTGGCTAGAAGATAGAAACAATTCGAGTGATGTCAGTGGCAGATGACCGCGATTTTTTGGAAAAAACGACCAAAAGAATATGCTTGAAATGAAGCAGAAATTGCTCTCACTCGTCTTGTTCTGGTATTCAGATCCGGGTGTTTCAGGATTTTTTTTTGGCGGAAGGCATTTTTGGCGAAAGTTGATGAGTTGTGTTTGGTCATCTTCCTTTCTGTTTTATACTCTGTTCGACTCGGTTCCCTGGCGCGTTCATGAATGCGATGCTAATGAATGTATGATGCACCGAATTCGAACTGGAAGTTACGGATGATACTGCGTACTGACACGGCTTCTATACGGAAAAAGGTACTACTGGTCGGAACGAAATAACATGGCGCCAGGTCGTCAAACGAGAAAGCTTCTTGCTGCCTGCTTCGCACAGCAGATTTGTGCGGAGGTTTACTACGCCCTAGCGTCCTCACAGAAATCTCCGTTTCTCGGAGATGCTATCGCGAAGCACAAGGGGATTGTGCGAGAGGACGAGGTGCTCGGTGGTCATGGAGATGCTTTCTCAACAGACGGATCGCCGCCCGCAGGAGAATCCACGCGGGACACCGATATTTCACCCAAAATGGATTTGGATTATAAAAACGACTGGGTACAGGTCGGGGCGGCGTCGCCGCTCGGAGGGCACAAGGGGCAAGCGGTGTTTGAGTCAGTGCGTGGCAACGGAGCAGGAGCGACGCCGTCCACCTCGGCCGGTTCCTCCCCCGCATCATCGGCTAACCATGGCGGTAGCACAAATAAAAGCCCGACGGTATTGCAATGTACAACCAACGAAGGAGGTAGAAAGAAACAGAAACCCCTCGACAAGCGGCGCAAACCTTCTCTAAAGGACAAGATCACTCCCTTCGGCTACCGCGATGTTTTAAACACGTTCGAGAACGCGCCGGTTGAGGTGATCGGCGAGATTCCGAGCTGGCTGTTTCGGGACGGGACCTTTTACAAGCAGTCCGGGGGCGCCTTCGCGCTGCCCGACGACCCGAGCGGCACCGGGCCCGACCCGTCCTCCCAGATGCTCGACGGGCTGGCCCACGTGGCCGCGTGGCGGTTCGCGGCCAACCCGCATGGACACGGCCCGGAGGTGCTGTTCAGCAACAACTTTCCGGACACGGAGGCCTACGACCTGTGGCACGAGAGCGGCGGGGTCAACCGGGAGTTCGCCGGCACCGCGGGCGGCAAGCAGGTCTACCTGTTCAATCCGAACGTGAATTTTCAGCGCTGCGAAGACAACAAGATCGCGCCCTGTTTGATTGAGGCGCCCCTGCCGGTGCGCATGGTCCCGATGGACCCGCAGACCCTGGTAACGGTGGAGAAAAGCCGCAACATGAACGACCTGCTGGAATCCGCGCAGGACTGCACAGGAGGCGGTCCGGAGAGTGGTCCAGGCTGCATTTCGGCGACGTCAGATGGAAAAAAGCCGCCGTCTTCATCCTCCTACACCGGCGAAAATTTAGATGGTGAACAAGCTTCATCCGCCGCCACCAGCAGTTGCCGCAGCTCCGGCGCTGATGTTGGAACTGAAGATGGCTGTTCACTTGTTCTGCCTTCTGAGCAAGTGCTGGGACGGAGAGGACAAGCAGATGATAGTGTGAGGAAAGAAGAAGAAAAGAGGAGCGCCGCCGATCCTTCAGGTGGCAAATACGTCCACGATCTGGTTTTCCTCGCTTCCCATCAACTCGAGGCGCCGAACCGTCAAAACTACCACCTCGCGTATTACCTAACTCCGGGGAAGGATTGTGCACTGGGCTACCGCGTTTACAAACTGTGTCACGATGACAAAAATTCAAGCGGGGGAGCGGAAGGACAGGAGGAAGTTGCTGGCGAAAGCGTGAACTCCGGCTCGAATCGCTGTTGCGAGGTGTTGGCGGACGACAAGCTGTGTCAAACCGATTTCCCTACGCTGTTCCGCAATCTGATTCCGCATGAGAAATGCCCCTGCATGATGCACACCACCATCGAGACGGAAAAATACCTGATCATCCCGGAAACGTCGCTCCGCTGGAGACCGGGACTCACGCTGCAAAGCTCGACGCTCGGTATAGTATCTGGCGAATCAATGATCTTTGTGTGTTTGAAGTTCGGTGCATTTCTGATTGGCTCGTGTTTGACAGATGAGGGGTAAGTACCACATTCATACTTTCTCAAAAATGTCGGCCAAGGACTACACAGGTAACCTGCCGATCATTGGCAAGCGGTGGCGGGTGCCGTTTTTCAAGCAGTTCGAGTACAAGAAGGACATTCCGCTCGCGTTTCGGGTGTACGAGAAAGGTTCGGACGCGGAAACGAAAAAAGCCCGGGTCAGGTTCGTCTGTCGCGTCGAGGCGGCCCACGACGGGCACCTGTTCCACGTGGCCAACGCCTTTGACCACGACGAGAGCGGTGGTGGCTGCAGCCGCGTCACCTTCGATTCCGACTTTCTCAACGCCTGGCAGTTCGGCGGACAGAAGGTCACCGAGCGGGGGATGGTACGATTCTGTCTCGAGTTCCCGAAGGAAAAAGATGTAGGACCAAAGGAGGATATCCTGAGTAAAAACCTCCCCATACCAGAGTCAAAATGGAAAATCTGCTAGACAAATCGGCCAACTTTGGTTGTTTGGCATGACAAGTTTGGGCTCGTAGTGCAATCCTTTTGAGCTAGTGCAGGAGGATGACAGATCTAGCATATCATGCTGATTCTAGCATTACAAAATCCAAAACGCGGCTAGATAATGCTTCTCATGGGGTTCCGCATGACAAACTTTTTTGGCACGCAGGTTTGCGTGACAACTCTGGGGTGGGGACGTTTTTACACAGGATAGAGGACACCATCGGGGAGCAGGAGTTGCATCCTCCAGAAGAAGATAAAAAATCCTGTGCCGACAACGATGTAGTTCATCGGGGGATTGCTGCGAGTTCTTGTGAGATTTCTGATCACGACATCGAACCACCAGGAGCCTCGTCTGTGAGCAAGAAAATGCTGTTGGACGAGTCCCCCGGCTTTCCCGTCGCGAATCCGGCTTTTCTCCGGCAGAAAACCCGGTTTTTCTACGCGGTGACCAGCACCGCGTTTTCCAGTCTCTCGCGCGTCGACGCGGAAACGGGCGAAACAAAGTATCAAATGTAAAAATGTCTGGGTCTGGAAACTTGTGATGCTGAGTGGCGAATCGTGAGGAGGCCACAAGTGCTGGCCGAGCATGACAAGTTTCTGAGGTTCTAGGTGTTGCCTATTCTGCATGACAAACTGCGTTTCTGCATGACAGAAAAATGGGGCTTTTGGGTGACGCGCACGACAGATTTACGGGTCATGCCAGACAAGCATGACAAACATGCATTCTTCCAGACCCAGACATTTTTACATTTGATACGAAGGAGTGGAAGCTGAAACACGGGGCCCAGAACCAGTGGCAGGTGTCGGATATCAAATGTAAAAGTGTCTGGGTCTGAAAGATTGCCAGGTTTGTCATGCACATTTTGCATGACTTCTGATGTCTGTGATGCATGCCCTAGCATCACAGATTTCGTGAGGGCTTCCTGATGCCTTTACCGCATGACAAATGCTCTTTCCGTGTAGCAAAACTTGGACTCTCTTTGCTGCTCATGCAATACAGATATTTTTAGAATCCAAAATCAGCATGACAGGTTGCAGCCTTCCAGACCCAGACATTTTTACATTTGATATCGGAGCCGCAGTTCGTGCCGCGGCGGGGGGAGGTGGCTGGGAAGGAAAAAAGCGGGGAAAGTTTGACGTCCTTCTTGTCCCGCGCACGCGCGGCCGGCCAGTACCCCCCGGGTAGCGCGGAACTGGATGGGGTTTTGCTCGTTGCGGCCAACGACATCACCGAGGAGCGGAGCTACCTACTTGTGCTAGACCCCAGCACGATGGAGGAGCTGGCGCGGATCACCGCACCCATCGACGTCAATTACGGACTGCATTCGCAGTTCGTCGGCCCCGAGTCTCCGGAAGTGCTGCCACTGAAGTGGTAGTAGAAAGGGCGAGATCTTTTTGTCCTGCTGCGTTCTTTATTTCACAGGGCTGTTGTGGGTCGGTTTCTGTGGTGGTTGATCTGCAGAAGACTGTCTGAAACCCATTACCAGCGTTGCTGTGCAGTTGTTTCCAACAGAGTACTATGCAAAAGAGAATAAACAGAAAAGCAGCTTCTTGTTCACAGCGTTGCCGCAGCGGTGCAAGGGTTGCTAATCGTTTCGCTATTTTGATCTGCTAAATCTACGTGTACTTAATCTTTCTTGGACTCTTCAGTTGCGTTAAATACCGTGTCCAAAAAGGTACATGAAAAGTGATTTGTCGACCCAATGTGCAGATGGGTTTGGAATTGTATTACCGAATTGAGAATAAAGCGAGAATGTTTTGCGTTCGAAAATGTACATGAACGAAAGAAGGCAATGAGTTTTTCCGCATTGCTACAAGTCTTGCTGATAGAGATAGAAAAGAGTATTGAAATAAACGAGCGAATGAAATATTCTGATCCTCGCTAAGGACGTTCGACGGTGTTCATCCATGGCAGATAGCTTGTCTCAGCTTCAGGTTCAGATCATTTACATCATCAACCCGCAGACACTTCAACGCAAACGATGGAAATTGACAGACTAAAGATAGGATCGCAATCATTTTCCATCTTGGTTCGTGCACCCAGTCCATAGTGAAAGTTCTCTTTGTGGCATAGGCAGACATAGTATACATAGAAATCGAGATGCACGAAATGGCGGAAACGCAGCAACATCAAGACCGTGAGAACTTGAATTTGAAATTTCCAGAGTAAGAATGAATGTTCCAGATGAAAGTTCTTCGACATAGACCCTTCCGTACAAAAATTTTCAAGCGCTAAAGAACCACAAACCCGAGAGAATAGAGGCTCACCCTCCATGAGCCTCATTGACATTGCAGTTCGCTGTATCCAATGAAAATTTGAACCACTTCACACAGCGACCTGACGAGCCAATAGTGCAATGCAGAGTAGTAGAAGGTGACAGTGGATAAAGGAAGGACGCGCTTGTTGCCTAGAAGTATTGCTTCTTGGTTCGAATCATAGCGCATTTGTGTAATTCGGAGCAAGGCCGGTTGTGCAGACGCCGAATTATAAATCAAAAACCACCCACAGAGTCTCACCCTGTAATCAGCCCACCACGAGTACGTAGTAGAAGTTTATCAGGTTTTTTTCAAAGCTAACGTACCAGTGGCGATTGCAGTAGTGTCAGTGTCTTTTCAGACTTTACTAGAATCTGGCGGTTTTTTTTTACGGCATACTGCACCTTTTAGCAAATTTAAGGAAAGCGCTAAGAGTATTTTTTTATCAAGCGCAGCCGCACAAGGAATTTTAGTTATCACTTTTCTTTACGGTAATATCTTTTTTGCTTTAGTTAGTCGTTTCTTAGTTTAGTTTTCGTAGTTTATTTTTCCAAAGTTTCGTTCTTGATCTTGCTTTCGCCATACTTTTTCTACTAGCTTCAGACAGCTCTTATCTAGGCTACTTTTCACTCCTTCTGCTTTTTCTGACTCCAGAGGTAGTAATACTCATCATTGTCGATATAGCTTCATCTGCTTCTTATCCTTTATCCTTCTTTACGATTCGATTCGCATATTCCGCATAGTTATTTCACATATTTGTTTCTGTGGCATAGGACACATCTACTATCGTTCTGCAGCAGCATACAACAACCAGAGTCGGAACCACAGCGTGCTGCAGCGCAACCGTTCGCACACACGTCTGCTGGACACCGTAAAGCACTGGAAGGTGAGGTCGGGCTCAATCAAATTGTAAGAGGTGCTCAGTAGAGTAGCCTGTAATACTTAAACGCTTCTGAGACCGCTAACAGTACTACTACCTATTTTGTAATAACTTCGCTGCCAGGCCCAGGGCGCCGCGCAAAGTTAAACCCGCTATGGTAGTAGAAAATATTTCTACTACAGTACAATAGACGGAATCACCACATGGACCACGCGCAAGCATTAGGCGGCTAAAAAACTAAAACTAACCGGTGGAGCACGAGAAGGAGTTGCGCTCATTGTCGTGCTGGAACAAACCTCTACCAGCTCAACGTCCACCGCCTTAGAGATTTCTCCTCGTCAACGCACGGATAGAAAACCAAAACTCAACATACCGAACAGGAGCGGTGCCTCGAGTAAAAACTTGATCATGCAGATCCACGACAATAAGCCGCAGGACGAGAATCTTCATACCATTCCATCTCAAGAAGACGGCGTGCTTCTTCGGACCTAGGGAAGAACAAGGGTAGTAGTTCCTCTTTCAATGGGTATGAGCACCGGCCCTGTCCCGGCTGCCATGCAGCTGACCGATGTGCTTCTCGCGTGTAGCAAGCCGGAGGAGGTTTTGCGTAAAAATGCGGAGCAGCAGCTGCAGCACGCGCTGCACAACCACACCGACGAGTATTTCAAGCTACTCGCCGAGGAGCTCGCGGACGATTCCAAGCCCGCGGTAACGCGCCAGCTGGCCGCGACACAGCTCAAAAACGCCCTCTACGGCAAATCCAAGTCCTCCAACCGCGACGCCGAGCAGCGGTGGCTGGGCACCAGCGACAATGTCAAGGTGCGCGTCCGAGAGCTGCTCGTGCTCTCCCTACAGAGCCGGGAGGAAATCGGGAGGAAATTTGCAGCACTGGTATTGATAGTGTGGAAATAGATTACTAGTTTTGCTGAGCGAAGTAGAGTAGTCATCAACAGCATAGATCCCAACTAGTCGTGTAGGGCCAAGATCGTGCGGTAGTCTTTCCTCAAGATTGTGATTAGTGAAAAAGTGCAGCAAAATAAACGCTAGAGGCGCGAACGAGTTTTACTTTGCAAGAAATCTACTTCCGACGTTTTAACCCCACATACAACAGGTTTTCGGCAAGCTGGCAGCGATTGAGATTCCGAACCGATCCTGGCCGAAGCTAGTTCCCTGTCTGTTGGAAAGAATAGAGAACGCGAAGAATGAGTACTCCCAGGACACAAGGAAGGCGGCGATTCAATCGCTGGGGTTCATATCGGAGGAGCTTGCACTTCTCTCCGATGAGGGAGCCTACCGCATGAATGAGGCCGACACCACGGCTATCCTCGCAGCAATCGTGCAGGGTATTATAGCTACGTGGTCTACTGTGCTCAAAGTTTTGTTTGCGTACAGTTTTTTCAGACCCAGCTACAGATGTGGGTTTAGCAGGCTGCATTCTTGTTGGTGGAATCGATTTCACTGGAATCATTTAAAAAATAGTAGGTTGTCGAGAACTTCTACTTCTTCGCTGTACTATAATTTCACAGGTATGCTCGACGAGGCCCGGGAAATTAAGCTGGAAGCCACGAAAGCCATGCTTTTTACCATTCTCCTGGCCGAAGACGCTTTTCACAAGCAGGAGCACCGGGATATGCTGATGGAGATCGTGTTGCGCTCCTGCATCGACCACAATGACAAAGAAATCCAAATGAGCAGCCTGGAGATATTGACCAAAGTCTTCGAAAGGTACTTACAATTATAGCCACGTAGCTGGTGCTGTCCTGCTAAGACAAATAAGTATCTATGCAGAAGAACGACGAGAAAAAATCCCATTTTTTTTCAAGTCCACCCCATCAACAAAAAAAAAGGTATTACGATCATATGGGTCCTTACATCAAAGTGATCGCGGAGGCGACATGGCAGCTGATTGAGAGCAACATTGAGGGCGTGGACATCCGCGCGATGATGGTCTGGACCCAGATTGCCGAGGAGGAGCTGAACATTCTGGAGGAAAACGCGTACGCCGGCCGGGAAATACGCCGGTGTTTAAACTTTATCAGCGACGCGCGGGAAATCCTGATTCCCCACTTGACAAAAAAACTCATCGACTTGCACCAGGCCGAAGACTACGACAGCGAGGAGTACACGCTGAAAATGGCCTCGCAGATCTCGCTCAGTAAGAAAGAACTTTTTATTCAGCATGACGAGCTTTCTTCCTACAAAAAGAAGTCCTGATGTTTTACTTGACTGGATGAATCAATTGTTGAACTTTATAAACTTTTCCAAAATAAAACAGAGTACTGCGCGCAAATCTTGCGCAACGACGTGATATCACCCGTGGTGAAGTTTGTCGGTACCTACAGCCAGAGCAGCAACTGGCGGGAGCGCGAGGCGGCGATTCTCGCGGTGGGCAGTATGATGGACGGGCCCGAATCGGGGTCCGAGCTGGAAACCATGTTGTCGGGGTGCTTTGACTACCTGTATGAAAATCTGTCGTATCAAATGTAAAAATGTCTGGGTCTGGAAGAGTCATGCTGTTTTTGCATGACACAGAAGGTCTGGCATGGAAGCTCTAGCATCACAGGTTTCGAGAACCTTCCGCAATGCCGAATCCGCATGACAAGTCCCCTATTTTGCTGACGAAAAGTGGGAGCTTTTGCTACGTATGCATGAGAGACTTTTCTGTGTTCTGAAATACGCATTACAAGTTGCATTCTTCCAGACCCAGAGATTTTTGCATTTGATATGTCGCACAACGTGATCGCCGTCCGGGATACCACCGCCTGGACGGTGGCGACCATCGTGAAGCACCACATATCAAATGTAAAAATGTCTGGGTCTGGAAGATTGCCAGGTTTGTCATGCACATTTTGCATGACTCCTCATGTCTGTGATGCATGCCCTAGCATCACAGATTTTGTGAGGGCTTCCTGATGCCTATATCGCATGACAAATGCTCTTTCCTTGTAGCAAAACTTGGACTCTTACTCTTTTTGCTGCTCATGCAATACAGATTTTAGAATCCAAAATCAGCATGACAAGTTGGATTCTTCCAGACCCAGACATTTTTACAGTTGATACCACATGAAGATCTGCAACGTGGACGTGCTGTTGGAGCGGCTGGCCATCCAGATGGACCAGGACGTCCCGCGCGTGAACCGACACATCTGCTTCGCGTTCCACGTGGTCTCCGAGCAGGGCTACCAGATGAACGAGCAGCTGTTTCAAAAGGTGGCCGCGGTTCTCCTGAAAAACGCGGAAGACGAATCCAGTTCCGCGAAGGAGCAGCGACTGCAGATATCAAATGTAAAAATGTCTGGGTCTGGAAGATTGCCAGGTTTGTCCTGCACATTTTGCATGACTCCTGATGTCTGTGATGCATGCCCTAGCATCACAGATTTTGTGACGGCTTCCTGATGCCTATACCGCATGACAAATGCTCTTTCCGTGTAGCAAAACTTGGACTCTCTTTGCTGCTCATGCAATACAGATTTTCTTAGAATCCAAAATCAGCATGACAAGTTGGATTCTTGCAGACCCAGACACTTTTACAGTTGATAGCAGAGCAACGCCTACAACGCCCTGGCGATCATGATCAAAAAGAGCTGCAACACCGGGCTGGGGCAGAATCTTCACATGCAGAATGCGAACAGCCCGGTTGTGAGCATGATGACGGTCCAGAAGATCACGGAAGTGATTCTAGACCGGCTGGAGCAAGCGTTGCGACAGAAACGGAATGACCCACAGTGTGAGTTACACGGAAATCTCTGCGTGTGCCTGTCGGAGCTGGTCGAAAAGTTCCCGAAGGAACAAATCCTGCAGAATCAAGCCTTGCCAGACAGGATCATGACATTGTATTTTTTGCTCTGCTATAGTGAAATGTTTTTCTGTTGTGGCCACCGAACAGCAGTCATTGTATGCATCGCAACTTCAGAGAAATGTTTATCAATAATTTTACCGGTCTGACTGCGCACGGTGATATCATGATGAAGGAAGTTCTAATCGAGGATGAGGAAAACAACACATCACAGGTACGTCGAGGCTCTGGATTTGTATGCGATCCAGAACGAGAACACGCACGTGCTCCCGGACGCCCTGATGGCCGTTGGTTTGATGATAAAGAAGCTGGGCAGCAATTTCGAGCCATACATGCAGCGATGCGTCAAGTACTTCCAGATGGGTCTTCAGAATTACGAAGATGTGCAGACCTGCAACATGTGCACCGCGCTTATCGGCAACCCGCTAGCCAACAATTTGCGGGAGCGGTTTCTGCCTTATAGCGAGCAATTGATACAGCTAGTGATAAATAACGTGCGCCAAGAGGATGTGGATAAGAAGGTACGAGGAATTTTTTTTCATTCTAATAATGAAATGAGTAGTCAAAGTCATTTATTTTTTATCCACTTAAAAATCCGGTCTTAGCTTCATTTGACGACCTCTGGTGTACGAAAAAACAGATCAAGCTTTCCTGCATCTGCGCGCTCGGCGACGTTGCAATGGCCCTGGGCGGCAAATTTGCTCCCGCGCTCCCCCAGGTGGGGCAGGTGCTGCAGCTAGCCGCCTCGGTGCAGGTAGAGGACGCCGACCTGGACAGTTATGACTGGATCGAGTACGTGAACAAGCTGCGCGAAACCGTTCTCGAGGCGTACATTTCTATCGCCTACGGCCTATCCGAGGGGAACGAACTGCACCAATTCAAGAGTTGGGTCACCCCGATTCTGGGGCTGATCAGCATCATCGTGCAAGACAGCAAGCGAAGTAACCCGAACGACGGCGGTAACAGCAGCGGAAGCATGCTCACCACGACGTCGCCCGGAAGTAGCTCTTTGGTTTCCAAAGACGTGATGAAGCAGGCCTGCAACACGATGGGCGACTTGATCAACTTCTTCCAGAAGGAGCTCTGCAGCTACCTGAAAGACGCCCCGTTCCTGCCCGATCTGATCCAATACGCGCAGAACACCAATGACGCCGATGTACTCAACACTCTTTCTTGGCTGAAAACCGGACTGCAAAAGTACGGCGCATAATGATCAACCTGTTGGCAAGAACGACCAGGCTGCATAGTAGAAGTTGTAAAATGAATCACAAGCGACTACGACTTCTAGGAGAACTGTAACAGTTTCGGCTCGCTGCAGCGGAAAGTGTAGTGGTGATCGGCTTATTTCTTGTTGCGACGTTGGTACAGGCGGCTCAGCTCTCCTCCGAGTCGGTGGAAGAAAGCCGCGGCATTCGCAGCCGGCACGGTCGATCGCAACCCGATCTTTTTGGAGGAGGTTCGTCTCAACTAGGTACATCTTTTCCGCCCCAGAGGACACGGCCTACCCGCTGGGGATGGTACTGTTGGGACCCCTCTCCCCGTGCAAGATTCATCGCTGGCAGCCTGTGTTGAGACCCCGGAGCGCACCACACGTCGAAGTAAAAAGAAAGCAATTATAACAGTAACACTCACGACCACGCTCCTACCGCTCCTACAGATAGATAAAAGATCAACGAGAACAAAAAACACACACACAAACTCACATCGACGAAAAACCACGGCAATACTCCCTGCCGCTGGGATCAGACGCAATACAAGCGAAGAAAAACTAGTACAATGCGTATTTACACTAAACACACACACAACTTTATTATTCGAGAATCAATAGCAACAGTTAAACTTAAAACACACACACAACTTTAGTTTTTAGCGTATTTTCACACAGCACTGATGTCTTGGCAAGACAAGAGCATCTATAGACGAAACGTGTGAGTCGCTACGACGAGCTGCTCACACGTAAAAAAAAATTTAAGGCGCGTGCTCTATTGGTAGTGGCGAAATAAAAGGTATTTTACACGACCCGGAGACCAGGAGGAGAATGTTGTATGAAAATTGTCAAAGGAATGTACGACGTAGTAGCATTTCATTTCCTGTATCCGGAACAACGAAGCCACACGTATACGAAATTTTATCATAGAGCACTCGCGGTGGAAGCCGCGTCTCGCGCAAATAGTATCCTAGTCCACCCCCGAAGAGTTGCGGTGGGGGCTCAATCGCAATAAAGGCAACCCACCCGGTCTGCCCCGCCTGGTAGCGACTACTTTGAAAGAACATTGTATAGTGATGATGTACTTCTTCTTCTGCCACAACAAGATAGAAGGAGCAAGAACTTCTCATGCTCGTGCCTCTTTTCACCTTTCTCTAGGTGCCGAAAGGCTCGTGCGAGTTGAAGAACGTATACTCTTCACCACGAGGAGCAGTGCAGAGCTGCGACTAGTGGAGTTTTACCTTTCTCTTAGCGAATCTAATTCTAATCGCAATTCCTATTCGTCTTCTCCCCTAAATTTTTTTTCTTCTTTTTTTTCTTCGTTTTCCTTTTCGTAGTTTTTGTATTCTTGGTTTTGGTTTTGATGTGGTAACATGTAGATGCACCGCTACCGTTACGACATTTACTACTCGTTTATTTTGGTTTGGTATCACAGTTCTCGAACGACAAGAAGGGGAATGTTATGGCCGCAAAACCTTGCAGTTTAGAATTCCCTACGGACGACACGAGGCGAAAAAAGAAGATGGGCCTGATCTCTTCTCGCTGCGCACGTAATTATTTTCAAGAATGTAGTAAGTATCGAAAGGCAAGAGGAAATAAAGTCTGAGTTGATTAAGAAACAGGCACAGAAAATCCTAGTTGCCGTTTGGTCTCAGCCGGTTGTGTTGTTCCTGCCTCAGACCGAGAAGATACTTGTTTCCTCTGGATATTAGTTCTTGTCGTGCTACTTCGCGGACGATGTTTGGCAGGCAAGCATGATCAGTTTTTTGGGAGCACTCTGTTGCGTATTTCTACTTCGCATGAGAAGTCGCACTTTTGCAATACAAACAAGCGATGTAATTGCTGAGCAACATGCATGCATCACAAATGATGCTAGATCCATGTCAGACAAGACAAAAGATTGAAATTTCGAAATGAAGATCTAACAGCCGATAAATGGGCCTGTGTTGCCCGTCCGTGTCCTTTGAGTCCGTGTCGTGGTTTGATCTGTAGTCGATGATGCGCTGCGTGGTGTGCTTGTTTCCAAATTCTGCGACAAATACAATGACAATTACAAAAAAATCGCTCCAGTCTATTGCTTGAAAGATTGTATCTTTTCTCAGTTGACCAATTTTAGCTTTTTGCTAACAAAATCTGCAAAAATGGCTCAGCAAGGAAGCGTCAAATTCTTCAACTCCGAGAAGGGCTTCGGTATTGACAAAACTTGGGTTATCAGTGATGCGACGGAGTTTTTGACCGGTCGCTCTTATGCCGAGCGACTGAGTATGATGATTTTTCCCAGTTGTTCTGCCCAGGCCTGCGGGTAGATGTGCATTGAAAAATAAATTGAACAAATCAATAAATCAGGCTTCATCACGCCGGACCAGGGTGGCGAGGACATCTTCGTTCACTTTTCCGCCATCGAGTCGCAGGGATTCAAGAGCTTGAACGATGGTATAAAATTGCAACGGTCTGATGGTTGAAAATTGACAGTTGCACATGCAAATTACTAGCGAAGAACAAGATCAGGGTATTTATTTCGGTATTGTAGTTTCTCTAATACACCCGTGCCATGCCGACAACGAAAATATCCAACCCAACTCAGGTGAAACCGTGAACTTCGACACTATTTGGGACGACCGCAAGCAGAAGTCTTGCGCCGCCAACGTGACAGGGCACGGAGATGGTGTCCCGCGCGAAAAGGGCGGAAAGGGAAAGGGCAAGGGATTCGGCGGAAAGGACCAGGGATACGGCGGCGGCTACTGGTAAATCACTTCGCTTGACGCGGAAATGCGGAAGAAGCGTGTTAACTACGGTTTTTCGGAAATTTTCACCCGTCGATGATGTGAATGTGATATGGGAGCTAAATGGAAAAAGTAATGTGATCTCTTGCATATGTGTTGAAAGAGGCTAGATTTTGAAAAAACACTTACCGAGCTGCAGTCTCGCCATCGTGAAGAAGTTGCGAGCACTGTGTGCGAGCGACCTCTTGCGAGAGTGTGCTTGTAGTTTCGGGATCTGTTTGATCGAAGTAAAAGCTACTAATGTTTTTATGTTTTCAAATTAAAGATGCATCAATGAATACTTCCTTTTCTTTTTCTTCACTACTACTTACTCAACAAAATGGCATTGAAAATACGAACAACAGAGGGGTCAACTAAACACTATTCAATGGCACGGCGTTACCGTCTGAAAGACGGATAGTCACCGATAGTAATAGTGCTTTTATGGCACTCGTATACTGAAGTGGGGTGTGAGAGCCCCCATGACTTGGATAGTGTTTTTGATTGTGTATTGGAGTGAAAAAAGAAATTGATGAGAAGAAATGGATGCCCTCGCTGTTCAGCTTCTTCTGCGTTTTCTTCTTTGCGAGAGAAACAACGGAGAAACAAATCCCATCCCGAGAGGACTCATGACCAGCAAATGCGCAGCGTTTGTTGACAGATGTTTTCTTTTGTATCAGACTGCTCGTGCCTTAGATCTTCGAGACGCTAGTACTTTTTTCGTCTTTTGGCACGATCGCGAGACTCTTCTCGGCTTTGGACCTCACAGGTCGGTACTTACATCATCCGGGAGGTCTTCGAAGTCCACCGGCGTATGGTGAGATGAACTTGCGATCCACATCAAAGAAATACTGGCAATTAGTGGATGAAAATGGGTCAGATTCACGGGATCCCGCTCTAGCGCTGGGACAGCCAATGATCGCTCAAATGGATCGAAGGAGACAAGACATCTGGATCTGAAGCAACACTAGTGTAAGAGACGAGAATTGTCGGAAGAGCGAACAAGACTTTCGGTCTTCTCGTGTTTTCAAATCATGACTGCACAGCACAGGGTGAGTGCACAAAATAAGATCAACGGTGGAAATAACTGCTAGCAGAAGGTCGCTTGGTCTTGTGGAAAGATATCGCGATCTTTTTTTTAGTCAGATCAGGAGCATCACCTGTACCTCCACGTCATTTTTTTTACCAAAAAGCGTTCACCAGGGTAATTTCGTTCGAAACCTGCAAACTGCGCAGCTAAATGAGTCAGTACTTATTTGTTTAGGGTTCGATTTTTTAACTTGAACGATAAAAGCACGAAATACATCAAATAAAGACCTCGACGCATACGCATTTTTTCTAGCGGCAACAACTGAAACTGCACCTACTTTTAATAGGATCTTCACCAAGCGAATCCCACTTCTTCGTTCTTGTGCTAGTTTGTAATCTTCTCGTAGTCGTGTAAAAAATGTACCCATAACTAAATCTAAACCTACCTAATTGCTTAAATCTATGTACCTGCATTTCCATGTAAGCTCGCTTGGAAATCTGGGATTTTATAAAGCAACACATTGCGTTCGTAACGCTTGCCACTTCCATTGAGCATTTTTCCTTTTTAGATTTAGGAAATCAATATTATATATAAAGCCTATTTTCAAATTTCATTTTTTTCCGCCACTTTTGAAAGCTACAAAATTACGATGTTGTACTCTATCTGTGAGGCTACACTCACGCATAAAATGCTGAGAATTGCCGCAGTTGTTTTCTGCTGCGCGGCGCCTTCTTCCCTATCCCAAGGAGCTTTCGTGAAGGGGCTCTCGTTGAGCAGGATGAGCGTTGACGGCCTATCGGATAAAGATCGGGCCGGTCTGACGTCTACGGCGGAGAAGGTCACGCTTCGGTATTACGCACCGTACAGAGGCGATGCCGGCGGGCATTACGAATATTTGCAGAAAAAAATCGCTTGTCTGGGTGATGAGGATGCCAACAAGAGGTTTCTTTTGTTCACCGATGCAAGTGTTCGGAGCCGCGCCAACGTCGGAACCTTTGCGCAGCTGGGTGTCGTCGCGTACAGCAGTCGCGGTCTGGCGAAAGCGCGACGAGACACGGCAGAGAGAAAAGCGGAAGATCAGAGAGTTGGTTCAATCTACGACCGGGTTCCGGACGTCCTGGCCGCGGGGATTGGAGGCACGTACTTCAAACGCGCGCAAGAGCTCTTGAACAAAAGCAATACGGGAGGGACGTTTGGCCTGATGTCGGATTCCTGGAAAGACAACGCGCTGACCGCCGTTGCGGAGGGCGAGGCGCTGTGGCGGGGACTCAATCTGGCATACGGCCAGCAGCGGTTGATGTTGACGGAAAGCTCGAGCGGGACGACCACTGAAGGTGTTGGCGACGCGTCCGCACATGACGGTGCGAAATTGCTTGCTTTCACGGATTCCCTGCACTTAATTCGGGTGCTGGAATGGATTTTTCACGGAGGCGCCGCCGCCGGTGACGTCCTCTCAGATTCTAGTCCTGGCGCAGGCTTCGTGCGACACATGCAAGAAACCGTCGCCAAACCCATAGCAGATTTGTTTTCCCAGGTGGGGCTGAAAGATGCGTTCCAGAGAACCTTGGAAAAGCTAACACGAAGCAAGGTTGCGCGACCCGGAACTGGTAGTATGGCCAAGAGTCAATTTGCGTACTACCAGCATGTAGAGATTCTCCACGTGCGAAGCTCTTCGCGCGTGATCCGCAAGGAGGAGGAAGCTACCAGTTCGGGCGGAAGTAGCTGCGAGAGTGCTTCACCGGTGGAGCAGGAGCTCGAGAAAGTTCCCAGCGAGGCAACGACGTCACCCAAGGCGTACACGTTTGGAAACGCTCTGGCGGACCAGCTGGCGTCGGGTTTCACTCTGATGCACTCGACGGGCACAGCGAACCTGCTCTCGAAACGGTTCTGCGAGAACCCAGGGGGGTGGCTGAAAAGACGAAGAACGTCGACGTCAACCGCTGCTGAAAAGACGAAGAGCAGTTCGATTGCCGAGACGAATTTGCACGACACGCTGTATAGCAACTGCAAAGAGCTGATGCAGGACCTCAGCAACCGAATGCCTCACATTCCGAAGCACGGCAAACAGTGTCAGTCTGCGACTTTCGAGCTGGAGCAGGACGTGGTGAAGCGCTTCAGAAAATTTGCGGTGCTGTACCAGAAACTCGACTACGCGGCTTTGGAGATGACGCAAGCAGTGGTCGGAGCGTCCGCGGCAGCTGTGCGAACCAGCGGGAGAGGGAGGCGTCCGAGGTCCGGGTCCCGTTCTGGTGGTCGCCGTCGAGGAAGTAGAAGAGCGTCATCCACTACTAGTTCCAGGAGCAGCAGCAGAGGTAGAAGTTCCTCGCCTGCTGCGCAGGAAGAGGAGGCCGTGCACCGTGGGGGCGAAGTTGTGCTACAAACAGGCGACAGCACAGACGATACGGGTACGGGGACGAATATCGATGCTGACGCCGAGAAGCAAAAGGCGCTCTTGATTTCGCCCCTGGATTGGTTCCGAAGCCAGGCCCAGGTCGCTTTGCAGCACTGTGGTAGCCCGCCCGGCCTTGGGTTTGCTTCCGGAAAGCTGATGCGCTACCTGGACCACGCTTGGAGCGAGGAAACAACCACACCAGGTAAAGCGGGTAGTAGTACTGCCGGAAGTTTTTGTGTCGGAAGTTGCTCCACCCCTGCGGCACCAGCAGACGCGATCGAGTTCGATGTTCGGAATTACGAGGAGCACTGCGGTAGCGCTTTTAGCGACTACTTTGGTCGTATGAAAACCTCGAGTGTTGAAGACACGACTACACACGACAACCCCACACCATTTCAGCAGGTTCCACTTGCAGGGAAGGAGCTGATGGGGCGGCTTTGGGCGCGGATTGCTGTGATGCGTCGAGTGCGTAGCTCGTTGATCCAGTCGGAAACTGTATTGCGTGACTTCGTAGCGTCGATCAACACCCCCGTGGCACAAACGCAAGAGGACGCTGGGGAGCCCTCGAGGTCGTCAGGCGTCGCCGGGCCAACCAGCAAAAAGGAGCAGAAGTCAGGCAAAAAGAAGCAGAAGGGTGGGCCTCCTGCGACCGCAGCAGCTGTAGTTGGGCACAAAGAAATAGGGACGAAGCAACCGCCGGCGCGCAAAGGGGCTTCAGCCAGCGACGAGGCGTCGTACCACAGTGTGGTAGCCGGGACGGTGAAAGCCTCCAAAGTCGTGTCGTACCACAGCGTGGTAGACGCGACGGTGAAAGCCGCTAAAGTCGTGTTGTATCAAATGGAGCAGTGGTCTCCCATAGCACTGCAGGGCGACGTTCGTACGCAAAACTTGATGCTAGAGCGAAATCGTTGGCTTGCGCCCGACGCGCAGGTCCCGAACGGCGATGGTGCGAAGTTTGTTCGGTGCGGACGGCTCATGAAGGAACCCATGGAAGTTTTAGACCATCTTCTCAGCACCTTCACGAAGTCCCTGTATGCCAAGAATGCGGGCATTCGTCTGGCTACGCGGGGCAACTACCGCGCGACCGCCCAGCGTGTTCTCGATGTTCTTTCCAAGGCAGCCATCCCGCTGGCGACGGCAGGCCTGGAGTCCTTGCTGGCGAGCCTCGAAGATTGGCTGGAGACGGTGATTATGCCCTTGAGCAGTAAGGAGAACAACCTGCAAGGGAATGATGAGCTTGACGAGCACGCGGATTCTAGCAAATTGTTGAGGACTGAAGTAGAGCTGATGTCACAGAACTTCACTGGCCCGCCGATTGAATGGCGCGCGAATGCCTTCGAGAGGCGGCTGGCAGAGATGCAGGTGGTCGCTGCCGCGGTAGAAAAAGAAAAGCAAACGTTGCTATACATGAATTTGCACAAAGTTCCCGAGCGATACGATTTCGAAAAGAAGAAGACAGCAGTGAGACTTTTAATGACGGATGCCTTTGACCAGGATGCCGCCTACGTGAAGGAATTGCAAAAAGCACGGGACGTGTACGTACCCGCCCACGATCTGATCCTCGGCATTGATTTACAATTCGCCGGGATCGACCTCCCCTTTGGCACTGCGAATGTTGCGGAACCGCTTCGCTCCAAGCCTTCCCGACTCGCACGGCCCCCGCCCGTGCTCTCCCTCGTCGACCTGCCAATCAGTCTGATGCAGCAGCTAGCTCTCGATCCTCCCTCCTTCACGGCCGAAGTGGGGGTCAGACTGCGTTCGGGCAGAGGGGTAGGGGACGACTCATCTGCCACGTCGTTGAGGTCTTCCCAGGAGGACGCGGACGAGGACGCCGTGCTGTACCAGAGTCGCTTCGGCCTCGGGCGGCTGCGCATGACGGACGACAAGGATGGGAATCAACAAAACTTTCTAAACAAGCTGGAAAATGAGAGCGACGGAGTTGGAAAATATTTATGGGCAGCTTCGCCTTGGGCACGCAGTAATTGGATATCAAGGGGCCATGAAGAAGATGGTGTAAGAACGGGTGCAGAGCTGGCAGGATCTGTCTCCGCAGTAGCCCTGAACTTCGCCGATGTGAGCACAGATGAAGCCGATGCCTTGAAAAAGATCTTTCGAAGCTCAGGGCCATCGGTGCACTCGGTTATTGCTGAGGCCGTCGGTCGGGAGCTTCCCATACGTTTGTCGGGCATTGTGGGCCACGAGACGCAGAAAGCTGCGAAGGTGGTGCTCCGCGACGCCGAACAGGTGAGTCGTGAGGTCAGCGACCTCGCACAGATGGCGAAAGCTATTTTAGGGCAAGAACCACAGGGATTGGGTGCGCTAGCGATTCAAACTGAGAAAAATCGCGTCGACAGCCTGCTTGTCTGGCTCCAGTTGAAAATCGCGCGACACGAAGGCGCGCTGGGGCGCGTACAGCTGCGGCAGGCTACGAACCGAGGAGCCATATCAAGACTATGGTCGTGCCGCGGCGAAGACTTAGAAGAAAAAGAAAAGTGCTTTCAGGAGTTACGGAAGGAGATATTTCGGGTTTTGGAAGTAGATGGTCGGGCGGCGTTGACAGAAAACTTTGGGCGTATCAACATGCTTATGCCGCAAGAAGTTTCCTACGGTGCTGATCCTCAGGTTGTTGCGGCCCTTAGTGAGGAAGAAAGAACCATCGTTGCGGCCTTACGCAAGGGCGGGCTGGTTCTCTCGTTCCGCAATGGCACGGTGGAGCGGAACGATTATTTCGAAGAAGTGTTGCCGTTTGAAACGCCCTCCGGCGGAGAATTCGTGGAGTACCATCCGATCCTGCGGCTGCCAGTGGCCTACACCAAAGTGGTGGACTTCGAGAGTCCCCTCGAGAATCCGGCCAGGGAGACGCGAACCGTGGTCATCTTGTTCTTCGATGAGAAAGCTGCAAAGTTCGCCGTGCTCCCACTGCCGCAGGCGGCCGCGACGCCGGGTTCTTTCGGAAGACCTCATGGGAGAATTGTTTTGCCTAGAGCGCCGCTGGCAAGTTACGATAAAGGAATGCGGTGGGCTCTGGACGAGTCCCGTATGGAGCAACTGGAACTGGTGTCGCCAAAGTTCCTGCACGGCTCGAGCGTGCGTGGCATTGTGGATTGATATAACGTTGAGCTGCTTCTCGCCTTTGTTCGGGCAGGAGCAGTTTGAGTGACCTTTTCATAACTCAGTACGCGGATAGAAAAGGCATGGCAGTTCTTGTGGCGGTCGGCTGCCAGCTTTTTTTCGTCAGATCACAGTAATATCAGATATCAGTACACATATTAGCGCTACATAGAAGTAGGTTATTAGGGTTTATTTCATCGGCCGCAGAAGGAAACTAACAATGATTTTCTTCTTCGAAAAATAAGAACGAAATGTACGGACGAAGGTCAAATTAAGAAGTAGCAGTTGTATAATAAAATCGTTTTAAAATCCAAATCAACCTTTGCATATCAATGGTGAACGACGACTACCTGATTACGTCTGACGTGTGAGCTGCAACTTCAGGATTTTATTGTGCGTGTTGTTTGATTCACGAGGTTCTGGTTATCCAAAGGGAAGAACAACAAGTGCTCTACCTCTTATTTAAGATTCAATTCCAAACAGGTACACAAATTTAGGCGCGCAAAGACAGCGCAACGAAATATGAAAACAGGAACGTGAAATGGAGAGGATGGTCATCCTCATTTGCACTGTTAGACAGATGTTATGGGTCGAACCAAAATTTGCGCGACTTCGGCTATTCTAAGGTAAACGAGTCGTGGTGACCACTTGTCAGCTGATGAGCTGGAAGGTTTTCTTCCTGTGTGTTTCGCCAGAAACTTTTTTCTGTGTGTTTCGGCATGGAGTTATGTTTTTTCAGTTGTGGCACTTGAATCAATCAAATCTTTACTTATCATAGTAACGACGCAGTGGTACAGTAACTAACTCGAGAATATGTGGCTGCTGGTCGGTTAGCGTTGAACAATATTACATCTGCGTTGATAATCTGTTCTAGCTGAAATGCGATATCGCGCACGAATAGAGGGAGCAGCTTTACTGCAAGAGTCGGTCTGCAATTAAGTATCGAGTACTAAACTTCTCGAGAAATAAAATGGCAATAGAATTATTCGGCATCAAGCGTTCTGGATCGATCTTGCAAGCGAATGAGGACTCTGCGCGAAGCAAAGATCAAAACGTAGCAAGAAAATCGGAAACCTACAATTTTTTCGGTCAGAACTTCACCCGATATTAATCCTCGGTTTTCTTTTCAAGGCTTTCAGGAAGAACGCCATGAGCCTGATCGAAATCGCAGATACACAGCGTGTCTGTCGTGCAGCAATACAAAGGATCATCTGTCGAGCTTGCAACAAGATCTGCTGGTGCTGTTGTGAAAAAATAAAATGTCGAAAGCTGGCTGAGAAAAAATAAAGCGGATTAGGGAGAGCCGCTCTGATTGAGGCCTCCATGACGGTTTGATCCTCATCAATGAAATCAATGAAACGAAACAGTGTCGCTTGATGGAACATCGCCCTGTGGTGGAAACTTCGTGAAACACGCAACTCGCTGGCTACAAGATTGCTTGCTTGTGCCAGTCCCACTAAAGTACTTTTTACCAGAAGAAAGACACTCGTGTACGTATGTATTAGTTTTGGTACGAGAACGACCTGACATCAAAAAAAACCCGTATTGTTACTCATCCTCTGGTGCACCAAATCTATCCCTCTAAATGAATCTTGCTGTCTTTCAACTATCTTGCTTCTTTACGTTCTTTGCCTGGTCTCTGGCTACAACGGAACCAAATCAAGATTCCACTAAAGTACCAAGAGAACGACTTTTCTTCATTAGTTTTGGTACGAGAACGACTTGACATAAAAAAAACCCCTTATTATATTTATACTCATCCTCTACGTCTACACCAAATTTCTCCCTCTAAACAAATCTTGCTGTCTTTTATCAACTAGCTTTACGTTTTTTAACTGGCAAGGAACAGCAACAAGAGCAAACAGCAAATAGCACTGCGTCTTTGCAAGACGAGCAAAGGTTCGCTATTATTTAACAACCAAGAAGAGGACTACATCCCAGGGACGGGTATGCGGCGTAAGGTATAAGTTGCAGGGTTGTAGTGTAACTGATTTTTCAATAAGTACATCGGCGGGTTGTCTAGAAGTACTGATCCGTTTGGTGTGGAAGTAGCGCCGTTTGACTTGACTTGATTGCAAGATTACACTTGTAGTTGTGTAATTTATTATCGACGGTCACAGTTCAGCAGGCGCCCTACTTTGTGCTTTATTTCGGGGTACTAGCAGCTACAAAATATACCCTCTCTTCGTCTCAGTCCTGAATATTCTGATTATAACATATGCCTGAACAAGCTTCAGCTTCATGTGCTGAGCTGTTGCGGCAAGAACTCGTGATGGCATCTTCACGGCGGCGCCCGAAGCCCTGCGCTCAGCGGAGGGTCTCCGCTTGGATTTCGTTTTGCCTTGCCGCACTCTTGGACAAGAAAAACGAGTCGCTGCTGCTGTCGAGCACTGTAGGCGTGGGCGGGCTTTCTTTAGTGAAAAAGTTTCGGCGTGCGGCGGCAGCCGCAGCCGCCGCGGACAGGCCGAGGTATGAAATCAGCAGCCAGCAGATAAAGAAAGAGATCGCGGGGAAGACCAGATTTCGTTACTACGCGCCAGGCTGCGGTGGGGAGCAATCGGTCAGCGCTTATTACGAGCGCCTTCAGCAGGAGCTCACTCTGTCTGATTCCATAGACCACGACGCTCCGGCGAGCAGCATCAAAAGGTTTTTCCTGTTTACGGATGCGAGTGTTCGATCCGTTCCCGATCCCGTCCGTGGCGGGCGAAAGGAGACCCACGCGCAGTTGGGAATAGTAGGCTACTCCAGTCAGAAATCCTCTGCGATACAGCCCGCGGCAGCGAAGGAAGAAGAAGACACCGGACTGGACTCAGAGGGCCGGGGTAAAGATCTGTCCATCTACGCTAACGCTCCTGTCCTTCTGGCCGCCGGGCTGAGGCGGCCGGAAATCGGGCCTGGACATCAAATTTCGTATACGACTCAGGCACAAACTGTTATGGATTCCGATCCGGATTTTCAAAAAATGCCGGAAACGTGGAGGACCAACGCGCTCGTGGCGGTTGCCGAAAGCGAAGCGTTGCTGGAAGGGTTAGAACTGTACAAGCGGGGTCACCAGTGGAAGGTTCTCGGAATGTTTCGGGGAGAGAAAGAGAAAGGCGAGGCAATGGCTAGCGCCGCAGCGACGACGTCTCTGCCGATTAGATTGCTGGCCTTCACGGATTCTCTCCAGGCTGTCCGTGTGCTGGAGAGCCTTTTTTCCGGCGGTGGTGACGAGAAGCAGGATGGCCCAGCGGGCGAGGTCGCAGGCTTATGTCCCAGCGGCTCCGGCGTCGTCGAACCTAACTGGGGGGAGCGGCAGGCTTCCTTCGTACGGAGAGCAATCGTGCTGCCGACGGCTGAACTGTTCAGGCGTATTGGACTCGCCGACGCTTTTTTAACAGCATTTGGCGGACTACTTCTTTCTCAGCACGGTGGAGCGCCGCAGGAAAAGAGCACCCCATTGGTGCAACAGCTGGAAATACTGCACGTGCGAAGCTCTTCGCGACTGATGCGCGGGAGCGATCACGGCGCAGATGAACTCAGGTCCAGTGGCTCTGAACACAGTAGGCGCGAGTCGACGACCGCCGACACGCTGCCGTCGTCCCGCACGTTTGGGAACGTGTTAGCAGACCAGCTCGCGTCTGGCTTCACGCTGAAGAACACGGGGAAAAGTGGCTCCGTCGACCTGCTCTCGCGCCGCTTTTGCGGCAGCCCGGCGGGTTGGCTGAAGAAGAGGGCGGGTATACGTAAAATTGCGAGTGCGGGCGCGGACCACACCGGGAGCACCTTGTACACCAGCTGCAAGGAGCTCTTCGAAGACCTTAAACAGAAGATGCGAGGTGGTAGCGGGCATCCCATCCTCGGACCGCTGGTGAAGGAGTTTACGCGCTTCGTGAGCAAATACAACGAAAGAATGGCTCCTCGCTTGCCCAGGAAGGCTAATAGTCGAAGCAGTAGTAGAGGTAGCCGGCGGAGCAGCAGGAGCGGACGAAGTAATAGGAAAAGTCCGAGCGGAAAAAGTCGCTCTGGGAGCCGGAGCAACAGTCGGAGCGGAAAAAGTCGCTCTGGGAGCCGGAGCAGGCAGCCTCAGCAGAAGGACGATGTTGAGATGTCGGCACCACAGGCGGACTTGGAGGATGGTAGACACGATGATGTTTTCATCACCGAGTTCGAGCCGCTTGATTGGTTCCATACCACGGCACAGGTTCCCATGAAATATTGCGGCCATCCATCCGTTGCTTTTAGCACAACTAACGAGCTGTCGGAATACGTTGCTCTTATAAAAGAACAGTCCGCGGCGGATGTCCCGCTCGCCAACGCCTTCAATTTTCTCTCGTATCAGAGCAAGTGTCTTGAGGCTTTTGTTCAGCATCGGACGACGTTTTCGAAGCCGGGGGCTAAGCTGCTTGGCAGGATTTGGTCACGGATTAAGGTGTTGCGGGAGGTGCGCAAGTTTTTGGTCCGCGCCGAAACATCATTGCGGGCTTTTGTGCAAAGCATTGCAACCGATTCCAGGGGGCCTCAGGGCGGGCCAGCTCCGAACACGTACCGCAGCCTGGCGGCGCAAGTAGTGGAGACCGCCGAAAAAGTGGCGAAGCAACTAGTGCCAGGGCAGCGGGCTGATGTCCTGGATGGGTACATCCGCACCTTCACAGACACCGTGTATGCGGGAAACGCCGGAATACGTCTCGGCACCAGAGGCAACTACGCAGCGTTTGCCACTGAGGTTGTGAAGGGACTGAGCAAGACCGTAATTCCGCGTGTCACAGAAATGATTCGCGATTTTAGTGAGAAATTGGAGCAGGTAGCGGAGGAGGAGATGCTGACCCACCAAACAGGAGGCGAGAAGGACCGCCTGCAAATGAAAATCTGGGAAATGTGGTGTAATTTTGTCAGCGAAATAATTTTTGACCTTCCGTTTACGGCGGCTGCAAAAGATGAAGTTTCCCAAGTAGTGACTCTTCCTTTGCACAAAAATCTTTTTGAACAGCAACTCCTGGAGATGCAACTCGTGGCTGCAACAGTCGAGAAGGAAAGGGAAGCTTTTCTGGATATAGATGACAACATACATCGAGAAGCTGATAGGGCGCGATACATCGAGAAGCTGAAGGGAGCCCGTGATGCCTATCTAGAAGCGGCGACCCAGCTTGGAGACTTGGCCTGGGCTTATGAGTCTGGGAATATTGCGACGCTCCACAACTTCTCCCCGATGACGTTGGTGCAACTTGTAGCGGGTGTTTCCCCACCTTCGTTTAGGGAGCTGCTCGAAAATGGAGTAGCCGGACGTGATGATGTATCAAATGAGTACAAGGATTATGCGATCATACCTCTACTTGTTTGTTGTTGTTCCAATAAGAACGCTTGCGCGTGCTATGATAAATGTGAAGTGGGCGAAGATCATAAAGTAACCCCTCAAACAAGGAGGAAGCAACGATGAGTCGGTGCCGAAGGGCGCAGGCGGCAGAAAATTTAATTGCCTTACGTTAACAAAAACATAACAAAAAGACTGAGCATTTGCTACTTCTGCACGGAACACAAAGATGAAACCGGAAGAACAGAAACCAGGCACTCCTTTCCTCTAGATCTATTGCCGTAAAGGCAATTCATAAAAATGCCCAAATGTAAGTTATATAGGTCAGCGGGTCCTGATGGTGGCATAATCCTTTTATTTGCAGTGGATACAATGACGACGAGGGATACAATGACGACGAGGTTTTGTACAAGAATCGATTTGGAATCGGGCGTCTCGAGATGGATGAAAAATTGGAGCCGGTTGACAAAGGCCAATGTCTCGTGTCAATTCATGGGCGAAGGGCGCCGGCGCCGGAAAAGTTCAAACCCCGCAGACGGTGTCTCTCGGACCTGATGAATTTAGACACGAATGATCGCGCGAAGGCAGAGCTCAACCCTCGTTCTCGTGAAGGGCTGGCTTTGGATCCTCGAGACGACCGCGAAGGGCGTATCCCTGACTTGAAAGCCATGTCAAACAACAACTGGACCAGGGGCCAGTCGAGGCTTCAGGGGCAAAGAGAAAGCGCCTCGGTCGAGGCCGTTATGCGCGACGCGTTGGGTATGGATATTCCCGTGAAAGTGCAGAAAGTGAAGGTTGATAGTTCGTCAGGAAAGCCTGAACTTGAGATCGTCCTGGACCTGCCGTTGCCGGACACCGCGCGACAGGAACTTGCATCGCTCAACTCAAAACAGATGCAGACTTGGGAAGAAAGCCGTGCGCGCAGTTTGATAGACAATCTGTTCAAAACCAAGATCCGATATACTAGAGGAATGAGTTGGACCACGACGGAGTGGGAGAGGGCAAAAGAGGAGTACACAAAACGTGTCCTGTGCACGCTGGATGGAGGGAAACCGCAGCGCGGGTCTAGCAACGCCATCCAACGGATGAGGTTGCAGAGGGGGCAGAAGTGGAAGTGGGATGGCGGGGAGGAGTGGAAGCAGAAGGGTGGAAAGGCTGGAGTTATCACTTTTGAAAAGCCCATGGGGTCGCTTATCGAATATCATGAAGACTTGTATCTACCGTACGCTTACACTAGAACGGAGCACCTCGAAGGAGCAACCCCACAGCAAATTAAGGATTTCCCGCTTGTGCAGGTGGCGGTCCTTATGCAACACAACGAAAGTACACCCGCCCATTCCAAATGCAGTGTGTGTCATGTTTCGACGAGTAATCAAATAGTGCTGATGCATCTTTGTGAATCTGGAAACGAAACCAACGCGACCTCCAGCTACATAATGAATAGATACGTCTATTAGTTTTTTCTGCGAAGTTGACGAGGCATGGAAAGTTGCTGTATTTACGCATAGCGAAGGGGGTTTTGAGTACTTGTTGACTCGGGACCTTTGATTTTGCGTTGTGAAGTGACAGCGAGTTATATGTAATGCGGATCATGCTAAACGTACGCGATGGTAATAATGTATTCATGCAATTGAGTCGACTGGGGGTGCTTTTGTTGCGTATGGTTTTGTGGTACGATGAAGCTTACGAGATTGATGACGCATTCGCTCCCAACTCGATTTGCTTGTATTTCTTTTTTGATACAAATTTTAATGTACTATACTTTCGCCGCTACCCCCAAATGCGTCATGTAAGACGTAGCCCGTGGTGCTCTTGCTCGTTATCGACTCGTTCATGTGGAAGATTTACAGGGCGACATCGGACGTTGCGAATAAACGCACTTTCTTGACGTCGACGAACTCTGTCTCGCGAACACGGCAACCGCTGAGCCCGCATATTCTATGCAAGTGACGTTTTTTCGGGGGCGGAGGCATTAAGAAGAACATATGAGTTTGAATTTCATCTGCTAGCTATTTGATGAGGAAGGTGTTTCCCATGCAGTGTCGCGGAAACATCACAAACTATTATAAAGAACCCGTCGTGGTCTCGAGTTGGGGCAGTTTGCTATTTGATACGGGACGGAAAAAGTTCGCTGTTTTGCAGGTTGGAGTCTATAGCGCGATTGACAAGCGAATTGCGTCGACGGACCTGTCTCGGGAATTGGTAATTATCATGGAGGAATTAAGAAGGGAGAATGTAAGAATGAAGAACTACAGCGACGCCATGAGACTACACTATCGTACGGAAAGCTGTACCCGCATTTTCACACTTCTTGGCATGCATTTTTATATGTGGTTCCAACCAAAGTAGGACTTCTTCGATGTGAAGGAGGTGCAGGGCTGCGCTCCGTACCTTCGCACTTTTAGGCAGCTGCGCTGTGCTACTGCTACATGTACATGCCGTCATTTTATCCGGTCACCGCAAGGAAACCGCTTTGACGCCCGCTGTTGGGGGTACAGCACTTTTTGGTAGGATAGACAGCTCGGCGAATTGCGTGTGCTCGAGGCAATCGTGGGGCGGCATCCAGACCGGGTTCCCTCGTACATTGACCCCAAGCATCTTTTTGGGAGAACGATCCGCGGCATTCTAGACGAGGCGTCGGCGCTGCAGCCCTAGTCGTCCGTTCCTGATTTCTAAGTGTACGCTTCGACAATGGAGAAAGCTGCTGAGGGGGCGAGCTTGCTGCAGCTGCGGTGTAAAGCGAGTGTCTATCTGTAAGACGCTGCTTCATAATTTGTACGTCCCTATGGAAACCTTTATTTCTTGAAATTGCAAAAATGAAAATCATAATCATAATTCAGATTCACTTATTCAATGTTGAGGAACGCGATTTTACGGAAAAGTCGCGAGAATGAATAGCCAGGGTAAGTTGAAGGATCAAGTGACGGTGTTGCAGTCGTACACGAAGCGTACAAATAGTAATACAAGCATCTGCTCCTCACTTTATAATTCATAGTGCGTGGATCAGTATTCAGAGGTCAACATGTCGGACCTCACTGCTGGTTTTGCTTTTCGTGGTGTAGGATCAATCCATGCAGCGGAACGATGAATCCAAGGTATGCCAAAAAGAGAGCCAGACACGATAAAGGAGTCATCTTCTGTAAGTGACTGCCCGCTCATGCTTGACCCGCAGTATTTGCAATGTACATGTAGTATTTATTTCTCTGCCATAAAAACCCTAAAAAACCCATGAGAGCCTTCAAAAGTTAAAATCTTTTAAAACCGCTAGGCGTAGCTTTACGCACTTAATCAGCGCGCCTACGCAGCTCATTTTTATTTTAACCAGTCCTAGTTCGGCGAGAAGAAAGCAGGGCTTTCACTCGGAAGAACGACGACTGCCCGTTTTCTACAAACAAACAAATGACTTCTGGTCTTTGTGCAGTTCCCAGCTTAGTGGATGAGCTCTATTATCGATCTAAAGTTGTCGCTTTTCTACTTGCCCGAGGCGTTCGGTCCGCAAGTGAAAACCGAAAGAATTATGGTAAAGGCGAAATCTAGTAATGGAGCACAAGCGAATTACCCGTATCCGTACTGCGGCCGGTATAAGTCTTCCCCGAACTATCTCCAGGGGAGATGATGGAGACGCCGACATAACAGATACGGTTTGTCAACCATTCCGGATTGCCGAGTGAAGAATGTTACCATCGTCAAGGAAAAAATCCACAACTCTCAGAATTTACACTGAAGGAAAGCAAAGGATTTCCGAATGAAAGCAGTACATGAGGAGAACGAAACCCCACGACGATTTTTTTCAGCACGAAGCAGACAATGATGATGATCATCTTGATCTTCGAGTAAGAGAAGCGGCTCGAGTCTCTTGTCGTGCAAAACAGAAGAGCCACAACATCTTATGTCTCAAGTCCCCGTGTACAATTTTTACTTACAAACACCCTTCGCAGGGGTCTCAGGTCACAACCAGAAATTTTGTATACTATCGCTCCCGGTATTAACCAGGCAGTGGCATCCGCTAGAGTGCAGGATGCACGATGTGAAGAGCAGTCAGCTCGCAGCTGAAGCTATTTCGTATCGAAAGACCGCGGTATGATGAATCAACAAGACACCCGAACATGCGAAAAACGCACTGATGCTCCCATCAGGAACAAGGAATAGAGATTCCCGGCGCGCGCGATGACGCCCGCACTCTAATGCGAGTGCCTGGCGCTGCAGCATAAAAAATCGTGCGAGTAAAGCGATCGAGAACCTGTTCGCAATTTGTCGCTTAATCTGTTTTGGTGCGCTTGCACAAATATCTCTCTATCGACTTTCGTTATTGCTACGTCTCCCGGTTGTCGTGTTTCGCAGCTATTTTGCGTGATTGGCTTTGGCTTTTCTTAAATCGTTCTGCTCTAAAAAGAGTCCGGCTTTATTTGCCCGGTATAATGTGTCAGACCATGTTGAGTTACTCTCAGCAATATTCTAGTTTTGACAGTAGCATAGAAAAATTCTTTACGAGTCTTTGTCAAATTTTCCTGCAAACGCATATAATTTTATTTGCTTTAGCTGCACAGCGCAGCAAAAGATAAGACGGACATCGCCTCGTCTGTCTGAACACTCTCCGCAGAAGATTTGGCACTTCGTCTTGTTGCGAAAACTTGCACTTCAACAGTCCGCGCAGGCGCTCAAGCACTCAGCACATTGGATTTCCAAGACCTCTGTCTCCACCTGCAATGGTATGCCAAGGGTGGCGACTGTTGCTGTGCCGATGTCCACCTCGAGTAATTTATTAGTCTTGGTTGGTTTCGAAGACGTTCACGTTGCCGTTCCACGAACTTGAAGACGATGTCGGCGATCCGCTACGATGGTAGGTTGAGCTAGCAGCGTCATTGGCTTGATTGTCCCATCTCTGCTCGATGTCGCTGTACCAAACTTCGTTGTGCATTGCAAAAATGTCTGGGTCTGGAAGATTGCTGAGGTTTGTGATGCTGTGTCTGCTTGACACGGAAGGTGTGCCATGCAAAGCCTAGCATCACAGGTTTTGAGATGGTTTCCCAATGCTTAATCCACATGACAAACACCTTCTTTCGGCGACAGGAAAAGGAGCTCCCTTTGCTGTCTAAGCATGACAGTTTTTTGTGTGATTCAAGTACGCATCACAAGTTCGCATCCTTCCAGACCCAGACATTTTTGCATTTGATATTCGTCCGTTGGCAACAATGGAGATCCCCCGGGCGGTTTATGAAAGGCGACGCAGGGTCGTTGATCCTCTTTCCATTTTGTCCTCATGGTCCCGACAACTTCAGCATGACTAGGCGCATGCTTGCCGACGACCTGCATGATTGCAAAACAGGGACTTCTTTCGAAAGCGCAATGGTTAAACATATTGCCGAAACTTCTTTTATAAAACTACACGTCTGTATATACATTCTTTCATTGCAAATGGCGACGAGGATCGGGGTCGATTTGCGTTGCATAACGTTCCGCCTCAGACGTGCGAGTCGTGGTGCGCATACGCCCGCCATCGCACCTTGGGTCGCTCGGGTTGCAGCCCGGCTACACCCAGACCCCGTCTGGTAGCGTGCAGTCGCAGGAGAGCGTTTGCTTTTTCGCGCAAGAAGACAACAAGCTGGCGTACAAAATTGACCCCTATGGGGTCAGTCCGCTTTGCGAGGAGGCCCAGTTTTATGCAAGAGAGAAACATTTTAGTTTTTTCTTTTTGGAAGAATTACAAATCCACTGTCTAGCATCACAGCAAAAACCTGTCACGCGCAGATACTAGTACGTGAGAACGCGCTTGAATGGACCCTACAACGCATGATCACCAGCAAGACAGACGCAGCCATCTTGCATGTTGCCCGACATCATCGAACACTCAAATTGTTTTTTTCTTGGATAAGTTTGACCACGTACTGGACTTCAGTTGCAAGAACGAGGAGATGTACGAGCAGCTGAAGCTGAACGACTGCGTGACCTCCTGCATGCAGGGGTTCGCCGAGACCATCTTTGCCTACGGGCAGACGGGGAGCGGCAAGAGCTACACCATCCTGGGTCATCTGGGTGGTGGAGGCGGTGCGGCGGGAGCTTCGACCTCGGCCGCGGGAGAAGTAGCGGAGTACGACTTCAGCAAGGATTTTCTGCTCAACTCGAATTCCTCCAACGCGGACGCCGGAATCCTGCCACGCTGCACGAAAACGCTGTTCGAGAAGCTGGCGGCGCTGACGGACGGACGGCGCCGCACGGTGCAACTGACCGCCGTGGAAGTGAAGGACAGCCAGGTGACCGACCTCCTGGAGCTCGGTGGCGGCTCGTCAGGTAGCATCGGCGCGAACCTGCGCACGCCCCGCCATATCAACTGTAAAAATGTCTGGGTCTGGAAGATTTTGAGATTTGTCATGCACGTTTTGCATGAGCCATGATGTCTGTGATGCGTACCCTAGCAATACAGATTTTCTGAGGGCTTCTTGATGCCTCTTCCGCATGACAAATGCCTTCTCGGCGTAGCAAAAATTGCATTCCCGTTGGTACTCATGCAATACAGATTTTTTTGGAATCCAAATGCAGCATCACAAGTTGCATTCTTCCAGACCCAGACACTTTTACATTTGATACGCCAGGTCGGTGCGCAAATGTCCACGTTGGACTACGACCGCGTGCCGGTGAAAGGGATATCAAATGCAAAAATGTCTGGGTCTGGAAACTTGTGATGCATGTCAGTGAACAGAAAGCGCCTTGTAATGCACCGCCAAGCATGACAGATTTTCTCGTGGCTCTCTGTTGCGTATTCCGCATGAGAAACATCGTTTCTTGCTGGACATTACCAACATTTGCCCACGCAGAGCCGTCCTCTTGCCGGACACAGCCAACATCTGTCCGAAACAGCCTAGGGCCAAGACGACGCCGTGAGGACGACCACAGGGGGTCCGTCTCAATGATGATGATGATGATGACGGACAAGAGGAGGTCTTCGTGGCCACGCAATACAGAGTTCAGAGTCATGCCAAACTAGCATGAGAAATCTCGAAATCTTCCAGACCCAGACATTTTTGCAATCCATAAGGGAAGCTCTCCTACTACCGGAAAGCCACGGTGTGGAGCGTATCCAAGTGGACACTTGCTGATCTTCGATAAAGGTTGCCGCCAACAACATTGTCTTATTTTAGAGTTGTATTTTCTACAGTTAAAAAGCCGGGCGCTGAATACATCGTCGAAACAATGAAAAGATATTATGGATTCATTGTCTGCATTCTTTCGACTTGCGCCGCGACGCTTTACCTCCTCTCTAACAAATTTTGCCGTACGCTAGTAATCAGACGAATGGCGTTGGTGGAACAGTTCTACGATATTGCATCAAAAGCATGAAGCAATTATGTATGTTGAGTCTTAAGTGTTTTCGGATTCATAAACGTACGAGGAGACAATGCGGCACTTGCGCTACGCGATCGATTCCCGTGAGGTGGGTACCAGCAGTCTCAATTCCGAGTATAGTAACTGTCTGCTTCAGCGTCTCGGCTCTATCGTCGATCTGATAAGAATCTAAATCGCGTATAGAGAAGTTCACATTTAGATTCGCTATGCTTGTTGCCGGTTCTGTTTTTCTCTAGTACTGGTGCGGGTCTACAAGAAGTCCCCCTGAAGAATTTTTGCACTCTCATCTTCTTACAGGTCCTCGCGATCGCACATGGTAATCCGATTCTTCGTGAAGTCGTATTTGCCGGACGGCGTGACCTGTGGCACCTTGACGCTGGTGGACTTGGCGGGGTCCGAAAAGGAGCACGAAAACCCGACCAGGTCCGGGCAAACGGAGGCCAGCGGCATCAACGTCTCGCTGACGCACCTGAACCGGCTGCTAGTCAAGATGCAGTTCAACCAGCTGGATGTATCAGAGTGAAAAAAGCCCCCACCCCATATCGGAAACGGAAGATGCGCGAATTTGTGATGCTGTATTTGAGTACACAAATCGACTTGTATTGCTAGAAGGCCAAGAGACGAAGCTGCGGCATAAATTGCAGGTAATCTGTCACGCTGTTTCCCAATTCCAGTTGCCTCCTGTCATCCTGGAGCAGCAAGGCTCTCCCACGCTGGGCAGCACTACAGTCCGCATATTTTACCTTCTAGCATCACAAAGCTGATTTGTGACCACAAATCTGCATCGCAGCTTTCCGCTTTGATATGGGGAAGGGGCATTTTTCATTGTAATAGGATGACAGCGACAAAAGGCAGTCGACCCTGAACATGGTGCTGTTCGACTCGCTCAAGGAAGACTGCGGCGTTATGGCCCGCGATCAGGTGCTACAATCTCAAGAACCGTTGCAACGAACGCGGAAAGGGAAATTTGTGATGCCAAACCCGCTTGATCTTCAAGACAGGCACCGCAGCTCTTCGTGTAGCATGATGGCAGATTTGGTGGACTAGAATCTGGTGCTCCTTCGTGGTTCCGAAATTTCTCAGTATGAGGATAGCTGAGCGGCCTTCCCGGCATTTCATGCAACAGAAATGATCCTCGAAAGATTGCGACATAAAGTTGAGGTTGTACCACCTGAGCGGGGGATAGGCGTGACTATGGTCTTCTGCATCCATCCCGACCGCAGCACGTACCAGGCCTCCAAAACTTCGCTGCAGATGGCGCAGAGATGCAAGAAAATACAGAGAAAAAAACGCATCCGCAGGCTGGTGAGGGTTCTTATTTACCTTTTATCTTTGTGATAGATGAAGATATAAAAAGACGAGAGCTGCACCTGCACCAGATGCAATACTCAACACCTCGATCATAATATTTTCACAATCAGCCGACCACGATGCGTTTTGAAAAAAAAAAAAGCGCTTCTTCTACACTTGAAGGTGAGCAGCTCCAGCGGGAATGGCGGGTCCGCTTTGATTTCGGAAATGGACCAAAAGATTGCGGAACTCCGGCAGTCAGAGATACAGGAAACGCTATGAAATGTAAAAATGTCTGGGTCTGGAAGAGGAGAAGTTTGTCATGCACATTTTCCATGATCCATGATATCTGTGTTGTATGCCATAGCATCACAGATTTTTTGAGCGCCCAGCGACGCGCATCCTGCATAACAAATTCCCTCTCTGCGTAGCCAAATTTGACTCCTCTTGCTGCTCATGCAATACAAATCTTTTTAGCATTGAAATGCAGCATCACAAGCTGCATTCTTCCAGACCCAGACATTTTTGCAGTTCATAAACGCAGCAACTGCGCAAAAAGCAGGTTTTTCTCGAGAAGGAGCGGTCGGAGTATCAAATGTAAAAATGTCTGGGTCTGGAAACTTGTGATGCTAAAATGTGCATGATGAAAACATTTCCGAATGCAGTCCGGCATGACAACTTCTCAAAACGCTTGCTCATAGGCAATCCGCATGAGAAATTGCGTTTTTGCATGACAAAAGAGACTGCGACTTGTGTTGGTTATGCAATACAGATTTTCTAGGTATGGAAAGCTAGCATTACAAGTCCCAACCTTCCAGACTCAGAGATTTTTACAATCCATATGGAGGACCGGATGCTGATTGACTCGCTCGAGCGAAAAAACATCTGCCTGCAGCAGATGGTCGAGGAGCACGCGCAAATCAAGACGCACTTGATCGAGAAGGCGGAGCAGATGAAAATCGACTACGAAAAACGCATCCGCGAGATGGAGCAGGAGCTGGCAGTGTGTAAAACCGAGCTTCGGGAGTACAAAAATGGTGTTCCACCCGGCGGGTCAATTTTTACGAACAACATCAACAACCCGGCTTCTACTTCAAAAACATCTCACCTTCTTGCGGCAAATCCAAAAGGAGGTGGCCTCCACAGGGGTGCGACACGTACCCGCGAGGATGTTGAACCAGATCTGTGTACTAGTGGTTCTACTCCAAAAGACGAGCAAGATCCTGTTGTTGTTGACGAAAAGAATCCCATTAAGCTGCCGTCCGCCAGCCAGAGTTCCTCGAAGTTGAGCACCAAGTCCGGCACAGAGAAGTCCAGTACCAGTTCAGTCGAACAAGGGGCGTTTTCGGGTGGAAGATCGGCAGCAACGGGCGCCGCCACCGCGGGCGGTAGGAGCGGCAGCTACAACTACAACATTCAACAACAAGACCAGGGCGCGACGTTTGCGCCCCTTTCTCGTCGCAGCGGGGCAGCAGGAGCAAGCGGTAGTAGAGAAGGAGGCACTAGTAGTGCCAGTGGTAATGCGTATAATCCAGGAGGAGCACCATCCGAAATGATTTCGAACGGTAATTTCGCAGCGACGTATTCGAGCGTGCTTGCGGGAATGCAGAGATCCCTCGGCAACGAGACGGTGCAGCTGCAAGGATTGCGAGCACTCCTAAAACTAGTGTCCGCGTCTCCGGGGGCGAATGCTGGAATTGACAGCAGCAGCAGCAGCAGTGGTTCTACTACGGGTCATGATGCCGGTGAACGCGATCTGCAAGATCGTCATGGTGTTCCTACGAGAAAAGGTGGTCCTGTTGAGGCAATCAAAACGAGGTCTGCGTGCGCGGAACTGCTGAATGCAGAGTACGGGTTGTCGGTACACCAGGATGACGAGGAGCAAAACGGGTTTTTCCCGAGTAGTACATCCGACGGCTTCTACCTGGCTGAATACAACGCGGGGACAAGCGCCGGCGCCACTGCGTCGGGCGGTACCACGTCCTCGCGAGCACGGCAGCAGGCTGCGGGGGGAAGCACTATTGTTAAACCGATGCAAGAGACGGACACGGTGATGCAAGTGATCCATACCACCATCCAAGCGCTTCGCTGTTTCCCGTTGGTCGCGAAGATCCAGCGCGACGTATCCTATTTAAAAACGTCCCCACCCCATAGTTGTAATGCAAATCTGCATGTTGAAAATGTTTCTCATGCGGAGCCCCATGAGAAGCATTTTCCAATCGTGTTTCGCAATTTGTCATGCTCCAATCAGCATGGTATGCTAGATCTGTAATGCTGCTGAGCTAGCTCAAACAGCACTACACTACGAATCCAAATTTGTCATGCAAAACAGCCAAAACTTGTGGATTTGTCTAGCCGATTCCCCATCTTGACTATGGTGTGGGGACGTTTTTACTCAGGATACGACGGTGCGCTGCTGCTCGCGGAGATCTGCAGCAGCGCGCGCGGCACGTGGGAGGGGGTGGAGGTGGAGCTGCACGGGAAAACCGCTGTTATTTCCAGTCCCAAAGTGCTGATTTTACAAGAGGTTGAGCGCACGATTTTGCCCATGTTCGACAAGAAAGAGCTGTTTGGCAATGGTGGAGGGGTACTAGCGAACCTTCCGATACCAGAAAATCAGAACTGGGCGAGCAGCGGTAACCTACAAAACGGGGGTTCCGCGTCCTTGGCTTCTTCCTTCTCCTCGCAGTACCAGCAGGTGTGCGTTGCCGCGAGCCGGTTACTGGCGGTGCTGGGCCAGCGGGAACCGGAGCTGCAGACCGAGATCGGCCAGCTCGGGGCGATCGAGAAAATTGTGGGGGCCATGATGCTTTTCGATCGGGAACAACAAGAAGAAGGAAATATTTTGTCGCAGCAGAAGCTGGACCTGATTGTGCACGGTTGTTGGAGTTTGATGAATTTGTGCAACAAACATGCGGAGAACCAAGCTGTTTTCCGGGAGCTTGGCGGCATCGATATCCTGTTGCACCTCGTTGCCGAAGTTTCCGAGTTTCTTGCCGCGGAGCTCTCTGGCGGAAGAAGTGGTGGCGTGGACCGTACTGTGAAAAGGCACAAAGACGGTGAGGTGGTCAAGCATGACCAACAGGACCACAACCACATCACGCTTGACGAAGACGATGTTTTGCTGCAGTGCAAAAATGCCGGTGCCTACTTGTCCGGATGTATCGCTTCGGTGGTGGAGTCGTGTGCCGAAAACCAAGCGGAGTTTTTCCGCTCAGAAGGGATGGAGCATCTGGTAAAAGGGAATATAGAGTCCTTTAATTCAGCGTGTTGAAATAATAGTTGGCTTTCAGCCAAGTGCAGTACTAAATAAAGAATTCGAATGCAGGAGCAAGGCAGTACCACTACTAGCCTTCGTACAGTTCGTGACATAGCAAAAGGTATGGAATCTCCAACAGTCAAGTTTCACATCCAAACTTGTCCAGGTGACGCTCCTCTCTTGTGGGCTCGACTCCGCCGGTATTGTTAGCAACGTCTGCATTGCGATTGCGCACGCTTGTCACAAGAACAAAAACGCGAACCCGCAGCACCAGACGCCGCTGTTCAAGCTCGTGCTGGAAGCCTTGAAAAGTTTCCATCCCGAACATGGTGCTGTTGTGGGGAACGCCTGCCGGTGCGTGGCAACCTTGACGGAATCTTCTTTCGCACTGGGCAACGCCGCCAGTCCGTCGCCAACCAGAGGAGGTCCTCTAGCGAATTCGCATGGCAAACCGGGTGCGAGCAGAACCAGTGAGCAGGCAGAGAGCGCGGAACTACTGACAAATGTGTTTCCGGAATTGATCTTTACCCTGATCAAGATCATGAAGCGATTTTCCCACGACACAACCCTCAATACCACGATCTTCTGGGCACTGGGAAACTTGGTCTGCAAGACACAGAAAAGTTTGATGTCAGCGCCTTCTGCATCTTCCGCTTCCGCGAGAATGTTCAAGCAAGCCCCGGTTTACATCCAGGAGCCTGACCTCGCCTACTTCGCGAGTCTGTTGCAAAAGGTCTGCCACAAGCGGGAGCAGCAAGAAGGACCGAACCTGAATCAGCAACAGGGCGATTCTCGAAACAAGGAAACTGGTGCAATCAAAGAGCAAGCAGGTTCATCTTCTTCGTCGGGAGCAGGGGGTCTTGACCCATTGCATCAACTAGATCGGTTTGTCGAGTACTGCTGCCGGCTTTTGTCGGAACTCACCAAAGGACCGGCCTCCTCGTCGGAGAAGTGTCCGACGGCGATTCGCGAAACGCGGGTGCTGATGAAGCGGAACACGGAATTTGTGCAGCTGCTTGTGAAACTGCGGGAAAAGTACACGAACAGCGACAGCCCGCCGCGACCGAACTCGAAAGCGGTTTTAGTGTTGCCCAGGATCAAGGAACTCTACCAAAACTTGACGAAGTAGGGGAAACTTAGATGCGACAAATTTAGAGTTTTTAACAACAGTTTTTGAATGCGGACAACGTATGAATAAACATACCACATAGACATACAACAAACAATCAAGAAGGGTTGAGTAAGCTTCGACGATGAGGCAAGTGTACCTGTCAAAGGTATCTACTGATAGTCCTAGAAAGGAAACTGAACCACGTGCGCGAACTCCTGAGTACGACTCAGATCGTTAAAGGACGGTAGCACGAAAGTTACGCGTCGGATCTATCGCTCTTGAACCACTGGGGCTACTACCAGCAGTTGCAACCCAGTTGAAGGGATACGAAAACGCTTGTTAGGTCGCTGTCCTTCTAATCAGAGGGCGTTTCCCAGACGCGGAAGATCAACAAATTTCGCAGTCGTTTCCTGTCGTGGCTGGTGATAAAAAAAGTCGTTTCAGTCGCTCCTCAAAATCTTGCCTCTTCGGCAACATCGCAACGTCGTGCAGGAACTAGTACAGCGCATTGGTGGTTCTTAATACGCCCTACTAACGTTTTTTTTTACTCGCGATCTCCGTTTTGGCTACTCTTCGATATTACCGGATAATTTTTCCTAACACCACTTTATCGACACCCAAAGTATTCATCGTTTTACGAACCCCGACGCTTCGTTTTTCTGTCGTACCATAATTGTGATTGTCCTAAAATACCACATCGACTGGCTGTGCTTGCTACGCACTTTCGGAGGACAAAATGTCGGGGGTGGAAAGTTATGCGAACCGCAATAGCACGGACCTGGGCCGGTTCGTGGAGGACGCACAGATTGGCGAGGGGCAGTACAAGTACGTGGTCCGTGGCGAGTACCGTGGTGGCGACTATGACGGGCGCCCCAACGTCTGTAAGTTTTTGAAGAAGCATACGGTGTTCGACGACCGGCTGTGGTTGGACGACGTGCGCGCGTGCGAGCGCGCGCTGGCCGTGATCGCCGCGTTCCACAAGTACTTGCACGAGACCAATAAGCCGAAGGCTAGCATCAAACTGAACATCCCGCAGGTGTGGCGGCAGAGCAGCGAGGGCGCGAAGAAGAACCAGTTGATGCTGGTGGAGCCGTTTCTGGACAATTTCAGTAAGTTCAACAGCAACACCGGCGCTTGCAAGAAGGACGAAAGCATCATGCAGGCGTTGTCGCACTTCAGCTACCACATCAGCGACGGCACCGAGCTGCTGTGCGACATGCAGAGCCAGCGGGTGGGGCGGCAAAACGTGTACGTGCTTTCGGACATCGCGATCTGCAGTGAGGCCCGCGCCTACGGCGAGACCGACCTGGGGGCGCGCGGCATGGAAAACTTCTTGCACTACCATCGGTGCGGCCCGTTCTGCAGCAAGGCGTGGAGAACCTGGGAGGGGGCGGAGCAGAAGTTCCAGCCGGTGATGTCCACCAGCATGCACACGACGCTCGAAAAGCCAGCGGACCTCACCACGGGGGAGACTCGGGACTGCGGGCCAATGTACCCAAGCGAGATTCACTTCTCTTCACGCAGGACTGCATCAGCCCCAAGTTCCGCGACGGGCGGACAGTGAAGGAGACGGTGCTGCAGTTGGCCAAGCGGGAGATCCACAAGCGCAGCATCCCGGTGATGAAGGTGGTGTTGAAAAAAGCCAAGTACTGGTCTCTGGACAACCGCCGGCTCGCCGCCTTCCGCCTGCTCGAGATGGTGGGCAAGGTGACCAAGGTGCGGGTGGAGGTGGTGCCCTGGACGCGGGTGTCCTGGGAGTGGCAGCGCAAGTACGACGGCGGCAGCGGGGAGACGATGCGCGTGCGCCGCGAGCAGTGGCACATTGGGAAGGGAAAAGAAGACACGATCTGTCCGTTTATGAAAGACCTGCAACTGGCCACGATGGGACCCGCGCTGTCCGAGACGGATCAGGAATTCCAACACTTTTTGGCCAACTTGACCGATGACTTCGTCTTCGGAAAGAGTGCGCAGCACTGCGAGTTCTGCAGCCAGTTCGTGGGCGGGGGCAAGAGTGTCTTGAAGCGCCACGAACAGGGATGCTTTCATAATCCCAACCGAGATACCGAAAGTGACCGGTGCGTCCATTGCGGCGAAGTGTTCGTGGTGAATCCAACGTCGCAGACGATGTGGAAAAAGAGCCGGCTGCAGCACCTCGGCTGCTGTTCAAAAAATCCTGACCAAGCGCAGGATCTAGAGCGAAGCCGCAAAAAGCAAAAAACGGGCCCACGAGTGCGGTTCGACACGGGGTTTGCAAACGACATTGACTGGGACACGAGGAACGGTGATAGAAATGGTCTAGACGAGCCTTTCTTCCACCTGAACGAAGCTTTGTGAGCTTTACAAAATTCTTGATGAATACTTTTGATGTGCTGGCGGAGCTTTTCACTTTCGGGTCGTGACGTAAGTATTTGACTATGTATTCGTGTACTTCTACATCTAGTTGAAGTTCTTCAAGACAGTCACGCCGGATGCTGAAACAAAATGCGCGTTTGAACAGCTGCATTAAAGCAAAACTACTATGAGAGGTATGGGAATATATCAAACGAGAGGCATTCATCTGAGTTGTTGAAGTGGGAAACACATGGAATGGCCTCGGTAAGGAGGACTTTGCTATCGTTCATCTGAAGGCGTTTTCAGACGAGGCAAAATTGATGCGTGCCGAACGTTCTGCTGTGCAATAGACATCTGATTCTGAATACTTTTATACTTCGGAGGGAATTTTTGACCAACAAGATGGCCACCGACGTGGCGATTCTGAGCGCGCTCGCGCAAGTGACGGACCAGGAGCTTCGTTATTTCGAACTCGTCACCCTTCGGTTCGGCGGCAAGCAGCGGAAAGTTTATCTTTGCATCGGGCGCCACGCGTTTTTTCTGGTGAAAAAGGACGTCAGCGCGTTGATCCAGGGGGGCGAGCTGTTTTACGCGTATTTGGAGGCGGTGGTGGTGGACAGTAATTCCAAATCCGATTTGCTTTTGGTGCTGAACGACAACCGACCGGGGTTCTGGATCAGCCCAAACCTGTTCGTGCTCTCCTCCAAACGCTCTTCGTTGGTTATGGAATGGAAATATGTTTGGGTCTGGAAGAATGCAAGTTTGTCATGCTTGTCTGGCATGACTCGAGAATCTGTGTTGCATAGGCACGAAAAGGCCGACTTGCTTGTCATGCAAAAACGCAGGTTGCCATGCGGAATACGTAAGACATGGCAGCCAAAAGATTTGTCATGCATGGCTGCGTACTGCAGTGCGTCTATCATTCACTTTTAGCTATACAAGTTTCCAGACCCAGACATTTTTACATCTGATATTGGTGCAGCATCTGCAATGCTGCTGGACGGTGGACTACATGTGGCGGTACGGCTTGGTGGCCAACTTTCCGAAGCGCGAGGCGGCGCTGACCTCCGACCTTTTCACCGGCGAGATCTGCATGCCGTTTCACGGCTACGCTAAGAACGAGTTTCAGTCCTACTCGTTTTTCCTGAAAGATTCCTTCGCCGAAGTCCCGTCAGTGCTTCAGGCGGAGAACACGGGACACTACTCGGACACGAAGCGCAAGGGCTTCGAGGTGATCATCCACGTGCACGAGCCCGTGGAGATCAGCCTGCTGTCGAAGATGAACCGCGAGCACGTGCGGTGGGTGGCGTTGGAGTACAAGCAGATGCTCACGACGGACTCCGCGGAGCAGAACAGCAATAATCTGGTCTACTACGTCCTCCGCAACGCGAGCTACCTGAAGAAAATGAACCTCGCAGAGGACATCGCCATGTGGATCGGTTGGGAGATGCTGGTGAAGACGGAGAAGTACGTGCTCATCGTCGTGGTCCTGCGTCGCCAGTATCTCCCCCCGCTGATGTCCGCGTGCCAGGACGTGGTCGTGATGTTCAAATCGCCGAACCTGGAGGCGGAAGCCATCAAGGCGCAGCAGGCCGGGAAGAAAAAAATCCCCAAATTCTACACCGACGAAGAGCTCTTGCTGGAGGCGCACCTGTATCAAGTGTAAAAATGTCTGGGTCTGGAAGAATGCGCGACTTGGCATGCTTCTCTGGCATGACTCTTAAATCTGTCATGCAGGCTAGTACCCAAGAGCCCCACTTTCCTGTCATGCAAAAACGCAGTTTGTCATGCAGAACAGGCAACACCTAGAAGCTCAGAAACTTGTCATGCTGAGCCAGCACTTATGGCTTCCTCATGATACGCCACCCAGCATCACAAGTTTCCAGACCCAGACATTTTTACATTTGATAACCTGATCGCGGACTCCTTGTCCCCAGTGGAAGACGAGTTTCCGGTGTACCGCGACATTGTGCAGGCCAAGCTGGACTCGTTGCGGTTCGACGAGGACGGGTATCGGTTTCTGGAGAACCACGTGAAGCTGCTGCCGAACAACGTGCGGGAGCAGGGGAAATCGTTCCTGAAGTCCATATTCCAACTCCTCGTTTCCGATGGCATGCTCGTGAACGGGGACCAGATGCTGAATGACAGCATGTTCACCCTCGGGAAGCAGGAGAAGGACGACCGGTGGCATATTGTGAGGAAAAATCCCCCCTCCCCATATCGAAGACGGAATTTGTGTTGCTGTATTTGAGTACACAAATCACATCTGTCTTGCTAGAGTGGACGGCAGACCCATATCAAGCCTGAGCAGAGATGCTTTGACTTAGGCGCTTAGCATGAGAAGCGTCCGTGATGTTGGCTCAACAGCATGACAAACCGCCTCCATGATGGGACGGAAGCTGCTGCCCTTGTCTTCTTGCAGCACAAACGTGATTTGTGACCTCAAATCAGCAACACAAATTTTCGAAAACCTACCTCTTCAATATGGGGAGGGGGGATTTTTCCTTGCGATATGGCAGGTGCTGCCCACCAAGGACAACCCGCTGCTCTTCGCCGAGGAGCTGGTGGAGAAGGGCGAGGTATCAAATGTAGAAATGTCTGGGTCTGGAAGAATGCAACTTCTCATGCTAAAGTAAATCTGAAGCATGCAAAAATCTGCGCTGCATGATTACCAAAAGTCGTCCAAGTTTGACCAAGTCGGGAGGCAGTTTCTCATGCAGGATAGGCATGAGAAAGATCGCACAGAGTCTGTCATGCTAGGTCCTGCATTCCAGACCTCATGGGTCATGGAAAAGCTGCATGACAAGTCGCGAACTCTTCCAGACCCAGACACTTTTACATTTGATATGAGGGGCTGGAGAACAACGCGAAAGCGCAGCAAGGACAGACGTCCGCGGCGGCGAACGAGGCGCGGAACAACTGGAACAAGCGGGTCGCGCGGTACTTCGCCTACTGTCTCGACGGGGGGTTGTGTATAGAAAGAAAAAAGTTTGTCACAGTCATTAACCTGGAGATTTAGCATTACAAATTTTTTTAGCATCACAACTTTTGCTTGTATTGCAGAAACACAAAGGGAAATCTCCTATGAAGTTTGGCTGTGATGCATTTTTACGCATGACAGGCATTTTTTGTATTGCAAAAATGCCCATGAGTGATCGTGACGAACTTTTTTCTTTTGATATTGTGCCGCGCCTTCACACTGTACGACCTGATAGACGCGAAGGCGGGTCTTTCCGCCGATATCAACTGTAAAAATGTCTGAGTCTGGAAGGATGCGAACTTGTGATGCGCATTTCACAACACAGACAAAGCTCTCATGCATAGGCAGCAAAAGGCGCCCACTTCCTGTCACCAAAATGCGGGATTTGTCATGCGGATTAAGCAATGCGGAAGCTTCTCGAAATCTGTGATGCTAGGGCTTCCATGACAGACATTTTGTGTCATGCAAAAACAGCATGACGAAAGTCTGCATTTTTCCAGACCCAGACATTTTTACATTTGATAGCCGAGGCGCAGAAGCGAATCGGACGCATCATCGACTACTTGCTCCACCTCCGGCCGACGGACATGAGCCGCCGCTATTTCGACGTGTCGATCGTGACGCAATTGCAGGAGTCGCTGGAATATCGTGTGCAAAAGTATCGTACTCGTAGTGCAATCATGAATTACAAATCTTTCTCTTAAGGTAATTAGCATTTATACAAATTTTATCCCTCATGCTGAGGGAATTTGTCATGCATTTATACGAGTACGATACTTTTGCCGTTCATATGGAAAACTGGGAGTTCAACGAGCGGGTGATGCAGATTCTCCTCGAGTCCGACTACATTCGGAAACTCTTCGGGCGCAGTCGAGAGAAGGAGTACAGTCAGTGCGTTGGGTATGGATGTGTCAGGATTGAAATCGACAAAGTTGAAATAAACTTGTAATGCATAAAATGGATGAAAGTTGTGACCCAGTTTCCAAGTGGCGCATGACAAATTTGGGTAGAGCCGAAATCCAGTTTGTCATGCTGTTTGCGTAAGGAGGACGCCATTTGTCGTGCTACTTTAGCAGCTCAGTTTCTACCCCTCAACATGCTGGCTTACAAGCTGCCTCACTTGCCTACTCTGCAAGACAGGCACTCTGTGGGCTGCATTTTATGCATGGCGTTGTGGTGCTTTCGGTGGGATGGACGTCCGGTGTTGCTTCGACACTCTTGTGTTGTTGCATTTGTGAATGCGAGGGCAGTGGTAGACTGAGGTTGCTGGAGTTTTCCGTAAGGACACTCCAAGTTAATTTTTGACTACTTCGCTTCCTTGTGCCTCTGCTTTAGTGCTATTTTTGGCGCTTTGGCTTATAGGCGTCCCCCTCGCATCTCACCTCCAGGTCTTCGGGGACCCCACTTTTCCAAGGTTCTTGGTTGTGGATGGTTCCTTGAGGGCTTTGTGGCGTCTGGGTATCCTTTGTTGCATTTTATGCATGACAAACTATTTCAATTTCAACTTTGACGATTTCAATCCTGACACCCCCATATCGGGAGGTTGCTGGCCAACCCGATGATGTCCATCACGCTGAAGTCCTCGCTCTGTCGGCAAATCGTGAGCAATCCGCCCTTATGGATTGCAAATATGTCTGGGTCTGGAAACTTGTAATGCTAAAAGTGAATGATAGACGCGCCGCAATACTCAGCTATGCATGACAAATTTTGTGGCTGCCATGTCTTATGTATTCCGCATGGCAAACTGCCTTTTCGCATGACATCTAAGAGGGCTCTTTCGTGCCTAGGCGACACAGATTCTCGAGTCATGCCAGACAAGCATGACAAACTTGCATTCTTCCAGACCCAGACACCTTTGCATTTGATAGCCGTCCCCCGACAACCAGGCGATCTTGGCGCCGGCGTTGGTGGACGTGCTGAAGAACACGACCTCCTACTACGTGCAGACCTGCGTCTGCGCGGCGTTGGTCGTCATGACGGCGGACAGCGACCAGGCGAAGACGCTGGTCATGGCGTGCGGGATCGCGCCGCTGATCCTCAAGATGGTGACCAGCCGGGACGACGATTTGGTGTATCACGCCCTCATGCTGGTCGTCAACCTGTCGAAGCACACGCACCACCGCGCGATCTTCGTGCAGTACGGGCTGCTGCCGATCCTATGCGACATTTTGTCCTCTTCCTACCACACGATCCAGTTCAAGGGGAAGATTTTACTGCAGCTCTGCGCGGTCATCGGCCAGTGCTGCAATGACGAGGAGTCGCGGAAGATCTTGACCAACAGCCCGCACGAGTTCACGCTGGACTGCCTCATGTTCGTGTTCGACGAGTGCCCGCCGCGGTCCGCGCTGGAGTGCAAAACGCTGTACTGCATGCGCATGTGCGCCATGAATAGCAACGACAAGAAGTACCGGGTCGGCCAGCACTGCTACCTGAAGTTGCTGGAAGAGCTCCAGGACACGGACGACATGGCGAAGTACCTCGACTTCGTCTACAACGCGTTGGGGTTTCTGCTCGTGATCGCAGAAAAGGTGGAGAACGCCGCGGCGCTGCAATCCACAAACATCGTGGACATCTTGCAGCGGATCAAGGACGACTTGTACGACGTGGCTTCGGTTCAGGAGAAGGTGAAGGCGCTAGCGGACCTGATCCGGGCGCAAACACACCGGGAACAATTTTGATGAGGCGGTTAGCGTCAGCTGCACGGCAGTTGCGCATGCGCTGCAGGCGTTGAAGTAGCGTCTGGTCTCCAGTGCTTTTGGTGCTGCGCCCCTTGTTCTGATGTGATGTGTTGTGCAGCAGTGTCGCGAATTTTGCTTCTCCCCGTCATTGAATTTTGCACGACTTCTGATTCCTTTGGAACGATGGTAACGTGAGACTAGAACTATCGACAGATTTTGGCGGAAGATTTGAAGAAAGGACTTTGAACAACATCGGAACCGGAGGTCCAGTCAGGCTGCCGGTGTTGCAGCGAAATGAAAATGTTGTGTCCCCTCTGCGGGATCTTGCGTCTTGATACATAGGACCAATTCAGTGTTTCTTTTCGGTTTTCAATGGTCGTGATCAACAGTGACCGTGTTCTGCAAGACGACCTGGTTGTCATTTTTCTTTCTACTAGCAGATCGCCATCCTCATGTCAGCCGGATCAAGCACAGGCTCCTCGTATGGTCGGCGCGTGGTTGCGCTCGGCCAGCGCCCGCGAAGGGGCGGCGGCTTCGCGGACGGGCTTACCGGCGACAACAGCGGGGCGAGTAGCGAAGTTGTCCTTGATCCCTCCGACGCCGGGATTGAAGCGGCTATCCAGCGGCTGGAGCGCAAGTCGTTCATTCGGGATGGTCTCATTCCGGAGATCCAGTGCCTGCTCGCAGTTCCGGCGGGGGAGGCGAAGGCGGCGTAGATGGCCGCGCTCGCGCAGTACTCGCTCGTCATGATGCTGATCCTCGCCTCGCTGCTCGGTTCCGCGCTAAACCCGTTGACGGCCGAAGCGTATCCGGATTGTTCGCAGAATCTCCTCGCGGCGTACAACATGCTGTCGATGATTATCTGCTCAGCGTCGCTGTTCGGCACCGCCGCGTTGGTACTGGAGAGCATCATCCTCGAGGGTACCCCGGCGCACCGCATCCACAGCATCATCGCAGAGGCCGATAACATTTTCCATTTTGGGACGAACATGCTGGCCTGCGGGCTCCAGGGAACCGTGCCGCTTATCTTGCTGCGCGCGTGGGTCAGCGGGCTGGATCGAATGCAGTGCATCGTGCTAACCGCGATCTGTGGGGCTTTCTATTGCCTTCTGTCTCTCGTCTACTTTCGCCATCTCCAGAACCACTGGCCGGTGGTGGCGCAGCGCTGGACGAAGCTGTTCGCGCCGTTTTTGTACAAGAGGAAGGCAAGTTCTGTTGCGGTGGACGAATTGGTCGCGGAACTGCGGTATCTGCAGCAGCCACGGGACAAAATATTGGCGCCGGCGCAGCTTGGCGCTTGTCTGGAAAGGTATCTCGCGAGTCTTGGAGAAGGAACTGATTCTCCTGCCGGTAGTGTCGTGGTGGAAGCAAGTAGACGAGAGGGGGGACCGCTTATTGATGGGGGTAACTATGCTGGCGAGAAAGCGCTGCTGGCAGACCTGTCGGCGTTCCTGCATTTTTTGGAAACAGAAGCAGGTGGGAGACTCTCACCCATGATGGAAAGACTAGCAAAAAGAACATTTGAGAAAGTCGTGAATGCGACAATCGACAAGCTCGCAGATGAGGCGATTAAGCAACAGAAGTTGTAGTAATGCGTTGAACTGTGGCAATGCTGGCACTGTGTGTGCGGAGAATCCTACTGCAGGAGGTGATTTACACAGCAGCGGTGGCTGAAGGCCGGCATTGAGCGTGTCATCGTGTCTGTTTGAACAGGATCTAGCACGGGTCCGGGGCATATTCTATATCTGGGTCCAAGGCATTGTCTAGTCCGGGTCCGGACATTCTCCTCCTCGTGCGTGTCCGGGGCAGATTCTATTGCGGGTCCGGAGCAGATTCTCGTGCGGGTCCGGGGCAGACTCTAGTATGGGTCCGGGGCAGATTCTCTTGCGGGTCCGGGGCAGATTCTAGTATGGGTCCGGGGCAGATTCTCTTGCGGGTCCGGAGCAGATTCTCGTGCGGGTCCGGGGCAGATTTTCTTGCGGGTCCGGGGCAGATTCGAGCACGGGTCGGGGGCAGATTCTAGAACGGGTCCGGGGCAGATTCTAGTATGGGTCCGGGGCAGATTCTAAGACGGGTCCGGGGCAGATTCGAGCACGGGTCCGGGGGAGATTCCCGTGCGGGTCCGGGGCAGATTCTAGTGCGGGTCCAAGGCAGATTCTACCACGGGTCCGGGGCAGATTCTCTTGCTGGTCCGGGGCAGATTCAAGCACGGGTCCGGGGCAGATTGTAGTGCGGGTCCGGGGTAGATTCTAGTGCGGGTTCGGGGCAGATTCTAGTGCGGGTCCGGGGCATTTGTAGAACGGGTCCGGGGGAATTTCTAGTATGGGTCCGGGGCAGATTCTCTTGCGGGTCCGGGGCAGATTCTCTTGCGGGTCCGGGGCAGATTCTAGCACGGGTCCGGGGCAGATTCTAGTGCGGGTCTATGGTCCGGGGCAGATTCTAGTGCGGGTCCGGGGCAGATTCTAGAACGGGTCCGGGGCAGATTCTAGAACGGGTCCGGGGCAGATTCTAGTATGGGTCCGGGGCAGATTCTCTTGCGGGTCCGGGGCAGATTCTCTTGCGGGTCCGGGGCAGATTC